GGTCCAATCCCCTCATTTCCCATTTTCTTTTTTTTTTAACTTCCTTCCTATGCCATTTTATTCTTGTCTTCTTATTACCTATAAATTACCACTCTCCTCCCTCCACCTCAACCTCCTGGCTCCACGAGTTTCCACGACCATCTCGCGACGCTCTGCACGCCTTATACGACCCGATTCGATACCCTTGATTCCCCCTTTTGAGTTGGATTTCGTCTTTCACATCTCTCACGTCTTGTCGTTTGCACCAAGGGTCGCTTGAAGACGCCTCTGCATCGTCAGTCACTGCCTCGCGTTCGCCGATTCATCGACAGCTCAACTCGACTTCGATTCCTCGAATCACACCGGTCTGACGGGAGAAGCGACAATGGCCGACCTGGGAGGCCAACAGGGCCGGAACTACCGGCCATACGGGCATCCATCTTCCTTTCAGCGTGATGCCGCATTCTCTGAGATCTTTGGTGGGGCTCCACCACCGGGACGCTCTCAAACAATGACCTCGCAAACCCCTCAGTTTACCCAGGATCGCGCTCACACCATGACCTCCCACGTGCCGCATCCTCAAATGCAACGGGGTCCCCCACCGCCCTCGCGTCCCATGCCCAACGGATACAATACTCCGGGTCCCCCCAACGGATACTACCAGGCATATCCCGGCGGCACAGCGACAATGTCTTCGCATCCCCCGCCTCAGAATGCTCCCCGGCCCTATCCAGGACGCTTCGCCTACCCGCAACCTCAGCGGCTGGACTCTCGCCCCGCGCCCGGCCCACAGTATCCTGATGCGAAGGGATATTCTCGCCCGATGCCGCCCCCGGCCCTGAATTCTGATGCCTTTAGGTCGAGATCAATGGCGAGGATGGGTGGTCCGCCAATGTACCAGCCTCCCGCGAGTAGCTTCAATCACACTTCCGCCACCGCATTTCGCCAACAACCGTACAATGCTGCTGCCCCCATGACGGCTCAAGGTCGGGTTGTCCCCGAGAGACACGGCAATGAGCGTGCCATGTCATTGACATCTTACTCGACGGACCGTGAACACGCCCATACCATGAGTACCGGACGGGTAATTCCTGCCAGGAGGCAACCGTCGGGCGGTTCGACTCAGCCCATGCAGAACCGGTTCGACGCGGAACAACCAGCTGCATACAATTCCAACAGCCAGCCTCGACCCCCCAGTGATGGATCCGTCAACTCACGCACCATGTCTATGGCTTCGACCATCGTTCCGGACCGCACCATGAGCATGCACAGCGGGACTCAGCTGACTCACAAGCCTAGCACTCAAACGACCTTGGTTTCGAGCAATTCACGCCGGAGTAAGGTTCCGTTGGTTTATCCGGCGTTGCTTTCGCGTGTCGCAGATGTGTTTCGTGAACAGATTCCCCTGGCGGAACGGCAGAAGAACGGCCTGTCCTACCAGAATTCCTTCTCTGGCTCTGACGCAGTGGATTTGATTGCCCACATCATCAAGACCAATGATCGAAACCTGTCTCTCCTCCTGGGTCGCGCGTTGGATGCCCAGAAGTTTTTCCATGATGTGACCTACGACCACCGACTTCGAGATGCTCCCGGTGAGCTCTACCAGTTCAAGGAGACCATGGGTGAAGAAGCGCCGAGCTCAGAAGTGAACGGTGTCTTCACGCTTTTGACGGAGTGTTATTCTCCCACCTGTACTCGGGACAGTCTCTGTTACTCAATCGCATGCCCGAGACGATTGGAGCAGCAGGCAAGGTTAAACCTCAAGCCCCAGCCGGGGTTGCGGACGTCTGCTTCTAAAGGAAGCTTGCACGGGGATGACGACAACGACAATCAGAAGCTATGGATCAACATGGTTCCCAAGGAGGTCTCGGAGGCGTTGGATGACAAGCAAAAGAAGCGCCAGGAAATCATCTTCGAGATTATGTATACTGAGCGTGACTTTGTGAAGGATCTGGAATATTTGCGTGATTTCTGGATGCGACCCTTGCGGGCGGCTGGCAACGCGACCACGTCTCCCATTCCTGAGCACCGACGAGAGAAATTCATTCGAACCGTGTTCGGCAACTGTTTGGAGGTCCTGAAAGTGAACAGCGCCCTCTCTGAGGCCCTCAATGCGAGACAGAAAGAGAGTCATGTGGTACACAGAGTTGGTGACATTTTCCTGCAACATGCGCCTCGGTTCGATCCGTTCATCAAGTACGGTGCGAACCAACTTTACGGAAAATATGAGTTCGAAAAGGAGAAGTCATCCAACCCCGCGTTCGCCAAGTTTGTTGAAGAGACCGAACGCCTGAAGGAGTCGAGGAAATTAGAGCTGAACGGTTATCTCACCAAGCCGACCACTCGTCTCGCAAGATATCCCCTTCTGCTGGAACAGGTCCTGAAAAACACGCCAGACGGCAACCCGGATAAGGAAGATATTCCCAAGGCAATCAAGATTATCAAGGACTTCTTGTCCCGCGTCAACACCGAGAGTGGGAGGGCTGAGAATCATTTCAACCTGGTGCAGCTCAATGCGGCGCTGAAGTTCGGCCCCGGGGATTATGTCGATCTGAAGCTGACTGAGGAGAATCGCCAAATGTTGACGAAGATGGGATTCAAGAAGACGCCAACAGACAGTTCCGAGGTGACTGCCTATCTCTTTGACCATGCTGTTCTTCTTGTCCGGATCAAGGTTATCAATAAGCGAGAGGAGTACCGCGTTTATAGGAAGCCAATTCCGTTGGAGCTTTTGGTTATTGCCCAGATGGATGAGGTTATTCCACGGGTTGGAATTGCCAAACGGCCTTCGTCTAGTCTGCTGGCGAATAAGGCACCCGTGAACCCTCCGACTACGAAAGATGGTCTTCCGATCACCTTCCGGCATCTCGGAAAGGGGGGCTACGAACAAACGCTCTATGCAACCTCCCCAACCCAGCGACGGAAATTCATCGAACTGGTGGAAGAGCAACAACGGAAGCTCCGGGAGCGCAACAGCAACTTTTACAACAAGACCGTGGTTTGCGCGAACTTCTTCACGTCAATCAACCGAGTGAACTGTCTTGTTCCGATTGACGGTGGCAGAAAACTGGTGTACGGCACAGACAGCGGTATCTACCTCTCGGATCGTTGGCCCAAAGATAAATCTGCGAAGCCTAGGCGAGTGCTTGACGCCAGCCAGGTTACACAGATGGATACTCTGGAAGAATATCAACTGCTCCTGGTCTTGTCTAATAAGACCCTCTTCTCCTATCCAATGGAAGCTCTTGACGTCGGCGAAGGCCAGAATACATTAGCGAAGCGGCCCAAGAAAATTCAAGGTCATGCCAACTTCTTCAAAGCCGGTATCGGTCTGGGCCGTCATCTTGTGTGTTCTGTCAAGACCTCGGGATTGTCGAGTACAATCAAGGTCTACGAGCCTATGGACAACCTCGCCAAGGGTAAGAAGAAATCGGCGGTCAGTAAGATGTTCCAGAGTGGGCAAGACACTTTGAAGCCTTTCAAGGAATATTATATTCCCGCTGAATCCTCTTCCATCCATTTCCTTCGATCAACCCTTTGTGTTGGTTGCTCGCGTGGTTTCGAGGTCGTCAGTCTCGAGACCACCGAGACTCAGTCCCTACTCGATCAGGCCGACACCTCCCTTGACTTTGTCGCTCGCAAGGAGAACGTCAAGCCTATTCACATCGAGCGAATGAATGGAGAATTCCTTCTCAACTACAGCGATTTCTCCTTCTTTGTCAACCGGAATGGTTGGCGTGCGCGCCCGGACTGGCGGATATCATGGGAGGGCAACCCCAACGCCTTCGCGCTGTCATATCCTTATATCCTCGCATTCGAACCAAACTTCATTGAAATTCGCCATATCGAAACTGCCGAGTTGATCCACATCATGACTGGAAAGAACATTCGCATGTTACATTCGTCTACTAGAGAGGTATGTTGCAACCCCCGAGGTGGGACCTTGACTGCCGTACTGACATTGAGTTAGATCCTCTACGCTTATGAAGAAGAGGGAGGCGAAGATGTCGTCGCGAGCTTGGATTTCTGGAACAAGCCACAGCATTAGGTCAGCATACATGGACGGTACTTGTCACTTTTCGCCTCAAACCTTTTTGATCTCTTTACTAGACAGAGCTTTCTGTACCTCCGGAGGGCTCATTTCGCTTTTTCTCTTTCGACAGCAGCTCCATGCTTTGGGCCTGCTCTTCTCTCACGTCCTTTAATACCTTCATGTTTGTCCGATGTGTTTCAGATCAGCCTTTACTATATCATTGTCATTTGCCCATTTCCCTCTGTGTACAATGAAGCGCAAATACCACCTGTTTATTCGTTTTCCTCTCGCGCCCAGGTCCTCTTCAGGTTGTCGTGTCTCACAACCTTTGTGTATGTTCCGCTTGAATCCTTACAAGCTCTTACATAGCATTTATCTACCATTTGTGGGAAAGCTGGTGCTGACCCTTTTGACTTCAATCTGATTGCATTTTCCATATTATCTCACGTAAAATCAAGAACATTTCGCCCATGCAAGACTATAGGAACTCTGGAGGAGATGTAGGTTCGAATGTTGAGAAGCTGGAGGCGGCATAAGCTTCTTTCAGCTGAAAGAAATATGATGCCTGCGCCCCATGCATCAATACTACTCTTAAACCATTACATTTCACAGAGTAACATGGCCATGGCGGTGTTCTTACGGTCATTGCGAAGTATTTTATCCAATGTGACTAGTCAAGGAGACTAGGCGGTGGTACATGGGTACCATCAGCAAAATATATATCGACCACAGGCACTCTGTACGACGATCATCTACACAATTCAACTACTCCATATATGCAGGCCGTGCACTTTTAAGACTTTTCTTCCTCATATACTACTATTCGACTAGAAGCATAAATGATAGAAGAGACAAAGACATAAGACCACGAGAGCACACACACACAAAAGATCAAATGACAAAGAGGGAATCTTGCTGCGCTGCTGAGATTGGGACAGGTGTCATTGATGGAAACGCGAACAAACACAAGAGGGGGAAGAAAAAGAAGCGCATAAGGAAGGAGAATTTATGCAGGAGTATCCCAGTGACAGCTGTCAATGATTAAAAGATGCTATCCTTGACCCCGAGCGTCACAACCGGGAGGAAAAGGGGACATTGAAAAAGGACATCAAGAAGTCAAAGAAAAGGAAAGAAAAAACCGAGAGAGGGTTGGGAGCGGCAGCCTGAATCCATCACTCTTGTCCGTAGAAAAGAAAGCCTCCCCAGAAATGAGAAGGAGGGAAGGAGTTAGACGTCGGTAAGAAAATGGAAATGTTGCATTTTCCTTTCCCCTCCCTTTCAAACGAGAAAAGCTATTAACGTGAATATAACAGTCAATATTACCCCCATAAGAAACAGTTACACTTGCTGTGCCCCATGGCTCCATTAGATTGGCACAGCCGGTAACAATCGCGCAAACCCCACATAATCATCGAGACAGTCAGTCGTCCGACATAACTGGGGTCGATAAATTAGGCCTCTCCATTCACACCCTCGGCCGGGGTTTGGCTGGCCTCGCGTGCCATGCGTGCCTCGATCTCCCGGAGCTGGCTCTCGCGCGCCAACAGTTCCTGACGCTTCTCGGCGATCTCGCGCTGCACCTTGAGTTCGATCTCGCGCAGCTTCTCCTCCTCGCGACGGAGCTGCTCTTCCTTCAGTCTGACGGATTGGGAGGCGAGGTCTTCAGGGTTCATCGAAGAATCTTGGCTACTTTTTTATTTGTTAGTTGACCGTCATGTATAGGTGAGGTGAAGGGTCACGTACGGAGAAGCACCGTCAACGCTCTTGCTAAGCTTCTCGGTACGGTAGTTTTCGTAGAGGAAGTCGTGAGTGATTTCCTTAAGATCAGCCAGATGGCTGTGGAGGAGGGCGCTTCGGATTGCCAGGAAATCGGAGTGACGAGGGTTCTCAACCTCGACCACACCCCAAGGATACTGTCTGGCTCGTACTTTGCGACCATCGATCTCGACAAAGTCCTCGGAGCCAACAATGGCGAACGGCATCAGTCCCCGGAGCTCGGCGTTCTCCTCCACGGTGTCCTCATCATCCTCCTCGATATCGTAAGGGAAGTTGTAGACCGGAATGCGATAGTGCTCAATATCCTCCATGATCAACTTCTTGGACTCAGCGAGTTCGGCGGGAGTGAGGGAGTCGGCCTTGCCGATAACCGGGATCACGTTGACACGAGGGGACAGGCGCTTCATCAATTCAATGTCGAGCTCGCGCAGACCATGGCCAGTCGGCGTGATGAAATAAAGCAGGACGTGGACACGGTTGTCCCTGAAACGGGGGTTTCGCTTGATTCGTGACTCTTCGGCGAGAATATCATCGTACTGGCGTTCGAGGTAACCTACAATCTCTCCAAAGCTGCATCAACGGTCAGTACCGTCGGGATGAGGAATCCTTGGTGCGGACAGGGGATACATGCCTGGCCTCGTTGTCAATCTGATCACCGAATCCCGGGGTATCAACGATCGTAAGGGAGATCCGGGTGCCTTCGTCATCCAATTCGAGTTCTTCAGGGGGTCGACAGTCAGTACTCGTGCAATCGGCGACGTTGATTCCAATTAGAGTCATCCACACTTACCAACCGTCACAGGCTTGATGCGAACACCTTCCTCAACATGAGCGTTGGCGGCATCATCAGCATCCTTGCCCTCCAAAACTTTCTTTCCGCAGAGGGTGTTGACGAAGGTGGTACGGCCTGCGAGAGGAATTGGGTCAACTTTCTGGACGGAGATGAACAAGTAAGCGGGTTATGGATACGTACCGGTTCCGCTGGCACCACAGACCATCACACAGAACTGGATACCCTTCTTGACATTCTTCTTGCGACGGATCTTGAATTGGGATTAGTGACGGTTGATCAAGTATGGAGGGAGGTGGGCGAGAACATCTCGATTCAAGGAGAGCATGGGGAATGGAGGGGACATGGCAAATCATGACGATGAGGAGCATTGATGGGGAGAGAAGCAGCAGAAAGGGGAAGCAGACAAGGCACATACCGCGCTGAGAGCCGACGACATGGTGGGCTAAAATAAGGAGAGGGGGTGGGAGCACGAGCGAGAAACGAAAACAAACAGGCAAGAGAAAAAGAAAAGGCAATTGGAGTTGAAGATGAAGAGAGAGAAAGGAGGAAGCGAGCGGCGGAGGCAAGAATGGAGGAGGGAAGGTGGAGGAGGAAGACTGGAATGATGGAGAGAGAGATGGATGGATGGGATGGAAGATGGAGTTGGCGCTCTCCTGAGGTGGTCGCAGTGGACAGCTACTTAGGGGGGAAAAGTTACCTGTAAGGTACTTAGGCTAAGGGGAGATTGGCCGTATTGTGCAAGGTACTGTATTGGTATTTCTGCTCCTTTCCCCTGTCGACGTTCGCTCCTGTCCTACTACCAAGGACTTTCCAGTTGGCTCTCCACGGACCATCGGGGTTCCTGGTACTGTCATCTCAATACACAGGCATGTCCTTACAATACGATGATTGTGATGTAGGTACTTGATGATTAGCTATACTGGTATACCAATTCTGTCTGATTAAATTATGTACTTTTTCCTGTTAATTCTACATATTTCAATATGCTTGGATATCAACACTCATACCTCAAATGATCTCCATACTATCCGGAGACAATGCACTGTACCACGGATTCGTCGATTCAGGGGTTGAATCGGTGTTTCCTGCAGTGGGTCTCTCATGCGGCCCGCCGTATTTACCGCTCTACAGGCCTGAGGCATCAAAGCCTGAGAATCACCTGACTTCTCTTATATGAGGTCACTCTTTTGCCTGGATCACTTCAATGCAGATCCCCGCGACTTTCTAGACCTGCGCATCTCTCCCATCGCATGGCGTCTTTTCGCCCACCATGAATACTCGCCAGGTGATCGATGAGTCGGTCGGTCCTTTCTCTCTCTCCGCCGCCTTTAACAATGACAACACTTGTTTTTCCGTCGGGTTAGACACCGGGTTCTGTAGTAAGTCGCTCTAGTATACCAAACTCCCCCACTCGCAACCTCTCCCGGTGATTTTCTTTTATGGAGTAACAAGACTGAGAACAGAATCGCTGTCTAGTCTTCAATACAAACCCATGTGAGCTCAAGGTATCACGAGGTACGCTGCGTCCCTTCGTTTGCTAGTATCTCCATTGCTTTCCACGCTCATCACGCCGGTGATATGGCAGACTTCAATGCAGGGATCGGGCTGGTTGAAATGATCGGTCAGTCCAACTACTTGGCCATCGTCGGTGGAGGAAGACAACCCAAATTCCCCCAGAATAAGGTGGGATTGATTGAATCGCCTTAATCACCCCGCTGAAGCACTTCGCTCACATCATTGACAGCTCGTAATCTGGGATGACGCCAAACAGAAAGCAGTCATCACTCTCGAGTTCCGCACCTCCGTCCTGGGTGTCCGTCTGTCCAAGTCACGCATTGTCGTTGCTTTGTTGAACAGTATCCACATTTTCGCTTTCTCAACCCCACCTCAGAAACTGTCCGTCTTCGAAACGACGGACAACCCCATGGGGCTGGCCTGCCTAGGACAGAAATTGATTGCCTTCCCCGGTCGATCGGCTGGACAGGTCCAGCTGGTCGAACTCGAAACCGGCAATGTCAGCATCATCCCCGCTCATAGTTCACCACTCCGGGCCATGGCGTTGAGCCCCGATGGGGAGGTGCTGGCAACGGCGAGCGAAGTGGTATAGATCAACTTAGCTCCTCTCCTTCATTTGTGTGACTGACACCAAGGCCAGGGTACACTTGTACGAGCATTCTCCACCAGCAACTGCGCCAAGATGGCTGAACTACGCCGAGGGGTCGACCAAGCAGTAATATTCTCCCTGGCCATTTCTCCTTCCAACAACTTGCTGGCGGTTACATCAGACAAATCTACCCTACATATTTTTGACCTTCCACACCCCCGCGCGCTTGCGCACCGCAGCCCGTCTCCGTCCGAAGAAGGACTGAACCAGAAATGGGGCATCCTGGGGAAGATTCCGTTGCTTCCCAGAGTATTCTCCGACGTCTACTCCTTTGCCAGTGCTCATTTTGAAATGGGCGAGGAATCTCCAACAGGTTTACTTCACGTGCCACCCCTGGGCACCACGCTGGGGCGACCTCTAAAAGGAGTCATAGGCTGGCTCGATGACCGGACCATCCTTGTGATCGGGTCCGGAAGAGATGGCCGTTGGGAGAGGTTCGTCCTCCGTGAGGGGGACGACGGCAAGCGCTATTGTGTAAGAGATGGCTGGAAACGGTATCTAGGGAGCTGACCAGATAGTGCATTTGGATTAGCGAGTCAATATCTCGTGTATTCACAATACTAACTATGTACTTTGGTTTTGCAGGCAGTTGCCTGTACAGCACCCAGCAAGAATGCTTGGGTCTAAGCTGCGGTGGTGACAGATAGCGCAGCTTATCTGAGAGAAACAGCCTCGGGCGTCAGGACCGTTTACCAGCAGGACCGCGGTCGTCACAACCAACTTGAGCTAATGGCCGCCCTGCTCGCTTTTGATTCCATCATGATGGACCTCCGTGCAGAATCTTTAGGACGGTCTTGGATTGCGACACAAAGAATAGTTCCCGATTAGCGCATTTTTAATAAAACAAGACTTGCTCGTTCGGTTAGTTAACGATACCGCTCCTCCCTATCCCGATGGCGCCTTGGTTCGGGCGATCGCGACCCAACCGGTGTCCTATCTCTGTAGTCTCTATCTCTCCGGGACGGGGATCTCCTCTTGTCCCTGTCACCCCTAGACCGGGACCGGGACCTGCGATCGCGGTGTCTCCTTTCGCGCTCTCGGGAGCGGTCGTCCTCTCGTCGGTGATGACGGTGAGACCTATGATGACGACTTGACCTCTCGCGACTGTGATCTCGGCGTTTGGATGACTTTTCCTCCCTCTCCAGCCGTTCCAAGGCCTGTGTAACCTCCTCTTTCTTCTCCTCGATGAGAAATTCCTTCATGGGGTCTTCATCATCATGATTGCGAATAAGCTCCTCCAGCTCCTTTTCTTCTTTGAGAAGTGGCCTCCTCCGCGGCTCATCATCACTGGTCCGTCTTTTCTTTCGTCGCCTCCGCTCATCGTCCGTATCCCCGTCACCCGCATTCTTGTTGTCGGTGTCGCCCATCAATCTTGCGACGTTGTCGCCCTCCTCCTCATCGTCGCGTCGTTTGTACCGCACATGGTCGACGCGCAGCATCCGTCCTAAGACCGTCGCGCCACCCAGGTTATCCACCGCCAGGTCGGTACTGCGCTGGTCCTCATATTTCAAAAACGCGAAGCCACGACTCTTCCCCGTTTCTTTATCGCGCACCAGGTTCACATGCACGGGCTCGCCGTATTGCGAAAAGATTGTCACGACGTCACCCTCCGACAGATCGTAGGGGAGGCCACCGATGTAGATGTAAGCGGTGTCACGATAGTCGGCATGCCATGATGCTTCCGGGGGGCTATAATAAGACGATAAATGTCAGTTTGATGAAGTGTAGGAGGTTTGAAGCAAGCGCCACTTACACAGCATTTTCCAGTTCGCGCTTGTTGAGCGACTGGATTTGGCGGATTGAGTTCATGCTCCTTTATGGACCAGGAAGCTAATACAAGTCTTGTCAAAAGATGAAATGAGCGATTCCAGACGTGTAGAGGGATAAGGAAAAGGAGAAAAGCGAAGCTGAAGTTGAGGCGAGTGGAAAGGGAGAAGAGGTCACCATATCTGAGGTTGGCTCCGCGGGAGGTCCCACACCCGCCGACGCCCTCACTATTATTATTCCCAACTACCGACTGCTCTGCTTGCGTTTGTTTACTCTGACCGCTGCGCCGAACACCGTCCACAAAACCCCGAAATCGCAGAACCGTTCAAGTATCAAACTCCTTCTCTCAGGGCGCTATCTTCGCTAGGACGGTATCGTGTCTGCGATCTGCTTCGATATCCTACACCTCCCCTGACCCAGTTCCGCTCCTTCTCCCGCTCCACGAGCCCAAGTCAGACCGCCTGCACAGAACGCGTCCTATAACCCGGAACGCAGGTATTCTTGTTTTGAGGCTACCTGGAATGGTTAGCGACGGTTGATTTAGTCGAGATTGGCAGACAATGTCGACTTCAACGCAAATTCCCGGATCCCGATTCGGCGCAGGAAACAACAGCCGTCCGTCTAGTAAAGATGGCCCCAAGAAGAACATTTGGTCGTCGTTGTTGGATAATGTGGCAAATGGAAAGCGCTTGCCTGAGAAGAACCTCTTGATTCTAGGTATGAGCATATTTTGTGGTCTTGGTCAAGGTTTCGTGCGCGTCTCAGGCGTCGTCACGGTGGGGATATGCTGCTAACCACATGTCTTGATCCCCAGGAGGTACGCCTGAGAGTCAACGAGAATTCCTAGATACCCTATCCGCCAACCCTTCGGATCCTAGTCTATCGGACGAGAAGCGGAAAGGGAGGGTGCCACCTGTCGCCAACCAGTTTGCACTGGGATATACGTATCAGGATGTGCTGGATGCTGATCAGGAAGGTAACAATATCCCTCCTCTATGTTGTACCATACAGTCGCTTTGACTGCAGTTTGTGCGTATTTGGCTAATCTCCACTTCAAGATACTCTGGCACGCGTCTCCGCATACCTCCTTTCTGAGCCTTCGTTGTCCTTCGCTCCCCTCCTTAAGCCGCTCCTCACCCCTCAATCTATCCCAGAAACGTTGGTCGTCATCCTGCTAGACTGGTCTGACCCGTGGACCTGGGTCCGGCGACTTCGAGAATGGGTTCGCCTCTTGCGACATGTGCTCGTCTCCCTTGACGACGAGACGAAGATCGTGATGGAAGAAATGATGACAGAGTGGCGAGACCGGAAGAGAGGCATGGACGCAGCAGGCGCCCAAGGCCTGTCGGGGTCCGGTGGACCGGTTACAATGCCTCTGGGTCCAGGGGAATGGGACGAAGGTCTAGGCATCCCGATGTGTGTCGTATGCCAAGGGGTATGTGATTGAGCTCGGAGAGCGCTGGTTGGAAAGAAGAAGTCACTGGAACACTTTGGCTAACGTTTCTTCGTACCACAGGCAGACAAGATCGAAAAGCTCGAGAAAGACCACGGCTGGCATGAAGAGGAGTTCGATTTCATTCTACAGTTCCTCCGAACGATCCTTCTCAAACGTATGATCCCGTTGGCTGTATTCAGGATGGATACTAACCTAGGTAGATGGCGCCTCCCTCATCTATACAACCCCTTTCCTTGCAAACTCCCTCCAGAGCCTCATTCACTCTTCTCTCGGCATACACTCCCTCCTGAAGAGGCAGTCACTCAAGCACAACGTCATTGATCGCGATAAGATCCTTGTCCCATCGAACTGGGATTCATGGGGCAAGATCCGGATTATCAGAGAAGGCTTCGACATGGAAGGTGTATCGACTGCGTGGTCCATCGAGATCCAGGATCTGCCAGAGCCTTTAACCAACGGACCGGCTGATGATAAACCCGAGGAGGACCCAAGCGGGATGGATGATCGGTCCAGCGCGGTGACGATCTTCGAACAGACGATTAAAGATCCGAAACGAGATACCTCCATGGTCCACCCGGGCAGCCAACAAAGCAGTAATAAGATCGAGATCGAAACCAGTGACATGCAGAGCTTCCTGACAAAGGAACTCGAGGTCCTGGAGAAACTGAAGGCGGAAGACGACAAGGACCGAGCGGCGAAGCAAGTTCCACAACTGGAGATGTCTCCGCTTGAAGATAACGGGCGTGTGAATGAACACATAGGCCCTGTTCAGTTCAACATGGGAGGAATCCAGGTGGATGCTGATGACATGCTGCGCAAACTTAAAGTGAGTTGATCCAAGTCTCGCACCTCTTATTACCGAGCTGCGCTAATACTGTGACCAACTACAGGAGAGAGAAGCCAGTCGGTCTCAGAGAAAGGACACGATGTCGTCCCCGACAGATGAGAAAGCCCATAACCAAGCACTGGCGAACTTCTTCGCAGGGCTGGTTAAGAAGCCTGGCAGCAGTCCGCGCGGGAGTCCATCAGCTTGAACAGTCGCCGACTCGATGGTGGATCGTTTTGGATTGTAATTTTATTCCCTTTCGTCAGTACATACTGCAATGATCGAAGTGTCGATTTGGCGATCGTGAACCGATTTCTTTCTTTTCTTTCGTTTTGATACCAGAATGGCTTTATACGGAGAATCTTGCGGCGAAGCCTTGGGTTTAAGAGTCATTGAAGATCTACTATACTAAGACTACCGATACCGGACAATCTTTAGGCCGTGTAGATGTCGACGTAGGGGAAACAAGACCATCAATAGTACCACCAGTGGAACGTTTAAGCAAGTTGATTCTCCTCCCGGAGAAACTTGTCCTCCTCAGGAGTCGACACCCTCCCCAGGGCCTTATTCCGATGCGGATACCGCCCAAACCGAGCGATGATATCTTTATGCATATCCTGAAACTTGATGTTAAGAGCACACAACGTCCGCGCCGCATCGGGGTCCTTGGCCAGCACGGAGGCACACGCCGCCTCTTCGCCGTTCAAGCCAGCCTCAGCGCCCGCACCGTCAACCGCCCGGTCCACATCCGCCGCCATGCGGCGGTACATCTCCGCGCACAGCTCCTGGATCTTCATATCCTCGGAATGCATCAGCGGCAGATAGAACCACTGGCGCAGCGCGAGCCGGTACTTCACGCCCGGGGAGGTGGGCACACCAGCCTGAATGGCGCGCATGGCAACCCCCAGCGCCAGCGGGTCAAAGACCTCGAAGACGGCGGCAGCCTCGCCGTCGCGGTAGCAATTGCGCGGCAGCTGGTCCAGCAGGAGGACGAGGCCGAGCCAGTCCTGCGCTGCGGAGGGCTGGACCAGGTCGAGGAGTTGGTCTGCTGTAGGGGAGGCCGCTCTGATTGATTCTAGGGCGGGGCCGAATTGTGTTCTGGAGTGGGTTAGGGATTGTGGAGTGGTTTGGGTGGGTAGGGGAACGCTTACACGCAGGCATGGTCGAAGTTGCTGTCTCGTGTGAACCAGACTTTTACGTCGTCTGTGCTGGGGAGCGTGAGGCTGTCCTCTGCTTTGATGTGCTGGAACCAGAAGTTATATACATCTTTTGGTAGGGAGGGAGGTATGGTGCTGGTTAAAGGGGATGCTGGTGCCATTTGGGGTTGGATGGGAGGGCGGGTGGAGAAGCTGTGGTGATGGACTGAGGCTTGAGGTGGTGTTAGGATGTGTTTGGGGGCGAGGCGCCGTGAGGATCTGCTTTGGAGTATGAGCAATTGTCTCCCAGTTGAGTCTGGCACGAGCGAGGGACATGTCGATGGTATAATTGATGGAGGAGGAAGTATGGAGAAGAGTTCCATAGTTGGCGATGATACGAAGTTGTCAGGTGACCCGCCCAACCGGATGTTCCGGTTCGACTAAGTCTATCATATTGATTTATAGCAGAATTCAATATTCCTGTAAACATCCAGGCCGAAATTTCGGTTGAATTCAACTGTAGGCTTGGTGTTCTTGTAGATTCTGTTGCAGCCCCAGGCGCAGGGGTTGCCTCTTTGGGCCTAGCGCCAGCATACATGCCTCGTTTCTACATCCTCGATGCCTTCACCATCACACTCAACGCCATCGAATCGAATCACCTCTTCTTGAGCTCCACCTCTTGCTCCTACTGATAGAATCCTAATTGACTATAGTCTTATATCTTGGTTTAATCTCTAGTATTACTTTTATCAAACAAATACTCCGTAAGGCTTAGATATCTACAGTTCTAACAGTCTTGTCTATCCCACCATGTGATAAAACCCTCTCTCCCGTCTCAATCTCTCGGCCTGCGCGTACTGGATCCGGCTAAAGTACTGCCGGACGGCGGGCTCATGAAGCAGTGGCGCCGGGTACTCGTCGCCGCCGAGGACGTCCGCGCCGAGCTGCGGTACGCGGAACAGAGTGGCGGTGATGTGAGCCAAGGGACTCATAGACCATAATACTTTGATAAAATCCTTTGTCTTCTATTCACATGTGTATCTACACGTGCTGGGTGAAATGCTAGCTCTGTTTGCAGTTAGGCAGGCGGCAAGAAGCTAGAGTACAAGGCCGCTTGAATAAGGGCATACATGACCATCCATCTTGTGATCCATTTCGGTGCATCCCAGCCACATGCTTCAGTTTTGGAAGACTTGTCCAACAAACCTGCGATCCACCAATACCACACCGGGTAACCCGACGATAGCCTGTTGATAATTTGCACGTGTCCAGCGGTTAGAATGTAAACAGCGACGAACGCTTGTGGGGCCGCAAATATAGGTAGTACAGTTGTAGCGTTCACCACAGGCCTCTTCTCTTCCAGCGCCGTCTTATTGATTCTTGGATAGTTGAAAGCCCATACCGAGGAAACAACCATGACTGCAAGTATAGGGCCGGCCAGCGCAAATAAAGGGATGTTTGACACAGTCCAGTACCGGAATAGACCGTTGTTCCTGGGCCATTAGCGGAAGAAGCCTTTCTCTCTGAGTCTTGCTTACCAGTAGTGTTCTTGCACGAATGAGTAGATGCTAGGCGGCATTGCACTGCACCATGGCCTCTGCTCATACGATTCCAAGCCACAATATTCCCAATAAGCCACGATCTGGGGTAGAATAAATCCCAGGGCGACCAAAATCCCTGCGATTACTATGACAGCAAGCTGTCTTATTTGCATGACAGAAACCCCGCCTTGAATGGCTTGGCTCCCTGACAAAATAGCGCTGTACGCAAAGTAGAAGCCACTGATCAGGCCATTGCTCCGGACCGCGGCAGCCACCCCAACAGACGCACCGGAAAGCAGGAGCCACAAGTCACTCCGCATGATGGCCCCGTTCCGGCGAGACAGAAAGCTTTCCGCGTACGAAAACATGCCCAGGATATGAAAGAGGGCGAACGGACTCTCTGCATTCGGTGCGGACAAGAAAAGTCCAGCCGGAGACACAATGTGTAGCCCAGCAGTGACGAGAGCCAAGCTTGCGGCTTTCTGGCCCCGTCCAAAGACTCTCAGCGACAGTTCATGCAGCAATAAAACTGCCAGAAAGTGCGAGGCGTTGGAGATCAACACGCCAGCCCATGCTGGAGCAGTGGCCGGTGGCACTCCGGCAAATTCAAGATCTGGACGCGTCAGTACACCTGCATCCACATACAGCGAGGCCCACCACACTTTGCAAGGAAAGCCATTGCCCTCGTTAGGGTCCAGCTGAACGCCCATTCCTGTTCAAAGACATAGCCTCTTCGTGCGGCTTCGGTAAAGTAGATCGCGTCCCATCTAACCAGGGACAACAGGCTGGAGTCGCTGACGCCTTCCAGTAATGTTGTGGAGGTGTCATAGCCGGGACGAGGGCTTAGTCGAGATATCGAGAATAAGAGGCTTTTCCAGAGAAGAAAACCAACAGTCAAGTAAAACCTAGGACTCTTCTGGTGGAAATCCGCCAACTGTGGCATCGTCATACTGAAGACTGAAGGTGCCGCGGTCCGTTGTATTTGGGTACGTTCGGGATTGCGGCGGTTTGGGGATAGAACGCGCCTGTCTGGATCGGATTTATTATAGCCCGTCCAGCCACAAAACTACAATATGCCATTCCACTGCGTAGAGATCGATCCATAAGAAAATCTCATTCTGATATCAATGCTTATGACGGATATATTAGGGGAGTTGGAGCCATGAGGGATGAGAAGGCGTCAGGCGGTGTTGACCATCTTTGTACCTTTCCATCACAGGAGTTATCCGCATACGTCACCAAATACTTCGTTGTGGACAGCAGGAAAGGCACGTTTCTCGATTTATGCGTGCTATAGCAAGCTATACAACAAGTAATGGTAACCATACCCATAGTACATGCGCACCAAAAATAAAACTACACAGCTTACCAATTTTCCCAAACCGCGTCAGGAATCACCTTCCTCATGATTTGCCAGTGCTCCAGCGCTCCTCTATCCTGGTATTTATCCAACCGGCCAGTCTCTTTAGCCACCAGCACCGATCGTCCACCCTTTTCGATAGGGCGGAACCGTGCCGGATCGATTTCATGCTTCGGCATTAAGTACGACTCGCGGAACTTGCTTCCCAAGAAATCGGCGGGAACGGGGTCGCGGAACTGAAGAGGGGTCGCCGAGCTCTTCTTGCAGAAGACGACCATGTTGGTGAACTCGACATTCTCCTCGGAGGCGACGTCCTCGCGGAAGATCCGACACGAGGGGAAGACCGCCAAGATAGTGCGGACCGTGAGGGCGGCAGGGTAGATAGAAATGTCACCGGCGTAGTTCTGGTTGTTGTTGTTAATAATGTGACATGTAAAGTCTCACGGAGAGGAAACTTACAATAGCAATCACTCCGTCGTCTTTCAGCAGCGAGTGCAGGCCCTGGAGGAACTCGAGGGTGAACAACTCGACGGGCTCGGCGCCACCGGTGAAGACATCATGGACAATGTAGTCGTATTGAGCCGGGTTGGGGGATTCCTGAGTCCGCTTCACGAAAGAGGTGGCATCTTCGATGGCAGCGATGTGGTTGGACGGGAGATGGAAGTACTCCATTGCGAACTTATGTACCACGGGGTCAATTTCCACGATCGTGGTCTCGATTCCATGGGTGATGAGCGCAGAGGGTGTCGTGCCAACCCCAAGACCACTGGTACGAAGTGAGATATGGAAAGATGTGCTGTTCAATTTGCACTTACATCACAAGGGCTTTGCTGTTTGCGTCCACTCGAGGTTCACCGTGGTCGGTCTCCACCAGACGAACGGCCTCGAGCATGGTGAACACAGCGTAGATGGGGTCCTTGAGGGTAGGCTTATACGTGCGATGCTCCTTGATCCATTGGCCACCGAGAAGGCTGTGATCGCATCTCATCACGCGGAAACCATCCTCGAGGTTGTCCAGAACCGCGATGTAGCCTGTGGAAGAGTCCTTACGGGCCACAAGGGCATAACCTTCGTCCTTCAGGGCGGAGTTCAGAACTGCGGTTGCACGTCCCGTTTGCAGATGCACATTAGAGGTGAAAGAGAAAAGGATTGACGGAATCGCCAAGACAAGCAACTTCGACGGGATAGCAGCAGAGTACAGCGCTGCGATGAATAGCTGCAGGCCGACGCGGGAAAAGAAAAATGCCGACCCCAGGCATCGCGACATGATGAACTTGCCCAAACCCTCTCCAATGGAGTAGATGACGTAGGAGCCCAAAAGAGGCGCATGCTCGGACACGAGGTCACCATGTTGGGCGAGGCGCAGACCCCTCTGCAGCAGCTTGAAAGCGCATGCGACAGACAGAAGGACCAAGGGGTAAAAGGTAAGGATTTCCGTAAAAAGAGGGCCGATTGGGTTACCCAATGCCAGGCTCTGTTGGGACAAGAAATACTGGATCGTGGGAACCCAAAAGGCCATAGCCGGGAGTAGGTAAACGGCGCGGCGGCTGGTTATGCGGTCGATTTGGTCATTGAAGAACCAGCCCACTAACGCGGCAATACCAACACCATAGCCATGGAAAATATGGGTTGGCGCGGTGCCATACACCGGAGCCAGTGTCAATGCGAATAGAGGAGACGAGAAGGCAACAAGGACTAGCAAGGCAATGCCTGTGCCGGTCTTTCTCCAGTTGGCCTGCTGGAGAATTTGCTCGACGGACGCCATGGTGTCAGAGTAGTACTCGGACTGTTTGATTGAAAGTAGTGTTCAGACCCAGAGGCTGGATATGGCTGGCCTGATGGCTTCCTGCTATGAGCTTGTTAACATTTGACGGATACGACGGTGCCGAGTTTGATGCCAATGTGGACAGCTGGACCAACGACGGTGAAACAGACTAGAAGGAGCCCTGCGTACCTTTCAATTTTCAGACAATTAGCAGAAGATCCATGTCTCGGCCAAGCAAGACGTAGACTGATCGGTGGAAGATGGATGTTTCATCGTGAGTCCTTTTTCGGATTTTCCCCCGCGGACTTCCGGCCCAGAACGGCTTAGCTTGGGGAGCTATGTAAGCCACTTACGTAATCAATATAACGTCCTCATACCTACCTCATGCATATTGCGGACTGTTCGCCTTCGCTTTCCTCCATCCTTCAAGGTATCTCGATATTATCTCCAGTCATGCCTTATTTCCCAATGGGTACGGGAGTCGACTCGGATTCCAAGGCCGCCATGGCCCCATCGTCGCCCTCTACCCAGTTGAAACGAAACCGGCGAAAGCGATACCTCGACAGCCATCCAGAGTACTTTTCTGCTGATCTCGAGCTCGCCGGTCCGCTTGCTCTCTTCTTGTCCCAGAGACTGATCGCGTTTACTCTTTCAGTCGATGGCACATGCGACTCTTGCTAATACGTCAGACATGTAGACCCGTTACTCTACGACCGTCTCATTCGCCGCTTCCAGACCCCGGCCGAGAGAGAGGCGGAAGGCCGGGCCAAAGGGTTCTCTGGTGTGCTCCAAGCCGACATCAATCGCTCTGAGGCCAAGCTTGAAGCGCTCGCCCACCCCGATCCTCACTCCATGTTCAGCTATACTCGCGGCCCTAATGGGGAGATCCTCGCGGAAGACAGAGACGAAATCCCAACTAGCAAGGAAGAAGGAGAGAAACAGTGGCGATGGGAGATGACACTCCGATTTCTGAGGGGAGAAGATACGGACTTTGATTATGCCACCGTTGATGAGAACGACGAGTACGACGATTGGAACGAAGAGCAAGAGAAGTATTTCGACGACGAAGAGCCAGAATGGGTTGTCGAGGGGACGGACAGCGGCGATGTTACGTCGCGTCTCCAGGGCGAAACTGGCATCCAGGACTTTTAGTTTGTTCCTGGGGATTTTCCTTCGCTTTTAAGAAGTCCGGTTTTCCGGTCATATCGCGGTCTTTTCCCCCGACGGCCACCGGCTATCCTCTTATCCCATCCTGGAATGGCATAGTATTCCTGCGACAGAATACGTCGTCCTGATTGCTCAATGCTCCGTTCGCCTTTCAAAGCGGGTGACTCATTCTCCGCAGAATTGAATAAACGTGATGTCAGCTTTTGGCGGTCCTGACAAGGAGCTCATATCATGTTTGCGGCGCTATGCTGAAGCTGCCATGAATCTTCATCGGCTTAACTATGCACTGGTGGTCACCTGCAGCCATCCTGGTTAGCGATAGGCTCGCTGGCGTTCAGTCGGTTTTGGAGTCCGCCGATTGAATTTCCCACCATGTTGTCTGTGGTTTACCTTCGTTTGAAGGGAATCTGTGGAGGTTGCACTAGTGATATTCGTCTCCTGAATGAATCAATCTTACGTCCAACAATAAAGTAGAAGTATGTCTTTCCTATAACATTAGAAAGTACTATCATCTCTTCCACGATGCCACATCATCCAGTCACTCAAACTTGCTCTACTATTCGTCAATCATGCTTGTAAAAGGCATCGTCTTCAATTCCTGCCTTTGTAGTCTCAGAAATCTCAAAGATATGAACGCCTGTATCTCAATCTTCGGCTTTGACGCAGACGATTCATGTTGTGGCCTTCCTGGTGATGATGCTCACCAACCTGCTTTATGCCAGATACTTTGCCTTCTGCTCAAATCAATCGATGTCGTGCTTCTTGTTAAGACAGAACGGCTTTGTTCCTTGCCTCCTGCTCGCTTCTCTCCTTGGCCATAAACATCGTGTTGGGATGCGCATAGTGACGTCCCGCGGTATGTACCATAGTTGTGCTTCACGGATGCCCATATTTGGTATTTATGAACTCGTACTTCTCTCGCAATAATGATCTAATATTGTCGGGGCTTTTCGGCATCATGGTGGTCACCAGCACCGCTATAAAAAGGCATTCCTCTTTCTTCCTCTCTCCTTCTCTGCATTTCAACTACCATCACTCGTTCGACATCTATCACTCGCTCACTTTCCATTCCACGACCTATTCTCTCGTTTCTGATATATCCAACGGATATATACTACCTACATTCATTTATCAACCTTCATTCGTTTTCTTTTTCCATCGTCATGGGATCCTCGCTATCTAAGAGACTCGTTCTTTTGGTCAAGGGCAAACGGCCCTCTGCATTTCAGCAAAAGCGCGCCTCTGATCCTGAGCTCGACTCTGACGGTGTATGGAAGCTCCAGCGTGGAAAAATCGGCTCTGGAGCATCGGCCTGTGTTAGGGTCATTTCCCGGGAGGGGCATAGCGAGAAGTATGCCGTAAAGATGTTTCTTCGAATGCACAGGGAATCCGACGCGGCATACAGACAGCGCGTGGAGAGAGAGTTCAATATCGCCGTCAGCCTGCAGCACGCAAATATCCTGCAGACTCTCAGTCTGGGCGCCAGAGACGACACCTTGTACTGCGTCATGGAATACTGCAGCGCTGGCGACCTGTTCGACCTAATAGAGAAGGGTATGCAATGGGAGCACAAGTATCGGCTCCTAAAACAGCTTCTCCGCGGCGTCAAGTACCTGCATGACCGGGGCATTGCGCACCCGCGATATCAAGCCCGAGAACATTGTCATGGCAGACCCCAACTGCCTGAAGATCTGCGACTTTGGCGACGCAATCGTTTTCCGGGACCCCAATGCGTCGACTCCCTCCAGTGGCAATGGAGCTGAGCAGATCGACTTGTGCTATTGTCGGAACATCGGCACAAAGGGGTACCATCCGCCAGAGCTCGCACGACCAGAGCCCTATGACCCGAGACCATTCGATGTATGGTGTGCTGGGCTCACCTGCCTCTTCATGTTTGTTGAGCGCTACTCGTGGGATGTGGCCGACCCAGAGGAAGACATATACTACGCACTCTTCGATGTTGGCTGGAGAGCGTTCCGCCTTAGGCAGCAGGACAGAATTCCAACCGATACGTTGTATCCCGGCTGTTCGGGCTGCTTTCGAATCCTCGACCAGACCAACGAGATCCACGCAGGCTTCCGGACACTGATCTTCCGGATGCTGGACCCCGACCCAGCTAAGCGGATCACCATCGACGAGGCGTTGAACTTGCCCTGGGTGCAAGCCATCAATTGCTGATGGCTTGCGGGCAGTTATTGTGGCTTTCCAAAGAGAAAGCTTGGAGCAGAGGGTGAATTGGGTGTTTCTTTCCATTTGTATATGTTGCACATCATGTTTGTAATTTGATACCCCTTTGGTTATTATGGTTGGGACTTGATGAATTTTGAAAACGTTTGTTGTACCTGGAGGGCTATGGACCAGCCAGACTTTTGTTTCCTTCTGTTGAGCAAAGCGCTCAAAAGACATGCCGCTCAGGCATGCATACCCTCCTGTCCTCATTATGAATTGTTATTTATCACACTGCGTCAACTGCCCTCGGTAGCCGGTTCCTCGGTCCGCTCCGTTCTGCAGAAGATCCTCGACGACTTGATCGTGTTGATTCGAACCCCGCATGTTGGATCACCCCAGACTATGGCTGCTTGGCCCATACATGACCCGACGACACCTACATCTACAAGACCGGAGTTGCAGTTGCACAGATTGGATTACCGCCCACCGCTTCAGACACGACAGTTACCACAAGATGTCGTCGAGTCTACCTACGCAAATGATCATCTTCCCGGTCAAACCGGACGCCACAGTCGAGAACCCGTCAACAAAAGACGGGCAAATCTGGAGCCAAGTGCTCGACATTTTGGAAGGATGGAACGGATTTCGTCGACTGTACTGGGGTCGACATGTTGAAGAACCAGAAAAGACTCAGGTCCACATCGGTATGTCCTCCGTCCCTGACCTTGTCTGTTGCACAGCTGACGGAGACTTAGTGAGGGACTCTATGCATCAACACTTTACATTTCTCTCGTCCGCCCAGTGGGTCAATCTGGGCATGGTCATCGCGCCCATCTGCACCAGCAGCCCCGAGTCATTTTTTGTGCGGCATGCGCATATCGAGAACTTTACTCCCAATCCAGCGGCCCTGGGCAAGGGTGCCCCGTTCACTGGAACAGCAATCTATCTCACCTCCACCCCGAAGGACTGGGGAAAGGCCTGGGCTTTGTGGACGACGATTGTCTCCCGCGTGGAGGGCTGCATGGGCGTCACGGGCGGGTGGATGGTTGAGCCTGTCGAAGGCTATGAAACGTGCTATACCGTCTGGGTGGGATGGGAGAGCTTGGAGGTCCATGACAAGTATCACCATGACAAGGATTTCTGGAAGAAGAGGATCGTGCTGCAGTTGCACAACGACGGGTGGAGAGAGTATGGTCATGTCGCATTCAAGTACTCGAGAACTCGGCCAGAGGCAAATCTGTGAGCAATATTCAATGTGTCAATGCTCAATGTTCAATTTTCCATGTATCAATTTTGCTGTGTCAACACCCTTGTATCATTTCATGTTTGTATTAGTTTGTTGCAACGACACTTGGTTTGACTCCATCCACACTCTATGTACAAGATATCTACCACCTACCAAAGAATCACTGGCTTGATAGTCTCCCCAGACTGCATATCCTTAATCGCCCGTTCAAACTCCTCTGCCTGATAGAACTTGACAATCTTCTCCAACGGCAGCAGCCCCTGGCGCACCCAACTCACCATCTGCGGCACATACTCTTTCGGCTTCACATCCCCCTCCACCACCCCCATAAACTGCTTCCCCGTAACCATAAACTCATGAATCGGAACCTCCAGCGTCGCCGTCGGCGGCGCCGTGCCCACCTGCATCACCTTCCCCTTGCACGCCGTCATGCGCGCCCCCTGCGCAATCAGCGGCGGCACCCCCGTCGTATCCAGCGTGATATTCGTCCCCAAACCGCCCGTCATCGCCAGCACCGCCTCCGACACTGCCCCTATATCATCCGCCGGGTCGACCCGCACGACATGCGTTGCCCCCAGCTGCCTCGCCAGCTCCAGCCGCGACGCATGCCGGTCCACCCCGATGATCTGCCTGCAGCCCGCGATGCGCGCGCCCATCACCGCGCTCAGCCCGACCCCGCCGAGCCCCAGCACCGCGACGCGGTCGTCCGCGCCCGCCTGTCCCGCACGCAGGATCGCCCCGCTGCCCGTCTGGATCCCGCACCCCAGCGGGCTCAGCAGCTGCAGCTCCGCCCGCGACTCGACCAGCCCGCGCACGTTGACCACCGAGTCCTCGCGCACAATCGAGCAGTTGCTGAAACTCGACTGCCCGAAGAACTTGCCATAGATGGCCTCGGGGGTTTGGTCGCCCGGCGTGGTGAACACCCGTGTGTCGTCCCACGACACGTCGAAGTTGATCGCGTCGAAGTGGAAGCAGTGCGCCGGGTGGCCCCGCGCGCACGGCTCGCAGTCGTTGCAGGCGGAGAACGAGAGGATCACCGGATCGCCGACTTGCGCGGCGGTTGTGCCGGGCCCGACTTCGCGGACGTAGCCGGCGCCTGGGCGAGGGGTTAGCCGTGGGTTGTGGTTGGGGTTTCTTGTGAGGGAGGAATGTGCTCACCCTCGTGTCCCATGATTCTGGGGTAATGGATCCCGGGGCCGGACTCGGCGCCGGCGAAGTGCAGGTCTGTCTGGCAGATTCCCGAGGCGACGATCTCGACGACTAGCTCCTTCTCTTGGACGGGGCGCAGGGTGATGTCTTGCAGCTTCCAGCCGCCGGTTTTGTAGGAGCCATAAGAGACGATGCCGCGTTTGGGGGTGGGGGTTGTAGGTGCCATGGTGGTGTATGATTCTGGGGTAGATAGTAGCAAGTATGGATGGTGATGGCGGGGAAGATGGATTCCTCGGGGAGCGTCGGGGAGATCCATCTTCTTGAAGAATTCCCCCACACCCCACTCCGAATCCAACTGCCGTCTGTTCGGCAGCTTGGACGGGATTTGAGGGGTCTAGATCTACATGATGCCGTGATGGTGGATAACATAGTACTATATGCAGGTGGATTTGTATTGGTCTAGTGCGCATATGCACCTATGCAGACTTGATCTTCTAGAACCATGGCGACTTACCCTATTGAGATGAGGCCGCTTTGATGAGGGCAAGCAGGAGATTGCTCACTAAAAATTTCTTATTACTAACTAGTTAGTTGGAGGATCTCACACTCTCAGTTGACAGTGTTAGGCCTGCACTTAAGGCTGCAGAATTTCCACCCGGCCAAAGGGCTACTACTATGTTAAACCCGCGACAGAGGTCCAATCCCTAGGACTGGTATATATAGTATCGCCCTACTAGGTTAGGTCACCGCTCCTAACATCGCACTTGCTGCCAGAAATGGGTCCCAGCTCTCTGCTACCGACACAATGGGGTATCCGCCGCTCGGTGGTTGATTAGAAGTCAATGACCACATTGACCTGGACGGATCATCCTTGGACACCACCTATCTCCTAGCCATTGCGCGGTATGCTGAACCTTTGCTCACGCGGTACGTAAAGTACAGGATCTAATTGACAAGCATGTGTAGTCTTGGAAAATCAGCTTCGGTTAATAGACCACCCGACTAGGTGGCCGCCAAAATTGACCGGAGCGTCCAATTTCTCACTGAAGAGCTCGCTAAAAGTCGCTCTGTTTATGGTATGGCATCCATCGAATTCGAAATGAGCGAGGCTAATGCGTCTAGGGATGGCCACTGGCTTTGGCGACAGCGCTGACACCAACACAACCGCCACGACTGCACTGCAAGTTGCTCTGCTACAAGTGCAGACCAGTGCTGTTCTCCCTGTTCCCGCGCAGGGACTGTCCAGTTCCGAAAGCCAGTCTGTGGCGCTCAATGACAGGACGTATGCGACGCTTTCCATGCCAGAAGATTGGGTTCGAGGTGCAATGCTTGTGCGCTGTAACTCACTCCTCAGGGAGCATAGCGCTGTCCGCCCCAAAGTAACGAAGTTACTACTGGCACTCCTCAAATTCCACTTCGGCGAAGTATATCGGCCTCGAGAGCTTTATGCCCGCTATCCTGTCCCATGGGCGCGTTGGAAGTGAATCCAGAGGTCCGTGTTTGGATGAGGGCCAGGGCACACAGGGAAATCGTGTTCTTCGATATCGCTCTTGGCCGATTGAACATTAATATCGTACAATTCAGACCCAAGGAACTCCTTGGGATCCTCAATGGAACCGCAGTCTCTGCGTCCGTGGCCGGTCTGGCTCAGCTCAGCCGAATCGACAGCAAGAACCATTCTATTTCCAACGTATTCCACACCCAAAGCTCCAACAAGACACATCAATCCTCCTGTTCGTTTCCAGGGCCGACTTGCTTTCCCTTGACGCTCTTCCACTCGAGGGCAAACGCACCCAGCGCGGACAGCGCCGCCATGATGGTGCCGACAAGGAACACCCAGTGCAGCGCTGCATTATACTCGACAAGGACGGTTGGCAAATCATCCCTTGGGACGATGCGGCGCAGGTCGGTGGCGCCGGTGTTGGCGATGGTTTCGGGGTCGAGGTCATGGATGACGCGGGTCAGGCCGGCTATGAGATTCTGGCTGAAGATGTTCTCACCGACGGAGACGAAGATGGTGCCGCCAAGCTGCTGGCAGAAAAAGACGAGGGAAACGGCGACGGGGACGTCGGGGGGCGGGAGAACGGTCTGAACCGCGATGGCGGCGTGCTGCATGCCTAGGCCGATGCCGAAGCCCAGGATGATCTGGTAGCCGATCCACATGCCGGAGCTCGTGTCGACGCGCCAGGTGGAGATCAGTCCGGTGCCGAGGGGCATCAAGCATGACGAGGCCATGGTGAAGGGCGTGAATAGCCGAGCCGCCCAACCAGCTGACCAGATAGGGTGCTGCCGGCCACCAGGGAGAGAACCAGCGGCAGGGTGTCGATGCCGGACTGCACCGCGGTCCGGTCCTTGATCGCCTGCAACCAAATTGGCAGATAGTAGAGCAGCATCAGCATGGTTGAGGCCAGACAAAACATGAACCACATGGCCGCAACCACGCTGCGGTTGCCGATGACCCGCGGCTGGATCGTCGCAGTGGCTGGGGTGCGCACCTCGAAAACCACCCAGGTGGCCGAACAGCACGAGCAGCAGGATGATGCGCCAGTGACCCCAGGCGTACGTGCTGCCGCCCCACTGCAGGGCTAGCAAAAGGGCAGACCAGCGCGGAGAAGAGGAAGAGCTCTCCAAGCAGGTCGAGCTTGGCGAGCTGCTGCCGCAGCGTCAGGCCGGGGTGCATAGCGGGTGCGGGTTTCAGAGCCAACAAGATGACGAGCATGGCCGCGCCGCCGATGGGCAGGTTGATATAGAAGCACCAGCGCCAGCTGACGTTGCTAGTGAAAGCGCCACCTAGCAAGGGCCCGGCAACGGAGGAGACGCCTAGTACCGCGCTGAAGAAGCCGTTGTACGGCGGGCGCTTGTGTAGTGTCACCGCCGACATCATCAGCACGATGGCCCCTGACATGATGCCGGCGCTCCCCATGCCGGCTATCGCGCGGCCCAGGATGAAGGCGCGCGAGTTGAGTGCCGCGGCGCAGATGACTGAGCCCACCTCGAATAGCAGCACCAGTGCCAGGAAGACGTACTTGGCCGGGTAGAACCCGTAGACCTTGCCCCACAGTAGCTGGAAGCAGCATGCAGTGACCATAAACGCACTGCCATACCACCCGATATCGTCCAGGCTGTTGAAACTCGTCGGTGATCTGGGGAATCGCGGTCGAGATGATGGTGCGGTCCTGTGTGTTGCATGGGGGTTTGTTTTGGAATCTTGAACGATGAAGGGCTGCAGCTCCGACCAGGAGATACGGGGGGAGGGTGGAACTCACCAGTGACATGATGAAGATGGCGCACAAGATACAGGTCATGATGAGTGCAACCTGGACGGGCCCAGGATACTCAGGCTCCGCTGAGGCGGAGGACCCCTCGGAATTCAGGGGCTCCCTCTCAGTTTTGCTCCCATGCGGCGTCTCAACCGGCACGGGACCCTTGGATTCCTCCCCCTGGTCGTTCGCGGATGCATGCTGTCCATCCATCGCGATACTGGGGGGTTGAGCGGCTGCCATGGAGGATGATTGGTCAAGTGGTGGCTACTCCCGCGGCATCGAGAGATTGTACTGGATGGGTAGATAGAATAGCAGCGAGGACGAAGAACCCGGTGTGGGTTGATGGATGATGAATGAAGGCGCAGGGGACGAGAGTAAACAGGAGAACGTCCCCAAAAGCGAACCAGCATCGAACTCGGGGCTCGGGCATCGGACTCCGATGTGCTCAACAATCAAGCATTTCGGAAGGTTCTCCCCGGAGAGGCTTAATCGGCGGAGCGTCCCGGTGGGTGGAACCAATCGAATATTGTAGGACAGTTTGTCCTGAACGCAGAGAGACTGGAAGAGAAGGGAGAGAAAGGACCAAACAGGATTCAATTTATTATTGGTAAATATAGACGTGCGGATGAGTGGTGTGTATCCATCAAAAAAGTCGACAAAAACCCAGAACTACACCTTTCTCACCACATACATGATTGGCACAGGCTTGATGTCGCTATCTTGACACGGTTAGATAGCGTCTCCATCAGTTAGCCCTCACCCAGCGTCTTGGCCACCTGTTGCTTGGATGACTGGATAGGGAACGGAATGGCTAGTCATCAACCGAGTCTTTTTCTGCAAGTTCTGATGAAGATTACAAGACTTCGGGATGGGGATGGAAGAAAGTAACCGGGCTCTCCACATTAGATGGTCAGTCTGTAATAAGTTAGCATTAGAATATAATGGTGTGGCAGTGAACAGACCTCTGCATTTGCAAGACCCAATCATCTCTTGATTCCGTACAGTGACCGGCTCTACAACCCTCGCATAGTCTGCTGTTGTGCGGTCCTCTGCTGTCACCGGATGTAGGAGGTCTTTCCACCCAAATCCCATTCCATTTCTTAATCCAATAGACGACCCTTTCAGCATACGAATTGTCCAGCAGCGGGCGACTTATACGTTTGCAGCGAATGCAGCGTTGGTGATACACTCTGGCGTTATAACTCTCATCTGAGTACAGACGTATGGTCGTGGCGATCTTCCCGCTAGACCATCCTTTGGATTTGCACGCTGCGTTACCGCATTGGAAACGCCCCATAACATTGGTGTCCCATGTTCTGGTGCAATTTTCCCCACTGTCGTCTTCGTGGAATTGAAGGCTTAGGCCACTTTGTTCGAGAAGCCGTGACACTTCAGCGTGAAGTTCCCCGTACATGGACCATTTCGGTATCTGATTGGCTCTTCTACCTGGCATGCTGGGCTTGGTGACAAGGGAATGCTCTGTAGAAATGGTATGGATTGAAGGACGAAAGATGGATGAAACCACTAATTGAAGAGAACGCGGTGGATTTATCCTCTGTCCGCTCTGGAGGGGTGGTCAGGATATTCATATCATGGCCGCAAGGCCCATGGCGAATGCGCTGGAACGCGGGGCAGTTGTTACCTTGAAAAAGGAAGCATGACAGAAAAAAGTACTGTACAGGCACTACTAGGTATCTGACGCCATATGCTCTCGCTTAATCCGCAACCTGTCATAATGAAGTATTCTCCCTTAAGCTTCAAACATTTCCAGAGCTCATATTGAAGTCTATACAACTGGGCACATAGGCTGAGAGTTTGTTTTAGTTCGATTAGAGCATATTTGCGGCTGCCACAAGTACATTTTGGGCCATCGCAGATATGAAGTTGAACGATCTTACAAGGCGCTTCGTGCAGCAACAGGCACAACAAGGATCTCTCCCCGCCTGCCACCTCATGATGTGATGGAAAGGTGGCTACATATCGATGTACGAAACAGCGTGGAAGATTTCGGTTGGTAAATTGTGCATCACAGCTGATAGTGGCTGAAGTTAGAAGCCAATAACAACACGTCTGCCAGCTCAGGTTTGTTGGCGTAGCTACCTACCCTGCAACCGCTAATGCATCTGACTAAAAACAGAACATAGCCAGAGCAGGGAGATGATTCACGAGCTCCAACTCCAGGACCTCGATAATGTTGACATCAACAGAGGGACAAACAATGAGACGGTTATATCTGTAAATTATATGCAGTTTACTTGAGTCACTGCGGCTTCACTGTTGGGTTTGTGGGACATCACAAGTCGTTGAGTTCCTAGGATGCTCGAAGCGCATCTCTCACTCTTGCCAGGAAACTATCACGGCCATACCAACCGCTTAAGCGTTTCCACCTGGGATCCTTTTCAACACGCTTGCTCCAATTGGTGTGTTTTTTCGCTCGGACTCTGAGTGACATCGCGATTAAGCTATTGCCTGAGAGCTCCCTTCGCAGGACGCCGGGGATGGTCAGCACTTCTGTACTCGACAGTCAGTACGGCCGGTCATCAGCGAACCTCTGCAGAAGAGTCGGAAGGGGAAGCTGAATCTACCCCAGATGGTGCGAGTGATGACACGCCATAGTGTCAATGGCAGTGGTGTATCAATCCCTGAGCAACAAGGAAACCAAAACAGCAGATGAGCAGTCGCACATACAATGAATCTCTTACAAAGGATGTCTGTCGCTATGTTGTAGATACGTCCATCAACTGAACCCAGTGGCTGTGCCTTGATTGAGCATGAATTCCTCAGGCGGAATCGCAACAACGTACTTGCCGTCCAGAATCCACTCGTCGTTTGACTCGACAAGAGCCTGGACGGTACGTCGGGCGTCGTCTGCCGATAGTGCACCACCAGCTCTGGACTCGTGGAAGAGGGAGTCGAGTTCGCATACCGGTATCGAAAGCGCCTTGCCTAGTCGCCGTGCGAAAGTAGTCTACAGTGGCATGAGGGTGGCTTAGTCCGTATAGTGACGCGACATTGACATTTCTGCAGGAGTAGATTTGAACGTACCTTTCCTGCTCCTATAGCCCCGGCGACTTGAATTCTTCGTCCGGACAGCTGCGGCTCCGAAGTCATCCTGGGTGGATTGCGATGTATGTAGCTGCTGGACTAGTGGAGGCCGAATCAAAGTGTCCACTTTTTTCTGTGGGAATTTCTGTCTGCACAGACCACGTACCGTGGGGTGGGTGGGGGAATCTGTGATGTGGGGTAGAAAGTGCGCCACTCGATTGGGTGCGCCATATCTAGAAGGATGCTGAGATGCGTACTGTACTCCGTATGTACTCCGTATACGCTAAACTCTGCGTCAAATCCCACAAACATGGCGCCTCTCAGTTGAGAGATCCACTGAGCGTATGGCTAATATGCCACTACAGGAGAGGAACGTATAACTATGTACATACTCAGTGAGCAAAAAGCAGCGAGGACTGGTGCACTAAATCTGAAAGAGTAGGCCATCGACCATCCTAGAGAATCCAGGGCGTATGTATGTACACAATCAGCTCGAACTGCTATCTCGCTCCTTCAACATCTTGACGGCCATTTCTTTCAGCTTAAATTTCTGGATCTTTCCGCTGGCTGTTTTGGGGAATGCTTCATGCGGCTGGAAGTAGAACACATACTTCGGGACTGCTGCGTGTCAGTGGTTGTACATGAAAGACACATCGACAATTCTTACCAAGATGGTGGCTCAATCCATGACGAACCCATTCCCTGATAGTGTCTTCTTGCGTCGCTTCGCTATTCTGTTCCTGTGGAATAACAAACGCCGCCACAACCTCTCCATAGCGCTCATCCGGGACGCCAACCACGGACACGTCCGCCACGCCCGGACATGTCAGGAGACAGTTCTCGATCTCCAGCGGGTGGATGTTCTCCCCGCCGCGGATGATCAGGTCCTTGATGCGGCCGGTGATGGTAACATAGCCATCCGGCGACATGGACGCCTCGTCGCCAGTCTACTCCTCATGTCAGTCTCACGGCAAGTGATTGCGGGAAGTACACGGCAACGCGCAAACTTACATGCATCCAGACCTTTCCCTTCACGTCTGGAAACATCACCTCTGTGGTCCTCTCCGGATCATCCCAGTACTCCTTCATGAGCAAGTACCCGCTGACGGCGAGTTCGCCGCGGACACCAATAGGCAAGGTGCGACTCCGGTCTGCTGGGTCAACCACTTTGGCCTCCACGTGCGGCATGAGTCTGCCCACAGTGTTGATGCGCTTCTCGATGGGGTCGTCGGTGGTGGTCATGGCGGACACGGGGCTGGTCTCCGTCATGCCGTAGCAGATCGTCAGCTCCGTAAGGTTCAACGTCTTGTGAAGTTTCTTCATTAGCTCCGCGGGAATACTACTTCCCGCGGCGATGCCCGTGCGTAAGTACTGGAACCCCTCCGATGATACCTCGCCGTCCTGCAGCAGCCCCAGCTCCTCCAGGAACATGGTCGGCACGCCGTACAACGCAGTACATTTCTCCTCCTGCACCGCCCTGAGCGCAGCTTTTGCGTTAAATGACTCAGTGGGAAAGACGATAGCTGAGCCGTGGGTGGCAGTCGCCATGTACCCCAGGATGGATCCGAAGCAGTGGAATAGCGGTGGTGGGCAGCAGACAATGTCTTCTGGGGTGAGGCGCATCCGGTCGCCGATCTGGGCACCGTTGTTCAAGATGGAGCGGTGGCTCAGGCAGGCAGCCTTGGGCATGGCAGTGGTCCCAGATGTGAATTGAATATTGACAATGTCGTGGGGAGAGAGGCCCCGGGGTGCCAGAGGCGCCTCGTCTGCTGTTGCCTCGGAAATTACGGACGCATATGGTGTCAGACTCCGGTATGAAGAGCCGTCAAAGCGCCCGGACGCGTTATCGACCAGAATAATGTTCCGTAGGGTGGGCACAAGGGCAGACTGCAGCTTCAAGGCACCGAGATCTTGCACGAGGTGCTGGAGAAGAGGCAGATTGCTCCGAGGCTCTTTTCGCGGCAGGTTTGATTCTGAGCTGATGATGAGATGACTTGCCTGCAAATGGCTCAACGCTGATACGACTTGAACCGTATTGAACGAGGGATTAAGAGGCACCTAGAGGTCTTGGTAACTGGGTCTTGTTTTGGTCACGATAAACCTGGGGCTTACCAGTATAGCGCCGAGTTTGAAAAGCGCATATGTCGCCTAGGATATGGTAAGTAGACGTCGAAAAAGAGGGCTCTGCTCTCTGCACGCACAATAGCATATTCCATGGAGTTCCCCAGCATAACTCCCACGCGATCCCCCGTGCGGACTCCTACCGACTCCAACCCACGCGCGAGCGCATTGCTTTTCGCGTCTAGTCCCGCGTACGTCAACCGGTCATTCTGGTGCTTGGATATTACCCTGCGAACTATCAGCCCTGTCCATACATTTCGTGAAGGATCGTACGCTGTTCTGTCGCCATATGCGCTAACTATCCCGGCGAAATGGTCTCCGACAGTCGACTCGAGTAACGGGGGCTGGTTATAAATTAATGACGTTAAACAGGCTTCTACATACTTTAGGTGAGCATGACCTTACCTCTAATGGTCCACGCGCATAACTTTGGGTGAGGAGACCGCGACGTGGCAAGATTGTAGACCACAGGGTCCTCCAGCTGCAGGCTCCAGGGCCGGTCCTTGCAGGGCGGAAAGCCACGCGACACGATGCTGAAGAGATCATCTGGGGTTCTTGTTATTGGTGCAGATGGTTCATCGCTCGAGATGCCAGGTGAAGTCATTCAACAGCGCTGTCAGGGTTCAGTTATGTCGGAGCCCCTTGCGTCTGGATGGGGATAAGCAAGAAGGTAGTACAATGGATGGTGCTGCAATTGACAATAGCCCCAACAGGTACGCTGATGCTAGTCATGCAGAGGAGTCAGACTGCTGGAGATGCAAATGCAGGAGAGGAACAGCCGATGTTGTTGTGATGAGTGCTTCCCCGCACGTGGGAAATGCGGGGTTGCTCCATCGCGATCGATGAATCTTTCTATATTAGTCCATCATCCGAGGTTCATCTATCAGGGCAATATAGTCCACTGTCTACTTCATTGTCCAGGTACACTCCTACTTTCCGGCTAGATCTCATAGCGTCCAGCAGATCCATGGGGTACAAAACTTACACCAGTCTCTTAATAACTTTATGCAAAGCGAATCTCATCTCAGGATATCTGTCCTTCAGGTAGCTCATCCAAAGGCACCTCGAAATTACAAACAGCGCCATCTGTTGACCCGTTCCATCTCGTGTTGACTCTCCGAATAGTCCGTCCACTTGTTCCCAGATGCACGAGGAGTATCAGAAATCTTGCGTGCAAAGAACGATCCCCCTGAACCCGCACAGGAAAAATCCGCTACTCCTTGCTTTTATTCTCGAAGTCGATAGTGCCATTGGATGCCGTGCAGTATATCATGCTAAGAAGATTCTGTTATTATCTACAGTTGTTTCAGATGCATCAGTGAAAGAGATCCAAGTCTTGATGTGCGCATTATTAATAGTATGTGTATATCCACCACTAGAACAGCGCTATCTGACAGCCATGGAACAAATCCTACATCTACATATAGCTGCTACCAGTCAACTGTACTGCCAGTGGATCCAATCAATCCGTTACTACACTTGTACATTGGTATATCCTTAATGCTAACAGACCGAGCCAAGATGCATATGCACCAGATGCGTCGGCCAGTGCGTCAAGTTGTCCAGGATATGCGTCGCGTAGACAATAGAGCACGGCCGCGTCTCGGTCTCCCGCTTTAGGAAGGCCAGGAAATTGCTCCGCGAGAGCAGGTCGAGGTCGCTGATGATCTTCATTGACTGATGATTTAGTGAAATTCCGCCTACTTGTTTTCCGGCATTGTGGTGGGTGTGGTTTGGAGATGCGCGGAGAGAGAAAAAGTTGGTTAGAATAAAATAACGAGGTGGATTGTTATGGAGTACCATACCGGTGTTGGGTGGGTTGAAAATATGGTCATATTAGGGTAATATCACGGTCTTATCAGTCAATATGTCTGCCAACAAACAACTAGACTGCGGTAGCAAACCCCTATAATCTAGGGCGGCCAGCGGTCGGCGGTCGGCGGTAGCGCTCTCTAAAGATGGAAGCCGCACTTTACAGATGTATAGAAATTTACTCACATATTGCCTCCTAAAATATGTTTTTTACGAAAATATGTTAAATGTTATTACTTTGTTATTAGTAAATAAATATACATATTGTTCTTCATATCATAATAATACAGTCTTTCGGGAAACTATGGTAATATAATAATAATTAACTTCCGCAGAACCATGGTTTTAGCGTTATAAATCCATACGTTCGACCTACCAGACTCCGGCATGGTAACTTGGTGGAGAATCCAGAACAAGGTACACGATACAACCAATCAATGGCAAGCCACCGTCTTATGAAGGAAGAAAAAGAAAAGAAGGAAAAAGAAAAGAAAAGAAAAACGAAAAAAAAAAAAAAAAAAAAAAAAAAAAAAAAAAAAAAAAAAAAAAAAAAAAAGAGTGCCTCCACACGGGTTTGATCCATGGACCTTTCGATTGATTTCATACAACGATGGGGTTGTTAGCTTTTTGAATGACCAATCAGGGGCTTTTTACATACGTCGAACGCTCTACCACTGAGCTATAGAGGCCTGTTGTTAGTTTTGGGATATTTTCTATGTCCTTTCTCTATGTCCTTATTTGTTTGTAGACCGACTTGGGCGCTAATCGAGTAGTCCACTGCATATAGTTCCAAGCCAGTCGTCGCCAACGGATCCTCATTGAAAGACGGCGGGGCAATGAAGTTGCCGGGGGCATTTTGTTGTTTTTTTGCTGGGCCACGCCTCCGCGAGCTGATTGGCAGTAAGATTATCAACTATGTCGGAAGCCTAGACATTATCCATAAGGAAACGGAATCTTCTTTTCTAACCTAGAGAGGTGATATTATTAGGTAGTTATATCAGAAAATTAAGGATGTCACGTAAGAATGCGATTTACGCAGGTCCGCGTAGCCTCCAGAACGCCTTCCTACAGCCTGTTTTCTCTCTAATTTTTTTCCCTATTCTATCCTACAGCCTATCCTACCCTGTATTCGCGCCTGCTAATCTGCCTGTCTACTAACCCGCCTACTAATCTGTCTACTAACATATCTACTAACCTGCCTACTAAACCTCCTACTGAACCTCCTACTGAACTACCGGTCTGCCTGCCTACCTACCTACCTATCTGCGAGACTGCCTACAGGACTATCTACAAAACTGCCTATTGAACTATTTATTTAATAGATAGGTGGTTCAGTAGGAGGTTCAGTAGGAGGTTCAGTAGGAGGTTCAGTAGGAGGTTCAGTAGGAGGTTCAGTAGGAGGTTTAGTAGGTGGTTTAGTAGGTGGCTTAGTAGGTGGTTTAGTAGGTGGTTTAGTAGGTAGTCATACAGGTAGTTATCTAGGTAGGTATTTTAGTAGGCGGTATAGCAGGTAGTATACCTATAGAGCTATCCCCTACGCCCTTATTGCATGACTAATTAGTACAAGGAAGTGTAGCAGCTCTACGCGCCGCCTTATTTCTAATAATGGCCACACTCAAACACACATAGAAAAATTAAAGAAACACGCTCGCCGGCCGTTGCAAAAACTTCACAACGTACACCCTACCGTACTAGATGCCAGTTGGCAGATAACATAACCAACTCAGACCTAGTCCTTATGACACAAAAAATGGTCATAATAAGGAACTATAGGAATGCGTATTATAATATAAGTGGCAGGGCTACAAACCCATCATAGATTGGACTGGAAGCTACCACCTATGACGTGGTTACGTGCATATTTCATAGGTAGTAGTTCCCGCTGAGGTAGAACAAAGCGTCATCTGCCCTCCTCCCATCTTTTCATTGATTCCTGCATATCCAAACTTTACAGTGAGGATCTAGACCACGTTCCAAGACTATGCTTTACCTTTTTCTCAATGAGGGGCCAAGGTTCTGTAGGATGTCAAAGGCGTTGATGATGGGATTCATTCCCGATGAAGAAGAAGATGACGACCTGAGCTCCGTTCAATATCGCCACTGTAATTATATAGACGGAGTCTGCCTCTCTTTTCTCCCCTTAACTTGCTCTCTTCCTCCCTTACCCTGTGCCTTCTTTCCTTCTTCACTCCCTGTCTTACTCGCTCTCCGCGTCTTATCCCATATCCACTATCCAAGAAACTAAAGAATGCCTTATCGCAGGAAATATTCGACTCCAAAACGACCCCCTCGGTATCGAAGCCCGGAACCGGCTTCAGCAGACGTGAGGCGGTTCTGTACCGACTGTTATCAGTTTATGATAAAGAGACACCTCTGCAATCCGCTTTGCAAGAAGTGTCAGTCCTACTTCTGCCCAGGTAGTGGGACTTGTGATGGCTTTTGCGGTTTTTTCCATGTTGCGGGTGCTGTGAAGAGACTCAGGCAAAGATTATTACAGAAACAAGTCTTCCGTCTTTAGAGTCTAACGACCAAGAGAATAGTCAGGTACGATAATAAGTTGATATATCGACTTTAAGCATTAATAACTCACATACCCTCTAGATTCAGTTCCCGGATTTGCTTCTTGTTATACGCCAACTAATTGATTTTATCTTTTCTGAAAAGAAACTGCAATTGGACGTTGAACGTGGAGTCTACCGCTCAGTGATTACGGCCCTAGGCGGGTCAGAGGCATTTGCCCATATGATCTATAATACTGTTGACTCAGATATACGATCATTACAAGGTCAGCTTATCACTGTTGAAGTGTAAGGAATATATTTTATTTATCCGTTCTTCCTTCTATTATTAATCGACTGCTAATTATATTGGACAGGCTACATGCGATCCGTCTTAAGCAGACCTCGAAGCCAGCAATCTGGAAAGATCCCTACGGCGGCTATCTAGACTTTGTCACTCAGGCGAACCAGCCGACATATCTACGCTGCTATATCGGCCAGTCGTATGAGCCAAAATATCGGATTCCACAACATATTAGAGAAATTTTGAAAGGATCGAAACATTCTCTACATTATTATATTATTAACAACAAAAATAATCGATACGCTAACTTTATCCGGCTATGGACTGTCCCTTTTCCTCCGAGAATTAATAATTCAATCAAACTCGTCTTCGAAAATTTTTTGGAACTGGTTATGTGCCGAATCTTTCAATCTCTTCCTCCATCAAGTTTAGAGGAGATTTTTGGGCCCTGTCCAAACGGTCAATACTCCGGACTCGGTCTAAATGTTATATCGCCTTTACTTCAGGGACGGTCTCTCAGCCCTTATTCTCGTCATAAAGTTGTGCAGCTTCTATCTACTTCGCCAGACTTTGAAATCCGTGAATGGGCACTCTATCGCAACAGCGAAAATCATCAGCTGAGCCGGAAGTTAAACTCTAAGGAGTTGCCAATGACAAAACATATGGATAAGGAAGGCTACTGGAACGCTTTTCGCCAGGCTATCAGTACTAGCTTGAGCCTTGAGGAAGACACCTTAACTCAAGCTAGTGAAAATCTCTGGAGCCCCCTAGAAGTGCGTCCTATAGACCCCCAATCCTGGTTTCGGTCGACAGTTGCCAAGTTGCAACGGAATAACTCAACAACTGGAACTGGAGCTGAGATGATTTGTCCTGTTGGGAGCTCTAAGGCTTCTATAGGAGTTGTCTTTGAGAATACCCCACTACATGCCTACAATGAGGGTGATCAGGTTATAAGTATACCATGGGGCCTACGAGAGAGTGGGTTTCAGGCCTCAAACTCATTGATCTGGCCCTTCAATCTTCAAAAATACGTTTGCATACCAGGAAGCTTTCAAGTACAGTCCTTTTCTTCGACTGTCTCTGACCATAATCTTCTACGCGATGCCTCTCAAGAGCTGATAGCTGGCACTCATCTTCGAGTTATTGTTATGTGCGGAGATATTGAAGGAATTATACTCCCGCCTAACGCGACGAAAATAGCAATAACTCTGGACGGCATAGCTTACAACATATGGATCGAGATCCGGCAAGAGAGAATTGCAAGAATATTTATTCGTGCACCAACCCCTCTTTCTGAGCTTTGGGCTAGCCATGGAAAACGAGCCTATAAGTTAACAAGCATTTTCAAGTTTATTTCTGCACTTACTAACATTACAATATTCCCTTCTTTTTATGAGTGCTCCATGGCTATGGCTCTAATAGTTCGACGGTGGGCTGATGAGAGAGATAAGAAGATTCCTCCAGCTATTCCTACCGATCTTGAGCTAGTTCTAAGGATCTGGCTCGCTGATAAAGGGTTTGAGCGAGATGAAAATCTACTACGCTTAGCAGAAGCTGTCGGGGGCTCCTTACGATATAGTCTTCTTGTTCTTACATTAAGTCTGCCGAAAGCAAGGAGAAAAGACCCTCGCCCTCGGAGAATCCCCAGATCGAAGGTTGAAAGACGTTTTGCTGTTCCAACAGAGTTGCTCGATAGGGTTCGGTCGATCTACAGCGAGCTTTGTCCAGCTCGAAGCTCTGGTCCCCAACAGCCAGACCCCCAAGCGATCCATAACGAGAGCTCTATTATCTCGGCAATCGATACCTTAAAGCTCATTGAGGATGAAGAATGCCAAGGTGGTTTCACAACTGAACGAGAACTGGAACAAATTTTGGGTGAAAAAGAGTCGCCGGAAAGGCCTTTTTCTTTCCGGGCAGGACTCAAGTTGTTAGTTGGGAACAAATACCAGATTATTGGGAAATACGCGAAGAGACAGAGGTTTACCATTCAACATTGCACCATTTTCTTCAACTTGGAACATCGGCTGGCGGATGTGAATTACGTTTGGGTGAAAGCAGAGCTGTCACCTATAGGTGAAAGACATCCCCAGGCATGGGCTACAGCAGCGCAAGACCCGGACCAGGACCCTGGCGCTCGCCTGGCATTTCGAATTTACCAACTGGATGAGAAAGGGGTTGAAGTTTGGTCAACTTACGCTGCAAGTGATAGCTGGGAAACAATATGTCGGGCGAACAGTCTTGTCGATAAGTTTGAAGGAAGCAGTTACATCGAGCTCCGCGCCAAGCCTCGCAGATACATCTATATTGATGATCGATACGCAAGGTTAAAGAGAGAATATCCGGAGCTTATACCCTTTATTGGTGGTGCATACATCGACAATGAGATGAAGGTGATCCCTGCCAATGGTCCCCGCAGAGGCCAGAAGTTGAGAAAAAGAAAGCTGTCAGAGAGGGAGGAAGAGGTGAATTCCAAGAGGAAATGATGAGTTTATGTGCGTGTGTTATGGTCATCTAGGCGATCTTAGGAAGCAGGGCAGGCAGGAGCTAGGCCCATAGTACCAAAACTTCTCTCAGGCGAGGAACCTTCTATGGAGCAGTACAATCATCTTGACGAAGTCATCGAGCCGATGAGGATCAGTGTAATTGAAAGGCCTAGCACTCCAAGGACGCACTCGCTACTGACACTTACTTAGACATGGGATATAATGCAGGGGATGAGGAGTTTCTGGAGATGCTGAAAGAGGAAATGCTGGCAGAATAATTCCATTTAACTCATTCCAAGCGACGCCGCCGAGTACAGGATTCTTTCCAGTATCTGGATACCGTCGGCAGTACTTGTAACGTGGATTGTCGATGAAGCCTTTTGTTGGACCTCTGACCGCTACACTGACAAGACCAAGGTGGTGGCAATGGGCTCCAAGGTCCCATATGCGGCTTGCGGTAGAAGAAATGACTGCTGCAGGGATATCAGTAAATGCAAGCATTCTATTTAAGGTACAGCAATCCGGCGCCTCTCAACAGTCCCCTATGTAACTATGGAACAGCAGTATCAACCAAAATGACCATTACACAAGCAAGGTGCCAAAGCTTTTAGTACCTTAGTACGTAAGGTGTGATATATGACTGGACTCTATTTGACAAGTAGGTTCCTATCATAGTCCTGTCGAAAGTATATAGTTCCAGAATGATCAAATGTCATTTTTGCACTCTTCAGAATTCGCACGTCTCATTTAAATAACCCTGAAGTAGGTCTATGGAAAAGAAAGCAATATACAGACCTCTTACTGATCATCCAGAGAATCCTCCATCTCCTCATCTTCATCCCTATCTTTATCCCCACCCCGGTACCGACAATTGGGCTCCCCACAGCAACACTTACGATCACCCCAATAGCTCGCGCCATAGTCGACAGTGAGTTCCTCAAACAGGCCAATATCGCGCTTCGCTTCAACTAGCATGCAGCGCCGCCATCCAATATTCCGCGGTCGAAAGGCCGTGTTCGGATTACACGAATGGTTCATGAACCGGGTCCAGTTCCCATACTGCTTGGGGGAGATGAGAGCAATATCCGTATGCGGCTGACCCTTGACCTGTTGCATCAGCGAATAGATACCATCCCCCTCATACTCAGGGTCATGGATCTCCCCGACATACTCACCGAGAATGTCTCCCTGTTTGAAGTTTCCCAATGACCGCACTCCCACCCCCTTATTCGGATACTCCATGAGTTCGAGGAGACCGCCCACGGCGTACGGGCTGAGCCTACAATCGCAGAACTCCATCGATCGACACAGGTCGCATGGTGCCTCTCCGGGCCGCCGGAGAGTCGGGTCTCCGTCGGGGAATTCCGCCGGGTCGATGATGCAGTGCGGTACGTTGATCTGGGGACAGCCATTCAATGATGGCCGCTGCAGAGAGCCGTCCAGCATCCGCACAATCTGGTGGATATGCTGGTCTGAGAGTCGCGGGTGCGGACGCAGCGCGTGGGTGAGCTCGGCAATTCCCGAGTGGGTGTGCTGGAGGATAATTCCGCGCCAGTCGAGATCGCGCGTGCGGGCGAAGACTTCGATGCACGCGTACTTCTCCTGGATGATGTCGATCAGGGCTTCCCAGAATAGAGGGTTGGTTTCGGTATAGCAGGCTCGGCTGAACCCATCTGACCAGGCGCAAATTGCGAACATCTTCCAGCCCAGAGTGTCCACAAAACCCTCGGCATGCTTCAGTCGTGGGTCCTGCATGGGGTCATCGCTGGTTGGTTCTAGCTTCCATGCGACGAGACTATCCACAAGTGTTAGTGCTAGGCTATGGAGGCTTCGATACATGGTTTGATGCTGGGGGTTGGGGAACTTCTCCATGTATGTCCGGATAACGAAAACGGTAAATATGTCGTGGAAGATTGTCGCGACCACGTCCATTGCTGACTGGTAGTAGGCTTCTGTGTCCGAAAGGGGGCTCGCAGGCCCTTGGTCATGGAAGCTGACCGGGTCTCTGAAGAGGAGCTGCATGTTGTGAAGTAGAAGTAGCTGGTATAGTAGAGGCGGAGAGATGCAGTGACAGGTATCATGTCGGGAAGGCTGGATTAAATATTCTCGATGCCATCACCTATCGAACCGTTTGCATGAATCTTTGTCTTATTGCAAAATAAAGAATCAATTATATCACATCAAAGAGCATAGTTCATAGCCCAGGCATTGTCCTCTTTATTCGGATTGGGCCATTCACCCCATCACAATGGGATTGAACATGTCGTGTCATATAATAAAGAGACATGCGGGAGGATCCGTTGTAAATTCCTCGGCAATTCCCTGTCTCATGAACGACATGTCCTCGGTGGTGAGGTTTCTGGATGGACGCAGTGGACCCTCTCGCATAGAGTCGGAGACTGCGGCGGTGCCTGCTGACGTGAGATGCCAGGGAACAGCGGGCACCCAAAACGGTTTGGCGCATCCTGCCCGTCGGGAACCCAAAAGGGAAAAGTGCGAGATGAACCGCCCCCTTCAGATTCAGGCATACACCGCGATCAATCGCTCCATCTCATCTTCCCCCATTCTCTTCCCTCTCCCGCGGGTTCTTGATCCCTATATACTCTCCTGTTCCCTCACTTCGTCGCCTTAGTCAGAGCTTTGTTCACTTTCATCCTCGTGGACGCCGACTTCTGGTCATCGTGACCCCTCTATCTTAGCGCAATCTCTTGTTCTAAAAACCCTTTGACATTCCCTAATCAGGAAAAGCCCCGTGCTTCCGTTACTACAACGGCCTACTCCCTCATCTTCCCTCAACACCATTACTCCTATACATCTCTCTTTCCGTGGATCTCCAGTCAGTCTTTGCGAAATGAATGCAGATCAATTGCTCTATCAGATGGACCATTCCTCCACCCAGAATGAATGGTACGACTTTGAGAACTTCTTCGACTTTCCCTCAGGCTGCCTCGACAGCAACTCGACCTCGGTGGATTCGATCTCACCCAAGGACTATGACCTGTCATACAACGACATCGATGGAATAGAGTGGGAGTCCGCTCAACTCCCCGTCCCCGACATGGTCAACTACGAGACCTCGTTTGGGGAATGTGTTGATCAGGCATTGGGCATGTCCGACCTCAATGCGGACCCCAACGACTTCCTTCAATTCCCTCCTCAGTCGCCGAAGGAAGATCTTGCAGCACCACACTTCAGCAACCCTCTATCTTTGGACGTGCCCAGCAATGCCGACTCTTTCTATTCCACTCTTCGTCACTTGGTCGAGTCTCAAGCAGCGGCCGAGCCCCACGGTCCGTCGCAAAAGGAGAAGCGGAGAGATGCTGCTATTGCTATTCACTTGCAACGCCTTCAAGGCACTTCTATTTCCGACCTTGAACTCTTCCCGGAAGCACCTGGCTTCCCATCTCCACCAGAGTTCAGTTCCACCCATTGCGGCCCCTCTGAGAGCCCAGCTTCGGTATCACTGTCAGAATCAACCAGCAAATCGTCCACTCCTCCGTCAGGGCCTGACTCCACAGCTGGTGGCATGGAGTTGGTCCTGGATCTGAACATGAACACACCTGCGAACCTTCCGAGGAAGCAAAAACCTCGTTCTCGTGCACAGAAAGAGAACTACATCAAAGTCCGGAAACATGGCGCCTGTGAAAAACATCGAAAACAACATAAGAGAGTGAGTTCATCGTTGAGCGGGAAGTTTTGGAGGCATGCTGACATCCGCAGTGTAATTGCCTTGATGTTAACGCATCTCGTCTGAACGCCAACCCGACTACACTACTTGCCTCGAACAGGGTAGGGGCATCGCTCGCAGATACAAATCTGCGCATCCATGGCGCAACCCAAAGACAATCCACATGGCCGACAACTCCAAAGCAAACCAATGTCGCGCCCAATCTACAACCAACAAGCGTCTTGGATCAAAATCCCTTGCACCGGGTGGTCCATCTGGATTCACGCCATGTGCATCCTGGAACCCCCAGTTGCCCTACGCGCACTACGAATACACAAACCCCAAGAATGGAGGTCCGGCAGTCGGATACAACGCTACCTTCAACCCATTGCAGATCGAGCCCCCTGGTTACAACTCCAAGCCCATCAGGCTCGACTCGCACGACAAATACCCGGCCTATTACGCATACCGATGTACCCGGATCACGTACCGTGGTCCGGCGCATCCCAGATCAGTCTGTCAAACCGCAGAGATCAGCGAACAAAACACAACCCACAAAGTTGGGCGAGGACGCAGTCCATCTACAATCCGTCCCGGGAAGGTCTGTTGTTCCCACCAAAGGACAACTTGTCAAGGGACTCTCCCTTGTCAATACTCTCGGGTCGGTTGTGCAGAAGGCGGTTGGGGCCTTGTCGTCCTTTGTGCAAGCATCCGCCTCAGCCAGCTCCTGGGCGAGTTCCTTGTTTGGCAGATTCGTCATATTTTCTTCTAGGCAGTATTTTGTTGCTCGGAAGGGAATGGGGCTGTTCTAGCCCAACCCATGATCGGGTTTCTCTGTTCTTTTCCTTTTTGTTTGTCGGTTTTTGCTTTCAGCTGCGGATGATTTTTCGCCTGAAATAAGTTAAGTTCTTTAATGTTTTGTTGCTTGTTGTTTCCTCTGCAATTACTCTCTTGAGTTGATATCCTCATTTGTCATGTTTCGTATGTAGTGAGGTTTTTAGAATAAATTTCTGCCTATAGCATTCGCAGTCTCTGCTCGTGATGACATGCCCGACGTAGATTGGCCCAGTACCATGGATCTACTTGACCGTTACTTCATGGCATCATGACCAAGTCTGTTCTCTTTCAACACTTCTAAGCATGCCCTTAGACTGTCTAGATAATCTGGGGACGTGCTTGTTCTCACGATCCACCCACCCCACTATCCTAGTACACCATGGCGAGGGTTCCGCTTAGCGTCCGCCCTTCCTCGAGTCAACCGCATTATCGACCGGTTGACGACGAGGAAGCGGCCAGCACGCCCCATCCGATGCTCTCTCGAGGAAACAGACTGTTCCGCATTCCGGTGATCATGTATGCGATCTCACCACCATCAACTCCCTAATACCAGAAGTATAGCTGATACAGTCCAGCCCCCTACTCCTGGTGACCACCGTCCTCGTAGCCGGCGTCATGGCCATGGCAGAATCAATCCCCACAGAATCGCATTTGCAATTCACGACAGTGTCAGGGTACTTTCTCCAGGACGAGCCGACAACCGATCCGAGCAAGTTCGACTACGTGAGCATCCCCCCATCGACCCTCACCTACCCAGCGACTCATTATGTACATCTAGGTTGAATCCAACTTCGGCCTGATCCCACGGAGCTACGACTCCGACGCAGAATTCGACCCCAATAGCCAGAAAACGCAGTGGGAACGCTTTACCCACCACATCGACCAGCTGAATCGCGACAGCGGGTCTCTCACCAACTACCGCGTGCTCTTCCTCGGCCGACACGGCGAGGGCTACCACAACGTCGCGGAGGCGAAATACGGCACTGCCGCGTGGGACGTGCGTATCTCTTCCCTTGGTTGAATTCCTCTGGTAGTAACTAATATCTCAATTAGTGCTACTGGTCTCTCCGCGAGGGAGACGAAAACACCACCTGGGCCGACGCCCGTCTCACCCCCGTCGGCGTCGCGCAGGCCCGCACAGCCCACGACGCATGGAAGACCCAGCTCGCACGCAAGGCGCCCGCGCCGCAGTCGTACTACGTCAGTCCGCTGAACCGCTGTCTCGCCACAGCGAATCTCACCTTCGCGGGGCTGGGGGTCCCGCATACGGAGCCGTTTCAGCCCGTCATTAAAGAGGTACTCCTTCGCTCTTCCCTTTCTATCCTCCGCTTGGTTGATGGGCAGAAGCTGACCGGACGCAGCTGCTGCGCGAGACGATCGGCCTGCACACGTGCGACAGGCGCTCGTCGCGCTCCGCCATCGCAGCTGAGTACCCGACGTACCGGTTTGAGGCGGGCTTCGCAGAAGACGACCCGCTGTATGAGGCGGAGCTGCGGGAGTCGAACACGGCGCGTGATGCGCGGCTGCGCGAATTGCTGTTTGATGTGTTGGGCCATGATCGGAGCACGTTTCTGTCGTTGACGGCGCATTCGGGCGCTATCACGAGTATCCTGAAGGTTGTGGGGCATCGCGAGTTTGCGTTGCAGACTGGGGGGGTTATTCCTGTGCTGTTGAGGGTTGAGCGTGTTGCTGGGCCGCCGCCTGTTATGCGGGTCGATCCGCCGACGAGGGCGCCGGAGTGTGAGGGATCTTAGTTGTATCTGGGTATAGATGGAGTTATGTGTAATGGAGTGGAGGTTGGTGCATGCTGCTATGGTTGCATATTGTAGCGACGAAGAATCGAGTATATTCAGTATTGTACATGTATCGAGCCTCGGCTCTACAATCACTATCCAGCAAGGTGGGTCATGATATGCAAGAGAAATGATAAGTGCTTAAGTCTACAAATCATACAAACGCCAAAACCAGTCCCGTTGCCCTACCCCGGGCCGAACGAACAGAACAGAGATCAATCACCAGCTGTAGTACTGGTTCTGCGCCGAGATCTTACGGTCCGGGAGCTGCGTCCACAGCTGGGCCTTCCGCTTGCGCTGCTCCTTCGCGTCCCGGTCCTGCCACTCGCGGATGCGCGTCTTCTCCTCCTTCAGCAGCACCGACAGACCGGTGTAGGGCGGCCGGAGGAGGTTGATCTGGCCGCGCGCGCGGTGGTCGTAGTCGACGCCGTACGGGCCGCGGTTGACCCACGCCTGGGCGATGTAGATGGAGGTGGGATCGGTGATGGTCTTGCGCTCGCCGGATTTGAGGGTGACGGTGATGGGCTTCTTCTGCTCGGCATCGGCGCCCTCGACGGCGCCGAGACCCATGCCGGAGCGCACGATGGCGACGTTCTTAGCATGCTGCAGGTGTTCGAGGACGTCCTTGGCGGCCTTCTTCTTGCTAAAGCGCATCTGGAGCATGGCCTCGTCGATGTTCTTGCCGGCGATCTGGCGCGCCAGCGGGCCCAGCTTCTTGACCGAGGTCTTGAACCAGTGCGACTTGGACAGCGACTCGCGTTCCGTGCGGAGGATCTGCTCGGTCTTGGTGAGCCGGCCGCGCCGGCGCACCTCCCGGACGATCATCTTGCGCTCCCAGCGCATGCGGGCCTCCGGCCGCGGATCCAGCACCGCCTGCATGTTGGCCCGGTTGCGCTTCTCCACCGGGTAGAAGGCGGCGCCTTCCAGGTCCTCCTCCTCGGCGGCGGCATCGGTGGCGGCCTGCTTCCGGGCAGCCGGGGTACGTCCGGACGCAATCAGCTTCGGGGTGGCCTCGTCCTCGGCGAAGATGGAGTCGGCACTCAGGGCACCCTCCCGCTTGGGCGGAGCTTGGGTCCGACGGGTGATCTTGGGTTTGGCGGAGTCGGACTTGCCGCCGAAGAAGAAGTTTTTGATGGAGGACAGGGGGGATGGGGAGTCGGGTTTTGTCGGGCCATTGTTGTTGTTGTTGTTGTCTTCGGGGAGACGACGAGGCACGGAGGCCGTCAGGGTTCGGCGAGGGACATAGGTGAAGCCTGTCCGGGCTGGGGAGGTTAGTATAGGCTGACATAGAAGTGGATGGGTGGATTGGTCTTACCTGACCGGATCAGGTGGCCGTAGGGGTTAATAGCACCCATTGAGGCCATGGGGTGGATGGTGGGAGAGATATTGAGATGTAGATTGGATTAAGAGTGCCAGGAAAAAAGTGACGGGAGAGACGGCGGGGTTGGCCGCTGTGGACGGCCGGAGAGCATCCACCAGCCACGCCGCGAGGAACAGCCACAGCCACGTGTGGCGCAGGTATCTAAGCAGTAGGCCGTTAATTATCACGGTTAACTATTATGATGGAGAAATGCCGACTAATCGGGGTTATTTTCACGAGGCCATTTAACCGATGATTTCATAGGGGCTTGAGAGTACACTAGGTAGTTAGTTAACTAACATTACCTATCACTTGTAAACTACGACTATTGTAGTTAACCAGTGTTCCAGATCCTTTGCAGTCTGGAGGATTTCTGCACACTAACACTCTGGGCAAAAAGGAACACATTACGTAGGAGTTCGTTACTCTCAGTTCAGTGGGAGCAAACACCAGACCCTTACAGAGTACTTAGTACCTAGTAGGTAGGTACTACAGATATTCTCTCTACACATCCCTCGGCGGCATCCCATCGGTATCTGCCGAGAAGCTCTCGAGAACAATCATAATCTTCTTCTTTCTCCACCGACGTCGATCCACTGCCCTCATCGTCAACCTCTCACTTCTCTCTCTCTTCTCTTCCTCTTCCTCTCCTTCTCTTCCTTCGTGTCCCTCCTCTCTCTCTTCTCCTTCTCCCTCTCCTCTTTCTACGAGCCTTCCAGGCCTCCAGTGTCTTCTCCTCTGTACGTCCTCTTCCTATTCCCTCCCTCCATTATCCCCTCCCATTCTCGTCCTCTTTCTGTCCCTTTTCCTTCTTTTCTCCCATCTTCCACCTCAAACTAACCTCAGCTTCTCTTAGCTCCCTACCCTACTGGTGACTTCGGAACCCTTCCTCCGCCTGGAGAGCTTGTCTCGGCGCCTGATCCTCCCGTCCTTTCGCGTGTTGTTTTCCACCTTGTGGTTAATCTCGTCCATTTCTCAACCAGTTTCTTCGTATCTTCTTTAAAGGAAGAAAGGACCGAATCGAACAAAGACTAATCCGTCGCCAACGACCATCTAACAATCAGGTCGCCGGTCTTCTGGTCTTCCTTCACCACGCGCATACACCGTGCTTCCCGTCGCACCTACAGAGAAATCCCTGCATCCACGGTCTCGACTGGCGGTCACCCGGCAGGAATGGACTCGCTGATGAGGCAACTAGTGGCTGTTCTCTAATAATCGATTGGATTCTTTTTAGTTTCATTGTCTTCGGTTCTCCTACGTCACACCATATCATTCCAGGATCTTCCTCGACCTCCCTCTAGTCTCCTGATTCGAGCGTCTCCCCTGTGTGAGAATGGACATCAATTCGCTTCTTTCGCCGCAGGAGTCAAATGCGCAATCGGGGCGTTCGACCTCGACCAGTATCCCTCCTTCCTCCAACGCTTCCATCCCGTCGGCATCGGCCCCCGTCCATAAGCCTCTCCGCAAGGGTCGCACCAATGCTCGCCAGGGCATGACGTCCTCACCGCTTGCGCAACACGTGTACGCCCCGGCGCAGTTACAAGAACCTTCCCCCCCGGCGATGAGTCCCACCGTAGGTCCCAACATGGGAGGAGGCAGCGGGACACCCCCCGCGACCGATCTGCCACCGCCCCGACAGCCTTCCACGCCCGGCATGGACACTCTGGCAGACCTGGCCTCCATGCAGCACCACCAGCCGCAGCGCACCAATGCATCCCTTCTCCGAAGCACCGAATCCTACGAAAGCCAGCTCTCCCCCTCCACCATGTACCCACACGTCAGCTCCATCGCCCACAATACCCCCACCCCCCGATCCTCCTTCGATATCGCCATGTCGGATGGTCCGAAGGAGAGCGCTCGGAGAAATTACGCCGATACCTCCCTCATTCCCGATGCGCAACGCTTGGCGACGGAGCTGTTCGCTCGGATACAGGAAAACCCCCATGACTATGACGCCCACGTCAGTTTTGTGCGCCTCCTCCATGAGGGTTTCCGGAACCATATCTTCCCGCCCAATAAGCCCGACGAGAAGGGCAATCCGCGCCAGTACGATCTACTCAAAGATATGCGCACCGCGCGGGAAGAAATGGACAAGCTGTTCGCCCTGGGCGAGGACCTGTGGGCGGATTGGGTTGGAGACGAAGGCATGCTGGCAGGATCGGTGAACGAGCGCATCGCGGTGATGGAGCTCTGTCAGCGATCGGTTGAAGAAGAATACGGAAGCACCAAGCTATGGGGAATCTATGCGGCCTGGGTCTCCCATCTGTACGAATCGGCCAACATGGACCCCAGTGAAAGCAACTGGACCGAGGAGGACCACCTCATTGGCCGTGAGGTCTTCTCCTTGCAGAGCGTTTTAGACGTGCTGCAAAGAGGCACCGAGGCGACCCGATGGAGGATCAACGATAGCCATGTGCTTTGGGATCAACTCATGACCTGGTACATGCGAGACCTCGCTCGCGATCGGTCTCAAGAGAAGATCAATCATATGATGGGACTGTTCGATATGCGGCTTCAAACCCCTCACAAGACGTGGCAACAGACCTTTGACACCTACTCCCATTTCATTACCGAGTACGCCAACGCGAACTACGAGAACATCATGGCGGATGCCGTGAACCGGTATGCGGATGCCAAGCAGAAGTGGGAGGCGCGCAGTGATTTCGAAGACAAGCTCGACCAAGCCGCCAACGCGCAAGATTCGACCTTGGAAGCCGCCATCTTCCGGGAATACATCGAGTGGGAAATTGGTCGCTACCGTCGCAAGCGGAGTAATTTCCATCTAGTCAGTGCCCTCTATCAACGCGCCCTTCTCCGGTTCCCCACCGACCCCAACCTGTGGGAGGAGTTTGTGATGTTCCTCATCGATGAGTCCTTGCACGGCCACGCGGATACGACCACGCTCTCGACTCTCGACCGCGCGACCCGACACTGCCCGAGCTCGGGCACCCTCTGGTCACAATATCTCCTCAGTTCGGAACGGGAGGGACAATCGTTCGCGAAGATTGCCGGGATCAAACACAAGGCGACGAGTACTGGTCTGCTAGATGTGGGCGGAATGGAAGAGGTTCTCAAGGTACACACAGCTTGGTGTAGCTATCTCCGCCGAAGGGCTTTCCTGTCCGACTCGACGGACGAAGACCTGGATGTGGCGGAAGTTGGCATTCGTTCAGCGATCGAAAGCGTCCAGGAGCTAGGCGAAAAGAAATACGGCCGGTCGTACCAGGGTGATCCCTTGTTCCGTCTCGAGCGCATCTACATCCGTTACCTGAGCGAAAGTGGCAGCTGGGACAGCGCGCGCGAGACCTTCAAGGGTCTAGTGGGACGCCTGGGTCACAGCTATGAGTTTTGGCTTACGTATTATGAGTGGGAGTTGATCTCATGGAGCAAATTTGTGCAGGGCGAGGCCACCGCTGACGCTGCTCGACGCACCCCGAACCCCAGCTACGCCACTGCGGTGTTGAAGCAAGCAATCAAGCGCACAGACCTAGACTGGCCGGAAAAGATCATGCAGGTCTACATTGCGCACTGCGAAGATTACGAGGACTCGGACGAGCTTCAATACGCGATTATTGAGACCCGGAAAGCAAAGCGGATGGTCGACACCCGGCGGGCTCATGAAGCGGCGCTCGCTCAACAACAGGCACAACAGCTTGCAGAACAAGCGTCCCAGGCGGAAAAGCGCAAACGCGACGACGAAGCCAGTGTCAACGGTGTACCGACGAAGAAACTTCGCGCCGAGGAGGCTGCGGCAGCTGACGCGGAATCGGAGGCGGCTACGCTCCGCCGAGATCGCGAGCATTCTACCGTCATCGTAAAGAACCTGCCTCATCAGACCACCGAGCATAAAGTTCGACAATTCTTTCGTCATGTAAGAGATACCTTCCTCGACTCTTGCGGACCTTGACTAACGTCTTTTAGTGCGGCACTATCAACAGTCTGAAAATGCTTCCCGGAGAAGACGGCAATTCGGAGACTGCCATCATCGAGTTCAATTCGAGGGATGAGGCGCTTGTCGCGCAGACTCGGGACCAGAAATTGATCGATGAGAATACGATCGAAGTGCAGCTGGGGTCGAATTCGACGTTGTTTGTAACGAACTTTCCCCCGACGGCGGACGAGAAGTACATACGAGACCTGTTCCACGAGGTGAGTGCACAACCTACCCTTTTGCTTAGACTTTTGAGACTGACTGCTGGCAGTTCGGCGAAATCATTGATATCCGATTCCCCTCCCTCAAGTACAACACGCATCGCCGGTTCTGCTACGTGCAATTCAAGACCGGCGAGGCCGCCCAAAATGCGACGAAACTCGATGGGACGGTAGTGGGCAATAACCTCCACCTGGTGGCCAAGATCTCGGACCCATCACGGAAGCAAGATCGACACGGCCCCATGTATGAGGGTCGGGAGATCCATGTCTCCAATGTGGACTGGAAGGCCAACGAGGACGATCTCAAGGAACTCTTCTCGAAATACGGTCACGTGGAGTTGGTGCGCATCCCCCGGAAGGTCGACGGTGGCAGCAAGGGGTTTGGCTATGTTGTCTTCTCCACCAAGGAGGAGGCTCAGGCGGCACTGGCCTTGCATGAGCACGAGTTCCGTTCGCGTCCCCTCCATGTGAAGGTATCGGCGCCCCAGGGAGCCAAGCGCAGTGCGACGACGATAGTTTCTCAAGTTGGGAAGTCGATGTCACCCTCCGGTGATGTCAATGGGACCAAGGAATCTGGCGAAACCGACGCGTCTGCTCGCGAACGCACCGCGCGCACATTGGCGTTGATGAACGTACCGGACACGGTGAACGACGCCCGGATCCGCAGTCTCGTGGAGCCGTACGGACAGCTGATCAAGGTCGTCCTACGACCCGACCACCAGGGAGCGATTGTGGAATTCGCCGATGTCCATGCCGCGGGTAAAGCGTCGTTGGAGCTGAGTGGTCAAGAAATCGCCCCGGGTCGACCTCTTCGCGTGGGCACTGTACCGGAGATGTTGAAACAGTCGGCGGAGAAAAAGAGCGGGCCGGGTCCCCAGGCGAACAAGTCAAAGGAGAAGACCGGGGGGTTCTTGGCGCCGTCCGGGCCGATCAAACGACCCACGCAGCCTGGATCATATGGTGGTCGGCGCGGAGGATTGGGGGTGAAGCGGGCCAAGGCGCCGACGGGTGCACCGCGGGAGCATAATGGTGACAAGAAGGGCATGACCACGACGACCACGACGATGACGAGCGACAGCGCGACCTCTGCGGAAGGAGGGAAGCCTCAAAAGAGCAATGATGACTTTCGCGCGATGATCCAGAAGGGTCGAGGGGAGTGAGGCGATTTGTAATGGAAATGAACTGCATGGCCGGTTCGGCGTTCATTTTCGCCCTGTGTTTTGATTTGTTTTGTTGTGCTTTTTTTCTTAATGCGTACCTTGTTCTACGATGGACCTTGGAGGAGGATGTATCTCTATTTGTACCATGGGATGATGTTGATGTTGATGTTGATGTTGATGTTGATGTTGTAGATTAGTTGGATGGAATCAGACGGTTGCGACGATGACGTCAGATCGCACTCCGTCGCCAGTTACAGTCTACAGGCGTACTATATACAGAGTACTATAGGTACTTCGACAGTAATGATCTTCCTGGCCATGCATCACGACGAATGAAAGAAGATAGCTGCCATCAACCGGCGCATGATCGCGCATCGAGCCTGTTTCGGTGGAATGTCCAAAGCACAAGGGATCCCCAATCCCCGCAACTGCGCTGCGCTTGGACCGCGACTTATACTGTGTCGGATGGATCTGGGCGATACTGCGACCGATGGTGCGCCAGAATGTCTTTTCTAGATCATGATAGGAAGTAATACGAGGATGAAGCTGAATGGATCCATGATCCTAGTTCTGTAGATTCATCGATTCTGTCGGTGTGTACGGTGTACGGTCTCCGAGTCAAAGCAGGAATTCTATACTACTCTGTACTGTGACCGCATGATCGGATCGGCCACCCTCCCTTTTCTCCTCCTCCTCCATCTCCGCCTCCTCCCCTCCTCCTCTCTTCCCCTACACTAACTACTTCAAACCACTCGACCATCCCTCACCGCTCCCTCTCTTCTGAGCCTGGTCTGGGATAGTTCTTCTCCGTCCTGCGCCGTTGGGTGTCGTTCTTCGCCCTCTCTTCCTCATCCGCCCACCTGTCGTCATCGCTGTTTCAACCTCCCACCCCAACCACGATGGACTTCCATCTCGTCCCTCGAGGCGAAGACCGCAACTACACCGGGTTCCTGACGAAAACCATCGTCTACTGCGGTTCCCTGATTATCTTCTTGGCCTGTAAGACTCCTTGGTCGCGTCCCACCACTCATCCTGACCCAGCGCAGCATTCGGCTTGACTATCTCCGCCATCGCGGTTCCAAAATGGGTCAGCTATCATAGCGACAAGGTGCGACCCTTTTCAGAAACGAAAACGATTATATGGTATCTCTGACCGTTGGATAGCCCTCCTTCCACTACTCCTACGGCCTCCACCGCCGCTGTTCCTCCCTCACCGATACCTGCGAGAGCTTCCCCCAGAATGACGACTGCCACGGCGAAGACCGCTACTTCTGTTCCATGTGGCGGTCCGTAGGGTTTCTGATGTCGTTTGCCGTCGTGCTCGAGGGCATGGCGCTCGTCGCGTATGTGATTGTGCTGTCGGGCGGGAAACGCCTGCGCGAGTCGGGGTGGAAGATTCTGAGTCTGTTGATTATCCTGTCGGCGATCGTGCAGGCTGCGAGCATGTCTATTGTGGTAAGTTCTGGCTTCCTCGACTGCGCGTATGATTTGATGGGTGGCGGGGTGCTGACGGTACAGGCCTACCTCTTCGATAACGAGGACCGCTTCTTCGTCGGCTGGCGGCTGGACGAGTCCTGGATTTACTGCACCGTCAGCTGGTGCGTGAGTCTGTTCTGTGCGGGGGCTCTGGTCTTTGCGGCGCATACGCTGCCGTCAGAGGGCGGGTATGAGTTGATTCCGGATCATTCCTAATGGCCGGATGTATGTCTTCTCCTTTCTTCTTATTTTCTGTTTGTTGGCGGTGTTTCGTGCTTCGTATACGGTATAATCAGCGTGTTTTTGTCTAGGGTAGTGTACATATTATTGATTGACTATAGCCACTAGATTACGAGTAATGGTGATTGAGCACTGCAACAGTCTATAATGAAATCAGATCTAGATCTTGCGGACGCCACCCTTGCTGCTCACCCGCGACATTCTCCGGGCTCGCATATCGCGAGGCGACACCACATCACTCTCATCATCCTCGTCGTGATCATCACCCTCACTCTCATACACCTCAGACACATCACCCTCACCCTCACCATGACCATGACGTGAAGGATCCTCCTGATCTGCATCAACCCACTCAAAAAACGTCGGCAAAATCTCAATATCCGGAAACCGCACCAGATCCATCCGTCCGCGCCCCTGCTGCACCGCCAGATCACCCATCACCCTTCGCAGCAGCACGCGAACATCCGCAAAGCTCTTGTCCGGCCCGAGCTCCGCGCGCAGCCAGCCGGGGACGGGGGCGGCCACGATGCGCGGTGTTTTGCGTTTGCGTTTGCCTTTACCTTTCCCTTTCCCCTTGCCTTTGGCTTTGGCTTTGGCCTTGGCCTTAGCCTTGGTCTTGGCTTTAGCTGGTTTGGTCGCTGCCTTCTTAGATCGAGACACAGTGTCAGAAGCAGGGCCAGGATCAGGATCATGATAATCACCCCGAAGGCTAAGGGAGGGAGTAAGCCGCTCGACCTCCCTCTTCCGCAGCACGACAGCAAAGCTGCGCACGCCGCCCCAGGCCTCCATGCGCTGCAGCGAGTCGAGCAGCAGCTCGCACTGGATGAAGGGCCATTTGGCGGCGCGGTAGCGCGCGCGCTGGTAGTGTTTGCGGCAGTAGTGCACCCAGACGTGCGGGGGGAAGCGCTTGGTGGCGGTTTTGTTGCGGCCGAAGATGTGCGAGATGACCTTGCGGGGAGGCGGGTCGGGGAGGCCGGTGGTTGGGTTTGTCGGGGTTGTGGTGCAGGGGATTGCGAATTCGCAGGTTATCTTGTTGGTTTGGGCTTCTGCTTGGGGTGGGGTGGACATGTTTGGGAGGAAGTGTAGAAGATGGTTGGGAGGATGGGAACATGCGAGAGGAAGGAGAGGTATATGTAGGTAGTCAATCCATTGTCATGCATTCTATAGCCATACGTACCAACGCCATGCATCAAAGACATCCAAGACCTTCACATCAAACCATTCATCATTCAATATCCAGCACACAAAGATTCAGACAGTTGTAAGACATCATCCGAAACATGCAAACATGAGACATCAACATAACATCACTCGTGACAATCAACTAGCATACCCTGTGGTAATCTTTGGAACATATCTGCGCACCGCCCGTCCGTTGTTACAGCCCACGCTGCCAATATCGATCGTCCCCAACTCCCGGCTCAGCGCGTCCATGCCGCCGCGACTCCCTGACACCGGAAACGACTGCGTCGGCGGCGGCGCAATCGGCACCTTGGCTGGGATGGGCGGCCCCGGGTTCTCAGGTTCATACAGTCTGGAAGGCGAGCGCCCCGGTGATGCAGAACCCCGGAAGGAGGACTGCGGCGATGGCGCCGCGACGTTGGGCGTGCTGTACGTCCGTCCATGGGCGTAGCTGCCGTACGGGTCGCGGCCACGGTGCATCTCACTCGGCGGCGGCCGGCCGCGCATCATGTCTGGCATGCCATACGACTGGGGTCGTCGCGTGGTCCCCATTGTCGCAGGTCTGCCGCGTGGCGGTCCCCATTCCTTTGCTGGCACGGGTGGCTTTGTGGCGGTCCGGGCTGGCGCATTGCGAAACCGCACTACCACTCCAGGCTTCTTGTTCTTCCGCTCCGGCTCAGGCGCCCATGTATCCGTAGGCAGATGGTCAGACGGGTCGATTTCCTTGCCCTCATCGTCGTAGATCGGGCCGGGGTCCCGGGCAGCTTCCGCCTCGCTGCGTCGTGCCGCTTCCATGGCCTGCGCTGGGCTATCGTATGCGGGAGCGGGCTCACGAAACACTGCGGAACGTGCAGCGTTGGGGTTGAAAGCATCGAACGAGTCTGGCGAGAACGGCACCTGGGATGGTTCATGTCCTCCCGACGATGACGGCCGCGGACTAATGGACTTGCGCGGCACAAGCGCAGACGGGCCAGGGCTAACGGACTTTCGGTGAATCGCGGCTGGAGGCCCCGGGCTGACAGACTTCCGAGGGACAATCCGCGTCTCCGAACTCATCGAGCCTCTGCTCACAGGAGTACGATCTTCCGGAGCAGGGTCGACCGGGTAAGGAGGAAGATTGGGCGATGGTTCGCGAAGCGGCATGACTTGCCCCTCGAATACTGCGCTCTGCCGGCGCGAATGGCTCTCCGCCACCGCACGATCCGACTCTGCATCCGCGACGATGGGGTCAAACCCGGCGACTAGGCTGGGCGGCATAGACGGCGTGCTGGTCGGCATATCGTGCATCCACGGCCCATCGGTGGGCGGGTGCGACGGGCGCGTCATAGTGATCTCGCGGGATGTGTGGGGAGATCCGTACTCTGGGGAGTAAGCTTGGTACGGAGAAGTCGGTGACGGTACTAACTGCTGACTGGAGTGCTGACTGGAGTGGCCGACGCCCGATCGATGCACCGGAGGGGGTGGCGGAGGGCCTTCGTCTTCTTCATCCTCTACCCGTGGTTGCATTGTTGCGTATTCGGTGTGGTACCCATCCCGGCTAGGTGGTGGGCGCATCGGAGCGGGATCGTGGACGAGCGAGTTGCTGTGGGGGCGATAGTATTGGTCGCGTTCGACGGGTCCTGGATGCTGTCCCGGATGCTGTGAATACTCCAAGGGAGGTTCCTGCATCCCACCCGACGAGCGGGGTCGGTATCTTGAGCCGTGTCCGTGAGGGAGCATTTCATTACTGGGTGGGTAGGGCTCGACGGTGGGGAAATGATAGTTGCTGTGGTGGCTACTAGGCCGGGGCGCCTCAACCGGGGGCGCTTCGATGGGCTCCGGGGCGTAGTGATCTGCACGAGTCACGGGGAGGTCTGATCTGGAGGATCGATAATCTGCTGGCGGCATGTTTCCATATCCGGAGCGAGGTCGAGCGTAGGAGCGTGAATCGTATGCATCCATCGGTTTTTCGCGGTATGAAGGATAGTATGGGTCCTGCGGGATTCGTTTCGACGCAGACAACGGCGGAGGAGCGGCAGGCTGACTCCATTCTCGGTGGAAGTCATCGGGTGTTTCATAGTTCCTCATGGGGCGGGAGGCGGGCGGTGGAGCGTAACTAGGAGCATCGTATGGAGGCATTTCGGGCGCAACGGGATGCCGCGAGTGGTGCCCATAGTCGGAGGGCGCAGGGGGGGCAGAAGGCGCAGGCTCATGGTGGACGGGACGGGAGGGAGGCTGTTGCGGTAATGGGGCTGAGGCCGTCTTTTCGGGAAGTGTAGGTCGCGCTGGAGCTCCAGGAGGGTCGCTGGGGAGTGGACGTCGCTTGACATCCTTGAGCTGACGGGGTCCAGAAAGAGATGACGAGTTGACGGGGGTGGACCCTGACCCGCTGGGTTTTGCATGCACTTTCTCGGCTGCCTGGGTGCGGCGCTCGATCACGGCCTCGTCTTCTGGTCTCGTGTCATAGTAAGTCATCTCAATGCGGATTTCTCCCGCGTACTTCCCGCGGAACTGCAGTGGGTGCCATTGGTCGCTTTGGCCGCCTCCCGGGATAATCAAGTCCTTCAGATCAACCCAGGTTTCTCCGATCAGATCCGTTCGCTTATCGTCGTTAAAAACGGATAATTTCAGTCGAAAATAGTCGGGGGATTCGTGCACCGTGAAGCGGAGCTCTTGATCCCTAGACGACATCAGTATGGGATGACATAGAACTGCCTCAAAAAGACGTACCATTTTGGGGTCTGACCACCTCGCAGGTCGGTGTCTGTTTTCTTTGCTTCTTTGCCTAAACGCGCAGCACAGTAGGGATTCTGCTTCCCCATGGTCTTTCGATTAGGGAGATTCTTGGCCCGATCGACGACGGCGACGAGGGTTCCAATGGCGGGACCGTCGACGGACATGTCTGCATAGATGCCGGCGGCATGGTTGAGCTTGGCTAGCTTCGACATCTTGGACATGGACATGATGAGTCCGCGGTCCCAACGCCGGGAGAAAGGAGTGGACGGGGTGTCTGTCTCTATCAGCAGAGAATGAATGACGATGTTGGAGGTAGGGGGAGGAAATGAAGCTAAGGATGCAACGAATGGGTCCAACGGTGCCACGGGGACGGTACCATTGGGGGACAGGAAGGAAAGCTGCAGCTACACGAGAGGAAGCAAGCAGGGAGAGCAGAGAGGGAGGGAGAGAGGAAGATGAAGAAGAGGGAGAAGAAATGAGGCCAGGAGGGGAAACAACAATAACATCGATAAGGCCGTGGGGCCGGTGTTCTGGATTCTGGGTGGCTGGACAGAGGTGGCTGGTAGAGGGCCACTTGGCGGCCTGATTGGGTCCCGACAACAGGTTCCTGCAGCTGAGGTGGGGCTGCTCCGCTGAATAGGGCATAGTCTGGTCCACCCGACACTAATCCCTTTCCGGCGGTACCTCGAGGTCCTCGAGTACACTGCATCTATGCATCTACCATGGATATCGGAGGGGCAACTACTTTACCAGCATGAATATATTCTCATTGATGAATGTTCAATATAGACCTACCAGACAAGTACCTAATATAGATAGTCTAATAATAACTGTAGTGCCCCGCTGACGTCGCAGGCAGTCGGATTACTATTTCCATCCGCCAATCAGCTAACTGTCCTGATAAAATTAATTCCATCATGATGAAATAGTCGATATCGCCTGTTAGAGAGTCGATGGAGGATGGATCCCACTTGCGTCAGTCGCTGCAAAACCAGTATTCTTCCCCACAATCGGATCTCTGCCCGATGCTACTCCAGGTCTGCTGCCTACTCCGTACTTCATCCATAGTAGTGCCCGATGTATCTATAATTGACTACAGCTTCGGCATTGAGCTAGCCTTCATTTCCGGGGTGGTTACACTGCTTCACTCTATACCCTGGCTTCTGATATCACCTCTCCTCTATGTAGAAAGACACTTCCTCCCGGAATGGGACCCATTGGGTTGCTATGCTCCTCCTGTGCAATGTGGAGTGGACGCCGTTGACCCACAGAGCGACTCTAGAACAGATCGTCCGTTTCATGCCATTTACGCAGAAGAGCTGAGCCTTACAAAATGGCTCATATCAGTACAAAGTACTCTTTAATACTGACTGATTGCCTGTGTGAGTGAAATTTAGTACCCATGCATACTATAGTCTTTAGGGCAGTGGGTACCTATACGCTATGGCTGATGCTACGAAGATACATAAAACACAGGACTCGATTGCACGTACTAGGTAGACATCACACTGTGAAGTAATTCGGCTACTGCACTCGCCTTGCAGCTATAAACAGCCAGTCTGTTACATACCACCTCTGAAGATCAATTATAAACTCTCCGTCATCCTTTGCTTCGTCCGATCTGTCAAGCACGCACTTCGACTAATTCATTCTGGCTCCTCTTCATCCCCCCATGGACAGGTCACTGCATCATCCGGCCAAAGCTTGGTATACAACGGCCGCGCCTCTTCATTCCAATCCTCGTCCCAGAACCCGTCGGACCTAATCAAATCAGTCCATACCCATCGCAATAATACATATTCTCATAACTTACGACAGCCCAAATTGGTTGGGAGCCAGCATATACGCCCTGAGAAGCACACATGCAACGACAACATCATACGGCTTTTGCACGGTCTTGACAAACGATCATTCCCCCGAATCGGGCTCTATGATCAACATCTCATGCCCATCAGACTCGACTCCATTCAAGCAGATTCCGTTCTCGATATTCGCAAGCTTTCCGATGTCCTCTGTCGGGTTGTCTGGGTCATCCTCGCTGCTCAGTTCTACACCCGCCGCTTCGATGATGCGTCGAGTGTCCTTGACCAGCTGCGGCCAGGCGCGTTGCCATTCGGGGGATTTGGGTCTTTGACTTGGTAGTAGTGTGTGTAGCTGTTGATAGTCAGTTACGGTCGTACGAAGAGGGGTTGGTCTTACCCCATATCTGCTTGTTGATTGCCTGCTGGCCATGGAGATAGACTGCAACAGAGTGAGACACTGTGCTCAGAAGAGACAAGAGAAACCTTCTGCTGATATCAGCGAGTTCCTGGATATGATGTATGTCTGATGAGAGTTCGTGCCCAAGTGAGCCCTAAGTGGCTGGGGAGATGACCAACGAATATTGCGAACACGGCCGGTCATTCTTTCCATCCATTTGCACAGCGGGGCAAGACAGCCCCTGGAGAACAGTAAAATGCATATAGTGGCCAAGGACGCAGATTATATTCGAGCCCGTGGACGCTTTCCAGTAGGGTAAATAGATTTCTATACCAAGCATCATCTCATTTTCGATTCGTCTCCGGTTTATAGCAAATTTAAGTCAGGAAGATGTATTCCATCGACATGTCTCCACGGACATTCCCGTACGGTGCTTCCGTATACAAGTACCTTAGGTAGCCGGGCCGATTTCTCATTGATCGGACCTACTCTCCGGGAAACGCAAAATCCTCACCGGTCGCCTTGACACAAATGAGGCTCTCCTGAAGCGCATCCTTATCTTCTGCATTGTATGGACGGAATAAAGCGTGTGGATAGAATGGTACCCAGTCTGAGTAGCCGCAATTTTTGATGCTGACGCGGGAAAGCATATGGTGATCAGTCAATTCGCGGAATATCTCGTTCCATATCCCAGTAGATAACTTGACCCAGAGGAGTTCGATGCATCTCATCGTTTGTCGATGGCTTTGTAACAACCACAACAGATCTGGACCATCAACGGTCATGTATTTGAGCTTCAAGCAGCGTAAAGGGGCATTTTTGCTCAGTGAGTAAAAGGAGACGTCTTCAGCATGCCGAAGATCAGTAAGCTCGAGATAGACGAGGTTTGTCGCATGCTTGAGCGACCGGCAGAGTCGAGGCTCAGGTTCCCTCCTTGGTCGCCTCTGCCGCTCAACTGCATATCCGGTTCGAAAGTAGCGTATCTTCGGTATGATAGTTGCTAGAACGCCTTCATACCGCGGTGAGGTCGAAATGTAATTTTCATTAGCCCTGGCAGCCATGAAGCTGAGCGCTGCCAGATTTTTTGGAAAGTTGTATCTCAAATTAAGAAGGATAGTGTCGGAGAAATCCCTTTGACAGGATGTATTGTAAGAACTTGCTGAAGGTATCCAGACAACGAGAGATTCCAAACTGCTGAGCTGTTCAAGGCAACGACCGAAAGTTTTGATAAATGCTCCGACATATTGGCGTTCCTTCTGTTCATCATTCGCTATGGTGCTTCCCACCGACAAATATCGTACGTGGTGTGCATAGACGCTTTGGGAGAGTCCCTCCAGCTTCGTGTGTTGCTCTAGGGTCTTTCTCTTGGAAGTATATGACCGAAACAGCAGAGGCGATGCTGCCTTATGGAATCTGGCGTGAGCAAGACGAAGATTTTGGAGGCTTCGGATGTCAAGCCCGCAATATAAGGTTATCTAAATATCATTTCTGTAAGCTACAACAGTGTATAACGTCAGAATCGTGGCATACCGCGCATCATACCTTGTCAAGCAATTTCTGTGGCAGAGAACAGATCTGGGAAGGAATCTTTCGGCGACTCATGGACAATCTCGCTCGTTTATTATAACGCATGATGGGTACTGTCATATGGATGAACTAGACAGTGACCAGTTGTGTGTGAGATGAGCAGTAAGCATGGAAGCACCCGAAATCTGGAACCTTGCGTCAGTATGAGCACCTCGTATCGTCTTCAAGGGAGCATGCCATGTCTAACGGTTGAAATGTTGAAAGTTAAGTAATGCGCATTCTGAGTACCCGAAAGTTATGAAACCGCAGCTGATTTGGAAACAATTTAGCTCCTTCAGATTGTACATGCCATGTTGAGCTGTTACAGGAAATTCACCATTTCCAATTCTTCATGAGCGTATAGTAATAGACAGTGAGATACCTTAAGTATGTTATGAGGGTTTACTATCGACCTGCTTCCAAGCTCACCCAACTATTCCAAGCGTGGCTCATCTCTTTGTTGCCAAAGATACTTGCCAAGCTATGAAAGCATTTGTTTTGTGGACCATAATGTAAAGGACAATTAAACATGTTAGATAGCTCCCATAGGACCTAGGCCTACTAGACCCCATGCATTGCATTGTCTATAGCAACAAACACGCTAGCAAAGTGACACTGCGTAACAAACTCTTAGCAGAGTAAATGTTATCCTCTCCAGCTCCGATTCCTTAGGAAGGAAAGAACTGAGGAACGAGACATAGATGCTCGTTAGAACTCCTGGTCAGTCATGTCCTTCACTAGCCTTGCTCATAGAAACGGTTCTTTCCCTTGAGATATGACAATTATAGTAACTTTCACTATGAGACAACTCTTTCACTATAGACAGATGTAAACTGCAGTTCGGCATTTGAATTCGAAATGGACGTGCATCCACTTGACAAGCCAGCTGCACAGATCTCTCGTCCTCGCAGTTACTCCTATTCAGAAACCTGGCACCATTCGACATACAAACGGGAGTCTCCTTTATACTCAACCTGAAGTGAATGTAAGACTCACCCATAGTATAAATACACGTGGGCCATCATTCAAACGATGCTTCTACACCCACCATCCTCATATCTCCTAGCAGTCCTCTCACCACTGTCTTACTTCGACTCTCACCTGCCAACAACCGATAGCCTGCTCCCATGACGCTTATAGCCAAAATGCCTACCATCTACCGGATAAACGGCCTTCAATGGGTCTCGGTGTGGGTTGCAATCCCCACCGGCCACCGCAGAACATCCAACAACGGGCGTAGTCGTCTCCTCGAAGCCTTATCTACCCTTCGCAGCGGAGGAACCTATCACCTCTACCATGATCCTCCTCGTATCGGCAGCAGCTGGCTTGTCGTCAGAGTCGAAATGCGCGTGGACAGTGCTGAACCCCAGCGTGAGGCCGCCCGTACCCTTGCCATGGAGGAAATACACTGGAGGCTGGAGAACAACCACTACTAAACCACCAGCCTCTGGTATGTTTCCTTTATTGCCTGTTGTGGTATTTATTTCACGCGTTTAATGATGAAAATACCTCTCAACAAGGGTGCCTAATTTGACAACGGCTGCATACTTGTTTGGTGCTGAGCATGAGCGGATACTGGATCATGTTGGAGAGATTATTTGCGCACCATCACCCGATGGCATCTCCATGGGTTAGCGTGACAAGGTCTGTGTTCTCTGGTACAGTACTTCCGCTATAGGTGTCTCCAGTTACTGAGGCATTTCAACTTGCGCTCATCTCAGGAATGCGATTTGCCTCTAGTATCTTGGCCAATTTGAAAGTTGTAGAAAGAGCGGCTTAGCCCTGTCACATCCTTGTCCGTTATCTGGACAGATTTCCCGGATTATTCTGGACTGCATAAACTTGTCCATAGCAGAGACAGGCAGCGTGTGTCCTTCTTTTGATCATATCCATTGGTAGCCACTGCCCCCATACTGAGAGAAGATAGAACTAAGGTAAACATTGACAACGTTACTCTTCAGACAAGTTTCCAAGAGCAGCACTAGTCCACCATTATCTGACTACAGTTCTCCTCTGATAAGTTGCAATCTTATCTCTCAACTTCTCCGATAGGGAACCGGCCGTCCTTATCGCATGGTATCTTCATCTCTATAGGTGATCACGAATCCTGCCGCCAGGAACATTGGATAAGAGGATAGAATGGAGCAATCAGAGGGGAAGCACTATCAAATTTATGCAAATTGTATATAATATTAGTATTCCCGCCTCCTTATCTTATCCCAGTCAGGGCACTAGCGTCCATATAATATCAGGTGGACGGTTAACAGCCCATCAAGAATATTATTGATGAAGCCTTAAATATGAAGCATCTTATCACTGAATATTTGTCACTTGACTGCGTCGTTCTGGATGGCACTGTAGTCACTGCCTCCGACACAGGCCGCTACGATATTGGTATCAAGGATGGCAAAATTGCGCTTCTTGCACCTGCGCGGAGCTTGGCGAACGCTCCTGTGAAACGTATAATCGATGCAGAAGGGGCCTATGTGACGGTATTTCTTGCATCAAGCTCTACATCACCCTTCTTTCCACTAACTCGCGATGTCGATAGCCTGGAGGAGTAGACGCACACGTCCATCTAGCGGAACCTGCGCTTTTTGGAAAGGGCAAAAGCTCGGATGACTTCACCAGCGGTAGGCTCTTCAGCTCTATATAATGTCCTGGGCAGATTATTAAAGTCTTCTTCAGGCACTCGGTCAGCTGTGGCAGGCGGCACAACCACCATCATTGCATTTGCTCCGCAATCCAAGGGCGAAGCGTCTCTAATACCTGCTTTGGATCGGGGCTTGACGGATGCATTGCAGGGCACCTATTGCGACTATTCCTTCCATATCATCATTGCAACCCCTACTCGCGAAGCGCTGGATGACCTGGTCACCCTGCGCGAACGCGGCGTAACGTCAGTCAAGATCTACATGACCTACGAAGCCCTTCAGCTCCGCGACAATGAGATCCTCGACGTCCTGCTGCGAGCTCGGACGGAGGGCATCACCACAATGATCCATGCTGAAAACGGCGACATGCTTAAATGGATGACCGAAAAGCTGGAAGAGCAACAACTCCTCGACCCAAAGTACCACGCTACTTCCCGTCCACCACTCTTGGAAACGGAGGCTACGAACCGTGCAATCGCTCTAGGCCAGCTGGTCAGCGCACCTATCCTGATCGTCCACGTCTCCTCGCCAGCAGCAGCTGAAGTCATCCGCAATGCACAAGTCCGCGGACATCCAGTATACGCCGAAACATGCCCTCAATACGTCTTCCTGACGCGCGAAGCGCTCGATCAACCCGGGTTTGAGGGCGCAAAAGCCGTGTGCTCGCCTCCCCCGCGGGATTCTGAGCAAGACCTGGAAGGAATCTGGTCGCATCTCAAACATGGCACCTTCACCATCCTCTCCTCGGACCACTGTCCCTTCATGTACGACGATACCATCTCGGGAAAAAAGGCCGCTTGTTGTCCAGAGACACCGAACGGCCATTTCAAGCATATCCCGAACGGCTTGCCGGGCGTCGAGACCCGCCTCCCTCTCGTCTTCAGCGCCAACCGTCTCTCCCCGGAACGCTTCGTCGCGCTGACGAGCACGAATCCGGCCAAGTTGTATGGCCTGTACCCACGCAAGGGCGCGCTGATTCCTGGGGTCTCGGATGCGGATCTCACGATCTGGTATCCGTCCGGCGTGTTGCCGGCATTCCCCATATCTAATTCTGAACTGCATCACAATGTGGACTATACGCCATATGAGGGGATGCAGGTATCCCAGTGGCCGCGATACACGCTCCTCCGTGGTGAAGTTGTCTGGGATCGCGACCACGGCGGTTTGGTTGGTAGCAAGGGCTATGGGCGGTTTCTTGAGCGAGGTTGCAGTGCCTTTAACGAGCCGCTGACGAAGTGGGATGTGTCTCAATATTGACGGTATCGACAATATACGGATAAACCGCTTGAACAGTGTCCTATTCATCTTCACTTGTATTGCAGCTTCGTCTTGCTGCGAGGCAAGTCCTATAACAGCACGCGTTCTCTGTAAATAGCCTACCACTGGAAGTGCAGAATTGTCCTGGCAATGCAATTGATTGAGCAAGTGACTAATAGCAAACAAAAGAGAGCATGAAAACTCAGGTAACAGTAAAAAAGACAGTAACAAATGACATTCCAATCCATACTCCAATACCCAGTCGCACGCGATGCTCCAGTCATCCGCCCCTAATCCATGCAATCACTCCAGTATGTCTCACGTAGAGAATCCGACATCATCTCGAGAAAGAATCTACTTCTTCTCGTTGCACTTGCAGGTCTGCCAGAGGAAGCCACCGCAGTAGCCACCGTTACGACCAATGCTCGAGCACTATTCGCATATTAGTAATTATCCTTCAATCGCAAGATTGCTGCAGACGTACGTAGTTGGAGCAAGAGTAGTCGTTGGGGCATCCGTATCCACGCTTGTGCATCAGGGCGCCGTCTTGGCCGTCCTGGCCCTGGCCGGGGGGAATGAAGGTGTCGAGGTCACCGCCGTCGACGGCGGCGCTCTTGGTCTCGGGAACGGCGATGGCGAGGCCGGTGGCGACGAGGGAGAAGAGAGTGATGACTTTGGTGAACTGCATTATGGCTGTAGGTTCTCTTTTGGAAAAGGTTATGGTGGTGATTGAGTGGAGGTGTTTGAAGGCTGTTGGATTGTTTGAATGTTGTTTGATGATGGAGAAAGAAGGTCAGTTCGAGGGGAGATGATGGGGTATTTATGTCTTTCGATGGCTGGAGGCTCGAAGCAATTGCTGCTGAGGCTCCATACATTTGATTCTGCAGTTGGACGTATACGGAGTCCTAAAGATAGAAGTCTTCCCTTCATGCCAGTCGCACCAGGGCCTGTCAATAGCTGTGAAGACTAGATCAGCAGTGTTTCGATGTCGATCTTAGTCCTCGGACCAGTATCTCAGCTAGAATAATTCGTATAGGATGCATATACGACTCGAGTCTGCGTATTTAGATCTTGGAATGCTTGGCTCTCGGATAGGGCGTAGATCCTATATCGATACGACCTCGGTTGGGGCCGAAGTGAGTTGATACTATTGATAGAGTAATATGGTTGTTCCTGGGCTAGTGCAAGTGCTGTAGGGCTGTCGTCGGTTCTGTTGGCATGCATCATTCTGGTCTGACTTTACGAGCACCATGATCCAGCCAGCGATGTCCATGTATACCGAGTCATTCAATCCCTATATAAAGTGCCTCATCAGCACCTATTACAGTTATTGACGAGCCTGTACTATGCTTTAAACTTAGGTGGACGCTGCTCGCCACAGACTACTAGCTTTATATGGCTCTGATATAGATAGCTTGAAGAACTTACCCCATGCCCAGAAGTTGGGCATACTGCGTATGGCCCAGATAGGAAGGCTGAGGGCTGTGTTGTAAAATACGATGATCGACAGCGCTAGCATCGTCCCCAGACGGTGGCCTGACATGGTTTGCAGATGAGCTGCTATTTTAATCTGTAGCAAAAGGCCCCAGGTGTCTACAATGACTATGGTGGTATATGTTGATTTATTGCGCAGATCACCATCGTTCTCGTGGTAGGGCTGCAACACGAAGCTATTCATAGTCCACCGGAGAAGCGACGGCCTCTACTCGTATCGTCTGGGGCGTTGTCTTGGCTCACCCTGCCCACGATCCTGCATATACTGCATCAAATATGACAAAACTATGACATTGGGAGCTCCTTCTTCATGCTGAAGGCGTTTGTATAGTTGAAGGCGGTTGTAGTTTCCATATTACCCGATGCGGTTAGACACCATGCTGACCAACCGGCGGTTGCCATGAAGATTTCTGCTGCTGTCAACAACCGAGTAACACACACAACTGACCGACTTTCTGGAATTTTTAGCCAGAAATTCGTCAGATCGAAATGGACGGTCCCGGGATCAGCGATGGCGCGCAGGCGTACGCGTCCATGGCTGGAAAGCTGGACGCGAGACTGCTCCAAGCCGTCGACAAAATGGGCTTTGCCGATATGACGCCGGTCCAGCATCGCGTGTTGACCGAACTTCCCGACTGGCGCAGTGACTGTCTGGTCCAGGCGAAAACGGGGACGGGGAAAACGCTCGCCTTTCTGCTTCCTGCATTGCACTGTCTCCTGAAGGGAAATTCCGCGCCGCCAAGAGGTCAGGTCGCCATCTTGATCATCACCCCTACGCGAGAGCTGGCCCAGCAAATCGCCAAGTCCTGCGATCAACTCACGTCGCAACTCCCGAAACCGCTTGAATGCCACATTGCCGTGGGTGGAACAGCTCGCGCGTCCGCGCATGCCCGCTTCATGAAGGGGGCGCCTTCTGTCCTGGTGGCAACTCCGGGACGGCTGAAAGATTACCTCTCCGACGAATCCACGGCAGAGAAGCTGTCGAACATCCAGACCCTCATCTTGGATGAAGCAGATACCATGCTTGACAGCGGCTTTATCGCTGACGTGAAGCGGATCCTCCAACTCATCCCACCCAAGAGCGCTGGCTGGCAAGGTATGTGCTTCTCGGCCACTGTTTCGCCCAAAGTCAAGGATGTGATCAGTGTTGTGCTTAAGTCCGGATACACTAGCATTTCGACCATCGAGAAGAATGAAGCGCCCACACATGAGAGAGTACCCCAGTACCACGTGCTCATCCCGTCGGTGGCCCAGACGTTCACCACCCTGACCTCCCTTCTCAATCTCGAAATGAAGGCATGCTCTAAGATCATTGTGTTTGGCATCACGGCCAACATGGTTGCCCTCTTTGCGGGCGTCTTTTCCCAAGGCTTGACCCCGCTGCGGGTGTTTGAAATTCACTCCCGGCTCAGCCAGAGCGCTCGCACGAAGACCACGAATCAATTCAAGGAAGCGGCGGCCGGCATCCTGTTCGCTTCGGATGTTATTGGCCGTGGCATGGACTTCCCCAACGTCGATCTGGTCATCCAGGTCGGCCTGCCCTCAAACGCTGAGCAGTACGTCCACCGTGTCGGTCGGACAGCCCGTGCCGGAAATGACGGGCGCGCCATTATCCTCCTCACCCAGGCCGAGTCTTTCTTCCTGAAGAACAACCGCCACTTGCCCATCCAGCCTCACCCGCAAACCAACATGATCAATGAGGGTGCGTCGTCGTGCGCGGATGCCGTCACGCAGGCTATGTACAATATTGATGAAGTGACCAAGCAACGCGCCTACTCGTCTTTCATCGGTTTCTTTGCCGGTTCGGGTCTCATGAAGCAGCTTCGTCTCGATAAGCCGGGTCTGGTTCAACTCGCCAACGAGCTGGCTATCGAGGGCATGGCGTGTCCCGAGCCTCCGCCCATGGACAAGAAGGTCGTGGGCAAGATGGGGTTGAAGGGCGTGCCGGGATTCAACTATGGGAACGGGAGTGATTCTGTTCAACCCCACAGGCGATTCCAGGGCAAGCCTCGCGATGCGCTAAGCCCTGGAGCTACTCGAGGCGCACAAAACGGGGTCGAGAAGAACCGTGGAGGTCAGGGAGGTCGTGGAGGCCGCGGTCGGGGACGTGGTGGGCGTGGACGAGGTGGGAGGCAAGCACAACGCCCCTGAAGTGTACAATACTGCAATATAGATTTTAGCTCTAAGATACAATCATTAATGTTAGAGCATTAATGCTATATTCAGATTGGCATTAGGTACCAGTTGTTGACATGCGCATAGACAGTATTTAGGGAGCGTTTGAAGTAGTCGATGTAGGATATATATTTCTGTTCATGCCATATATGAAAGACACACCAACCAGACGCAAAGTATGTATGACGAAGAACCGTTGAATCCCTCACATCCGGACCTTTCTAAACTGATACCAAGAATTGTTGTTTTTCTTTTAAAAAAAGAAAAGGCAGAAGCAGCACAACATAACAGGTGCAAAAAGACTGGAGTTGCGGGGAATCGAACCCCGGACCTTTCGCATGCGATTGCATGCTAAGCGAACGTTATACCACTAAACCACAACCCCATTCGATGAAAGACGCTGTCTTATTACGCTATAAGAGGGGCACTAATCCCATATCCGCCGGCCTAACTTACCCCATTGAGCCTGCCGACGGACTCTGATCATTCCCGATCAAGAAAAAAAACTTGCCCATTCCATCATCTCGCTGGACGCAACATCTGGCATTGATCGTGCCTATTCTTATTCCCGACACTCCTCTCTCTCGATAACTCGTCCCAGCGAAGTTCTACCCACGACAAAAACCTCTGCAGCAGCATGGCTGCCCCCGTCCTTCCGCTGCAGCAGGTCAAGCTGCCTGCGCTGCCGTCGACTCGTTTAACCCCCGAACAGCAATACTGGAAGACGTTTAAGAACCCCCTCCTGATCCCATCACCGGCCAATGGACCCGTCAATCTCATTACGCAGCCGTCCGCGCCCTCCTCCGCTTCCGCCTTCCCCTCTCTTACACAACCCCCGGATGTCTTCACCGTGACGACGGGCGCCCGCGTCCAGATCTACTCGATCCGCACGCGCAAGCTCCTCCGCACCATCACGCGGTTCGACGATACGGTGCGCGGCACGGACGTGCGCCCGGACGGCCGCGTCCTCGTGGCCGGTGACGACACCGGCGCCGTGCAGGTGTTTGACGTGGCGTCGCGCGCCATCCTCAAGACGTGGAAGGACCATAAGCAGCCGGTGTGGGTGACCAAGTTCTCGCCGAGCGACCCGACGTGCGTGATGAGCGCCAGCGACGACCGCACCGTGCGGCTGTGGGACTTGCCCAGCCAGAACAGCGTCAAGACGTTTGTCGGGCATACAGACTACGTGCGCAGCGGGGCGTTCATGCCCGGCTCGCTGGCGTCGTCGAACCTGCTCGCCTCGGGCAGCTACGACCGCACCGTGCGTCTGTGGGATCCGCGCGTGGAGGGCCGCGCGGCCATGACGTTCAAGATGGCGGCGCCCATCGAGAGCGTGCTGCCGATGCCGACGGGCACGACGGTGCTCGCCTCGGCGGATAATAGGATCGCGGTGCTGGATATCGTCGCCGGCAAGCCGCTGCATATGATTCAGAGCCACCAGAAGACGGTCACGGCGCTGTCGCTGGCGTCGAACGGCGAGCGCCTGCTGAGTGGTGCGTTGGACGGCCACATGAAGGTGTTTGAGACGACGGGGTGGAACATGGTGTCTGGGTCGAAGTACCCGTCGCCGATTCTGTCGCTGCGCGCGATCACATCGGGTGCGGCGCAGGAGGACAAGCACATCGCGGTGGGTATGCAGTCGGGACTGCTGTCGATCAAGACGCGGCTGTCGGGCCAGCAGAAGATCAAGGAGCGCGAGCGGCGGAAGGAGATGCAGGCGCTGCTGGAGGGCAAGCTGGAGGAGCACGACCGCAAGATGGCGAAGAAGAAGAAGCTGCGCGGGTCGGGCTGGGAGAAGCGGCTGCGCGGGCGGGACTTCATCGGCGAAGGCGTGGAGATCACGATCGACGGCCAGGAGGGGCGGAAGCGCAAGAAGGAGCAGAGCTGGGAGGTCGACCTCCGCAAGGCCAAGTACTCGGCGGCGCTGGACCAGGTGCTGTCGTCGCGGGACAAGACGGCGCAGCTGACGCTGCTGACGGCACTGCGGCACCGCTCGGCGCTGCGGGCGTCGCTGCAGAACCGCGACGAGGTGACGCTGCAGCCGGTGCTGCGGTGGGTACACAAGAACATCACGGAGCCGCGGCTGGTCAAGCTGTGCGTGGAGGTGGCGATGAACGTGCTGGATATCTACTCGGCGAACCTGGGCCAGTCGGCGCAGATTGACAAGATGGTGGAACGGCTGCACCGGCGGGTGCGCGACGAGGTGGAGATGGCGCACCAGGCGTACCAGACGAAGGGCATGCTGGAGATGCTGAAGGCATAGCCCACGTACGCGGATGGATGACGGGAAAAGCAATGTTTAGACTTGTTGCATATTGGATACCTGGATGGAGTTTGGGATCGGATGTACATAGCGCATACATTGATTGATGAGATTGTATACTCGGACGTGTATCGTAGAGACGAACAGTAGAGACAAACAACGCTACTGGTATAGCTTCGAGAACCCCTCGCCGTTCTCCGGCGGCTGCAACCAATTCCGCCGGTCATATTCCCAGCCCTCAGCGCCTTCAATGACATGAAAGGTATACGCATACCGGCTGCGCGGGCTGGTATTCTTCTCACTCTTGTGCAGCACATTGCCATGGATCAAGACGAGCGACCCAGCCTTGACCTCAAGCACATCCACATCCTCCTCCTTTGGCGCCAGACTCGCATCCTCCTCCTCCTGCATGCCCTTCGGCAGTCCCGGCCCCTCATTCACCACAAACTCCGTCCCAACCGCCTGTCCCTCCTCATTCACCCTCCTCACAAACCGCCTCTTCACCGCACCCCCAGCCCGCCCGCGATGCGAACCCGGAAACATCCCCAGCGTCGCATTCCCCGGCCCCGCATCCTGCAGCGCAATCCACCACCCCACCGCGGACGGCGGATCCGTATACAGAAATTCCGAGTCGCGGTGCGGCGGCACCGCGCCCCCGATCCCGGGCTGCTTGCAGATCACCATGCTCTGCAGCACGCGCGGGTCGACGAACCCCAGCGACCGAGCGATGTCCGCGTTGCGCGCCGACAGCGTGACCCCGCGGAACGGCGGCGACAGCGTGTGCAGCGAGTGGCCGATCTTGTTGATGGCCTGCTGCTTGGGTTTCTGGAGCGCGGCGCGGCCGGTGCGTGCGTCCGGCGCGCCAAACGCGTCCGGCTCGAAGAAGAAGCGCACCTTGTCGCCTGAGGTTAGGAAGTAGTCGTCGCCGACGTGGGGTTTGTTGGATTCTGGGGTGTCGCCGGTTGTGAACTGTGTGAGGGGGTGTGAGGCTAGGTCGAAGGATTCGAGGAGGGAGTCGGTTTCGTGCACGAGCGAGGCGGTTTCGCTGGGGGTGAGGTAGTCGGGGATGACGAGGTAGCCGTTTTCGCGGAAGAAGGTGAGCTGTGCTGGGGTGAGGCCTGACATGGTGGTGGTGATGGTGGTGTTGAGGGTGGAGGTTGTGAGGATGTGAGGATGTAGAGAAGGCGGGGAAGAAATAGATTTCCTTATCAGGCGGAGAAAGCCGATATCAACGGGCACGCCAGCATCATATCATGTTGGATCGATAAGGCACATACTCTATACTATTGTAGAGTGATTGTTCTAGAGCTTCGATTCCAGCACTTCCAGCCAGTGACATTGGACAATATCGAGATGATACGAATACTGACGCCAACAGACTCGGAATGACATCACCGTCGCCACCGTCCGACACTATATAACTCCCGTGCCTGTATACATTGTTCCCTTCGCAACCCATCGCAATACCATACACACTCAGTCAAAATGTCCAACTACGGCAAATCCAGCTCCTCCTCCTCCTACTACTACAGCTCCTCGTCGAGCTCCTCCGACGGTGACAACACCAGCGGCCATCGCTACGCGGCCAGCTCCCAGACCAACCCCGACGGCTCGGCCTATTTCCGCGAGGCCCATCAGGATCTGGGGGAGCCTCCCGTCGTTGAAGAGCATTACTATGACCCGACCGGCCAGGGAGAGGCTGCCCGAGTCGTCTGCGGGAGGCGTGCGGCGTATCCTGGACCTGGATGATGAATCCGCGAGAGATAACTACGGGTCTGGGATGGCATTTCGGGAGGATGTCTAGCTGAATGATTGTGGTTTAATGGTGAAATTGTGGAATACAAGCAAAAGCTGATGTATACAATCATGGAATGATTCCAGATTAAAAGTACACCCTTACTTCGTAAACCCTAAGACCCAGTCTCGAACAGCAGCAACATCGACATCAACCCCCGGATGATCTGAATGCGCACACTGATCCAGACTCGTAACCAGCCCAACCAACCTCCCCTCCGCCGACACAATCGGGCCTCCCATGTCCCCCGTACACGGTCCAGCTCCAGCATCCGGCACATCGCACATCATCGTCTGCGTGATCTCCCTTAGATCTTTCCAGTCGCGCCGACACGACTTCCCGGACAGAGCGAACGTGTTGAGCTGCTGCAAGTGACTCGCCGGACGGTGCACGAACCGATCCGTCGATCCCCAGCCGTACATGGTGAGCTTGGTGCCGTCGCGCGGACTGCTCGCTGCCACACTGACGGGCTGGATATTTGAGACTGCGTTGGAGAGCTGGATGACGGCGACGTTTGCGTTGAGCGTGTCGGCGCTGTATTGCGGGTGTGTTGTGATCTTGGTCGTGTCGGTGACGGTGCCTCCGCTCGTGCGGGACAGGCTGCCCACCCGGACAGAGAGGGATGAGGGGGAGTGGTTTGCGACGCACTCGGCGGTGGTGAGGATGGCCTTTGGGCTGATGAGAACGCCGCCGCAGAGGGTGGTGTCTGGGGCGTCTTTTGCCGTGAGAGCGGCGATGTATGGAGCTGAGTTTGCTGGGGCATTCTGGCCGTAGATGATGCCGTGGATTGGTTGGGCGAGGAGGAGGAAGAGCAGAGAGGGGGAAAGTCGTGCCATGTTGATGGTGTAGATTGTGTATGTTTATGGAGGAGGAGGAGGTGCGAGGTTTAATAGTCGGCTGTGGTAGCAAACTGGATCAAGGCGAGACGTAAACAAAACAATTCCTTACGTCCTGCAGCTACGGACTAGACGTTGGCCGTTGCGAAGACTGCTAGATGGGTATTAAGACATGCATGCGAGGAGCGTATACTGCAGCTGCAAGGAGGCCTAACAGGTCACATCGGCATCCGAAGCTGTACTAGAACTCTTCAATAAAAGAATGATATTGAGAAATGTACATTCGCGATGGTCTAGCCCAAAGTGTACGGGGTAGCCATATCTATCAGCTAGTATACTTCATAAATCCGCCTTCGAAGAGTCACTCTGCTGTACATCTACCGGCCGTGACCCAGCCAGATCCTTCAGCCCAACTCCATCGAAATATGTAGACCCAGGAGACTGTCTCTCAGTCCTCCTCCTGTATCCCACTGACGGCAACTCCCCGGGCAAAAACACAGAAGGGTGTGTCATCGACCGGATGGACGGCCGAACGAGAGAAGATCCCTCAGCTCGAAAGGGGCTGTCGTCGCTCCTCGTTCTGTTCCGGATAATGTAGCCATTGAGTGCGTCTGAATGGCTGTAGGGGCTTTCAACTGGCCTACTCTTCGGTACGAATCGAGTCAGTAAGGGCGTCTCCATCGTCCGTACAGCGGTCTGTTTCGCCCAGTCTCGGATCTCGTTCCATCTGCTGGGATGCTGACGCTCCTCTCTCAGACGGCTCGGATTGACAATCCCCCATTCTGCATCGCTGGGAAGATCGTCGGAAGCCTGCGAGTGGCTTTCATTCTGACTGCGAGATGGTGTGGGTAGCGACTGATCGGATTCGATATCGACAGAGAACGTGTTTGAGCTGGCATCGCCTTGTGTGGCTCCCAAGCGTGACAGATCGTCTAGGATGCTCTTGTTCATGCGCTTGAGCCGGTCGAAAGCCTCGGAGATGGCAGTCGACACACTCCCTTTTCTTGGGAAGTGCTTCGCTAGGCTCTGTACATGGAGGAGGTAGTCGCCGCAATCTTTCGTGTACCTTGCGATGCCACTTTCAGTACTAGCTTCCCCAGCTGTCGAAAGGGCTGCTCGCATTCCCTCGTACGAGGCAGACAGGATTTCAAAGGCAGCGAGGAGCCATGCATGGTACTGATCTTCACGGCTGTCATACTCTGTGGCCCGTAGCCTATCGCGACAGACGAACCGAGCGACTCCGTGCATCTTGATGGCGGAGAGTGTGCCTTCGTCTGATAACTCAGTGTGGCTCGATTCTCCAGATCCAGAGGATTCAGGAGTGTCACCTGAAGCGTCTTGAACCAGTCCGTACCGTATCATAGTCTTGAAAGACCCATGCAAATCCTCGCCGTCACATATGCGTATGTCGTACTTTTCCACAGCCCTCGCTCCAACACGCAGAAAGTCGACCTTCATCGGGGCATCAAAAAAACACAAAATATTGACCAAGTTCAACACCCCAAACTGCCTTTCCGAGTAGAGCTTATCCAACGTTTTAAAAAAGGGGCCCGTCAACATCGAATCCGCCAACCGAGTGTCGATCCTGAACCGCTCGATCGGTTTCGCCGTCCGGCTGAGATAGTTGCAGACCGCATGGATCGCCAGAGGAAGCCCTTCATAGCGCATGGCGATGAGCGTGGCCTTGCGCACCTGCATCTCAAGCGGCTTTCTGATCCCGAGCTTGGTGAATAGCAGCCGACACGCCTCTTCGACTGGCAGAGGCGACACGCGGAGAATCTCTGGACAATGCAGCTGCCGCATACTCGCGAGGGAATCATCCACCGAGGTGTAGAGGATACTCCCGTCTCGATTGGCTGGAAGGACACCGCTGAGGTAGTCGATGGCCCTGTCGTTGTCTGGCGGATCGAGCCCGTCGAAAACGAGCAGCCATCCAGTCCGCGCGCACAAGTGGTCGTGCACTGTCTGTGATGGCAGGTTCTCCTCTTTCGGCACGGTATGATTAGAACCTGTGTTGGCGAGGGCCAGGGCAACCTTGTCTAACCCGCTGGTTAGGGATTGCAGCGAGCCAGCGTTGACCCAGAAGATACCCCCCGGGTAGGAGGCACGGTGCGTCCAGATATACTGTCTGGCGAGGTATGTCTTGCCTGAGCCGGGAGGACCGCAGATGAGCACTGATCTGGGGCGGATCCCATCGGAAGGTGAGGTTAGAGTGGAGTGGAGGCGGTCGAAGTCTGCTCGCTTGCCATAGAAGGTGGCGTTTGGATGGAGGTCTGTGGGCACGACGAACAGGGGCTCGCCTGGAGTGCTTGAGCGTGTGGTGAGGGTGTCTGCGAGGGAGGCTTCGGTGAGACGCATGGCGATGGTATGTGTGGAGAGGAGATGTATGAGTTTCTTACCTGCGGGCTTTTGTAAATCGTCTTTCCCTGCTCTGGAGGATAATTCACCGAGTATGCTGACAATAGCCGAGTGTTCTGCCTCGTCTTTATTGAATTTGGATAGGCCAGGGTCTGATGCTTTATTGTGTTTAGTACGAGTGAAAGGTGTTGCTGGAGACTTTTCCAGGACAGTGATGGCACCATGTGTTGGTAGCGTTTCCTCAAGAGATATCTTGAAGTCTCCCATCACTTCGAATGATCCGGATATGTTTTGTAGCGTCTGGATAGATGGTCCAGCGTCTTGCGTGTCTTTCCCAAGGACTGCGTGGGAGATATTCTGTACTATCGATCCCCAGCCTTTTGACCCGGTGGTGTTGTATGGCTTTCCCAAAAGTACTATCCCATATGTCGAGGAGTATATATTATCTGTATATCCAGGTTGATCCTGTAGATTGCGACAGTGCAGTAAAAGTGTATTCACCAGGAGGCTGCCTAATGAATGGCCGACGAAGATAATGGGCCGTCCAGGACAATCTGTGATCTGCGGAGGTTAGCTGCAGTAATATGTATCTATGAAGAGATTCACGTAAATGTGCTTCACACACCTTTCTATTTCCTGCAAGAGCCGATGCCAGATGTTCGGCTTGCGTGTGAAGTGTGTCTGTGAATGTATCGTGGCTTGCGCTATACCCGTATGATAAAACCCTCACAGGAGTCAGAATTTCTGGTACAAGACCAGACGACCGGAAAGACCCGGAGCTCCATGTATCGACTTCATAAACAAAGACAATGTCAACTTTGGGCTGTTCAGCCGAGCAGTAGACTTGCGTTAGGGACATGTCTAAGATAATGCCCTAACAGTCGTAGGTATATACAAAAAGTAGAATAGAGATGCCATCTAGACTGATCTGGACACTCTCTGGTTATAACCATACGTCTATGACAGGCGTCAGCAGGCAGACAACCAACCCAACAACAAGATTCAGCTGATTCACGCGCTCAGACAGCAACTGTTATCGTCCAAAGTAGCGCATTTACCGGTGTTCATATGCTGTGGCCCCGCACCTCGTGTCATAGAGAGAGCCGCGTCAGGCGGATGCACCGCCACTGCCAACACAACAGTCTATACATCACGGCGTTGATTCATATCGAATAGATATCATGAACCATCTCTGGAGCGCTTGCAGCCTCTCTTCTTCGGTCTCATATCTCTCGATGACTCTTGTCTTCCCTCCCGTATTCAGTTTAAGCGCCTTGTCCACCAGCATCAATTTTCCGACCACATGAACGCCGTCTTTATCCCCCGATGACCCCGACAGGCCGTGTAGGTACTGCGCCACTTCACCCTTCTCGCCGTTCCTAATGAATTTGACCGCAAGCACTTGGCCACGATCCAGCATTTCCCAGCTCGTAAACCGATTGATGACCTCGAAGTCTTGGTGGAACCATTCCACCTCCGTGAAGCAATAGCAGGAGTTCCATTCCCTCTCGGGGCCGTTCCGGTACTGGTAGAGCCAATACTCAGGCTCTCTTCGAGTCTGCCCAGGAAGATTGCCCTTTACCAGCCGCACATCCTGGGCGCCTAGATTTTGGGAGATAGATCCAGAAACCAGGCGCAGAGGCGAAGTGGGACCGTCGCCGCCAAAGGCAGCGTCCACCAGGAACGAGCTGCCTGACGGGAGCTCTACGATATTCACGCCGTGCACCCTGATCGATTGTCAATTTCCGAGTAATGAGTAGCGACGAACAGAAGCTCCTTACCACCCCATGAAGTCGCCCACAGGGACGCCGTCGACTCGTTTCCGATTCCTCACCCCGGTCATATACACGGAGAAACCGAGACCCTTGAGAATATGGTGAAGAAAGATGTTCACTTCGAAACAGTAGCCACCACGCCGTGTTGGGCTGGCTCCATCCGGCCCCATCATTTTGTTGTAGACAACATCCGGCCGGATAATCACCGGGTTGGTGCTGGAGTAATAGAGGGTCAAGTTTTCATACGGGAAGAGTGTGATGTGGCCGCGGAAGAGATCTTTGAGCGCATCCTCCCGTTTTGGAAATGTTGCGGGCTGCTGGATGTACTCCGCATAGCACGATGGCAGCGAGAGGTACTCCAGGTACCGGGTTAGTTGTGTAGTGGTGTAGTCTGACATTGGGATGTTGTATTCAGTTCGGAGTAGGGATGTACTCTGTAGAGGTAGTTATAGTTGGAGCAACGATGACTCATAGTTTGTAGTGCTGGGTACATACAATTAAGAGCTTCAACACATGGTGGACGTCGTGTATCTGGGGACAACAGTGAAGAGACAATGGTTGATTTAAGAGAAACAGATCCAGCACTCGCACTTGCAGGCATAGAGTGCTATTAATCTTATACCTCTCGTATCATGCACGTCTGGCAACGTGACACGGCCATCAACATCTGAATGTAGAGGAATGAAGGTCCTAAGAGAGGGCACCAAAGAGACCCTCTTCAAGACGCCCTCCAATTATATGACATCGTAACGATCTCCTCGTCCTGCCTGTTGTTGGAGATAGGCAGCTAGTATCTGCAGAGCCTAGTACTGGGGAAGTTTCTGATTCTCAACACTTTATCAACAAAAGGTCGCGAGATATAGACATCCTTGAAGGTATATTGAAGTTATCTACAAGTCAGTGTAAGTGAATATATGTCCAAAGGCTGACCACAAGGCAGTCGACAGCCCCTAAGCCAACCGCACTCTCCCCTCTTCCCATCGCGCACGCACTTTACCAACAAGAGTCGGCAGTTCATATGTCCAGTGGCACAGCATGCCCGCCACGAACCCAATGGCATCATTCTTAAACCCAACCAGCAAACCGACCGTGACCATCATCACCATCCATCTGCGTTTCCGATCCTCCTCACTCAGCATAGGTCCGACATGTTCGTTCGGATCGCCCGTGAGACCGTTATGAAGCTTGACCAGATCCCGCGCAGCGGTCGTATTCAAGCTCTCTCCCACACTCAACAACTCCAGTCCAGCCGCGATAACCATGACGCCCAGCAACGCGCCAGGAAACCGCTTCAACAGCCCCACCAGGCTCTCCCCAAAGAACACCCCGATCACAAGCTTGAGCACCCCCAGAAACACGACACTAGCTCCAGACCGCGCGCCGAAGCGGTACTGCGCCGCCAACCCGCCGGACCCATGGCACACGGGCATGGCGCCGAACCAGCAGCCGACGAGGTTCATGCCGGCCACGCTGAGCCCGATGGAGGTGATGGAGGGCGTGCGCACGTCCGGAAGCAGATCCGCCGCCAGATGCACGACCGCGACGATGGAGTTGAGCGTCGTCAGCGGGATCTGGCCGATGCCGGCGTCTAGCGCCCCCACCGCCCATTCGTGGGGGGTCGGCACCACGACCCGTGGCCGCCAGAGCTGCAGCGAGGGGAGGTCGGCGGCGAGCGCGCTGCGGATGATAGCGAATGCAAGCCCGAGGATGAACACCACCAGCGCGTAGGGGATCCCGCGGTAGACGTTCGTGACGACGAGGAAGAGGAACGCGGCGATGGCCCAGAGCCGGTTATCGGCCCAGGAGGGGTGCACCCACCCCAGCGACGAGAGCATGCTCCCACAGGACGCGATGATGAGGGACAGCCCGGCGCCGACCTGGATGCCCTTGATGACGGGGACAGGGATGACATGGGCGAACCAGCGGAGGATGCCGGTCACGCTGAAGAGGAGGATGCAGGCGGCGACGAAGATGCCGGCCGCGACGATGGCGCCGTTGGTGAAGGAGCGGGCGATGGCAACGGCGGCGATGGCTTTCATGGGCTGCACGGGCAGCGGGATGCCGAAGAACAGGCCGGTCAGGATGTTGAAGATGCCGGAGAAGATGAGGGTGCTGGAGAGTGAGACGGTGTCGTTGACGGCGAGGGCGATGGCGATAGGGAGAAAGGTGCCCAGATCGCCAAGTGAGCCGGAGATTTCGGCGACATAGTGGCGACGGAAGGTGTTGAGGTTGTGGGCTGTGTGGTGCCTAAGGGAGCGCATGATGGTGCGGTGGTGGTGAAGTTGAAGTTGAAAATACGAGATGGTGATAGTGTTGCGTCATTCCTACACTATACAAAGAAACCCCGCCCGGCCATGTGACGACGGAGCCCTAATCGATCTTGAGTCCATACTGCGCAGAAGCAGTTCACCTTCGTACGGAGTAGGATATCCCAATAATGCACAAGAATGGAAGCCTTGATACCAGTAGTACTCCCTTCTCCAAGGAACGGACATCCGGATGGCATCCGCCGGATAGTCCCCGGGTATGTATCCGGCGGATCCACGATATAAAGACGGTCGAATTCCGCCATCAGCATTCATTCTAACCATCTCCTCCTTCAAGTCCAGATCACTCTGCTCAATCCACACATCATGTCCAACGGATCTACAGCATTCTTCCTCCCGCCTGAAAAGGCCCAAGGCCTCGCCAACTACCCCCATGCCCGCATCACCCCCACCAACCCCTCGTCGCGCACCATCCACGTCTCGGGCACCTCGTCGCGACGGGGCGACGGCACCTGGGACGGCGTGATCGAGCACCCAGATGGCACCTGGACGCTGGACATCCGCGAGCAGACGGCTGCGGTGCTGCGCAACATCGACACGGTCATCCGCGGCGCGACGGACGGCAAGGGCAGCATCCAGAACGTGGTCGAGGCGACCGTCTTCCTCACCGACCTGGCCGGCTGCTACAAGGGCATGAACGACGAATGGAACAAGGTGTGGCCGGATCGGGGCGATGCGCCGGCGAGAACGACCATCGGGGTCAAGGAGCTGCCGAACCCGCGGTTACTGGTGGAGATCAAGTGCACTGCGATTTGTGAGTGGTGATGCGATGTGATGGTGATAGGATGGGTATGAGCGAAGTGTATATAATGTGCTCTAATGAACTATTCACGAATGTCTGAGAAACGTGCATCAACAAGGTATACAAGCATGTCCTACTCCAGCCATGCTTCGATTGCCTGCCGGAGATGGTCCTGCAGCCATGGCTCCTCCAACGGTGTATCATTATCAAAGCCATGCTCGCCCTCTCGCAATGTGAGCACCAACCGATCTCCCCCGGGCGTTCCGCGCATCATCTCGCTCGCCTTGCGGATGAATTTCTCCGATCCCTCCTTGGGCACCACCATATCCAGCACTCCATGCAGGATGGCAATCCCGCCGCGGGGAAGACTCGCCCCGGGCTGCTCGAGTTTCTCTAGGGGGAAGCGCACGGCGCGCTGCGGACAGTGCTCCGTGCCCCGCTCATACAGCGCCAGCAGGTCGCCGTAGTGGATGGCGGCGATCATCAGGTCGAGACGCTCTGGCAGGATGGCCGAAGACCGGACGGATCCCGGCTGCACCTGGGCGAGAAAGTCTGCGACGAAGGACGCCGGCAGCGGGGGATCGGCCAGCGGCGTGGGCGCAGGCGTGCTGAAGTGTGTCGAGGCCATGTCGACGCAGGGGTATCCGGCTGTCGTGGCGCGGATGGCGTCCGGGTGCGCCAGGCCCAGGTAGATGCTGAGCAGACCGCCGGCTGACTCGCCGGCTGTGAGGATGCGCGAGAGGTCCAGTTCGGTCTGCGCTGAAGTATTTGCCAGGAGCTGCGCTACGGCCGGAGAATGGAGCCAGACCCAGAAGTCTTCGATGTCCTCGTAGATCTCGAGGCTGGTGGCTTCCGGCATCAGCCGGTAGTTGGGTGAGACGATCACGGCGTTGTACTTGCGGGCCATGTCGAACAGCCACAGCGGGAACCATTCCAAGTAGAGCGAGTCTCCAGTGACCTAGCATGTATGTGTGAGCTGACTGGGGTGGGGGTAAGTGGTGGAATGTGTTGACATACCAGGCCGCCTCCGTGAAACCGCACAATGATGGGCCGTTTTCCGGCGTAGTCTGACTTGGGGATGATGAAGTCGGCTCTGATTTCATGGTCGCCCACTGTTTTATAGGGCGACTGGATCAGGTCGAAGCCGGCGAGGCGGTTGTTGACGGACATGATGCTGCGATTTGATGGATGAAGAAGTAGTGAACACCTGTTCACAGGATGAGTCTGACTGTTTATAGTCAGACGGAGATAGCGGAGAAGAGCGCCAGTGACAGGGTTGGTTGCTGTGGCTACATGGATTATATAGTAGGTGTCTTTTGTATAGATGTTGTATAGATCTATAGTTCTGTAGTTCTATATAGTTCAATTGAATGAATGCCATGAATGTCCATAGTGGCTCCAACAAAGAATCACTGCTTACTGACCCACCTCGGCTATGCATTCCGCGGACTCATCGTCCACTTCCGCTCCTGTATACTTCACTCCTCTACATCCCCCCAGCCATCTGATGCATCCAACATGAAAGGCCACTGTCTCATCAACGGCACGGCCTCTGCCGACCTGCTCTACTCGTCCCTCCCGCTGAGCTTCTGGGGCGGCGTCGATCCCACAACAGGCCGCATCGTCGACCACCACCATCCGCTCAACGGCCAGTCCATGGCCAACCGCATCCTAGCCATTCCATGCGGTCGAGGCTCCTGCTCCGGAAGCACCGTGATGCTCGAGCTGCTGTTGAACGGCTGCGCCCCGGCGGCCTTGATCTTCGAGCAGCGCGAGCAGATCTTGACCCTGGGCGTCCTCGTCGGACAAGCCCTCTTCGACTGCTCCATCCCAGTCCTCGTCCTCTCTCCTTCAGACTTCCTCCATCTACGCAGCGCCCCCTACGCCGCTATCCACGGCGACACCCTCTCGCCGAGCAGCACCCCCCTCCCCCAGCCCCCTCTTCCCCCAGCACCCCCCATCCCCTTCCCACCCATTCCCCTCTCCCCATCCGACAAAGCCACCCTCTCCGGTGAACACGGCGCAGCAGCCCAAATAGCCCTGGATATCCTCCTCCGCTTCGCCGCCCTCCAAGGCGCCCCGGGCCTGCTGCCCGTCTCGCGCGCCCACATCGACGCCTGCATCTACACCGGCCCAGCCAGCCTGGCATTTGCGCAGAAACTCCGCGCCCTCGACGCCCGCGTCGTCGTCCCCACCACCCTGAATGCCATCTCCATCGACCAACGCCGCTGGCGCGACCTCGGCGTCGACCCAGCCCTCGCCGCAAACGCCGACGCCCTGGCCGCCGCGTACCAGGCCATGGGCGCCCAGCCGAGCTTCACCTGTGCGCCGTATACGCTCGACGATGCGCCGCTACCAGACGAGGATATCGGCTGGTCCGAGTCCAATGCCGTCGTCTTTGCAAATAGCGTGCTCGGCGCGCGCACCCAGAAGTACCCGGATTTTGTGGATGTGTGCATTGCGCTGACGGGGCGCGCGCCCCGCGCTGGGTGTCATGTGCCTGAGGGTCGGAGGCCGGTGCTGCGGGTTGAGGTGGGTGCTGCTGCTGCTGCTGCGGTTGGCGGGCTGGGCGGTGGGGATGGGGATGCGGTGTTCCCGCTGCTGGGGTATGTGGTGGGTAAGGCTGCGCAGCATCGCATCCCGCTGGTGTGTGGGGTGGAGGGGCTGGCGCCGGGGATGGTTGATCTGAAGGCGTTCAGTGCTGCGTTTGGGACGACGGCGTCGGCGGCTATGTTCCATGTCCGCGGGGTGACGCCGGAGGCGGCGCAGTTTGCTGACGGTCTTGAGTTGGAGGCCGTGGAGATTACACGGGATGATGTGCGAGCGGCCTGGCAGGCGCTCAACTCGGCGCGCGATGTGTCTGTCGGCCTGGTCTCGCTGGGGAATCCGCATTTTGCGCTGGATGAGTTTGCGCGGCTGGCGGGTCTGTGTGCCGGGCGGAGGAAGAGTGCAGCAGTCGAGCTGATAATCACGACGAGCCGGAATAACTACGAGCAGGCGCGGGAGGCTGGTCATGTTGCCGCCGTGGAGGCGTTCGGTGCCACCGTCATCACTGATACTTGCTGGTGCATGATCAGCGAGCCGGTCATCCCGCGTTCGGTGCGCAATATCATGACCAACTCGGCCAAGTATGCGCATTATGCGCCGGGCATGGTGCAGCGGGGAGTGCATTTTGGGAGTCTGCGGCAGTGTGTGGATGCTGCGTGTTGCGGAGTGTTTGATTCTGCTAGACTAGTAGAAGCTATACAGCCTAGCTCATAGAGGTCTCATAACATATCTAGCAGTTATATCTAAAGCTCCGGTCCTCCTTGTCCGTCACATCTGCCCCAGCAGGAATCTCCTCTCCGACAATCCCCTGCGCCAGCTCCTGCTCGCGCTTGTTGTTCTCCCTCGCACAGATACACCAGTACAGCCCCGTAACCACAAACAGAAGACACCAGGTCACGATGGCCGTCACCACGCCCTCGAAGTACTTGGGCTTGTGCTGCCACAGCTGGGGCGCGGCGATACACCCGACACAGTACCCGATGAAGAACAGGCTGTTCACGACGGCGCGCTTTGTGTTGCCCTTGACGTTGGAGGCGCTCAGACTCAGCAGGATCGTCATGACGTCGGAGATGATGGAGGCCTGTCGGTCGATCAGTACCAGTACATCGTGTGCCGTGGGAAGCGGGAAGTGAGGCATACCAGCCACGAGGCCACCACGAGCCCCCATTTCGTCGACAGCGGCAGCTTCAGCAGCAGCACGTTCCCGATGAGCGGCGGCACCGTCAAGACCATGACGACGAGGGCGCGCTTCTGCGGGAACAAAAGACACGCGATCACGGCGATCCAGATGAAGACGATCTGCACGGCGCCGGACGGCGAGCCATAGAGCACTGTGTGGAATTTATCATATCCAATATTGTTGATCACCAGGGAGGCGAACTGTCGTCAATAAGTATACACCCTGTGACGCACTCTAGGAAGGCGGAAAAACTCACAGTAAGCACCGGCGACTGCATGGTAACCAGCAGCCCAAACGCAAACACAAACCACGACTTGACATCAAACGCCGCCTCCTTGAGCTGCGCCAGCGAGAAGCGTGTGAAATCGCCGCCCTCGCGGTCCGCCGCCATACGCAGCTTGAGCACCTCTTTCTCGCGCGGCGTCAGGAACCACGCGTCGTCGGGGCCGTTCGGCATGACGAGGTAGAACACCACCCCGGAGAAGACGGTCAGCGCGCCGCACACGAGGAAGAGAGTCCGCCACGGCGCCAGCCCCAGACTGGTGTTCTTGCCGATGCCGTACATCAGCAGCGAGCCGATGACTTGCGCCAGGCCGTTCATCGTCACCCAGAGACTGCTCGTGTTAGTTGTGAGTTGACATCATCCCGGGGGGGGGGGGGGGGGGGGGAGACTACCCTATGCGCAGGGGATGGTCTTTCTTTTGGTACCAGATGCTGGTGATGGTCACGAAGGCCGGGCTCACGGCGCCTTCGAAGAAGCCGAGCAGGAAGCGCACGGCGGCGAAGCCGGCGAAGGTGGTTGGTGCTGCGAGACACATGCAGATGCCGCCCCAGACAATTCTACCGGGTCCCTATTAGTGATGGCATGGCAAGAGGGTGGGCTGGACCTACACTGTAGCCCCGACGAACTTGGTCAGAGGAAGACGGCTCATAAGGTAGATGAAGGGGTATTCGGCGACGAGTTGGCCTAGCCGGTGAGTATGTGGTTATCTAGTGGTGTAGAGATCGTACCGATGTAGAAGATCGACGAACACCAGGAATACTGGCTCCCGTGGAGGTCTAGGTCGGTGATGAGGTCGAACACAGCGGCGTAGCTAAGACTCTGCTTGTCGAGGTCTGTCATGTTAACATCAACATCTGCATCTAGAACCGTCGTTGTGTCTCACATTGGAGAAAGAAAACAATACACAGCTATGCGTATTAGCAACGTCCATCGCGGAGACAGCAAGACATACCATCGGCAAGATCACCATATCGATCTTCTTCAGCACACGCCGATCCTCCTCTGGCGTATAGGTACATTCTCCTGGAAGACAGTCCTCGCCTTTCCCCGCGTCCGACTGCACCCCCATTTTCTCTTTTCTGTCTGCCATCTCGTGGTGATTTTGAAGAGACATTGTACATCAGCGAGAGTCGACATTCATATTACACCGCTGGATGTGATATGGCGGAGATGCAAGGGATATCGTCCTTTATCATGCAGCGTTGCGCTGATCCGACGGTAGCGTCGGAGACCTGGCCGATAGACTAGATACCTTCACTAACCCAAGACTAAGAAGATCGACTGGGTTCTCCGCACCTTATCATGCATGGGCATGTCCGTGGACGATTCGAGTAACGACTCGTACCCGTAAGCAATGAACGTATTCGATCGTCTATCGGCTGATATGTACACTGATCTATTCGTTCGAATCGCGCTTTTCTCGCAACTCCTCCCGCCAGCGATGTCCCCGCCAATACACCAGCCACAGACACGGACTAAACACCGCCCAGACGCCCGCGACAAACGTGCCGGTCCAGCCGATGCCTATACGATCGATCAAGGGCGCCGCCAGCGCCGCGGCGCCCGCCGCAAACAGACAGCGCACCAGGTTGTTGGCGGCCTGCGCGGTGGCCGCGCTCTGCCGGTGGGTGTCGACGATGAGGGTGCTGAGGGTGGTGAAGGCGCCGGTGATGAGGTGGCCGGTGAAGAAGAGCATGACGACGGGGCCGGCCAGCGAGGTGCGGAAGGCCATGACCCAGCCGTAGGCGATCATGCACAGGCACGAGGCGTACAGCAGCGGGATGGTGACGGCCAGCCGCGCGCGCTCGATGTCGAAGCCGCGGATGTCCTCCTGGCGGTTCTGCACGAGCGGCAGGTTCTGCCGGCGGGCTTCGCGCCGGAAGTTCCAGTCCAGTACGGGGGCGATCGTCCACCGCGAGGTGAGACTGCCCACGCCGAAGGGGAGGTAGCACAGGCCGACCTGGATGGAGTTGAAGTGGAATCGCGAGGCCAGCTGGGCGGAGAGCGTGCTCGTCACGATCATGTACCCGCTGAACATGAGCGCGCCGAAGAGGAGAATCGTACCGGCTTCTTTCTCCAGCGCGATGCGCACGGCCGTGAGTGGGTTCGGCCGCTGGCGGCGCTTCTGCACCGATTCGTAGTTGACGGGCTGCGTGTCTGCGTGGCAGGGTCTGATGCAGTCGCGGGTGAGCGTCCACAGGGGCCGGTTCCATGGCGGCGGCGGCACGGAGCCGTTGCCCACGATGACGCGACAGGTCTCGGGCATGAAGATCAGGATGAGCGAGAGGAAGACGCCCGAGAGGATGGCCAGGAACCAGAAGATCCACCGCCAGCCGAGGAAATGGTCGATCAGGCCGCCGATGACGGGGCCGATGGCGGTGCCCAGCGTGGTCCCGATGCTGGCATAGGCGATGTATTTGCCTCGCTCGGCGCGCGTGGAGATGTCGGCGACAACAGCCACGCCGATGGCGATGGTACCGCTGCTCCCGGCGGCCTGGACGCAGCGCAGCACCATGAGGGCGGCGTAGTTGCTCTGCAGGGCGAGACCAATGTTGGCTGCGAGGTAGATGACGAAGCAGAGGATGTAGGCGGGCCGACGGCCATAGGTATCGGAAAAGGAGCCGGTGAAGGAGGGCGCGATGCCTTGGAGGATCTGAGGGTGTCAGCAGTAGAAGTACAAGATTATCTATGGATATGTCACATACCAGATACGTCGTGACGGTCAAGTTGATCAGCGAATTCGACACATGCATCTCTTTTGCCAGCGCGGGCAGGGAGGGATAGTAGATGCCTGCCGACATGGGCGACACTATCCCCATGAACGAAGCCCCCAGGATGATGGTGATTTTGCGGCGCTCGGACAGCACGCAGTATGGGATGTCATCTTTGGACTTTGGGACGTTCTTTTCGGGGTCTTCGGGGTGATTCTGAGGTTGGATCTCAGGGGATTTGGAAGTAGAAGTGGAGCTGTGAGTCTGGTGGTGTTCAGCCATGATGCACCAAAAGGGAAATCCAGTCCCGTGATGCCACAGCCCTAATTTCCCAGAAATGTTGTGTCTGTCGGTTCAGTCTTCGCCAGCTGGATGTATTGGATTCTTCTTGGATGCTTAAGAGGTGGAAGCATCATCCCAACTCTTGTGTAAAATGCATCCATGTTGAGCCCGGTTCAGGCCCGGCACCGGCGTGGTGGGGACTTTCTAGTGCTGTTCATCCCGGTTCAGGCTTCATCCACAAGTCGCACAACACATATAAACAAACCCACTCCTGTAACTCCTGTAACTCCTGTTCACTCCTGTGAGCTTCTTGCTCTTTCAATAACTCATTCATCAACTCAGTATCATGTCCTGTGACGCCTGTCGTACCATCCCCCCCGTCGTCCCCGAGGGATATACTCCCAAAGGCGCCTATGAGACCATCGCCGGCCTCAACACATGTATTTCCCACGCCAATGACCAATCTCTCGAATGTAGCTGACAGAATAGATGTGACCGGCCCCAAGAATGCCACGGCCGGCATCGTGGACATCTACGACATCTTCGGCATGGCCATCCAGACCCTCCAGGGCGCCGATATCCTGGCCACGCGGTTGAACGCGGTCGTGCTGGTCCCGGATTTCTTCCACGGCGCTGCCGCTCAGCACGACTGGATCCCTCCGGACAGTGAGGAGAAGCAACGTTTGATCACCGACTTGATTGAGAACCAGGCGTCCATCCCGAAGAACGTCGAGGTTCTGCGTGAGGCCGTTGCCGCTTACCGGACTGTGTTCCCATCGGTGCAGAAATGGGCTGCCCTGGGATTGTGCTGGGGTGGAAAGGTGGCTTCATGGCAATGAATTGAATCCTGGTTGTTGTTGACATTATATCTAGGTGGCGGTTCTTGCGTCCGGTGCTGAGACTCCGTTTGCCGTGACCGGACAAGTGCACCCTGGGTAAGTCGTTCGTTCTTTCAACTATCTCAATCATTCCACTGCAATACTAACGCTGCGCAGTCGCATGGAACAGGCCGATGCTGAGAACCTGACCATCCCGCATATCGTGCTTGCGTCCAAGGATGAGCCCGCCGACATCGTGAACCACTACACGGATATCCTCGCGCGCAACGGAATCGGCGGCCATGTCGAGACCTACACCACCATGTGGCATGGCTGGATGGGAGCGCGGGCTCGTCTGGATGAGAAAGAGAGCTCTGCCGAGTACATTCGGGGGTATGTTGACCGCATGAGAAGACGGGACTGCGCTGACCATATCAGATACACCCAGATTGCCGACTTTTTCGAAAAGTATCTCCAATAGATGTATGCAGATATATGACGGAATGCAATTCTTCAGTAGCTACAGAATATCCATATCAAACCTCCGATAATGCATGCATGATAGCGACATGGATGTCCGACGCCGGATGAGTCAGGCCCACAAGACTAAGAAAGAAACCCACCACATAATACGATTCACATTCCCTCAACACATCAGTAATAACCCCCGTAATACCTCCACAAACATGGCCCCCTCGGTCCTCCTCTTCGGCGTCGGCAGCGTCGGCGGCGTCTATCTCTACCAGCTCCAGCAAGCCGGCTGCACCGTCACCGCCGTGTGCCGCTCCAACTACGACGCCGTGCAGCAGCACGGCTTCACCCTGCAGAGCAAGCAATTCGGCACCGTCACCTACCGCCCCGACCATCTCGTGCGCACATTATCCGACTGCCCGCCAGACGCCGTGTACGACTATCTCATCGTAACCACCAAATCCTTCCCCGCCAGCAGCAACAGCCGCAGCCCCCTCGCGGAGCAGCTCCAGCCGGCGCTCGCCAACCGCCCCAACACGACCATCGTGCTCGCGCAGAACGGCATCGAGATCGAGCCCGAGATCGCCGCCGCCTTCCCGGCGAACCCGCTCCTCAGCGCGGTGATCTACCTGCCCGCGACGCAGATCGCCCCGGGCGTCATCGAGTACCCAGAGACGCTCAACGTGCTCGAGCTGGGCACGTATCCGGCGGACGCGCCGGCGGCGCACAAGGCGTCGGCGCAGGTGCTCGCGGAGCGCATGCGCGCCGGCGGCAGCGACGTCTCCGTGCTCGAGGACGTGCAGACCGCGCGCTGGGCGAAGCTGATCGTCAATGCGTCGTGGAACCCGGTGTGTGCGCTGGCGCTGTGCACGGACGGCGACTTTCTGCGCTGCGCGGACCCGTTTGCGCGCGACCTCGTCTGGGGCATCATGATGGAGATTGTGGCGCTGGCGAAGGCGGCGGGCGTGCCGGGGGTCGATGAGGAGGCGGCGGCGAAGCGCATGGCTGTTGCGACGCGGCGCGCGGAGACGCGGACGGGTCGCGAGCCGAGTATGTTGCAGGATGTGCGGCAGGGTCGGCCGTTCGAGGTTGGGGCTATTATGGGCAATGCGGTGCGTCTGGAGAGGAAATGGGGGGTGGCGATGCCCCGGCTGGAGACGGTGTATCCGCTGGCGAAGGGACGGTATGAGGCGATGGTGCGGGAGTTGCGTATGAGTAGTAGGGCATAGGGTTGTCGTGGATGCCGTATAGACGTCGTATAGATGGTGTATAGATGAGATAGCGATGACGAACAACGGACTATGTATACCCTTCTCCCCCCGCTTCTTCTCCCTCTCTCCTCCATCTCTCCTGCAACTTCTCATCACTCTCCACTGCACTCCTCTCTCTACCAAACACACCTTCTACAACCCATCTTACCAACATCCACACCATCTATACACTCAACATCTCAACCTCTACCAAACCATACCTTCTACTCAACAAATCTTACCAACATCCATACCACCTACACTCAACACCTCAATATGGGAGTCAAAGAAACCACCTTCATCCTCCCCACCACCACCACCACCACCACCACCACCACCACCGAACTCAGCTACGCCTCCGGCAACCTGTCAGGCACGACCAACACCCGCTTCAACAGAACCGGCCGGTCAACGGCCGACGAAGACATTATCTCAACCAAAGACGGGTTCATCAATGAAGACCTACGAGCCGGCGGGCCTCATCTCTGCGAGATGAGGTCGCAGGATTTTGACCTCCTCCCGTGCCGTCACGATGATGTTATCTCTTCCATCTGGGATACGGTGGTGGAATCTATCTTCAGCGCTATTGGAACAGAGGGAGTGCGTGCCATTGGGTGCTATCGCATCCGCACCCCTTATACAAAGAACAAAAAGGATCTGCCTGTTACTGTGGTGGTGGACGTGGATCAGCGCGCGCGGCGCAGCTGGAAGCCTGTTCGTGATGCGATTATCAGTGTACTTGAGCAGTGGACGCTCTGTCATGTCGGGGTGCTTATCAGACAGGATACGAAGACGAAAGATGTGAGTGTCGGCTGGAAGCAGTTTGTGCCTGTACGGAAAACTCTCCAGACAAGATCTGTAGCCCGGTTTGGGCGGCTGGCTGGTCGTTTGGGCCTGGTACGTGCTTGATTGTTCTGTTGTTCTCTGTGTCTGTTGCATTTGATACCAGGCTGCCGCCAGTGTTTATTGATATTATCATGTTTCCATTGAACCGAGTGTTACTTGTATATAGATCGTGAAGATCTATACCTACCGAAATGTGAGACGGTTATCTCAACCAGCAAATATATAGTCGTCGTGGAGACGACTCAACAACCCAATACTAATAAATCGTCGTAGTACAGAGCTATATATATATGCAGAATACTCAAGAATATCACTCCTACGGTGTATATACTTCTACAAATTGTTATGACGACCCCCTGATCTTATCTTATCGCATCACCTGCATGCGGAACACCAACACACCATCACCTCAACTCGACCTCCTCCACTACACCACCACCTCCCACCAATCCACCCCAGCAAAATGGAGGAAACCCAACCCCCAGTCTTCAACTACATCCTCTCCTTCCTCCTCGTCGGCGTCGCCTGGGGCTTCACAACCCCCTTCATCCGCCGCGCCGCCGCCGATTTCAACGCGCGCCAGGAGCAGCACCAACAACACCAACAACCAGCACCCGTTCCCTCATCCTCCGAACCCACCGACGAAGCCCAAGAACTCACCTCCTACACAGACCGTACCTCCAACCCGACCTCATCCTCCGACTCGGAAGAAGAAGAAGAAGAGGACCAACCTCCGCCGCCTCCGCCCGCAGCCAACCGCCCCGCCTGGATGCAGTCGCACTCGTCCTCGCGGAGCGCCTGGCTGCGGAACAAGATCGTCTCGGTGTTCTGGACGGTGGTGAACCTGCTGCGCACGCCGGCGTATGCGGTTCCGCTGGTCATCAATTTGACGGGGAGTGTGTGGTTCTTTTTGCTCGTTGGGAAGCATGGTACTTTCCCCTTCCTCTCCCCTCTGATTTTGTGTGTAGGATGGGTTGGAATGCTAACAAGCTACCTTACCTAGAATTGTCGTTGACAGTCCCGTTGGCTAACTCGAGTGCGTTTTTGTTCACCGTGCTGGGGGAGTGGTATGTCGAGGGGAAGGTCATTGAGAAGGAGACCTGGGCGGGGATGGCGCTGGTGCTTGGGGGGATTGCGATTTGTGTACAGTCTAAGACATAACCTTTGGAATAATAATATACTGTAGACGGATATACTGGAGGTGCACGGGGTTGTATTATAATATGGGTGGGCAACATAGAGGCAAAAAAGAATGCATCATCCGTGAATCGAACACGGGCCTCATCGATGGCAACGATGAATTCTACCACTAGACCAATGATGCTTCGTTGGAGGATGGGATTTATTTTGGCTATATCAATGTCCACCTAAGAACTAACGTCAGGTATAGTACACTATCCAAGTATCTACCTACATTTAAACGGGAAACCCCAATCATGCTGCATCAGCTTCATGAGCATCGTCGTTATCATAATACCACATGAGCCAGCAGTGGTACCTTATCCGCCTCATAAATCATACACAAATGCATCAAACACCCCGGAACTACACTCGTTAGCACCACTCAACCATCCTGGGGAAGAAAACTCACCATCCGAACAACCAAATACCACATGGCCCCAATAAACTTGAAAATCGACAGCCCCGCCACACTCCACAACACCACCGCCATGTAGATGGTCGCCCGCTCGTTCGACGTCGACTCGGTGTCTTTGCTGTTGTCGAACCGGTCCAGGCCCGCCGCGCTCAGCACCACGGCTCCCAGGGCAAAATTGCAAAACACCCACACCAACACGACGGCACTGCGGAAGCCCTTGTAGTAGTCGGCTTGCCGCTCCTCCTCCGAAATCACCTGCACCTCCTTGGGCGGCTTGTGCGCGAACTTGGACAGTTCCGCGTCGTACTGCGCGTTCAGGTCGCCGTCATCCTGTGGGATGTTCACGTCGACCTTGCCGCCGGGTTTGAGGTTGGCCGATGGCAGCTTCTCCGCCTTGTCGTCGCCTTTGGTTCCCCAGGTGATGTCGTGCGTGTTGCAGAAGGCGTAGATGTTCAGCACATTGATGTAGGTGGGGGTAAGGAGGATGTATTGGAGGAACTGATTGGTGAGAAGACGACCCTATAGACCGGGGAGGGGAGGGGACTTACGCTGGTAAACATGTGCCACGGGTCGAGGAAGATAAACGACGCGATGAACCACATGACATAAGTCGATCCCAAGGACACGATGATCGAGAAGAACTGCTTGTTGGTGAACAGAGTGGCGAACGTAAAGTCCTGCTGGGACACCTCCTTCTGGATCGACCGCACCGTGACAAAAACCGCGGCAAACATCAAGTATATCATGATGCCGATCCAGAAGTAGACCATGGTCATGTAGAACTTGTTGGAGCCACCCGGTCGGTTACCCAGTGCCAGGACGAAACACGTCACCAATGTCGCCAGATACAGCCATTCAAACACCACGCCCAGCACCTTTCCAGCCGTGCCAAGGAGGTCTTTGTCGCCGAGATATGTCGTGAGAATATGGAACACCAGGAAGAAGTTGCCCTAGGAAGTCAGTACGCAGACGTGCAACCAGGTGCGCAAACTTACAATATTGAACCACGCAAACAGCATCGCAATCGTCTGGTAGATGAACTCGATCAACAGCATGAACTTTCGCATGAAGCTGTGGTCGCTGCGCCAGATCTGGTAGAAATGGGTGATGGCGTAGACCGCCGCGAAGAAACTGCCGTTCAGCCAGCGACGACGCTGCAGGATGAACTCGGCCATCCGGTCCGGCACATCAGTCTCGCCAGTTGACGACTTGACGTATTGCAGGAGCCAGCGACAGTTGCGCTTGGACACGATTTCGAAACAGAGGATCCGATCCTCGGCCAGGTACATATTGGCGGTGAAAATACCAGCATTGGCGCCATGCATCTTCTCACCCAGGAAATACCGCTCCAGCGGCCCTTGGCCGTTCTTGTCATTCTGCAACGCGACATAGCGGTAGGCGGAAAAGGCACCGGGAAGCACGGTGATGAATCCAAAGGCCGATTCGAGCGGCTTGTCCAGAATATTGCTCAGCTTGTACTCGAAGTTCTGTCCCGCCACCAAGGGGTTAAGGAGCTTCTTTCCATGCTCCAACATGACCTTGATCTCGCCACAGGCACCGCCGCACATCGGTTCCACGTCGAATGCTTTCCACAGATGGTAGATGGAGTCTCTTCCCGGGCGCGTACCCGCATCGAGGAGCACGCAAATGTTCGGATCCAGCACGCGACCAAAGGCCTGGAAGAACCACCGGTGGGAGTTGATCTTCTTTTGGTTCTTCTCCTTCAGACAGAAGATCATCTGGACCGGGACACCGCTGCGCTGCTTGACATGTACCTGGGTTCCCTTGAGCTCCAGGCCCACCTGGGTCGTGTACTCGTAGATATGGGCCGTCACGTCCTTGCCGTTGACTTGCTGCTTGGCGATGCCGTCTTGGTACACTCCCAGCGCGGCGAGGACGGCACGGGTGCGCGGGTTGATCTTCGCACGACCGTCGCTAATCACGCAGACGACGATTTTCTTCCAGGCATCCTTGCCCCAGGTCTTGCTCTGCGTTCTGGAGCACATGTGCTCGATGTTCTTGAACACACCGATCAGGGTGCGGGCGAAGAGGAAGTCATCCTCGTTGTACATGGTGATGGCGATGAACAGCTCCGTATGACGGGGTTTGGCAAACAGCTTCTGGCGCAGGGTGAAGCGCTCCTCGAAGAAGTCGGCCGGGTCGCAGGTGGCGGCGGAGTAGCGCATATGGGTGAACTCATCACGGCCTGGAGGTTCGGCATGAGGGACTTGGGAGAGGAGTTTGGGGGCGATGGGGCAGTCGAGGACCAGGTTTCCGTTGAAGAGCTGGACTTCCTTGACGGTCTTCCATCGTTTGATGGGGGCGGGACTGGGGGTATGCGCGAGGGTGGGGTCATCCTGGAATTCATCGCTGTAGGGATCGGGTCCGAAGGGGTTTTCAGGCTGCTGGAGGATGGGGACGCGGTCGTCGGTGTAGGGGTTCTGGTGTTCGGGGTACTGGCCGAGGTCATAGTCGTCTTGCGGGGTCACCGTGGGCTGATACGGTTGGGTGTAGTAGGCGTCGTGATGGGCCTCGGGGTCGACCGAATAGTCATATCCGTAGTTGGGTCGATGGTGGTCCTCGTAGGCTTCATTGTGGCCGTATGAATTTGGGAGTCGCTCGACGGAATACTAGAATCCGTCAGCGTCTCAGGATTTTTTTTTTTTCGGTGTGTAGGGATCTCACTGTTGGCTGTTCGGCCAGTATATCACTGGAATTGGGCATTTGCAGATGCTGACGAGGCGCATAGGGGTTATCCTCGAGCTGGTAGCCATTCAATGGCCTCCCCGGGGAGGGGGTGCGGTTGTGATAGTGGTTAGGATCCATGATGGGAGAGCGCGAGTCGTTCTCCCCATAGGGGTCGGGGTCTCCTAGGCGATGTCAATATACGCAGGAGAGCAGTAGGTAAGTGAAGTCGCGAGGAGATCAGAGGTCGAGAGTAGTGGTGCGACCGATGCGACAGGAATTCTGTACTGCGACAGTGCGAAGTGCAGTGATCCGCGCTGGAAGTTTCAGGGAAATTGATGCGGAGAAGACGACGCGCGACACTCCACCTGAGATGAAAAAAGGAGAAAACTCACCCAAGCGATTGTACGACATGATAGACGATCGGGAGCCCCTAAGAGATTAGGCGAGGAGCGCGGGTGGAATGTGAAGCGGCGTCAATAATGCGATGCGCTTTGATAGTCCGACGCACCGACTCTCGGCGGGAGTTTCAGATAGTCGGGGTAGGAGGGGTGAAGAAAGGAGGGGATAATTAAAGGATCCAGGAAGGGTTCTTTATGCGAATGCCTGGACCGAGTAGCGCCACCACTGGAGGAGAGATGAGAAGGAAGAGAAGAAGAGAGAGAGAGGAAGAGAGCTGAAGAAGGCTGTGTGTGAGGCGGTTGACCAAGGAACGCGGGATGATCGTTACTTAGTGTCGACGATTGTTGTGGTGGTACCGGTACCTGTTGTTGGCGGGGAGGGTGGTGATGGACGAGGTACTGGTACTTTCTGTTCATCTCCTCTACCTGAGGCTTCTTTCTTTGGCATCTATGGTATCTAGTATCTATTCTGCTCTCTCTACCCTCTATCATCGTGCATTCTACCTAGGAACACATTGTGTCTCCCCTGAAACACTGCCCAGCAACGACCCGCGGATCGGATTCTCCACCGCGTCTCTGGGCCAACAGGCAATCTGCTTTGTATCCCACAGCCACTCCATTGCGTGGCGGTTCCCTGGGTGGCATTCTTTTTATAACTTTGGCTGGAGCCTAATCTCGGTTCGTCAGCCCTAAGTAGAGATTTGTCAGGGTTTCAAGAGATTCTGTGAAGATATTGGTTTGGTGACTAGTTCTAGTAGTTACTAACTAGTTAATACTCCGCATGTCGGATCCATCAGGGATACGTCATTTGACCTTCTGAATCTGCCGTCACATGAATGATGGATTCTTAACTTGTTTGACTTGCATTCTTCAGTTTAGGGTTGGGGTATGCACGCAAACTCGTGATCATCCGCATAGGTAGGGTTAAGAGTGCCTGTTTGACGGATGTAACTATATAAAGAACCAGTGTAGTCGCATCAGATCCAAGTACAGATCTTTGCGGGGAATTGCCGCTATTCTAACCTGTCTGTGTATATAACCCTGTTCTATAGTATACCCTACTAATTGTCTCTCGATGTATGAAAATTGGAGATGCCAACACGAGAGACTACTCCGATCACTCGGTCGCCGCATCGAATCAAATACACTCGGCATCAAGGTCAAATCATCTCTGTTCGCCTTATCGGTGTTGGCCCTTGAAGGTTTCCCCAAAGGGATGTTCCAGACGAGCGATATGCGGACAGTCATCAAGCTTAACCTTTAGCGTCAACATCACCGGCTATTCTTAACCTTAGCGGTGTCCTGCAGTATACCTCCTCAGACGTCTTCAAAATACTTAAAGACATCAACGGTCTCATTCTTCATAGACTATTCAATTCCTGAGTATACGATCAGACTCTTCTCTTCGATACAATGACAGCACACCCGTTCGATCCCCTCACTCCGAGAGAAATCTCCAAGGTACGAGACCCGATCTATACACCACGCCCAACTGACAACTGACAACGCAGTCGGCGGACATTGTTCGCGCCCACTTCCATGGCCAGAGTCCTGTCTTCCGGGTCATCACTCTCAAGGAACCACCTAAGCAGGAGATGATCCCATTCCTTGAAAAGGAACACCTGGGACAGTCTCCTACACCTCCACCCCGCACCGCTCACGTCCAGGTCATCCTCCGCACTGACAAGGGAACAAACGAACTCATTGAACTCTTGGTCGATCTCCAACATGACACAGTCGTCAAAAAAGAACATCTCCCCGGGAAAAATTCCTACATCGATCCCGAATACATGAGAGCCGTCGAGACGGCCTGCATGGCCGATCAACGTATCCAAGACGAGATCAAGAAGCTCCAACTCCCCGCCAACGCCTCGGTCATTGTCGAACCGTGGGCCTATGCTACTGACGGCATGAACGATATGACCCAGCGCATTACTATGGTCAGCCTACTTGCGATATGTATCTCTCTAGACTAACCCATCTGCAGTGCTGGTTCTACATGCGATTGCTGGACAACCTCGACGCCCACTACTACGCATACCCCCTGGATCTATGCGCAGAAGTATCAGAGCAGCTCAAGGTCACCAAGATCTACTATCTCCCGTCCTCCCCAGACGAACGGATCACCGACCACGCAGGCCCCTTTGATCGTCGCAAAATCCAATCCACCGCAGCCAGCGAATACCATCCCAGTCTGCGCCCACCACCGCGCAACACCACCAAACCCTATCAAGTCGTGCAACCCGACGGCCCGTCCTTCACCACCAAAGGGAACCTCATCTCCTGGGAAAAATGGACCCTCCGCGTGGGGTTCAACTACCGGGAGGGCCTCACCCTGCACGACATCCGCTACGACGGCCGCAGCCTCTTCTACCGTCTGTCGCTGTCAGAGATGTTCGTCCCCTACGGCGACCCCCGCGCCCCGTACCCCCGCAAAGCAGCGTTCGATCTGGGCAACGACGGCGCAGGCATCAACGCCAACAATCTCCGTCTGGGCTGTGACTGTCTGGGCGTGATTAAGTACTTCGACGGATGGCACAACACTGCCTCCGGCGAGCCGATGAGACTCCCCAACGTGGTCTGCTGCCACGAACAGGACGACGGCATCCTCTGGAAACACACCAACATCCGCACCCAGAATCCGGTCGTCACGCGCGCGCGCATCCTCGTCCTGCAGACCATCATCACCGTCAGCAACTACGAGTACATCTTCGCCTTTCACTTTGGCCAGGACGCCTCCATCCACTACGAGGTGCGCGCCACCGGCATCCTCTCAACCTGTCCCATCAAGCTCGGCGACACCGTGCCCTACGGCACAGTCGTCGCACCCGGCGTCCTCGCACCCTACCACCAGCACCTCTTCTGCCTGCGCATCGACCCCGCCATCGACGGCGTCGCAAACTCGCTGCAGATCGAAGAGTCGCACGCCATGCCCATCCGCGACCCCGCCGTGCACAACCCTTTCGGCGTCGGCTACACCACGCGCTCGACGATCGCCACCACCGAAGGCGGCCACGACCTCGACTTCACCACCAACCGCACCTTCAAAATCATCAACGAGAACCACCTCAACCCGGTCACCGGCTCCCCCGTCGGCTTCAAGCTCCTCCCCTACTACAGCCAGATGCTCCTGGCGCACGCGGACTCCCTGCACGCCAGACGCTCCGAGTACGCCGCCCACGCCGTGTGGGTCACCCGCTACGACGACGAGGAGATGTTCCCGGCCGGCCGGCATACGATGCAGTCCAGCGGGGGCGAGGGCATTCAGTCGGCGATTGCGCGGCGCGCGAACGATCCCGCTGGTTTGAGCGCTGTGCGCAACGAGGATATCGTCGTCTGGCATACGTTTGGGTCGACGCATAACCCGCGCATTGAGGATTGGCCCGTCATGCCGTCGGAGAAGATGGTCGTGGGGCTAAAGCCGGTGAACTTTTTTACGGGCAATCCGGGGCTGGACGTGGCTGTGTCTGTGCAGGAGCGGAATCGGAGTGTGTTGGTTGGTGATGATTGTTGTAAGCTGTGAGGCAGTGGTTATGCGACCTTTGATAAGAATACAGTATGCATACAGACATAATTGTGTACAGAGTAAAAGCCATCGTCACATGGTTGAGAGATTACCTAGGGAGAATCCTCGTGTTGGGGTAGTTGTCAGCTGTTGAGTCAGTCACCGTCAGCCTAACTCTCAACAAGTATTTAGATGCCCGCACTGTCAGATTCTCAACCTGACCTGCTACCCGTTCCCTCTGACATGACAATGGCGATCGGCAACTGTTTCTGCGGCAAGATTCGCATCGAATATACCGGCCAGCCTCTGACATCGGCCAGTACCGTCTGATCATATTCTTCATGAATCCATCTAATATCATCTAGGGCCTGTGCCACTGCCGCGACTGTCGCAAGTTTACCGGGGCAGCCTATTCCTTCGCCTATGTCGCCAAAACCGCCGATGTGACGGTCTCTGGCAGTCCGAAAGCAGTCGCCAAGACGTCGGATAGTGGGAAGGACATTCGGAATTATTTCTGTCCTGACTGTGGTCGGTACCTTGCATTGGAGACAGTGGAACAGCCCTGACGAAGACTAGGCACGCCGATGTTTGGACGAAAGGTAATGCCTGACGGCAAGGTGGACGAGATTACCATCCTCCGGGCAGGAATCTTTGATGACGAGGTCTTGAATGAATGGAAGCCTGAAGGGGAGTTGTTCACGGACAGACGGCTGGAGTGGGTGAATCCCCTCGAGGGTGTTGAGCAGTATGAGGGCATGCTGCCGCTTCCATAGAAGAGTTTGGATATAGGTAGCTCGGGTTATCACCACGAGTTGGTTCTACATGTGCGGCTGTAGCCTGACTCCATAATCGAGACGGTCTTGGTTATCTGGCCTGTCGGGATAGGTGTGATAATACTAGTTTAGGTACTATTTCGGCTTTTCCAGACATATCCCTGATGCTCCAAGCTGGGACGAGAGACAGCGCATTGAAAAATACAAGGCTATGGCCCAGCCTGCTCAAATAAGCTGTGCATGACCACCATCAAGAAAAGGAGCGAGACCAGCAAACCACCTAACAATAACGCCATCGAATCTGGCGGATTTGACATCCACGCGACCCTGTAAGTCAGGGAACAGCTCAACGTAGCAAATGCCCACGGCGCGAGAGACGAATTTGTTATAGAAAGCCGGGTGAGGGCAGCGTATATTAGACAATGAACCGCGATAGCACTTCGCCTTGCTGCCCTCCCTATGAAGTTGTCCCACATTTCCCATAGCGCAGCCGTCAGATACCATGCTAAGTCAACAACATGGACCAGCGGTGAATCGGGGGGAAGCAATGAGGTTGCTTCATGTGCCACGACGCGTGTGGACCCCCAGATAAGGAGACCATGCACCACCAAGAGTTTCATGAGGTCGCGGAGATATACCCATGTATCCGCTGGGAATTTCAGCTGAGTGTAAGACCTATCGCGAGGGCGGAATTCGGCTTTTTCCAGCATATATAGGATCCATTGCTTAATCGGCCTGGACAGCAATCGCCTGCGGAATAACAGAGAATCCGAAGGAATTGAATGGATGTCAACGATGTACAAGGAAGTACCATGGATGGTTTCACTTGTCACTGTGGGATACACAATATTGCCATGGGGTATAGTTGCGTACCATGTGCCATCATGCAGAGTCGTCGGATCTTTCAACCAATCTTCTAACTGCGCCGGAGAAAGCGGATAAGCCCGACAGTCTGCCCATGAAGGCATTGACCATGAAAAAAATTTGTATGGTGGTTTGACTCTCAGCTGTATACCTAGAAAACGGCGTTTGGTGCCGGTCGACAGATAGAACGGAGTATCGACCAGATTGCATGTGTTGCCGCCAGTCGCCCACCGTTGTGTGGTAAGGATTCTCGACCTCTTATCCCACTTGCAGGAAGTTTGCAGGCTCTCGATATCAAAGTCCTTGGGAATTGAACGGATCCAAAATACTAGATCCTGTGCCTGTGGCAATGGGATTTGGTCGGTGCGAGAAGCGAGGCATAGAAACCGCAGAGATGCTGAGTGACGTATGCTGTGATGAAGTAGCTTTATGTCCGACGACGTCCTGTACCAAATTCCTGACCCAGAATAGGCGTCACTAGCCCCTTTCTTGATAGGCACCGCCAACACTATGTCGTGGAGGTGCCTCGGACGGCACTGTAGGAGGGCGTAGTATCTTAGTGGTTCTTCATTATACAACCATGCAAGCGGAAGTTGGATTTGGACTCCGACATTTGTGAGCGAAAACGCAGCACTAGAAGTAGCTTGCGCATTGCACTGGATGATATCGCCACACCCTGCAAAACAAGCAGGAGATACAGCAAAGATCCCAAGGGCCTTAGATCTCGTCGCATCACGGCCCCATGCGAATATCGACTGATCGGCGGAGCGCTTGATTATCTCCTCTTGAAGCCTTCGAAAGGCCCGCGCGCCCTCGCCGTATAGCAGGGGCATGTTAACTCCAAATATCCCCAACAGACAGTACGCGATATCCTCAACCCGGGTGGTTCGTCTGTTTGCCGCCCAGCTCATACGCTCTGCAATGCTAATGCACCTGAGCACCTCCAACCCGTCACGGTCGATCTGCTGCATTGTATCCTTGTCGATCCCCGTCGCAGTCGCGATGCTTAGGATCAGCCCATCCCGCCAAGCGATTGGAGACCAGTCGGACGCGTAGAACACCAAGCAGGAAGGCGCCAGAAGTTCCTGCAGAGTCCAGCCTCGCGTAAACCACTCGCTGTGAATGAACTCCCCGCCGGGATCGTGCGGGTCAGTGCTTGGCGACACATCCTCTAAGAATGCATAGCAGATATCAGCTCTACGATACCAGGTGAACATAGAGTTGATGGCCTCGGACAGCTCGGCGCTGCTGGTTTTATCGATACAACATGTGTCGACCCAGACATAGTTCAGATGATGACGGAGTGCTTGTTCGCAGGTCCGCCGGATCTTAATATACCCGGCTTTTGTCTGAGCGTGGCCGCCGACGGCTTCCATATCCTGCAGGGTGACTTCGTCGTCTCCCCATCTGTGGGATAGAATAGCGTATCGCGGAACGTCCTTGTTGAAGAATGACTCGATCGTCAATGACTTGACATTGATCAGTCGCATAGTGGCTAAATAGTCGGAGAAAATGCTCCAAGTCTAGAATATGGGAATATAGAGGGAGAATAGGAATGGAGGAAATGGGGTGAAAAGAAAAGGTGGAAGGGAAAGCCTTCCACAGCCACGCGCAAGGCTGAATAAGTGTAGCCAAAAATGGCATGGATTAGGTCGTTTCAGGCAGTCTGATATTAACTCATCTCAAGAAACCTCCTGTTCCTACTGAGAGACGCCACTGACCACTGGAAATTGGCTCTGAAAATGAAGAGATACTCCCGTGGCTTGCTATCTCGAGGCTGGCAGTCATTGACACAGGACAGCCTAACGTATGCCCCCAATCATCACTAACCACGTAACGCCACAAATCGCATGAAGGCTTTGGCAATGCATGTCAGACAGATGAGTTCTGACTTAAAATGTCAGGCCGCCTCGCCAGAGTACTGTTTCGAACGATTCTTTCCGCAGCATTCGAAAGTCCATTGAAGAGTCGTTACTTCCACATCCGAAATGGCTGATATCCTGGCAATTTCCGCCGCAGTTGTCCAGTTTTTGGACATCGCAGTTCGAGTCTCTCTCGAGTTGGGCAAGCTGTACTCTGACCTACGTGACGTGCCAGGTCAGCTTCATAGGCTGAAACTCGATATCGATCAACAGATTGCGATAGCGAAGTACATCCTGTCCAGCCATGCGACATTTCAGAGTGATCCACCGGGGCCAGTCACCGCAACATCGCCAATCGACCAGACATTAGCTGATTATGTCCTGGCTATGGAGGAACTTACCGGTCTTCTTCAAAGTATCCGCAGCGAAGATGATGCTGGGTCGATAAGACGAAGCTGGAATGCAATCCGTGCAGTGCACAAGCGCAACAAGATTCTGTCACTCTGTGACAGGCTTGAGCACCAGAAGAGCACTATACTTTTATGGTTAGCCAGCACCAACACGTAAGTCAAGGATTCAAAACACTATGCTGTGGTCGAATCTATGGCTGAGAGTGCCAGTGAGTTATCTGTCCAAATCAAGACACTCATAGAAGGTCTTCATGTGAAAGTCGACAAAATGTTTCATCTCACGCAGAACATCGAGGAGAATTCTATGAAAGCAGATCAACAGCTTCGTCAAATACCAGACTTGGCAACGCTTTCGAATGAAACCAGGCTAGCGGTTTCAGAGCTCACGCATAGCATTGATTCGGCCCACCAGCGATTGCTCACAACTGCCACCAGTACCAATACTCAAATATCTATCCTACAAAATCAGTGGCAAGAACTAGCACCCACGGTATACATGCTAGGAACCAAGTCGTCAGTGAGAAGCTGGCTGACATTTTCCCCCCAAGTTTCACGAATTTCGGGATATCATGCAAAATAACCCACATCTATTGCAATCAATATACCAATTTGGTACAGCAAGACGAGGTCTCTCGCCGCGCAATGGATATAGCTCTTCACTTGGAGCAAATCCGTCTGGAGACGTCATTTCTCATGATACGTCGCGTGGTGCGGCAACCAGCAAAAATCATTCCTGCACTTGCAGAGATATCAGCAATGCCACAAACATCGAACCATTGTCCTTTCTCCATTTCAAAAAAGTATTCAGGCGACACCATTACCGCCAATGCCCGAAGTCAAAAATATCCGAAACAAGCTTGGAGTTTTTTATGAAGATAATTCCACCGACTTGGCTCCTATCTCATACAATCCACCTTGGGTCCTCTTTGCAGTTTTCTAAATTGCAAACCTCATGGAAGATCTCGCCATTGGTGGTTGGTACCTCTAGGCTTGTTGACTCTAGGACGGCGCCGACCTTTTGCGCCATCCAGAAAACCTGGCAATTTTGCTGGTCTGAGACGGGAATCCAACCAGCGCACGTCAGCGCTCTGGAGAGGACCCTGAGAGATATTTTTGAATGCCAACAGGGTTCAGCCTTCGATGAAGACGCTAATGGCAGCACCTTGCTTTATGTGTGTGGCGCTTCCATTCATATCAATAAGTGCTGCTCTAACTTCTGCCGCAGGGAGTACTCGACCTTTATATCTATTCTTCACACTCAAATACCCCACCTATGATTGAGTTTTTCTCTTTGATTCGCTTCTTGATAGATGGAGGAGCAAATCCCAATATTCACCGTCGGGGTCAGTACAAAAATGGGGTCGTGGTGGAACAGGCCGGCACAGTGCTGGATATTTTCGCCAGTATGCTTTTAGATCTGGATCTAAGCTGGTCCAGGGGGTGGTCTATGGATAAATCAGTGTATGAGTCTCTTATCGACGGGGGAGCAATTTTTTCGCGGCCTCTGGCTACTTGCGGGTCCAGACATCCTGTCTTCTATTTCGGCCATTTCAAACAGGAAGTGGTCGAGCTCCAGACATTTGAGGAGCAGATCGACGGTATCTCATATCTCCCGGTTGCAAGTTGTCACCATACTGAGTCTGTCTGTGTAGTGTGCGACTTGAATGACCTGATGGTATCCATCCTTCGACGGAACGAGCCTGACTTCATTCGTGCTTTGGGAAAAGATGATATACAGGCCGTTTCTCGTGCAAATGGCCTAAGGGCTATACACCTCGCTATATATTGGCCATGGGCCCTGAAACAGATCATCCAGGCAGATGCTGATGTCAACTGCGAGGACAGCCACCAGCGTCGCCCGATCCACTTAGCCGTGACGTGCCGGCAGGCTCAGTCGGTGGAGATATTACTCCAAGCCGACTGTTCAGTCTCCACGCCAAATTATTCCAATAGCTTGCTTCAGGAAGCGTTGATTCAAGGTCGGGAGTTTGACTACGTCACCGACCTCATTATCGATGCGTTGATTGACCGACATACGCGTCTTCGTGACCTCGCACTCTCCGTGCTACCAAACGACTCGGGCCCTTCTGTAGATATAGAGAAAGAGACCCTTTCCGAAGTCCGAGCTCCTGAAATATACGACTCACTCGTCAGAGCAAAACACAATATTCCACCAGCACTGCAGGTCGACCGTGGTGAAGAAGGAGTGTACGATACTGCAGAGATGCATGGACGTATACGACTTACAGTCACTCTCGCAGACAAGCTTTGGAGGGGCGGCTTCCATCGTTTTGACGAATTTGCCCCTCTCAACGGTTTAACACCACTTTTGCAAAGCTGGTACATTGCAGACTTTGACATGGTCTCTTGGTTCATTGAGAAAGGCGCGTCTCCCTTTACGACGCATCGTGATGGTTTACTGTCTGGTCTACACCTCTACGCTGCCAGGATAGCCTACCCCGGCGGGCACTTCCATCATGACCCCAAGGAGGTGCCAATCAGTCCACAACACTGGCACCAGTTAACAAGCCGTGGAGATATGTGGCATGACTCGTGTCATTGTTCCTGCTCGATCGGCGGATGCACTCCGATTTCAATACTTATTAAAAAGAGTTGGCGATTCCTGCTGAGAGAGCGTAATAATAATTATGCTGGAATGATGGAGCTACTGAGCATCTGTCGAAAGACAATGATTTATGAGCCAGAAAGAGATCCACGCCATGTCCAACAACTTCTTGAGGCCATTGTCTTTGAAAGAATGAACCTCCGACACACATGCTGTTATATTGGACAATTGGGACAGATATACTTCCGGCCAGAGTGGGATGCTGAAAACAAGGAATTCTGCGAAGGTAACATAGAGGTCGATTTTCGTCAAATTTTGGCCGATTATGCCGTCAAAATGCTTGAATGTCAATGTCCGGCTGCAGAAAAACCTATATGTGTGGTGTTCCGTGACACCTGTGGTACTACTGTGTGATTCTGTCTATAGAATGGGATGCTATCTGAGTTACAGAGCTGAAAGATATTCATTGAAAAGCAATAGAGGAATATATTCTGACTAACCAGCGCCTTTGAGACGGAGACTCATATATTCAATGATGAAACCTGAGTTTCAGAATGCACTTCTGCACTTTGCTTTCTTCTACCCACAGTATCAATGCACCATTTGAGAAAAGTATCATAGCTTTAGTCTGGACTATCCTCATAGAGCTGCCAATGGCGCGAGATAAAAGCCTTGGCTCGACGAAGTGCTCCTCACTAGGGTTCAAATCCGGTGAATAAGGATTATGTATGGCACCAAGCAAGGGAGCCTTTCAAGCGCGAGAAGAATTCTCACAGCACCACAGATGAGTATCATATACTCAAGAAGTACAATTTGAGCCCAGCAGGAAGTCGGCCCAGCGATTGCATAGGACTCCCTTCGCGGCGTCGATCTTGCGCAGATAGTAAGACGGGTGGTAATCTCATCGAAGAAAGAACAGAATTCGACTGATGAGATCCGTTATACAATGACCCCCTTAATCAGCACCGTGTTCGTCGTTCACCTTTGCACTGAACCGGGCAAAAGGACTCTTCTCCCTTAGGCGCTTCCCATGTTTCAGGAATATATACGGGGTTACGCAGTACACTGTTGCCACCGCTGCGATAATACTCGTCGCGACGTTTGATCCGAGCCCCGAATACATCGGATAAGCGAAGAGAGGAAGACACCCGGATGCCAGTGCGCGTAAGACGCCCTGGACCGCCAACGCAGACGAGGCGTAGATCGTATACGCGTCGGACAGGTATCCACTCAGCGTGTAGGAGAACTCGGTCGCCGCAAAGCCGACCAGCGCGAGACCGAACATGGATGCGATCCAATGGACATGGATGATCGGTGGGACTGTCCAGCCGAAGATCCAGAGTCCGATAGCGAGTGTAGGCGCAGCAATGGCAAATCCGCCGATTTTATCTTCCGGCTCGGGTCGTTGACTGGCTTGCTGCCGGGACTCCAACTTGTGATAGTCCCAAAAGCGAACAAATCCGCTCATGATGATCCCCGGAAGCAGGGCAATGAAAGGCAGCGAGGTCGCCCGTGTGCTCCAGCCAAATTCGCTGTACACAACGGTGAAGGACTCGGTGAAGAGGTACATCATGCCCCAGGCTGAGGCACTGAGAATCGAGACCATAATGATTATAGGTTCTGAGGCACCCAGCTTGGCTGGCCGCAGCAGAATCACCTTCATCAGCTCGCGGGCGTCGTTGATTCGGTCAGGGTTTGGTATATCCATGTCTACCGCTCCCACTGTTGACTGTAGATTGTCAAAACGGCGTTCCAGCAGGGTGGTCGGCCGGCTCTCGCGAATGGGTATCAAGAGAACGAATATCGCCGCACAGGTGATGGCGGAAACATGGTAGACCCAGCGCCTACAGGGTGTGCGGTCAGTACATCGAGTATCCTCACAACGCCGTCTGGTATACGTACCAGCCTATCGTGTCTACTATGTAGGACCCGTAGATTGGGCCCACGGCGATGCCGAGCATGGTGGAGCAATTCCAGAACCAGAGAAGCCAGAGCCTGGGCAGTTGCGTATACATATCCTCGATGCTTCCAGCCAGGACGATGGCCGGCACGGACGAGGCAAACCCGGCGAAGAAGCGGCCGATAAAGACTCCGGCTGGCGACGGAACGAGGCCGACCAGCAGCGAAGAGATACAGTAGGCACCGGCGGACACGAGATAGGACTTTTGGCGACCAAGCGCCTCAGAGAATGGGGGCAGAATGAGCCCTCCCAATGCTTGTCCGATGCCATACATGAACTGAAACCCGGTGAGCATCGTGGCCCTGCCCATTGCGTACTCGGACATGGCCTCTTCTGCAGCGGCCGGCCCCGTGGTGCTCATGACGGTCGTGTAGAGCTCGAGGAAGAAGATGACGCAGGCATCGTAGAGTTTGCGGCGAAGAGGCCAATTTCTTGGAAAGTCGTGGTGGTCTGGATCCCAGCCGAGTGTCCTGGAGCCGGTCTTTTTAAGTCCCCTGTGCGCGGCTTCGCGCTCGAGGTCATCGTGTTGTCCGCTTTGTTTTTCCTGACAACTTTCGTCCATATCGGGTGCTTGGGAGAGAGAGGTATGGTGCAGAGTAGGTGACAGACCGCAACAGGGCGACCATTGCGCCTGATATAGCGACTGACTGTTCGTGGGCAAGACAAGGCAAAGCCATGATGCGAGGATTCCTTCACGATCTACAGATGCTCCCACTGCTCAAGTGGGCCCGATGACGTCGGAGTATAGCTCGTATTACTAGTAGGATTTTGACATAGAAAGCAGAGGACATTAAACATATCCTGGAAGTAGAGTGATGTTTGGGAAAGTGTTGTGATACTGCCTATCATAATAATATGGAGTTTATCGGATAGATTCTTAGATAGCGACGAGACATACGAGGTATGCCTTTGGAAGATAGACCCATGGAAGGCGAGCTCAGGAACCAGGACTGTGCTCTGTAAGATCGGGGGTTCATCTGTTGTTCGGCCCCAGACCCGCCCTGCAGATCGTATAGTTCGTTGCATCATCCTTACTCTGGTAACTAGACCCGGGAACTTGGGCCGATCAACCAGGGCATTACGGTGAGCAATCCCTTCCTAGGTGGAGATCATTAGAAGATATCTCGTCTCAGAGATGAACGTCGTGTCAGGTATGTGCTAGTGGATTCTTATACCCGTAGCTACATTGTCTAGAAACAGATGTCCACTGACGTAATAACTTATCGGTGAGAATTCTGCGGCCATATCCGACAACCGCAGGATATGTTTCCCACTATATTTAAGCTAGTTGATATGGCTGGGCTAAATATTGGGTGAGCTCTCCCCAGCAACTGTAAGTAGTAAGGCAAGAGAGGCTAGTAGGTCCTCCCAGTGCTGTCGAACGACGTAATCATGGAGCCAGTCCCGCGGAGCCCTAGAAGAGATCAATTGGTAACTGACACAGCAATGGAGAACCGCGCAGCACTGATATGGATTCAGTAGGATCCATCCATCTCAACCATTAGGGTTGAGGCCAGAAGCCATTGCAAAGGAGGAAAATGTGTCCTCTACAATGTGGGCAAAGGCAGCTTTATATAGTATGGCGCCGTGGCCGCTTGTCCCGATTAGGAACACTATACCCGATCCAGTAATTCGCCCCCGCGGCGCAAGTTATCGCCCTCTATCGATTAATTTCCCTTCCGCATACTCCAACAACTACTATACATCTACAACAATGACCGCCACCAAATCCTCGTCCGGCCGCCAGGTCAGCGTCCTCTTCGTCTGTCTCGGCAATATCTGTGCGTTCCCATATCCATCCCAACTTCAACCCACCCCCTAACCCACATACCACATCTAGGCCGCTCCCCCATGGCAGAAGGCGTCTTCCGCAACATGGCCGCCTCACACCCGCTCATCAGCGAGATCGACTCCGCTGGCACGGGCGCCTACCATACCATGGAGCCGCCGGATTCGCGCACCATGGCCACCCTCCGCAAGCACGGCATCACCAACTACAACCACGCCGCCCGCAAAGTCACCAAGGACGACTTTCTCACCTTCGACTACCTCCTCGCCATGGACAAGTACAACCTGCGCGATCTGTTGGACGTGCGCGAGTCTGTTGTCGCGTCGATGAATAAGTCCGGCGCATCGCGTGGCGCCAAGGCCACCCGTGCCGGCACGGCGGCGTCGCTGGCGGCGGCTGGTGAGGCCGGCGCGAAGGTCGCCGAGGTGCGGCTGTTTGGAGATTTTGGGGCTGGCGGTGCGTTGCATGAGCGTGTGGGTGGTGGCGAGGTCGTGCAGGATCCGTACTATGGTGGGGTGAATGGGTTCGAGGAGGTTTATCAGCAGGTCGTGCGGTTTTCGAGGGGTTTCTTGGACTACATTGAGAAGGAGGGGTCGGATTAGAGGGATTGTTGCGTGAGATGATACCCGGTGTTTAGACTTATAGATTGGCTTGGCTTAGTATCGGTAGACAGACGTTTATAGTAGAGTCGAACCGATGGCATTTATTTTATTATTCACATACAACAAGCGTATAGTACACAAAGGCGATATATTATGATACAGACAGGCCAATCTTATTCCCGCGCATCAGATCTTCTCACTGATCTTGATCGCAGTCCGACACCCTAACCGGATGACATTCACCAACGGGTCATACGGCTGCGCCTCCTTGGAATCATTCTCAACCGCATGATCAAGATGCTCCAGCTCCTCATCTCGAATCCTCCGGAACGTCTCCACCATCTCCTTCAGCTCATCATCCAGCTCTTCCCCGCGGCTCTCCGCCTCGGCCTGCCACGACAGAATCTCCCGCACCTGCTCATTGTAATGCGAGCCGATCTCCGTCTCAACAGCCTCCGTGCACGCCATGGCCGCCTCCCGACCCAAAGCACCGGTGGACCATCCCAGAAACGTCGCCGCCGCCTGCCATACCGGATACATGGCCGTCGGCCGCACCCGGTGTTTTGCGATCATCTGGTTGAACGTGGTAAAGTGCCCGGCCTCCTGGTCGTACATGTGCTTCATTAAGGGTCGGAGATGGGGATGGGAGCGCACTACTTGGGGCGTTTGCGCGGTGTAGATCAGTGTCGCGGCTAGCTCGCCGGCTTGGTTGACTCGCAGCGCGCTGTCGAGGAATTCGCGTTGTTTCTGACTGAGGACATACTTCGGTTTGGGCGATTCGGGGGTAGCCTGTTCAGACGAGTTCTGGTTCCATAGGAATCGTTTCGGAGTAGTAGAATGGTATGACCGGCAGGTGGCAGTCCGTCGGAGCGTGGACGGGGCGAGGAAATCCAGCACGGGAAGACGATGGGAGTGGGACAGAGGGCACCGTCGGAGAGACACGAGGGCGTTCATATTGCTTGACAAGAGAGGAGCCACCCTCTCATTCCTTCTGAACGGCAATCGATGTACAGAGTACAAGGTGTTGGTAGAGGAGGACGGAAAGGTCCGCATCAGCCGATGGTCAAACGCGCGCTTAAGCGGGGCTTGGCACGCCATCCCTGGGGCGGACGTCATGCAGAACGAACTCATGTTTCTTTTCCCTCCCAACTCTCTTCACTTTGCCTTCAGCCCTCCTTTCTCCCGCCACCGCTGCGCCCTCTCTGCTACTCAATCTGTTCTTATTTTCGCCATCTATCCTGACTTAACAAATCTATCCCTGTACGAGTCTTCAAACCCGCTATATACGTTACTTCCGCGCCGTTCGACGCCTCCGTGGCCTCCCAGACAGCCCCATTGTCTGCGACAACCGACTGGTCCGCCGGTCTTTCATGAATCGTCCCCGTCGGACAGCCTTATAGTTACGTATAAGAAGGGTACCTGAAATTTCAGGCCCCCACCGATCACATTCACCATGGCGGACGACCTAGATGCCGAACTGCTCGCTCTTGCGGGCGACTCCGATGAAGAGTCCTCCCCTCCTTCCAAGCAGAAGCCTACTTCTCCTTCTGCCTCTCCCGACCCTCACTCTCCCGAACCATCTTCCGCCACCATGGGTCGCAAAGGTACTGCCAAACCCGTCCGTCGGGGTCGCAAGGTTCGCAGAGCTCCTGAAGAAGATGGAGAATTGTACGTGGTCATTTCTTCTCACCTCTATCTCACTTTCCGCTGTCTCACCCCCCAGCTTCAAGTGGCATCGATGGCGGTACCCACTAACATAAGTCCTCTAGATCTGCCGCCGAATCGCATCACTCTCTCGACTCCGCGAGTATGTCGGAATCAGAAGCTGCGTCAGACTCGGAAGGCTCCGCGCATGGTGAAGATGAAGGCCCTATATTTCCCTATGACAAGCTCTACTACTCCGCCAAAGATAAAGAGGAGATTATGGCGATGCCCGAAATCCAGCGAGAACAGATTCTCTCCGAGCGCGCGCAGGAGGTCGATCGCCACAACCAAGATCTCGCCCTTCGCCGTCTGTTAGCATCCCGCGAGCGCGAAGAAGCCCGTCAAGCGAAGAAGAACAAGCGCAAGGCGAGCATGGCCAACCTTGAGGACGGCAACCGCAAGAGCTCCCGCCAAAAGACAACGTTAGGCGGTCGCAAGGTGGGCGAAACCTCCGATGCGATCGAGGCCTACAAGCGACAACGTGAACAGAAGGGTAAACGTGACGAGCTGCGTCGCCGCGAACCAGCCGTCAAGGAGAAGTCGCGCACCCGGGACGAGCTTTCTGATGAAGATGCGGAAGGCGAGAGCGACGCGGAGTGGGACGAGGGCGAACGGTCCCCGTCGCCACCCAAGGACGATCCTCCGGCGGAACTGCGTGACATCCAACGTGCCCGTGTGGGTCGCAGTAACTTCGCGCAGGTTTGTTTCTACCCTGGGTTCGATGAGGCCATCTCGGGCTGTTACGCCCGGGTTAACATCGGCCCCAACCGAGATACGGGCCAGAACGAGTATCGACTGTGTCTGATCAAGAGTATGTTCCTCTGTGTCTCCCGATGTCTATGCCGTGTCTCTTCTAACGGGTGGTAGAATTTACTGAGGGGCGACCGTATTCGATGGAGGGTCCTAACGGTCGATCGTTCGTCACGAACCAGTATGCCGTCCTTGCTCATGGCAAGGCTGAGCGCGAGTTTCCCTTCATCGCTTGCTCCGACTCCCCGTTCACGGAGGTTTGTTGCCCGCCCTCAGAAAGACGCCTTTCACTAACCACAACAGGCGGAGTTCAACCGATACCGCCAAACCATGGCCGTGGAAGACTGCAAAATAGCCACCAAATCCGTCCTCGCTGAAAAAGTGGCCGACATCAACCGACTATTGAACCACAAGTTCACCAAGGAGGAGCTCAATGAGAAGCTGCGCAAACAAGGCTCTTTTGATACAAAGGCTATGTTCTTCAAGCGCGTGGAACTCGAACGGCAGATCAAGTTGGCCAAGGCTGCCGGCGAAGACGCAGAAGTTGAAAAGCTGGAGGAGGAACTGCGAAGCTTGTCCACACCGAAGCTCGCGTTCAGTTCAGGCTCCTCCAAGCCACGGCCATCGCAGACTTCCGAACATGAGCGTCTCCTCGAATTGAACCTTCGCAACCAGAAGCTGAACTACGAAAACGTCCGTCGTGCCCAGTTGGAAGAACGCCGAGCGGGCCGCAAGGCGGCGGCGGCTGTTGCCCGTGGAGAAGCTGCTGCGAATCCATTCCTGCGGGTGAGGACGCACGCGCGGACTCACTACGATGCCAACGGGAACAGCCTGACGCCCAAGTCGGAAGATACTGGTGCAAGCCGAGATGGCACCCCTGGCACCGGACCCAACACTCCTCAGCGCAGCAATACCCCCTCCAGCTCGCAAAAGAAGACCAAAAGTGGCGCAGTCTCCATCCGGCATCGCAACATGGACGATGAGAATATTGCTGCGTTGGATCTGGATCTCGACATTGAGATCTAGTCTTGATTTCACAGGTTCATTCCTTAGCCTCAGCTGCTTCTGTTCATCAAACAGATGAATTGTCCTTCAGGGGATCCTGTAATGCTATGGACGGTGTTCGTTGGCGTTGCTCTTAATGCATTGGAGGGGATTGTCTGGGTCATTCCTACTTTCGCGTTTTGCGGGCTTCCTGCTATATCCAGCCGCAGATGTGCTTCTCGACTTGCTACACTTCATTCTTATCTGTATGTATTATTTCTAGAAAGGGAGAATAGAAAAGACTGACTGGCATATCGAGTGGCTGAGTATTCCATATTCTGTGGTGACCTGCAGGAGACGCCGAGTTAATCTATTTGTCATCTTTAACTTGAACTAACGACTTCGTTTTAATCCCCGGCCGATATTTAGCGGGCCTAGGCCTCTTGGTCTATATCTCCTTTTTGAATTACCTCGGACGAACGGCATGCCTTATGCTGGACAGAATTGCCCAGTTCACCTTTTCGTCGTCTATCGTCGTCCCCTGAGAGCTTTTCTATTTCCCTCGACAGACTACTTCAAGGGATATCGGAGAGATAACCCCAACCAGTCTAGCAATGACTCGAGTCGCTAGAATTCCACCGGAACTCATCCACCACATCCTTGCCTATCTCGTTCCTTCCTGGGACTGGGGCCAAACGTATTATACGTGGAAAGCTATTAAGGAGCTCAAGCCGGCGCATGCCCATGCTTTTTGGTTTCTCAATCTAAGACTAGTCAATCGTGCGTTTTGTTGCTTTGATAGAGGACGGAAACAGCACTAACGATATTCCTGTTCTAGGAAGTTTCAACACAGTCGTGCTTGATCTTTTTGCTGACGTGTTGGCGAACGATTTCTACTCCACAGATGCTCTCACAGAAGACCCGCAAACGGACTCGATGATGGCAATGGGAAGGCGGATCTTGCAGCATCTTGTCACCTCCGTTGCTGGCGATCATTACTCTAGTAAGACAACCAGAAGAACAGGGGGGGAGAGTCCGCATCGCTTGGTGAATATGATCATCCAGATCGGGGAGCGGGCTGCTGCACTGCTTTCGGATCCCCGTCTGGAGGACGATGAGGATCTACGCGAGGCTTATACCGAAGGTGCCATTGCAACTCTTACTGGGCTCACAGGCACTGATTTGCTCCTATTTCTTAATCGCCGGTACCTGGCAGGAATCGAGGCGGTTGACTACGACGATAAGGATGCAGCGTCCGCGGTCCTTATGGTGGCCGCCTATCTAGGCCGTCGCGACCATTTAGAGCGATTACTAGCCATCGACAGTGGCCAGGATATCAACTTCCATTGCTTCGAGAAACAGATCTGGCCACCGCTCACGGCGGCGTGCTTAGCAGGGCGTCTGGGCCTAGTCGAGTTCCTCCTCGAGAGAGGAGCTGACCTACATATTCGTCCCGATTCCGATAGGATGGGGTGGTCATCTGTGGGAATGATGGAGATTGCCGCGCGAGCGGGACATGCACACGTCGTGGACTTTCTGATTCACAACAATGTCTCAGCGACCGGCGATAATGCGACGTATGCTCCTCTTGCGATTGCTGCGGGGGGACGGCATATCAGCACTCTCCGGCTTCTCCTGAAATTACCAAATATTGATCTCATTGGTCCATATGGTGTTGAATATTCGGCATTCTTCTTGGCTATTGAGAGAGGATATGGGGATATTTTGGACGAACTGCTGAAGAGAAAGGACCTTGACGTGAACATGACCGGCACGATTTACGGGGTGATGGATGCGACAGCGTTAGCGGTCGCCGCTGGACTGGGCCGGGAGGAGCTGTTCATCACTTTGTTCGAGCATCCTGGAGTTGACCGGACCCAAGTGACGGTGCTCAAGGCCGCAATCGAAGGAGGAAATCTCAATATCCTCAAGAGGATTGTAGAAGAAGTCCCCGAGTGTTTCGAGGAATGCAGGAAGGTTTTCCCCGCGGAGACAGCTCTATGCAAAGCAGCAGCAGATGGTACTGAAGAGACCGTGCGATATCTACTCACGGTCGATGAGCAGTCAATCTGTAGAGGAGACTTGTACGGCCAAACACCTCTTCATCGCGCAATCCTCTCGGGGGCTCTCGAAAACGTCCAAGCACTGCTGGAGCATCCAGAAATGGACCAGGAATGTTTCGCTATGGCCGACAACAGGGGAAGGACATGTCTTCATCATGCAGCTGAGAGCCATCGGAACCCAGACATCCTGCAGGCCCTGCTGAACCGCCCAGATCCCAATATAAATGCCCGGAACAGCTTCGGCCAGACCCCGTTTGCGGTCGCCGCATGGCATGGCGCGGTTGACATGTTCAAGGCTCTTCTTGCCAGGGAAGACGTCATAAAAGATTCGCTTGATGATTTTGGGAGGAACCCCTTCATGAATGCCGCAGCGGGAGGCGCGGAGGAGATCATTGACATCTTCTTCCAACTATCGCTACCGCAGACAGAGGTTTGGCGCAGGGATAAGGATAACAGGACTGCGCTACAATGGGCTGTCCTGAATGGCGGAGACAATGTTGTGAAGAGATTACTTGACCCCGACATTGGAGCAACCGAGGAGATCGTTCGAGACGCTCTGCGAGATGCCGAGACGTGGTTTGCTCGCTGGATTGAGGACAAAGAGGCTGTTTGGGGCTCACCAGCGGAGTGGGTAGACTGGTGCCTGGAGATGAAGAGGAAGAAGAAGGACATCATCAAGATATTGTCGGATGCGTTAGAGCATAGACTGAAATGTCGTTAAACGATAGCAGTAATTTAGGCCTATTACCGGTGGTTGGGGGAAGATGATGATACCAAGGTATAGTGCGTCCTATCATCCTATGTCTCTGAGTGCTCGCTTGTTCATTTGCAACCTTTATATAGATCATACCCACAGGTACCTAAGAGATCTGTTGTGTTAAACAAAGCCACAAGCACGGTCAGAGTAGAGATAGAATAGATAAAACGACATTTCCAAATAAATGACTTCCGGGCTCGCATTCATCTGTAGTGTCCTATCCCGCGATCTTCGTTCGGGTTCTGGTCCATTGATCTGAATGCTGGGACTTGTATCAACATGGTTGGCCTGGTCTCGTACTGACATCTATGTTTCACCAACTAGTTCAACAAGTTCGGGGCATCTGTGTTCTCGACCAGCTTTCGTCATATCTATAGACAACCCGCCAGGATATCTCGTCTCTTCGGAAGAAAAGCATGTTGATCATCGGGCACAAGTACAAGAGGACATACCGCAATCAACACGACGTTTCATCCAGAAGGATCGACAATCCTTGGACATAAGCAGTACTATGGCCTTTCGGCTGTCGTACTCCGTACATGGTTGTCGGTGGTTATCAACAGGTCACGTGTGATAAGCATGTCCGACGCGCCGCGTTGCGCGTCGTCCTTCACGCCGTAAAGTCCCCATCATCCCCATCCCATTACTCCTCCTCTCTCTCCCTCTTCCTAGTCCAATTTCCCCATGAACTGACAGACATGCACCATTTCACCCAACAATACCCATAATAGCTACTACGAATTAACCCCTCACAATTCCCAATGTCCTCCCCCTCTACGCCGCGGACGACGCGCTCCGCGTCTCCGCCGGGGAACTCGCCTGACATACTCACCCCCGGACGCAAAATCAAGGCCATGCTGGCTGCGTTCGACAGCGACTCCGACTCGGACAAGGGATCGCCGAAACCATTGAAGTCCAGTGCCGCCCTTTTCGGCAGTGCCGCCACGAAACACGCCCGCACAGAGCCCATAGATGCCCAGGAAAACAGCTCCGATGACGAGGAAATTGTCCGGCCAAAGGGCCGTATGGCCGCCCGGATGCAGGCTGAAATTGACAGTTCAAACACGCAGAGCGCCACACAGCCCGAATCCGCCCTGGAACGCGTCTCGAAGACGTTACACGCCTCCACTGAACGTGCAGACAACGCGCTGGATAAGGCAGGATCTTCAGAAGAAGAAGACGACGACGACCTCCCCATGGCTGGACCACGACGGAGAATCGCCGGCGCGCGCAACGCTACCCCCGGGAACGAGGACAGCAACAACGATGCACCACGGCCGCGCGCGTTCTCGCCCTTGTTCATGTCTTCTCCGAGCGCGGAGCGCCCAACCGCCCAGACCCCGGAATCCGACGGCAGCGACGAGGAAGCACGGCCCAAAGCGAACGCCCGATTCCTTGCGTTGGTCGCGCAGAAGCGCAAGGAACGCGAGGAGAAGGAGCGTCTCGAAGCCGAGAAGAAGGCGGAACGCGCGAAACAGCGCGAACAGCTGAGCTCGGAGATTCTGTCTGGTGACGAGGACAGCGCGGATGAGGGTGCTGCGCGTCGGAGGCTAGCGAAGCAGGCCCGGCCGCCTCGCAAGGCGAGCAAGAAGGCACTCGAGGAGATGAACCGCGAAACGCAGCGGATGAGCCGGAACATGCAGTTGGCACATCAGGCGCAGACGAAGAAGAAGATTACCAAGGAGAGTTTGTTTGCTCGGTTCAACTTTATGCAGCCTGAACAGCCGCAGCCGCAGCCGGCTGATAGTTCCTCTGTCGCGGCGGACTCGCAGCAGTCGTCGGACGCTGAGGCGAACAAGGCTAAGGATACGCCGCAGACGTCTCCCGTTATGGGGCCGGAGAAGCAGCCGCATCCGGGGCAGGATAAGGAGGTTGAGTTCCCGTCTTTGCAAGAGATGGTCACGGAGTCCCAGCAGGAACCTGCCGAAGTGACCGTGGCGCGTGTGGAGGACCGGATGAACGAACCGCAGCCAAAGCCAGCTGCCCCAAAGGAGAAGAAGGCCCTGGCAGGCCCCTCGCTCCGTGTTCGCTTAAGCCGTCAGCAAGTGGCCCAGACTCAGAAGAATGATTCGGATGAGGAATTGGAGATCGTGACTTCACCGGCGAAATGCCGCCGTCTTGCAGTGTTCGAAAACCATTCTCACAAGAGGACGCAAGAATCTCAAGCGATGATTCAGCTAAAAGCCTTGGCTCATATTACCTCACCCTCTCGCAAGACCGGCATGACGGCGGCTGAACTGTCTGCCAACTTGTTGTACCAAGCCAGGCAGCAGGCTGCCCGGGAAAGAAAGGAGCGGATTGCCGAGCTCCGAGCCCAAGGCATGATGGTCGAAACGGCCGAGGAGCGTGCGGCGATGGAGGACGAACTGGAGAATCTCGTGGAGAAGGCGCGCAAGGAGGCAGAGGAGATTGCCAAGAGGGAGAGGAAGTCGAAGAAGGGCGAGGATGACGATGACGAAGAAGACGATGACTACGAGTTCTCGGGCTCTGAAGAGGAGGCCAACGAGGACGAGGATGAGGAGGAAGAGGAGCGAGAAAAGGCTCGCCATGGGGAAGGGAACATTTTCGACTCGGAGGCTGACGAGGCCGACGAGTCTGAAGATGACCAGAGCGAGGCAATGTCGACAACAGAAGAAGTCCAGGCTCAGAGACGGAAGCGACCAATTCGAGTCATCAGCGACGACGAAGACGAAGAGCAAGAACAAGGACAAGAACCGAAGACACCTGCAAAGACAATCACTCCCAGCGTCCGCTCAGTGGAGCGCCCCATTATCCCAGTTTCACCAGCTAACGGCATGACCATGAGTCTGACACAGGCTTTTGCGGGCACATTGGGAGGTAGCCCGCACGACAGCCCTTCCACTATCCCACATTCGTTGCCAGACCCTGCTGGAGATGTGACCGATGACCGCCAGGAACCCGATTCACAGACAATTGTCAAGGACAGCCAGGACCAGCGTGCCGAGACAACGGATCTCCTGTCAGGATATCCGCACTCCGAAGCTCGGGTGTCTGAATCTCCCGGCCCTCGGACGCTGTCTCAATTCTCTCAGATCCCCGATCCTACCCAGGATGCTGGTTTCGTCTTCTCGCCATTCGACCCTTCAAAAAGATTCTTGGGTACGCCAACATCGACTATAGAAACGGTTCTCGTGGACCGTACAGATTCGCGAAATGCTACTCCTGTGCCAGAGAAGAGAGCCAAGCGGCTCCGGCGTGGACGCGAAGCTGAGCTTTCCGTTATCGAAGAACAGGAAGAGGGCGATTTCGAAATCGAGGCCAGTGCTTTCGACGTTATGAAGAAGGCTGTCAAGAAGCCAAGCATCCCGTTCGACAAGCAAAAGAGCAAGGCGAAAGACATTGTCGATGAGGCCGCCGAAGAGTCTGACGATGAATATGCTGGGCTCGGCGGCGCAAGTGACGACGAGGATGACGAAGAGAACGTCTACGACCAGCAGATGATCAACGACAACAGCGGTGAAACCGTAGACGAGAAGCAGTTGGCTGCCCTGAATGCGTAAGTTGCTAACCAATTCATACACGAATCTCCATACTGACGGCCACAGACTCCACCAACGGAACGCGGACGAAAAACAAGTCGCAAAGCTGCTCAAGGACATCACTACGGGTGCGCTGCGACGACGGAAAGTTGCCGGAGATGACTTCGACCTCGACGACTCGGATGACGAACTCCTGGCCCGCCGTCGTGAGAAGCAACGGGAGTTTGCGCGCATGCGGCGGGCCCTGCTTGCGGACGAGAAGATCGGCGAGATCGCAGAGAACCCCAAGAAGGCCGCATTTTTCAAGGCCATCGAGGACCGCGATATGGATGACGATGGTGACCTAGACTTCCTGGATTATGAAGAGCCCACCGAGTCTCAGGAGGCTTCCTCGCAGGACGTGAACACGGAACCGCAGCAGGAGACTACCACCGAAGAAAGCAACAAACGCAAGAGACCGCTCGAGCCGTCTACCGAAGATGTCAACAACCGACCTCCGCCTCATATGCGCCGCAAGCCAGCCAGCGCGATGTCCAAGAAACCGACTACGCTTGCTGAGATCCGGGAGACTGTCTCTTTCCTCACAGAACGGCCTGAGTATGACTCGTTCCATGAAGACGCGTCTGTAGACGAGGACGATCAACAAGGAGAAGATGGCGCGCTGTCAGGCACTCCCGAGAGAGAAGAGACCCCGGCTCCAGTCCATCCCCGCCGGACACGAGGCCCAGTTGTGGACCGTTTGGCTCTGCTACGACAGGCGTCCTCCAACTCGGCATCGTCTGCTTCCAACACCCGGTTGGCCTTCCAGGCTGGTTCTCGCGCGGACGCCTCCAACATCGGCTTCCGGCCGCCGCCGCTGGTTCGACGAACAACAGGGTCTTCCAGCTCCAGCATTTCGTCCAAGTCGTCCGATTCGTCGCGGCGGGTGTCGAAGCCTGCTTCCGGGGTGTCCATCGCGAAGAAGGGGGCCGTGAACTACTACACTGCTGCCCGGGAGAGAGAGCGGGAGCGCGAGATCCGCTCCAAGCACCGCAGTGGCGGATCGAATATCAATGCGCTGTTGAGCAAGCATGCGAGCAACCGATTGGGAGCGCTGGGTGGAAAGGGAGAGTGGGATTGATGTATATTGATGATTTTGCATTGGACGATTGCGATGCGGATGTTTGGTTACCGGTGTTTGGCGTATGTTTGTCGGAGTGATCCACGATATATCTCGGCGCATGCTAGTGATTCCCAGACAATATAATTAGTTTACATAACTCACCATGCGTATTTTACAGCTGACGTCCCATCTAGACTTGCCGAATCTATCTGAGGCCATATGTCTATCTATACTGACCAGAAGTCACTCGTAGGTCTCGATATCCGGAAAGAGATCCATGAGCGACCGAATAGTCCTCGTACCATCACGACCTCCGTCTTCTCCATCTCGAGGGAGATAATACCCAATCCAGCCTGCATTGACCGCAGCCCGGTAATCCTTCTCATAATCATCCCCAACATGGACACACGTCCAGCTGTCCGCAGCGCCAGCGTCCTGCGTCGCGACCCGCGCAGCCTGTCTTCTAGCAACTTCAAAAATATGCGGACTGGGCTTCTCCTCCCCAGCCTCGTAACTCGTAACCACCAAATCGATATCATGCACAGAGTTCGCATCACCGCAATCTGTTCGATCCACCTCCCTCGCCTCAAAACCAGGCAACCGCCGACTCAACACCCCCTCATCCGCACGAACACTCCCAACCCGCAGCCCCAGCGACTCCAGCACCGCCGGGACACGATCATCCGAGTTAGAAATCACGCCAACGACGACGCGCGAAAACGGCCCGAGTCGCTGCGCACGCGCTTTGACGGCGCGCATCCGCGCAAAGAACCCCTCCACATCGTCGTACAGCGCATACCCCTCTTTACTCGCGAAGCGGTCGAGGAGGTGCTGTACCAGGCCGTCGGGGAGGGGCTCGGAGGGCATGGATGCGGATGTGGGTGTCATGGCGCGCGCGAAGCTGGCGCGGATGAGCTCCTCCCACCATTGTCGCGGGCCGTCGTACTGGCCGCGGAGGACTTGTTCGCGTCCGTAGTTTGGGTGTCTCTGCGACTGGGCTTTGAATTCGGTCTTGAAGGCGGTTTGGAGGTTGGCTGATGTGAGGGCGGTGCGGGGGATGCCAAAGGCGTAGGCGGCCGAGGCGTATTGTTCCGGGACCGGGTGGCGCGGGTGGAAGAGAGTGCCGAAGGCGTCGATGGTGAGGAGGAGGGAACGAGGGGGCATTCTGTATTGTGTGGGTGGATGTACTCCGTGAGTGAGAGTGATGGTTGAAGTTCATTGAGTGGTTGCAGAGGGTGTAGAAAAGATTGATTATGTGATGACATGTGATCGACAGTATACAACAACAACAACATTAAACAACATCCACAACCACTCAACTTCACCTCCTCCTTTCTGATGGCCCAACGGCCGCGTCATATCTCCGAGGTGGTTCCCCGGCTTGTTCTATTCTCCGAGTGATTTGCTAACTATCGCTGATTAGATGCGAACTACTTCGGCGGTGACGCGGCCATCTCCACCGCGGCGTCGATTAGCCCAGCCTATCTCCCGTGCTGAGTCTGCAAACGGAGTATATATGCTTGGGCTGCCCCGGCAGTTCTCCGGACAAGATCGATAAGATCGATCGTTGTGGCTCTGTAAGGAGCATCAAGTCATCATGGCTTCGTTCTGCGGTTTGAAGTCCACTTGGGCGACGGCCTTGCTGCTTCTCCCACAGTTGATCACTCCCACAATTGCAGACAACTCGCAGACACCATATGCAAATCATATCTTCAACGCGATACATTCTTCCATGCGACAATGGGGCTCCTCTCTCAACCACAATGGCATGTCGTTCTTCCTAGCGACTGTCCCTGAAGGTACGCAGCTCTACCATGGGGATCACCGTCGAGAACCCATTACCGGCACAGAATGGCTCGCCTTTGAGGCTGAGCATGCCCTGGTCTTTGCAAACCCGTTCCCTCACGGTCCGCCGCCGCCTCCAGACCATGACGGCGACAGAAAGTATCCACGACCACCTCCACCACCTCCACGGCCACATGAACTCAGAGACGACGACCCCGCTGGCGGCTGGCTTCATACCTACACGGCGGCGAAGGACCTGCGCCTGTTATACATCGACGGAATGTCAGCCGGGAAGACATCAAACGGGACCATGGACTCGCAGGATCGGATCCTGCTCCGGGATGCAGTGTCCGGCCACGCGGAAAAAGAACGCGCAGAGCTGTTTTGCCGCAGGGCGCGGGAGGATTGGGACGACCGTCTCGACGGCGTCATTCGCATGGAAGCCGGCTTTGAAATCATCCTGTGTGATTTCGCGCGCGACTTACGGCTAGTCCGCGTTACTCAGGCGAAGCGGAAACCTCTCGACAAAGGTGGTCGCGGACCACCCAAAGACCCGCTGGATGGCGCGAAGCTCTGGATCAAGGCCGTCGCAGCGCGGTACCATGGCATCGGAGGGAAACGCGTAGTTCTGAATTACGATCATTTTGTTACGGCGTACGCTTACGGACTGGACTTGTTTCACTCGCCGGATGGGGACAGGCTGGCACTGCCGCGGTTGACGCAGCTGTCGACGGAGGACCTGGAGCCCATCCGAGCCGATGTGGACCGGCTTATCATGTCGCATGACCCGGAAGAGGCCTCGACCGACTGGCAGGCCATTGCGGATATGGTGGTGGAGCGGTATGCACGTGAGCTCAGGTATCTCGCGTCGGGGCAGCTGTCGACCGTGGCCAACATCCATGAAGCGGTTGAGGGTTTGCTGGGCCCCTTTATCGACTACAGTGATCGGAACGCGACGTTGGAGGTCGACCGCTGCGCCAACCACTTCGTTCCCGCGGGCGCGTCCAATGGAACTGCTGGGGCCGCCGTTCGGTCCGTCACCCACCGCATCTGTGCAACCCTGAGCGATACCCTGAACCAAGCGGACTACGACACCGCCGTCGCGGACATTCGCCGTCTGATGGAGTATCTCTCGTGGACGACGTGGAAAGAATGCAATGGATGCGCGGACAATGAGGTCTGCGTCGTGCCCATGTGGCCGATGGGCACCGTCGAGGACTATCAACATCCGCAATGTCGGGATCCAGAAAAACCAAATGGAGGCGGCCGACGGTACTGGGGCAGGCCCGGACGTCCTCCGAAGAGTCCTCCGAAGCCCATGGCCGCTTCCTGGATGCAGCGCATGTCGCACTCGCTGCAAACGATCCTGCGGTAGACCTGTCGATTCTCCGCCGAGGGACATGGGTCCCCTGAAACCCAGTCTTTGTACGCATTCAGGGGCAAATGTTGGTGTCCGACACCAACAGCCATGCTCGTCCTTCTTTTGGGTGGATGTTTGGTGGCTTTTGGCACCGACTAGCTCGCGGTCTATAGATCGAATAAGCTTCGGGATGATCATATGCGCCACATCGATAGTCGCTGCAGGCATGCGGCCAAGCTGCACGGGCATTGGCAAACAACAACAAAGAATCGAGAACGCTTTATGGTGCCATGCGACAAACCGGTCTAGCGTACTGCTCATGCAGGGGGTGCTTTTTTTAATCTCGGTGATGGTTGGAAACCTGCCTGCATGCTGGCCAGGAAGCAACGGTTCAACACGTATGCTCTCGCAGTGGGAGAACATGCTAACCGGAGCGAAAGCATGTTGCAAGCCCAATCTGATAGGTTCGAACGTGGAGACGATATAATCCGGGTTGCAGAGGATAGTTTTGAGACCGATCCACCTGGCGTTCTGCGTGAGCCATGTCTGCCTAATTCTCTACTGGGCGTGCACTCCAGAGTAGAGCCCCGATCAGCCACTTTCAATGACTCGTATAGCCCCTGCTTGGCGGAGATAGGCGAAGAGCTCTGGACCGGCCGGTGCATTCGTTGAGTCGTGTGTCCTGGACGGGATATAAATATAGTCTTGCATGTTGCTCCCAGAAGATATCCCGACCAGTCTCTCATTCTCTCCTTTCTTTTCCAGCCGTTCTCTGCTTGTTTTTGTCCGTTGTATACGGCTCTGTCACTCCTTAGATCAATTAGTCTTTCGTTTGCATTATGAAGGCCTCTGTCCTGACTGCCCTTGCCTGGGCTGCGTGCACGGCGGCAAGCCCTGTCTTTGCCCAGAGCACTCATCTGCAATGTACCTGCCAGCCAGAGGAGCCCCAGCCTGGCAGCTCGGTGCCTGTGAGCCCTGCTCCTGCTCCTGCGCCCGAGCCGGCCCCGTCTGCTCCCTCTGAGCCCGCCCCGAAGCCCGAGCCGCCTGTTCCTTCTGTTCCCGGGGGACCCGCTGCTCCTCCCACTACGGCTCCCTCTGTTCCCTCTGCTCCCGCTGGTCCCAGCGGACCGTCAGTGACCGCTCCCGTCCCGGAACCTCCGGTCTCTGTTCCTTCCAGCATCTCCGTGACGGTCCCCTCGGTGACCCCGGCTCCCAACCCGGAGCCTGTTCCCAGCGTCGTGCCCTCCGTCTCCATCCCCGCTCCTCCTACCAGCACCCCCAGCACTCCCGATGAGGGCAACTGCGACGACCACGGCTGCCACGGCACCGGCCATCTCCTGCAGGATGAGGCGCCCAAGCTCGGCGAGCTCCTGACCGTGATTGGCGAGCACTCCGAGGCGCTCGGGGTCAAGCTCGGCCCCAGCGTCGGCAAGCTCGTCTCCAGCCTGGGCCTCCCCGGTGGCCCCATCGGCGATGTCGTGAAGAGCGGCGGCTCGATCGGCGAGCTCCTCGCAGACCTGGGCGAGCCGACCGAGCTCCTCGTGCACACCACCGGCAAGGACGGCGGCAACTCGCTCATCAAGCTCGGCCCCTCGGTGGAGGGCCTGCTCAAGGCGCTGGGCCAGGACAACATTGCGCAGCCGGTCGGCAGCATCGTCAGCAAGCTGGGCAGCCACCTGAAGAAGCGCACCGACGGCCTGGTCGAGGACGTCGCGCCGATCGTGCGGTGCATTCTTGAGATCGCCGGCGAGGACACCAAGATGTCGCTGGTGGAGCTGAGCGAGCCGGTGGCGGGTCTCGTTGCGGGTCTCGGTCTCACGGAGGCGGCTGGCCCAGTCGGCGAAATCGTCAAGACGGTGGCCAGTGTGGGAGATCTCCTCGTGGAGATTGCGCCCATTGTGGAATGCATCCTGATCATCCTGGGCGAGGACGGCTCCATGACCCTGGTCGATCTGTCGCCGGAGGTGGCGGGGCTGCTGGGGGACGCTGCGGGCGAGATTGTCAAGACGGTGGGAGAGGGATTCTAGGCCGAAGTTCTTCAGGAGAGTCGTCTAGATTGAAGGGGGGGGTTTCCTTCATGCATGTATGACTAGATTGCTACTACATATACATAATCGCGAGCATGCTCGTATACTCTTTTCCGTGCTTCTGCTGTTGTATCCTGCTCGGACTTGATTACCAGAAACGATACCTCGGGCCAACAGACTCGCCCCACGGGGCACACTGCCGATGTGGAGAGAGCAGGTCCTTTGCTTCTGTATGGCGTCTTCGAGATTGTGGGAGTCGTGGGGATCCTCTGGCTAATTCTTCATCCGGATGCATTTATATCACTGCTGTCCACGTCTGTCGCATTCCTCCTCTGCCCATCACTGTCGCATACACTCTCACCGTCGCAATGCCCCCGCAAGACCTCCACATCGCCGTCCTCGGCGCCGGCATGGGCGGCTTAACCTGTGCTCTCGCCCTGGCCGAGCAGGGCTTCCGCCATATCGACGTCTATGAGACTGCCGCTGACCTGGGGTTCGTCGGCGCAGGCATCCAGCTGGCGCCCAACATGGCGCGCGTGCTGGACCGGCTGGGCGTGTGGAAGCCGATCGAGGCGGAGGCTGTCAACATCACCGAGACCAGCGTGCGAGGTAACCTCCCTAGTCTCCGTGCGGTACATTCTTGACAGCTGGCTAATGATGCAGTCGGCGCATCCGACACCGAACTCGCGCACGTCCCGCTCGAATACATCGAGCGCACCTACGGATACCCGCACATGGTCGGTCACCGGTCGTCGCTGGCCAACGGGCTATACCAGGGCTGCCTGCGACACCCAGACAAGATCCGCTTCCACTTTTCCACCGCCGCCGAGAACGTGCAGTTTGAGCCGCGGCCGCGGTTCACGGCCGTGCCGCGCGACGCCAGCCAGCGCCCCTACACCGTGGAGGCGGACGTGCTCCTCGGCGCAGACGGCATCAAGAGCGCAACGCGCGTGGCCATGCTCGCGACGCTGGGCATCGTCGCCGGCGTGCAGGACACGCACCAGGCGGCGTACCGCATCATGATCCACCGGGACCAGATCCGCGACGACCCGGAGCTGCTGGCGCTGATGGACAGCAACCGGGTGACGCGCTGGATCGGCGAAAAGCGCCACATCATCGCCTACCCGGTCTCCAACAACACAATCTACAACCTCTCCACCACCCAGCCCGACTCCAATTTCGCCGCCGCCACCAACGCCACCTACACCACGCGCGGCTCCAAGGCCGCCATGCTCGGCGTCTTTACCGACTTCTGCCCCATGGTGCAGCGTCTGCTGAACTTCGTGCCTGAAGGCGAGGTCTGCGAGTGGAAGCTGCGCGTGCACGAGCCGCTGCCCACCTGGGTGCATGGCTCTGTTGCGCTCGTCGGCGACGCCTGCCACCCGACCCTGCCGCATCTGGCGCAGGGCGCCGCGCAGGCGATCGAGGACGGCGCCGTGATCGCTGTCGCGCTGGCCAGGCTGCCCGATACGACGCCCGCGTCGATCCACAAGGCGCTCAAGGTGTATGAACGGGTGCGCAAGGACCGTGCGTATGCGCTCGTCGAGATGGCGGCGGCGTCGGGGCGCGCGCTGCATCTCGGCGATGGCGCGGCCAAGGAGGAGCGCGATAAGCAGTTTGCGGCGCTGCGCCAGGGCAAGGGGCCTGTGCCGGATAAGTGGGCGGATGCCGATGTGCAGCGCGAGATTTATGGGTTTGACTGTACGAAGGTGACGGAGGAGGTGTTTGACGAGTACTTTGCGTAAGCTACGTCCTTTGCTGGGTTGACGAGTGGTGTACATAGATGCTGATGGCTGAAGGTCCGCGCGTGACGCCAAACTGGCCTGACCTGTTGTTTCTTCTTCGTTATACATATTCCATAGCGCCCTCATGAATGCATCTATTATGAACACCGACTGCGCAATGTTCCGTCCTGCTACTGTATATGCTCTACAAAGCCCGCATGTACTTCTCCCTTCCGAGCGCCTTGGTCTTTCGCCTTCCGCTGGATCTCCTCGTCTTCATGCTGGATATACTTGAGCGGCCGCTTGGTCGAGATAGCATCTGGGTCACGGACGACAATCAGCGGCGGGTTCGTCCGGTAGTAGGCGTCGACGTCTTCCAGCGTGCGGTTCGCTTTGACAGTTAGCATGTAATCAAACCAACGACCGAACCACTCACCCGTCTCCGGATACAGAAAGTAGATGACCGGGAGGAAGGCCGCGTTCAGCACCGTCCACACAATGTAGAACCGCCATCCGATATTCTGGATGCCGATGGGGGTGATTTCCACAATGGCGAAATTCGTGATCCTATCCCAGTCAGCCTCTACGGTACACTCCCCTCGTCCTCCGGCGATACATACCAGTTCGTCGCGGTCGCCACGGCCGCCCCCTTGGTCCGCATCGGCAGCGAGTTGATCTCCGTCGGATACAGCCACGGCACACCCAGCATGCCGGCCCCAAAGGCTACATGGTACAGGAAGAAGAAGGCCACCGAGGCGGTGCCGAGGACGGGGTTTTCCGCTGCAAAGCGCAGCAGGATCGTGATAATCAGGAACGAGAGGAACTGCCCGAACCCGGAGAGCAGCATTAGGCCGCGGCGGCCGAAGCGCTCGACCATGGTGACGGTTATGCAGGAGAAGACGAAGTAGGATGTTGCGTTGCAGGCTGTCAGGAGTCGGGCTTTGGTGTTGGACAGGCCGACGGAGTTGATGAGGACCAGGGGGAGGTAGTAGCTCATGATGTTGATGCCTATGATGTTAGCGATGCTCCTGAGAGTGGATCATAGTTGAAGGTGTCGCACCTTGAAACTGCTGGATTGCCTGCGTCCCAGCGCCGAGTAGCAACCGCCGCAGCGTCTTGGTCCCGTCGGACTTGTTCCTACGCAGCAGATCGCCCCAGCTGACCGCGTTGTCGCGCTCGTACTGGATGCTGAAGCGGATCTCGTCGTGCTGGGTCTCGATGTACGGATCGTGGACGGGCTTGGCCTCGATGCAGGAGAGGATTTGGATCGCCTCCTCGTCGCGGTCGTGTGCTAAGAGCCATCTACTCGTATCAGCATGGCATCAACATGCGCATCGTCCTCCCAAGACCGAGACATACCTAGGCGACTCTGGGAGCCAGGGAACCGTGCTAAACAGCCCAGCAATGAAGAAAAGCTGCAGAGCAATCGGCAGCCTCCAAGCAAGCGATCCCCCATGAAAGGACAGTCCGTAATTAACCCAGTTGACGACGCAGTACCCGCCGACATTCAGACCCAGTTCCAGAATCACGAGCTTTCCTCGCCATTTGACCTGCGCCGTTTCCGTCTGCCAGACGGGCGCCGTGGCCGTGTTGACGCCATTTCCCATTCTGCCTCGTTAGTAGAGGGATCGATCGGGTGTGAGGTCGAATGGGGGAAGGCCTACCCAAGTACGATACGCCCTACAAACATCTGGGGCAGACTGTAGGAGGAGGCTTGGAGCACGGTACCGATGGTCATCAACGTCGTCCCTAGCAGGATGCTCTTCTTCCGGCCGAGGCGTTCGCCCAGTGTGAAGGCCAGGATGGCGCCGAGAAAGCAGCCGACGTCGTAGATTGCTGTGACGGTAGACAGCGTCGTGGTTTTGGTTGGCCCGACGAGATCGTGGACCTCGAGGAAGTCTTGTGTGACGACCACCCCGCCTGGAGGATTAGCAGTGTACGGAGCATCAGGAGTGGGTGTGGCACGTACTGAAGACGCCTTGGTCGTATCCGAACAACATCATGTCGAGGGAGCATGCTACCTGCTCGGGATGAGCACAGGTGAGACCGTCAGAGTGAGGCACCTACTGTTATCCAGAATGAGAGCCATGCTCCAGTGAGACCGAAGAAGGGTTTCGATGCGTTCATGGTGAGAGCAATTAAGGGAGAATGATCTTGAAGTAGCTGTTGATAGAGTGAGGCCACGACGGCCACCGGAAGTACCTGGCTTTTTATAGACTACGTCTGCCACCCAGGTTGATCCCGAGACTATAATCAGCCACCCCGCTGGACAGTGCTATCCCGCGGTTGATATCTGGGGTTTGGGGATGGACGCTGCTAGACACTGCGGGGAGTCTGTCGGATTTCCTCCGAACCCTTGCTGTTTGTGGCTTGATTCAGGCTATTTGATTCAGCCGTTGTCCGTTGTAGATCGTACGATGGAGCCGATCACGGAGAATTCGCCGTGGATCAGCAGCGGTATGATGGTGGCATGCAATATCAACAACACATCTTGGCCTCAAGAGCCATCAGCACCGTGTGCAGAATAGAATAGAGGATAGTTGATTTCTAGGCTGGATATGACTTCCCCTGGATGGAGCCACTTTGATCAGGGCATCCAGCGTTGCCTGCTGAGTGTTAATTATTCTCACCTAGTATGAGAAGATCACACTTCTAGAGACGCCCTCAGTCTGCGCACTTCATCAGCCGAAGCAATCTCTCCATCTCCCAACAACGCAGCCGAGTGAAAGGCCCCAGCCCGAGTACGGTCCCAGAGGAATCCAGCATTAGACGACCGGACGCCTCCCCCGACAATGATCTCAGGAACACGGCTACGCCTCGCATCTACCGCCCCGTGCTGCTGCGTCCACTCCACCAGAGTAGCCAGCTTGTCGACACATTCCACGGCCGCTGTTCCCGACGGCCCTCCATTGGTCAGGATACTCGAGAAGCCGCAGTCTCTGATATCACAGAGAGCGGCGTCCCATTGAGCTTCAGGGATCAAGTCAAAGGCACGGTGAAAGGTGCACGGCCGCCCCTGTGCTCGTCGAACCAGCTCCGTATTGCGGGTGACGTCGACGAGCGACCGGCTCGAGTCATCACTGCTCTCGGAAGAAGGGCGCAGGATACCGAACACGAAGCCATCGGCCCCGAGCTGCTTGAACCGGTCGATTTCGAGTCCCATTCTCTCAAAGTCGGCTGAATCATAGCTGAAAGTGTCGGCAGTCGGTCGAATCATCACATACACCGGAATTTGGAGCTGCGACTTCAACGTCGTCAGGGTCGAGGGGTCTGGAGTAAGACCGCCTAACGAGTAAGTTTTGCATAATCTGGATCTGTTACATATTGCGCCTTGAGATGGAACGAACGAACACGTACTCGATGCGGTCCGCCCCAGCAGCTGCAGCGAGTAAAGCGGATTCGGCGTTGAAGCAGGCGACTTCTAATAGTGGGCTTTCTGTCGGGGGTGCGTCGCTCATGGCTGCGATATCGGGATGTCTTTAAGTGTCTCTTGGGGGATGCTCCAGGCTCCAGAGTGTGGAGAGAAGAATGGGGGAGAAGGTTAGAAGCGGCTAGAAATGATTACTTTATCCGAGACAGTGTTACTAAGAGACTCTGTCTGCTCTATACATCTACTCACGCCGTGTTCATACTTCACAATCCAAGAGCTGCAGTGTTTTTATCTCCCTTAGCCCCTATACATGTGGGTACACCGATATACACCATGTCCTGATTCATCTTATTCCATGACTCACTGCAAAACGACCTAAATACTCTGGAATACCCTACTGCATGGGCTACTGCACCGACAATCCCCCTTCAAAGTCTTCATCAACACTATAAACATGACACCAAAATGGCAAACCACACGCCTCCTCCACGGAGTCCGAGCCATAGTCGGCGGCCAAGGTCCCCCTGTGATTCTCATTCCAGGCTGGCCACAAACAGTAGAGGCATTTAGCGACATCTTCGAGCCCCTTTCGAAGCATTATCAGTTTTTCGCTCTCGACCCCCCGGGCTTGGGGGATTCCCTTCCTCCCGTGGATGGCTACGATACCGCGAATGTGAGCAGAGTCATGGCCGAAGCGATTCACGATGTCGTGAAGGAGACACCGTACCATCTTGTTGGCCATGATGTGGGTGGATGGATTGCTTATCCTTGGGCTGCTCAATTCCAATCGCGAATCAAATCGCTCAGCATCCTCGACGCCTCTGTGCCGGGCTTCCTGCCCCAGCTTCAGTTTCCGTTGTCTCGTCAGACCAACTTGCGTCTTTGGCAGTTCTCATTCAACGCGCTTCCTGAATTGCCTGAAATTCTGACTCGTGGTCGTGAGCGAGAGCTGCTGACCTGGTTTTTTAATTTGAAGACGGCTCATGCAGATGGTCTACCCAAAGATCAGTTGGAACGCTATATCCAAGCCTATTCAAGGCCCGGAGCGATGAGTCGGGGGTTCGAGTATTACCGGGCTTTCGAAACAAGTGCACAACAGAACCTAGAATATGCAAAGACACCACTTGATATCCCGGTCTTAGCTCTAGGAGGTGCCGGCTCCGTCGGCTCGAATATGATTCATTTGGTCCAAAACTTCGCGAACAACGTCTCCGGGGGCGCGATTGATGACTGCGGGCACTTTCTCCCCGAAGAGCAACCGTCTGCTGTCGCGCAGAGACTGCTGGAGTTTTTGGAGGCAAACCAAACAGAGTGAACAGAATTAGGAGCCATGTAAGGAGGACAAGACGGTGAAGTTGATATGGTTCATTTCAACGTGCCTGATGGAATTTTGTTTCATAATGCACTGTCATTGTGAATTGTAGATACTGTAGTTACTCATGCTTTATTGAAGGTACCTCGGTAGCTACACCTAAGAGGTATGCATTTGTCTAGCTCGATAAAGTATTCGACTCAAATTTCCCTGAGCATGTCCTTCTCTAACTCCCTATACTCAGTTCTTGTAGCACTTGATCGAGCTCAGAGAACCCCCGTTGATGTTATTGTTGCCCGGGGCTTGGATATCGCCGGTACCACCGCCATTGCATTTGGTGGAGCTAAGTACCAGTTAGCTAGGATCTCCAAACACAAGCAAGAATACATACTCCCAGAAGCGACAACGGTACCCGTTCGGGATACGCACCGACTTGACATTGTCATTGACGGGGCTGCCGTTCAAGTTGTCTATCGCAAGAATGATTAGCTCTATACGGAACGGAATCTGGGGCCCCAGGGTGTCACCCACAGCATTGATGCTGAGTGTAGATTCCAATATTAATACAGTTACCCAGGTTGACACCGGAGCAAATATCAACACTAATACGCTCGTCTCTCGCTTCGAGCTGGACGGGCTCCGCGTTGGGGGCGGCGATGGCGCCCATGGCGGCCGCGAGGATCAGGAAGGTCGAAGTAAAACGCATGATGAAGAGATGATAGTAATCGAGTTAGAAGCAGGATATCCCATGTTCATTGGCCATATGCTGCATTTATACCCTTTTTGGCCCCTTTGCTGGCAGTATGGTGGCTCCTTTGGTGACCTCCTTTGCTGGCCCTCTTTCTGGCCCCCCAATCTGATCCATATCGCAAGATATGGACCGGCTCTGAGTAGAACCGAGGATGCAACCTGCTTCATATGCTTGACCTGGGCTGAGCCCACTTATGCCCAATGTAACTTGCTGAGACATGCATACTGCTTGCCGAAGAAGGCGGACTTGATCTGGATCCTGCGCAAAGAATGTCACAATCGTGGATTCAAGTGGAGCAGAAGTGTCTGGCAAGCAAGAATATTGTGCTCTTTCGTGCGACTTGCAAGAAACTATTGAATAAAGGCAAAATATGCGTATTCGTTTGGAACGCCTCCGGGAGTCGAAAAGTAAGCACTATTTGCGATTGACCCGCTTGCGGGCCGAGACAGCCTCCCATCGCTGATACTGTGACAAATCGATTTGCTTTGCATAATTTATGGTTAAATTTTGAACTCGTCTGTGCGTTTTGCCAGCAGATGGCAAGTCAGCAGTGCTCAAGGCGTAGCGAGTCTATACATACGTCCAAGCGCAGTCAGAGACTTCAGTTGGCTTCCTACATCGTTATGGAGTTTAGAAGCTAAAACAAGCTGAGGAGGAAAATTTCTCCAGGAAACTCAGTAGTTAAAGAGCTAAGCGAAGGATCTTTGATCCATGAGGAAGCAAAAGCCAGTAGAGGCCTGGCAATGCGTATTAACAACGTTAGTTGACAGGAACAAAACTGAAGCAACTCGACTTGATCATCGGGCAGTAACGTGGATGAATAAGGACATCGACAGGCACAGCCCTGTGCCGATAAGTGCGGCTTGATATGTCTTGGATTTCCTGACAGGCAGATGCTGATATATATCTAGATGGTGAGGCCTTAGGGTATTGGATACTTATAGTAGATGAGGGGAAGTATACCAACACCACCACTTACAACACCACAATCAATACTACCAGACCACAAGAACCTGCTCTACCATCTTGGAAATCACTTATTAATGAGATTGAAATCTCTGTAATTGCAAAATGCAACCACGGATCACATGACTATGCCGAACGCCGACAGCAACAACTGGTGACTAATATCAAACCCTCTCGGCGGACGTCGGCCAACGCACTCATTACTTCCTCCCGGCCATCCTCTCGCACTGTCAATCCACCACGATGGACGGCCATGCAAACAATGTCTGCACGTCCCTACCGTTCCAAGCGGCATCGTCCCTGTGATCAATGCCGAGAGAGGAAGCTGGGATGCCAGACCGACGAGGGTTTGCCATGCGTGCGCTGTCGTTCGGCCGATCTACCTTGCACCTTTGAACATCCTCCCCCCAAACGGCCAAGACGGGACTCTTCCTGGAGCCAACAGGGCTCGCACAAGGCGTCCACTGAGTCTCCCGCCTGTCACGATCCATCCCTGCTGCCCTCGTGGGAGGATCGTCACACCGTGCCACCGCCGTCGCATCTGCCCTCCCGGGGCACCTCTGTTAGCAACCACCCTGTCCAGCCCCCGGCGTTTACAGGCTCCCTGGAAGATCTACAGGCACCGGCCGGCGTGTCGCCTGCCGTGTCTGGCCATCTGCTCACGGTAGGTCCCTCTCCCACCCAGTTCGTGCAGAGCCTGGATCAGCTCGAGGGCTTTTCCGCCCAGCTGTTCGGCGCATCGGCTGAGTCGGACCCCTGGCTCCTGCGGCATTGCGCTTTCGACGATTCCGGAGTCAAGTGTTTCTACAAGGTCCATTTCCGCAATGCCGGTGGTGTCCCGACGGCAGACAGAATCCCCGTGCATTTCATGATTGCCGCTGATGAGTTGGCCGCGTCGGCCAAGCAAGAAACCTCTTGTCGCACCGCCGGCGAGACCACGCGTGACGAGCTCAATCGCCTAGTACCGCCCGAGTATGGGCAGCGGCTGGTCTCCTTGTAAGCATCCTGGTCCCATGCTGGGTCAGCTGCCAGACTAACGGAAGTAGATTTGTCAAATATGTTTATCCCGCGCTACCGCTCATTTCGCGCTCGCAGATGGGCCTGAGCCCGTCCTGTTCGATCCCAGAGACGTGGGCCCTGGATCGCACCCCCGTGCACCTCCTAGCGGCCGTCTATGCGTCGGCATTGCCGTTTGCCGCGCATGACGACTATCTCTGCGTGTTGAACACGTATAGCCCGCCGCCGGCAGACCGGCTCTGGCGCATGGTCTATGAGCTCGTGGCCGAGGAGATCCACACGCCGCATCTGGCCGTGCTGCAGGCCGCCCTGCTGTACCTGCACAAACCCATGGACGAGAGCCGGGCGAGCACCGCGGACACGCCCTTCGTCTGGTCGTGGGTCGGCAGCATTGTCGGGTTGGCCGAGTCCCTGGGCCTGCATATCGAATGCCGCATGTGGGGGGTTCCGGCGTGGGAGAAACGGCTTCGGCGACGCCTCTGGTGGGCCGTCTATGCGGAAGACAAGTGGCGCAGCCTATTACTGGGCCGGCCGACCTACATCCACCAGGGAGAATGGGACGTCAGTGAGCTGGACGGTGCGGATTTTCTGTTTCACGCCCGCGGCGCATCCTCGTCCTCGTCGGCCGTGCAGACCACACAGGATCCTGTGCCCTTCCGGTATCTGGTGGACCTGTCCAGGATTGCCGAAGAGATCTATGAATCTTTCTAGTGAGTTATTCCATTCTTGGAGACATCTCGTTGGATGCAAGGCAACTGACACGGGCAGCACTCTCCGCAAATCGCAATACCTGTCAGAACGCTTCGACGCATCGCATGACATCGGCCGTCCGCTGCTCGAAAAGCTCAATGACTGGTACTCCACGCTGCCCGAGACCTTCCGCCTGCCCAACTGGAGCAAATCCGTCAGCGGCCTGGCGCCCTATCCCACCTCGATCCACTTCGCCTATCTGATCCTGGTGCTCTTCGTCTACCGCGCCCTCCTGCGGCCAATGGCCCGCTCGTCCAGCCCACCCCTGATCTTTGACCTGGACGAACTGCCGGCCAACCCGTCGGCCTTGGACCCCTCCGCCGAGTCGCCCATGCTAGATTGCATCAACATGCCCGAGATCGAGTCGTTCCCGGCCGTCGACCTGACCGATCACAGCACGGGCGAGACCACGCTGAACGCTGCAGAGCGCTGCGCATCCATCGTGATCAGCTTCACGCGCCGGCTGACGTCGAGTGACTTTACCGGGTTTTGGTATTCATGTGAGTCTCCCCCGCCATGTCGTCACACGAACATGGCTTGCTAATTGCTCACAGGGTCCCGTGTCGGCTTCGCGACGGTCTCAAATTTCACGCTCCTCCTCTTGGTTCAGGCGCCGAATGCCGAGCGCGCGGCCAAGGGCAAGCAGCTGGTGGATTCGTGGCTGCGCGTGCTCCGCTGCCAGAGCCAGAGCTTTCCCATGATGAAACTGGGTCTGACCCGGCTGGATGCCGTGCACTGGGTGGGCCTGAACCAGACGTTTGTGCTGCCGCAGCATGTTCAGGATGTCATCCAGTCTACGGCTGGTTAGTTCGGCGAATGATCCTTCGCTCGGCCAAAGCGTTCTGTCTATAAATTCGCTGGTCTGTCTGAGGGCATGTACATAGTCATGATCGAGTATCTTGAAGAAGTCTAATACTATCTGATATCACACAATCCCTCAACATGCCCGAGTCCATTATCAAGCTGCTCAGAAAGTCCAAGGATACCAGAACCCAGAAACCGCTAGATGACTCGATGTCAGAGACCACGGTTATTGAGTAAGTCTGCTTCTACCTGACCTATCGCAACTATACTGACCAGCAGACAACCCACCTACTACATCGGGAGGCAGACCGCAAAGCAGACCCAGCAGTCCTTCAACCGTAAGTCTATACAAGTCTTCTCATTATGTTCACTGCTAACTGACGCAGCCGCCGATATGTGCTTTGGCTCCTGCTGCCGCAAGTGATTGCCGTTCTCGACCGTTGCTCTGGCCATCTCCATCCTGTTCGTATGAACGCATGTATATAAAGCCATAATGTCTAACGAATCAAAGATACACACCGACAGCCACCATCTCCGTAGCAATGGTCACCTCCACTTCAACGCAGCCCATCCAAACACCCTCATAACCGCCACAATCCCCAGCGTGATGCCAACATGCTTCGCCAACACCCCCGTCTCAAACCCATACATCTCCAGCACGCCACTGCCGGCAATCAAGCACCGCTCCTTCAGCGGCGTATCAAACTGACAGAAACACCCGCGCCCACACGCATAATCCCTGTACCCGAACTCATTGCTCACCAGCCCGCGAAACACATACGCCTGGTAATTGATATAGTAAAACACATACCGATAGAACGGATTCAGCTGCGGCACCGGCACCATGAACCCGTTGCACGCCATCCACACGCCGTTCGCCATGGCCGTCAGCGCCAGCGCCCCCACAAAATCCGGCACCAGCGCCGCCATCAGCACGACCAGGCTCTCGGCCGCGACCAGGTTGAGGTACGTCCACAGCACCCAGGTGAAGAAGGCCGACGCCGCGGGGCGCAGGTTCACCATCCAGTAGATGAAGGACGACGCGGAGAGCGAGATGAGGAACAGGTACGGCAGGCCGACGAGGAAGTTGGAGACTACGAACGCGGTGCTGCCGTACAGCCCGTTCGCGCGGTCTTTCACGTACACGGCGCGGTCTTCGATGAACGCCGGCACGTACACCACCGCCATGAAGGACATGAAGGCCGACCCGAAGAGGATGCAGTTGGCGTACGGCTGCAGGCTGGCTTGTGTGGGCGGCAGGCGCAGCCAGACTGTGCCCATCAGGATGGCGAGGCCGAGGTACATGCCCAGCCGGAGCCCGTAGACGAGCATGTCGCGGCGGCTTTTGAGCCAGGCGCGGTGGATGAGGACGAGGGTTGTGCGGGGGAGGGAGGGAGGTCGGTGCTCGCTGGGAGGGTCCGGGAGATGGAAAGTCTGTGACGGGCGTGTTTGGGATGTGCTGTGGGCGAGCGTCCAGCTGTTGTGGATGTGGTGGAGTCGCTGCTCGGCGGCGGCTGAGTCTCGCTCGAAGTCGATGTTGGTGAGGCAGAGCAGGAAGTCGGCGGGGTTGGTGGATGGGGGCATGGCGAAGCCGATGCGGTCGAAGTACGGCTGGATGGTGGCAATGTCACCGCAGTAGCACGTCTTGCCTGCCGACAACAGCAACAGCTTGTCGAAGAGGCCGAATGTCATTGTCGAGGGCTGGTGGATGGAGGCGAGGACGATGAGGTTGTTGGCTTTGGCCACGTCTCGGACAAACGACATGACGCTGAAGCTGGCGTGGGAATCGAGGCCAGAGGTGGGCTCGTCGAGAAAGAGGATCTTTGGCGCCGAGATCAGCTGTGCGGCGACGCTGAGACGACGCTTCTGCCCGGTGGATATGCCTTTTTTCAGGAGCGTGCCCACGATCGTGTTGGCGTGGTCCGTTAAACCGAACGCATGGAGCAGCTCGTCTACGCGTCGCTCGCGCTCGCCGGCTGTCTGCACATGGGCGAGTGAGAGGCGAGCTGCAAACTGTAGAGTCTCTTTGACTGTCAGAGATCCGATCAGCGCATCGTCGCACTCCACGTAGGATGATAGGCGGCGGATGTCTGCTGTCGATGGCTGTTGTCCGTTTATGAGGACAGTCGACGAGACTTGGGTTTTATCGGCGCTGCGACGAGCAAGCGCATCGAGGAGGGTTGTCTTGCCGCTCCCAGACGGTCCCATTATGGCCATTATCTCTCCTTGAGCTGGTCAGATACGGTGGTAGACGGTGAGCGTGAAAAATACCTGCTTCGACATGGCCGCTCACATTGCTGAGTATAGCCTTGGGCTTCTTCTGCTGGCGGTCTCGCACAAACACGCTGACATCGTTCCACGAGATGTTGCTGACCGCAGTATTGTGTAGATACTGGATGCCATGATCCTGACGTTCGATATCCTCTTTCCATTGACTGGACATGATTGAGTCAGCCGAGATGGTCCGAGAACGAGCACACTTTGAGGAGAATGGGATAATGTTGACTCTGGAGGAATGGCATGCAGCTGAAGATGGTGTTCGCTTTCGTGCAGACTAGTGCAACATCGCTTGTACGATCCATATCGAGACTGGCTCTAGTAAAGGCGCACCATATCAGCGCATAGCCATCCAATTGTCCCAATTAGCACCCTATCTGGCTGACGGCCAAGCTCACCTGTCATCCTGCATTGAAGCCAGGGATAGGCCGCCATGGCAGAGGAATATGCAGTCAGCAACTGGCGCCCCCCCCCCGTTCGTATCTGCACGTCGGCCGTCTCCTGGGATTCAGTTGGACCGGCGCCTTGTCTGACCAACCCATCACATGGCCGATTGTTTAGTTTAAAACCAATGTAGATGCACGAGACGGATCTGGTGGCGTCTTTCGTCGCGCCATAGCAGATCCTGCACAGAAAAAGCAACGACAAAGCTATCGAGTGGCTTGTGCAAGTCCCAATCAGCACCCTTAATTCTTGTTATATTCGCCGTATACTTGACTATTTTGAGAAAATGGTATGCAGCACAGCGCTGCACAGCCATGTAGTTCATCCCTCTCGGCTAAATCCCCCCGATCATCCAGTAGTCCGGAACACTATCAACAATGCTCGCGCGCCGGCAAATCCTCACTGCCAGTCACGCGGTCACGATAGGTGCTCTCTGCAAAAGCAATGAAGCGATCGACGTCTCCGGCCGTCGACGCAATCCCGAAAGAGACACGGACCGCGCCCGCCGACGGCAGCCCCAGGAGCTCGATGTACTCGTCCAGGGACGCCGTCTTGGACAGACGGCGCAGCTGACGTAGCGACGGCACGTCCAGGCCGAATGCATTCTCGCCACCGCCCGGATTGCAAAAACACCCAGTGCGCAGGGAGATGCGGTGGGCGGCGGACTCGCGGGCCACGAGGCGCTCGTCGACGACCCTGCCAGCCGCGTCGAGGAAGTTGAACGACACAGTAGCCCCGCGCATGGATGTCCCCGTCGGGCCGTAGATTCTGACCATGGGGCGGCCGTCGCTGTGCGCCAGGCCGCGCAGGCGCTCCAAGAACCAGCCAGTGAGACAGCGCACGCGCGTCGCCACGACGCTGATGTCGATGTGCTCCAGCCAGTCCAGGCCGACGCGCACGTCGGGGATCGAGAGGAAGTTCAGTGTGCCGTCCTCGAAGGCACTCTCATCCGCCGCCATCTGGTGCCAGGGGATCCCTACGCTGACGGCCTGGATGGTGCCGCCGGAGAACCACGGGCGAGCCAGCCGGGCGAGCGCGTCGCGCCGCGCGACCAGACAGCCCACCCCCGTTGGGTAGCCGAACACCTTGTACCAGCTCACCATGATGAACTCGGGCTGACAAGCGGGCGACGAGAGGTCCAGGCGCGCCGTGGGCAGATAGGCGGCCGCATCCAGCAGCACGTCGTAGCCGCAGCGTTGTGCCAGGCTCACCCACGCCAGCGGATGGCGCACGCCGCTGAAGTTGCTCTGCGCGGGGTACGCGAATAGTCCCTTTCGCCGGCGTGTCGTGCCGCGCCTGAACACCCCCAGCCCGGCGCCATGCCAGCACAGCCCGCCTAGTGCTGACGCGAGCGTTGCGGAATCGACGCGCAGATCGGGCGCCTGCACGGGCAGATAGACCGTGCGGGCGTGCTTCCGCCGGGCGAACTCGCGGATGCCGTTGACGGAGTTGTGGTTGTCGGACGTCAGGATGAGTTTCTTGCTCCGGCTGAATGGGTAGGCTTCGCCCACGAGCCGGGCTGCGCCGGTGGCATTCTGCGTGAAGATCACGGTGTATTCTTTGGCGGAGGCGTTGAGATAGGACAGCACGCGCGCGCGGGCTTGTTCCACCAGGTGTGTGGATGCCTCGCTGGTAGGGTTGATCGAGTGCGGGTTGCCGTAGAGGCTGTTCGTTAGACGTTCTTCGTGCGCACGATACTGCGCTTTTGCTGCAAGACCTGCGCCGGTGTAGTCCAGATAGAGATGGTCCTGTTCGTCGAGATAGTTGTATTCGGTTTCTCGCAGCTTGTCGAGGACGGAGGTGTCCTGGTATTCAGGGTACATTTCCAAGATGCTCTTCATGTTTACTTCCGTTTCTAAACAATGGGGACTATAGCATTGCAACTACGAACTTGAAGCGAGTAAGCCTTGTTATATGTCTCTCTGTCGGGCATATCCCAAAAGCAAATCGACGACAGACGAACTATTCCTTCGTCGTAGAATGCCATCTGCTTACCCTCCGGCTTATCCCTGTACACTATTGATTCCAGCAAATCATGCACATTCGAGGATTTGTCACATTAGGTGGCGCTTTGATTATTCTTTCAGCTTGCCCTTGACTTGGCTATGGCTCGTCAGGATGGAGTGTCTCCTATGGAGGTAAGGGTGATGAGCGTAAGCCAGCATGCATAAGCTGGCCCCCATCACCGTCGTATCATGTTCAAATAGGAACATTAGTCGGCCAATACGAATGATAAGGAGCGTGAAAGGGTATTGAAGCTGAACTTGAGAAGGTGATCATATGAACGGATCGCGCATCACCATGTGAGACGCATATTCGTCTTGTATGGAAGGTGAAGCTGTTCCAGGGAAAAATACACTATATATCAAGGCGGAATCCTAAATCATGACTGCCGATGCACAAGCCCAAAGAAACATCATTGTTGACGAGGGTTATTCTTAGGCAGTGAACACTCTTATGATGCTGAGCCTCGTAACACACAAGGTATACAAGCCCATCTCTGTGGGGTGCAGTCGAATGCTGTATTGTCGTTGCTTTTTCTCCCCTATTTGTCATTGCATCTTTTCTTTTTCTTCACAATCCCATGTGATTGTTTTATTCTTTCTAGTAGACAGGTGGTGTACTTGTCCGTTGTAGTCTGCACCTGCTCCTAGGAAAACGTTCTTCCACGAATCTCGCCCATCCCGTCCTTCTCAGTCTTCTCTTCATAAGAAGCCTCGTTAAACTTGTCCAGGTTATCCAACGATAGTTGAAGGAAATCGTGCTTGTTCTTCCACGTCACCTGCGTCTCAGCGAAGCCTTCGCTCTCACTGGGGGCGGGTGGAGGGTCAGTGATTTTGGTAATGAGATATGCGGTAGAAGCCTCTGCGACACCATACATCAGAACGCCGATGAACGGGATCTTCAAGACCACCGTAAAAGCGAAAGCGAAGCCGAACAAGACCCCTTCTCGATCGGCAAACCATCGGCGTTTCTGATCGGGCGTGAACTTGATGCGGCAAAAATAGGGCTCCAACTAAATAGCTTGTTAGTGGCGCTGCTATATGAAGATGGAAATAATGACTCACGAGTTCTCGCATCAAGCTCCGAGAAGCAAAATACGTATGAAGAAACCGGACGAGGTAGTGTTTCGGGAGGAGTAGACCAGTTCCAAAGATGACCGCAGCGGGAGTCGTGCCGACAAAGTTTTGAAGCGAATAGACCGAGGCCAGGGGCATCACGAAGCGGCCCAGACCCGGGACCAACGAAAGGATGTAGACACCCAGGAGCATTCCAACCTTGCGGCCGTATCTACGCAGAAACTGCATGATGGCTTCGGGGATTGGCTTGGAGACGCCGGCACTCCCTTTGGTGGAATACATGGCAAGATGGGGGTAATACATGGCACGCAGAGTTCGGGGATCGTCTGTCTTGTGCTTGTCGACGTAGGTTGAGTCGACCCATTTCAGGGATTCCATGAAACTGCATTGAGTGTTAGCAATGCCAGTGTTTGTCGAGGGATGTGTCTTACATTTCATCCAAAGTCGGGGTGACATATCGCATCAGGGTCATGAGAAGAAACGGCACCTGGAGGACGGACTGATTGATGAAGTCCAGGCTATTCAAGAGACTATCATCCCAAGTGGCTCCCTCCAAATCGACCACCCAGGAGAGGAGCCAAATCATGAACCTCACCCCGATGATCTATGATGTTGATTAGATACAGTCATTTGAGTTCACGGGAGAGCCGGGACGTACCGGAATCTGGACGATGATCTGAATGATGATCCCAATGGCGATGGCCAGGGCCGCCTGACGGAAATGCTCATATTTGAAGAGCTCTGCGTTGCGTAGTGCTCGGACAGCTGTACACACCATCAGCTTTTGGATCTCATCATGGTTGATCATGACTTACTTCCGACTACGGTGAGCTGGAAGCCGCGGATGACGGCATTGGGCTCAAAAGCCGGCATCCTGGGGGTTTTCTGCTGCAAAAGGGTGTCTTGCGTCTATGCAAGACCTGACGATGTATACCACACCGTAAAACGTCAAGATCTGCAGGAGTTGAGAGTTGTCGGGGTGAAGAAGAGAGTGAGACACTGACGCCATGAAAGCTTGTCCAGGCAACCATATAGTATGGCCACGGCCAGTGATTGGCCCGCTAGCCGCCAAGCGCCACACGCCCCAGCTTGCCCGATCTGGTTAGGCCATGTTCCTGGTTGCCTGAGGCTGCCTCGGTCCCTTTCCCCGCCGATAGAAACAAGGCGATTATCGCCATCTCCTTCTCTCCTTCACTTCTTCTCTCTCTCTCTGTCTCTGTCTCATCCCTCGATGTAATAATATTCTCTTTGTTTACTTCTCAACACTAATCTCCACCAAGTCTTTCCTTGATTACTCTCTTCTCTGTATTATCTACCCCTCTCCTTTGATCCATGTACCCGGTTCTTCCCTCCATAGTCCTCATGAACCATGTCCGAGCTTGCGGATGCGCCGCCGTCTCACATACAACCCGTTCGTCGCGCCTTCACTCTCCCAACTAAATTAAATCCGCGCATCTCTCGCAAATCCGACACTTTTGGTCCGTCGGAAAATGACTTGTTCTATCATCCCTCCGCCAAAGTCGTTCATTTCGCCCCCAGAGCGGTCGCGCCTATTCCCTCGAGCACCGCCCCGTCCGATTTTGACTACCCCGTGGATGCCGTCGAGACTCTTCCATGGCGATCTCCCACTGAGCGGACGGTCGCGTTCGCCCCTCTTAGACTCGAAAAAGTCCATGGATTGACCGTCTTTCTCAAATGCGGCAACGTCGTGCATGCGATTCTCAAAAACTCCCAGTGTTGGTGTGTCGATGGCGAGTCCACTTTCGTCCTACGCATTCGGCCTTTGACTTATTATCGCATCGAACTGCCAAATGAAACCGAGGAAGACAAGGAGTATGTCACGGCGATGAAGGAGGCGTTGCCCCAAGTTCTTCGTTACGAGGTTACTCCCTGTCCCTTTAAGAGAGGATTCACCGTGGAGATCCCAGAGGAGGCGAAAGTGCGGCGCCGGAAGAAGGCATGGCGCCCGAAAGGCCGACGAGAAAGCGATCCGGTGTATGCTGGTCATACCCAGGAGAAGAGCCCTGCGCGGAAAGAAGCCGTATCCGATTTTTTAAGCGCCGGTGAGGATACCGATGGAAACACCACCGACGACAGCTGCTTCACTACAAAAGGCAGCACTAGCACCATGCTTGAAACTATTCCAGATGACAGCGAACCGTTCGTTGCGACTGACAGCCCGGTTATGGATGAGGGCCCCGCAGACTCGAAGGTGGACAAGCAAAACTTTGGGACCTTGCTGGCAAGCTTCGAGGACAGCTCCGAGTCTCAACTTGATGGGGGACTGCCCCTTTCTTCCAGCGTCGACTCTTTTCATTCGATCGGATCCTCTTCGCAGGAGGAAGCCATTTCTTACACTCCAGCTGCTCCCGTTGACAGTGTCGAACTGACTCCGAGTCAAGCACGCAACGAACACTCCCCACCCATGCCCACTTTCCAAGAGGTGGACTTTGCAGCCAAGAAAACGCTGTCTGGTCCTCGATGCCATGATTGCGCTTCCAAGCCTGAGCGCTCTCCACGAGCTTCATTCTCGGAGCCAGAGATGAGATTACTCGTGCCAGGTGCGCTGCCGGATGACGACTCCGTGACAACACAATCGAGCACGCTCAGAACGCCTGACTCCAACCCTAATCTAAGCAGCATGAGTGTTGAATTTCGTCGACGATCCAAAGCGTCGCGCGAACGAGAGGTTTCCCCGATGCCTCCTGCATCCGCCTTGGTCCTTCCTTCAGAGAAGTCCGATGCGGCATCAATCATTCAAAAGACATGCACGCTTGTCCTGGTTCCTCCCATTCAGCTGTTAATTGTTCTGATTCATATCGCGGCCCGTATCGTCATCGGGCCTGCTCTCAACTCCGCCATGGATGACTTGAGCCGGAAATTCGAATGTCAAATCACCGATCCGCAAGAAGCGGTGGATGACTTTGACCTTCCTCTGGCGCCGGACTGCTCGAAGCGGCCGTCCGTTTCGGGTGCAAGCAAGTCTGATCCATGGGAACTGGATTGAGGCAAGTTGCGTCTTTCCTTTCATTTGATATCATCTCCTATATTTCTTTTAATCTTCTCTCATTTGCCCCTTTATAATTTGCCCTGTCCCCCAGCCATGTCTTTATAATGATGCTTGATTTGTATGATCTTACTCCCGGCGGTTCTTTTGGTTGTGTACGGTCATGGGATGGTTGTGTTGCATATGTACTCCACGTTGTATTTTAGCGATTATACCTAGTTAGTCACTGTGAATATACCCGGCAAGAAGGCTCCTGATCACGTAGGACTATATCTCATTCAGTCCAGAGCCGTACCACTCTGGGGATATCTGCTAGATAAACACGAAAGAACCCCATTGAACGCCGCGTATGCAAGTTACCCAATCTCCAGGTAAAAGCCCACTCATCTAAAACCCACCAAAATATCAACGAGAACAATTAAGCCTTGGCCGCCTTCCCAGCACCACCCTTCTTCGCCTTCTTCTGTTTCCGATCCCTCTTCTTCAACCCAGTCATGCCGCCCTTGCACACCTCCGCATAGCGCGCGTAGAACGCCTCAAGGTCCTCCGGCGCCACCACCGTCGACAGCTTTACCTTCGTCGACTTCGACTTCTGCACCTTGTTGTTCTTCGGGTTCGGGGCGTTGGTGTTTCCGTCCGATGCGCGGATGAGAATCGCCGGCTGCGACGGCGTCTCAGTGTCTGTGGCACCGTGCAGCATGGGCTTCTGGGAGAGGTAGACGGAGCCGCGGGCTTTTTGGGAGGTTTTGGACAGCAGGTCCGTCAACGAGGCGAAGAACTGGGCGTTTGGTTAGTGGATGGATTGGAGTGGGGAGATTGGGGTGAGTGGGTTGCGGACCTCCTCGTGGGGTGAGATGGGGGTGGCATTGTGGGATGAGCTGTGCTTGTATGCTAATGCGCTAGCTTCTGGAAGATAGAGACAGACGACAATTGACAGAACAGAGACAGCTGGAGTGTACTGTGTACTCTAGTAAGTAGCTAGTGCTTAGTGGGGAGCGAGAGGACAAACTCCGCAAAAGGCCCACACCGCCTTCGCTGTCCGCCTCCGCCTCCGCCGATTTCTTCGGCATTAAAAAAAAGTTGGTTCACTCATGAACACCCACCCACCAACGGTGAACTTTTTTTACACGACAGTGAATTCCCCCATGGGTCGTCCGAGACATCTGACCACCGCGTTACCGCGGGAGCTCCGCGCAGAGCTGGGTCTGCGAGATACCTACGGCGACAAGAAGAACCGGCGCAACACGCCCGCCGCACGGAAAGACCGCCGCCGCGCAGAACGGGCAGAGAAGAAGACGAAACGAGCGCCGGTGTCGAAGAAGGGCCGTTCGCAGCGAGGTGGCGACGACGATGGCTTCGACGATGACGGTGGATTCGATGAGATGGAGGGTCTTGGAGACGGGGACTCGGCGTCGGAAGACGACGTAGCGGCGACGATGGCCAAGCTGGCGAAGCAGAAGAAAGACAAGCCCAAATCGATACTCAAGAAGGCGAAGCCAGTCGAGTCGGAATCTGAAGAGGACGAGCCACAACCGCCGCCGCGGAAGGTTTCTAAAACTGTCCAGGAGAAGCTTGACCAGGATGATGCGGAGATTGCGGCGCTGGAGAAGAAGCTCGGCCTGAAGAGGGGGAAGAAACTGCCAAAGTCTTTTGCCGAAGACGGGCTGGATGAGCTACTGGGTGATTTGGGTGACGGGTCCGCGGATGAGGGTCGGAAGCGCAAGAGAGAAGCCGATGAGTGGCTGCGGAGCAAACGGAGAAAGGCCCAGGGCCTCGAGTCGGAGTCCGAGGATGACGCAGAAAGCGACGAAGACATCGACCTGGACGAGGAGGACGACGACGGCGAGGAGGATGAGTTCGACGAGGATGATGATCTACTGGGCGATCTCGCCGAGGATAGTGGCGAGGACGACGCCGACGAAGATGAAAAAGAGCCCGCACCGAAGAAGAAAGAAAATCCCTATGTTGCGCCGGTGGTCGAGACCAAGGAAGACCGTCCTCAGAAATACATCCCTCCGTCGCTACGCGCTGCATCCAACTCCGAATCCGAATCGATGACCCGCCTACGGAGACAGGCGCAGGGTCAGCTGAACAAGCTGTCCGAGGCCAACTTGGTGTCAATTCTTGCAGAGTTCGAGAAACTGTATCGAGAGTATCCCCGGCAGAACGTGACGTCTACGCTGATAACTCTGCTGTTTGGCCTTATCTGCGAGAGATCTGCACTGCAAGACACCTTCGTCATCCTCCACGCAGGCTTCATCGCGGCTTTGTACAAAGTCGTGGGCATGGATTTCGGTGCAGAACTCGTCCAGAAACTGGTCGAGATGTTCGACGCGCGCGGCGACGAACGGGGCCAGTTCCAAGGAAAAGAGCTTATCAACCTCATCTCCCTGCTGTCCCAATTGTACAACTTCCACGTTGTCGGGAGCACGTTGGTCTTTGACTACGTCCGGCTTTTCTTGGAAGAAATCAACGAGGAGAACACCGAGCTGCTTCTCAAGATCATCCGAAGTAGGTCATCCTCTCCCCATCCCCTCAGCAACGACTAACATGACCAGACTCTGGCCCTCAGCTCCGACAAGACGACCCCTCCTCGCTGAAAGACATCGTCCTGCTCATCCAGCCGGCCGTCGCCAAAGCAGGCGAGGCCGCCCTCTCCGTCCGCACGAAATTCATGGTCGACACAATCACCGATCTCAAGAACAACAAGCTCAAATCCGCCATCGGCTCCAGCATCACCTCCGAACACATGACCAAGATGCGGAAAATCCTCGGATCGCTCAGCAACAACCGCGTGATCCGCGCCTCCGAGCCGATCAGCATCTCCCGCGACGACATCCACAACTCGGCGAAGAAAGGCAAGTGGTGGCTCGTCGGCGCCAGCTGGAGGGAAGACCCGCTCGTGTCCGCGCGCCAGGAGTTGTCCAATCTGCCCGTCGACACGCAAAATGCCGTGCCGGAAGATGACAGCGACGGCGAACCGGACTACGTGAATCTCGCCAAGGCGCACCGCATGAACACGGACGTCCGACGCTCCATCTTCGTCGCCATCATGTCTGCGACGGATTACCAGGATGCGCACGTGCGCCTGCTGAAACTGCGGCTGAAGCGCGCGCAGGAGTACGAGATCCCGCGCGTGCTGACCCACTGCGCCATGGAGGAAGAAGCTTACAACCCGTACTACACGCTCATATCGCGCCGGCTGTGCGGCGAGCTCGGCCGCCGCATCAAGATGTCCTTCATGTATACATTGTGGAACATTTTCAAGCGCATGGGCGAGACGGGGGATATGGACGACGAAGACGACACGGGCTTCGATGATGAAGACGAGAACCAGTTGCCCATGAAGGCCGTTGTCAACTTGGCCAAGATGTACGCCAGCATGATCGCCGACGGGACGCTGAATTTTGGCGTGCTGAAGATCCTGAACTTTGCCTACCTGCAGCCGAAGACGAAGACTTTCACCGAAATTCTGCTCATCACTGTTATCCAGCTGTCGCAGAAGCAGAAGGGCAAGAAGGGCAAGAACAAGAAGCCTGAGGAGGAGGAGTCTAGGGATGAGAAGGCCCTGATGGAGATCTTCATGCGCACGCAGGAGACGCCGCAGGTTGCCAAGGGGCTGATCTTCTTCCTACGCAAGGTCGTCGCGAAGACGGACGTCGTCTCCTCGAAGGAACTGAAGCTGGTGCGATGGGGGTGCCGGGTTGCCGTCGACGCACTGAAAGCGGTGGCTAAACAGGGTGGTGATCTCGATTGAGCATTGTATAATGGGATAGATAAAGAGTAGACTGTACATGTGTTCACGAAGAAATGGTAACATCTATCTACACTTGACTGGTTCATTCGAAGGGTATCATACATAATATACATCATAGCTTACAACACCTCCCATTCCATCCCAACAAGCCATGGCCCGGCTGGGACGTCCCCAGAAGAATCCTTTGATATAAGATTCTCAAGTTCGCCAGTCTTCCCTACAACCGGGTCGCCCAGATCCAGCTCCCAAACTAGACCCCGACAGATACCGATGAGATTCCCCGCCTGCAAGTCCGGGACTCGCGTACGGGTTGAGCTCTGAAACGGCGATTCAATGCTCCTGGTGCGGGGAGGCCCTACGAGCAAAATGTTCTTCGGCGGCACATCCTCTCCGGCATTACCTGACGAATCCACCGGACGGCCGCGCGCAAAGGCGAGAGGGCCGGAGCTGCCAAGAGCAGACTGCCTCACCTCATCTACACGAAAAGCCAGAAAATACTTCTTCAGATCCACGGAATCCGACACCGCATGTCCAGCATTCATCTGCAGGGCCTCGCGTTTGGTTGCCATTTCGAGTATCCAACTGCGCACCTCCGCCGCCATGCCGCCGGGGAGATATTCTGAGGCTGTAGATCGCGGGCGACCACGGCGGCGCAGTGCACGCGACGAGGGTGAAAACGGTGTCGGAATAGTCGACGGGTCGTTATCTGCCTCTGACGGCGAAGGGGAGCGCGGCAGCACAAACCCTGGTTTGCGCCTTGAGGGGGACGAAGAGCGTGCGGGGGTCGCAAATGGCCTAATAGTTGGGTGAGATTGACTGCTGGGAGGGGCCTGGGATGCGGAGAGGACGAATCGAGGGTGGCCGCGGAACGAGGGGCGCGTGCTCGTTGGTGTCGAGGTATGCGGTGTTTCCGTTGCTCCGACGGAGACCGTTTTCTGGGGAATTCCTTCCGGGAGAGCATCCAGACGGACCGCATCCGCGCGAGGCTGTACAGGAGTTTGGAACGGTTGGAGCATGTGATGGGCAGTGTTTGGTGAGGCAGGGTCTGTGTCTGGAGGTGACGATTCGATCAGGTCCGCTCCGGGTCTCCTTCGCTGCGTCGACGGCGTTTCTATGTCTGCGGAGCGACGGCGCCGTTTCGTCCCGCGGTCTGGTATAGTCCCAAAGAGCGCCTCAAATTCTGCGTCAAGTTCGGGCGCGTTCTCCGGCGGACTACTACTGAGTTCTTCTCTGCGACGACTCACGACATGGCGCGTTTGGGGGTCGGGTGCTTGCTGATCCAGCTCCTCGTCGGAGTCTTCGATTGCCTCCTTCTGAGTGGGTCTTGGTACACGCGCTGTCCCTATGGGAGTGGCTTGAGGAGAGTCTTCCGTTTCAATGACATCGTCGCTGTGTGCGGTCTGTGCTGGGGTTTGCGACAGAAGGAATCGTGGGGTCGAGGCGAATTGAGGGCCCGCTGCGCGGGAGGATGAAGTTGGACGAGCAGATGGGAGGCGGAAGGGGGTCTATACAGATTAGCAGATGATCCGTATATCAGAGGAAGAGACGTACGCTGAAGGGGGGCATGTATGATGTATAGTAGGAGAGATGAAGAGACGAAGAGTTGTCGCGATGATGATAGTCGGTGGGCGGATTTCCGTTTTGGGCGTCGCGGCTTATCTTATCTCTCCGGCAGCCACCGACACCTGAGGCAGCATCCGTATACTTCTCTTCCATCCTATCATCTCCTCGACATCCATCATGATAGCGCTGATAAGCACGGAAATACTCGGTTCCTCATGCAACTCGGGGTCTCTGCGGGGTTTGCGATACGATAAGCCACCTCCAAATCCCCGTTGGAGACGCTGAGGGGAGTCTTGGAGAAGGGTTTATTACGGGATCAGACCGCTGGCATTCCCCTCATGAACTGCACTCTTGATACTCTACATCTCAACTCATCCAGGAAAATGGGCCAGAAAGGAATCCGCACAGCTCTGAAAGTTGACTTGAACAAGCCAGCGTGGGAGCAGCCTGGGTTGCATGTAAGTATCATGATCCTCCAACGTATTATATAAATTATACCCAGGTACTAACAGATCTGCAGAATCGGTGGCATCCAGAGGGTATGATTGAACCATAAGCCACAGTCCATCGCAGCTGACACGAACAGTCCCTTCGTGCGGCAAGATCGCCAACAATGAAGTCGTTAAGATCGAGTGCCTCGACTGGACCGGAGGCCAGATCAAGAACAACGACTCGGCCGACGACATAAAGAACGTCGACCTCACTCAGATCCACTACCTGTCCGGTCCTTTCGACATCGAGACCGCCGAGCCCGGCGACGTCCTCCTCGTCGAGATCCAGGACGTCCAGCCCTTCGAGGACCAGCCCTGGGGCTTCACGGGCGTCTTCGAGCCCCAGAACGGGGGTGGATTCCTGGATGAGATCTACCCCAAAGCGTAAGTATCCTCAGCCGAGACTTACGACACCGCATTTGCTAAAGATCTGGAAACGCAGAGCCAAAGCCATCTGGGACTTTGAGGGCATCTTCTGCTCGTCCCGTCATATCCCCCATGTGCGCTTCGCGGGCCTCATCCACCCCGGCATCCTGGGATGCGCGCCCTCGGCCGAGGTCCTGGCCGAGTGGAATCGCCGCGAGGGCGAGCTGATCGCGACGAACACCACAGGCCGTGATGTCGCTAAACCCCCAGAGCCCAAGAACGTCCACGCTGGCAGTGCAAGCGAGGATATCAAAGCCAAGGTCGGGCGAGAAGGCGCCCGCACTGTCCCGGTACGTTCATGGCCCTCTGCTCCAAAGCAGTGATGCAGCGCTAAGAAGACCAGGGCCGCCCCGAACACGGCGGAAACTGCGACATCAAGAACCTCTCCCGCGGCTCAAAGGTGTATCTACCAGTGCATGTGCCCGGGGCCAAGTTCTCCGTCGGCGACCTGCACTTTTCACAAGGCGACGGCGAGATCTCCTTCTGCGGCGCGATCGAGATGGCCGGCGTGATCACCCTCAAGTTCACAGTGATCAAGGACGGCATGGCCAAGCTGGCCATGAAATCGCCCATCTTTCATCCCGGCCCTGTCGAGCCGCAGTTTGGTCCCGGCCGCTACTTGACCTTTGAAGGCTTTTCCGTGGATGAGCATGGCAAACAGCACTATCTTGATGCCACAATTGCATATCGCCAGACGTGTCTCCGAGTTATTGAGTACTTGCGGCGATATGGCTACAGCGACTACCAGATCTACCTGCTGCTCAGCTGTGCGCCTGTTCAAGGTCATATCGCAGGACTGGTGGATATCCCCAACGCGTGTACTACTCTGGGCGTGCCGATGGATATATTTGATTTTGATATTCGTCCTGAGGCGGAGGTAGTGAAGATGGATATGGGGAGCTGTGCTTTTGCGAGCAGTTGATTGTGTCCTTTTTATTGATCTCTTTATGTGATGGTGTGTTTCCCACAGTCTTATAGCCTGGTCTGGTCCTCTATGTTGCTCAGAATGAAGCGTTCAATTATACGTAGGATCCATTATAAGCAATCTCAGACGCCAGCTTGCCATCATCAGCCTACAGCCGGCTTTCGCTCCCCACGCAAGTCCATTCATTGTCCCCGACATCCTGAAAGTCCATCACCCGATTCGGGCCTCCAAACCGGTTCTGCGTATCTCTCCAGTCGCGGTGCACCGCCGTCTCCGGCCGCCACCGCACGGCCGGCTTCACCTCCTCCTGCAACCGGCCCTCCAGCGCATCCGCGATGAACCCTCCAATCGTCGGCATCTGCATGGCACCATTGCCCGACCCGCCAACAGCCACCAACAGTGACCGATGCTCAGGGTGCCGGTCGATCAGAAACGCCCGATCCGGGGTATCGGCGTCCCAGCAGATGCGCGCAAAGGCCAGTAGCCGATCCGCCAGATGCGGCATCGTGTCCCGCAAGAAGTCGCGTGCGCGTGCCTCAGCCGCCAGCGGGATCTGGTGCTTCGCAAAGGGCACGCTGCGCAGCTGGCCGCCGTGGCGCGGGTCCGGCACGAAGTTGCAGTAGCCTGGGTGCTCGTCGCAGATCTTCAACTCGTGGCAGTCCTCGTCGGGCTCCATGAAGAAGCCCTTGGCGATGTTGAACAGCACCGGCAGGTTGCGGTACTGCTGCGCCTCCTCGGGCGTCATGCGGATATGGCAGAGCGTCCAGGCCGTCGGACGCAGCTGGTTCTGGAAGTCCAGGAGACGGTCGCTGGCCGCGCCGGCGGCGAGGATGGTGTGGTCGGCGCGGTGGACGATGCCGTCGGCGGTCTGCGCGCCGGCCACGTCGCCGTGCTCGTAGACGAGCGAGACTACGTTGCCGTGTGGCGAGCCTGTGATGAAGGTCACCCCGAGACGGCGCGCCTCGGTGTACGCGGCCACCATGGCCTTTTTGGCGTGGATCCAGCCGGCGCCGGTTTTGTTGAGCCACCCCTTCCAGCCGGGGAACTCGCCCGTCAGTACGCCCGGAGGCATCGTTTTGCGAAAGTCCTCGGCGGTGTCGAGCTTGACAAAGTCGCCTCTGGAGGGATTGATGTCTGACTCTTCGATGTGTCGGATGAGGGCTGGCGTGTGCCCGGAGATGATGAAGCCGGTCTCGTGGAAGTACGGCTGGAAGACAGGGTCTGTTCGCCAGGCTTTCAACGCTGCCCTAGTGCAGGTAGAGAAGGCGATGCTCCAGGCTGAGTTGTCGCTTTCTGTGTCTTGTTAGCGGTTGATATACTCCAGTCGGTAGGCGAAGCGTACGCTTAAGCTCTCTATGCTCCATGATCTTGTTGATGTCATTTCCCGCCGCAATGGGCGATGGCACCGGATGGGGATCCAGCACGGTAACATGTTTGTATCCTCGACGAGCGAGATGCAGAGCTGTTGAACATCCCCACGTTCCGGCTCCTACAATGAGGATGGAGGAGTCTGGGTGGAGGCGAGAGGCAGACATGCTTTTGCTCGGTATACTTCGATATACTTCGACCGGAGGGATTCAAGACAGCAGCAGAAGAACCCAACCCCCTCACGAGAGTTGCTGTGCCGTATTTCAAGTCGCCTCCCTGCGGAGAGCAGCGATGCCATGCATGGGTTAAGCACCGTTTAGCGCCGGGTCTAAATAAATCCAAGGATTTTAGTCTCGCTGACAATCCCCGCTCCAACGGCTGGACCTTCCTCTGCTCTCGTCTCTCCGCATTCCATGTCTACAATGGTTCTAGACAACGTCACTTATCGTATTCGCCTGCAGCAGATGGACGGTTATCAGCTCTGCGGCCCTCTGGCGCGGTGGACCTCGGGTTATCAACTGCGGAGACACCCCGTTTGAGGCATGGTTGGAGATAGGATCTTCTATATCTCCAGGTCTATCATTCTGTGGCTTGCAATGGTTACAGCAGGTTCGGCTTGGGCCGATACTCCAATGGAGGAGTGATGCTCGGGTTATCGCGAGGGGATTCTCTGTCTCTTGTCTGCTGATGATCAGCATATAAACTGCTGGACTACCCCGGCTGAGAGGACCAAGCAAGCGAACTGGACAAGATGGCTCCCTCCGATGACATTCTCACTGATGTGCCGGGCACGGTGTATCTGGTTGATAGTATGTTCCTTAACTCCAGTAGTGATCTCTACTGACTCGGCTGTACAGAATCAGAAGCCTTGACGGACTCTGCTCATGCAGAGCAACGAGATATCATCCTCATCCCACAGCCTTCCTCCTCCCTAGCAGACCCTTTGGTGAGCCCAGCATCTTTGCTTCAAACGTGCCCATACTAAAGCCAGCAGAACTGGGTCAAAACCAAGAAATACTGGTCCCTACTCCTCATCTCCTTCTATGCCTGTGTCATGTCGTTCGGAGAGAACAACTGGGGCGCATCATGGACGGTCATCTCTGCCGACACCGGCGTCTCTATCGAAGACATGAACGGCGGTTCGGCCCTTAATTACCTCATGCTGGGCTTCTTCAACATCATCTGGATTCCTTCCGCCATGAAGTTCGGCCGCAAGATTGTCTTCATCATGAGTCTAATCTGCGTCGCTGCGTCCAGCATCTGGGGAGGCTTCTACCACGGCACGGGCCAGTACTATACCATGACTACTATCAATGGAATCGGCACAGCTGCCTATCAGGCTCTGATCCAGCTGACCGTATGTGAATGTGTCTCCTTTCGGGGTCCCAACTGACACGCCTAGATCTTCGACATGTTCTTTGCGCACGAGCGCGGCCGCATGCTGGCATTCTACATCTTCTTCCAGCAGCTCGGGTCCATCCTCGGCCTCATCCTGGGCGGATACATCTCCGACGGCATCGGCTGGCGATGGAGTGCACCTATCGTGGCGATAGCCTGTGTAAGTCCAGCGCCATAGCGCATCCTCGTCCTTGTCTCCTCGTCTAACACCCCCAGGGCGTCCTCATCCTTCTCTTCATCTTCACCTTCGATGACACCATGTTCCCCCGGTACCGCTTCCTCACAAACGAGAGCCTGCCTCCCCCAACATCTCCCGTCGACAAGACAGCCGACACCGACGAGAAGAAGAGGCAGCCCGAGTCGACACGGTCTGTATCCCCCAGCAACGGCATTGGAGAAGTCGACATCCTGCCGCGCACCTACCGCCAGAAGATCGCCCTGGTGCACTACTTCCCTGACGATCAGACCACCTGGTTCCAGTACTTCCGGCGTCCGTTCTTCCTCTTCGCGTTCCCCAACATTGTCCTCGCCGGCATTCAGTTCGCCTTTGGCTGCACCGCCGGCATCGTCTCCTTCAACACCATCTCGGAGATCCTCACCGAAGCCCCGTACAATTTCAGCGCGGGCTCCACAGGTCTGGTCTTCCTCGCTGCACTGGTGGGCAACTTCATCGGGTACGTAGGCCCTTCCTTCCTCATCTACAGGCAAGACCTGGCTAACAGCGTAACAGAATGGGCATCGGATACCTCTCCGACTGGATCGTCCTATATCTCGCCCGCCGCAACAAGGGGTACAAGGAGCCCGAGATGCGTCTGTGGACGCAGATCTTCCCGTTCCTCTTCGCCGCCGTCGGGTACTTCACCTACGGCTGGGGCGCGCAAAAGGGCGACCACTGGATGTCCATTGCCGTCGGGCTGTGCTGCATGATTGCGCAGCAGGTGTCGGCGACGAGTATTGCGACGGCATATGCCATGGAGTGTTTTGATCGGGTACGCCCCTTGCCACTGAAGTTATGATGCTGGCTAGCTAACGTCTCGTGTAGATTTCCGGAGAGCTGGTTATCGTGCTGGCGTGCTGCTCGTCCATGATCAACTTTGCCATCTCGTTCTCCATCCAGCATTTTATCAATGCCACCAATTACGGCTGGGCGTTTACGTTTTATGGTCTTCTGGTTGTCGGGTCCATGGTCATGACGGTGCCCATGATGGTCTGGGGGAAGCGTTGGCGGAGACGGTGCAAGGGCCGGTATATGAAGTTTTTGGCTGAGGTGGGCCGCTCTCCTTAGGTAGTGTTGGTGTGGAAGGTGTTTCGAGCTTTGAGATCGTATTGAGTCAATGCACTTGTCTGTTACCTGATGGTTGGAAGGGCCGTTTATAGTGGTACAACTATCATGCTTCATGTTGGTACACGATCTCTATATAAAGGTATCGCACACTCCACAACGTGCTTGTATATCAATCTTTTGATTATCAGGAGATTGAACATGTTGATGTGACCGAACTCACTCTCATGTTCTGTTTGCTTAAGAGCTTGTTGCTATTTGTCTCTACCTAGTAGGTCGCAGAGCGAAAGGAAAGGCCATCAGATACATCTATAGATCCTAAACCGGCCGACTAACATTCAATAGAAGGGCTTTCCGGAATGCCTTCACTTTCCATGTCAGTATAACAAATCATCTATTCGACTCCCCAGTTTCTCCGACCGCTCGCAACAAGAGACAAACCCTCTCTCCATGCTACCATATGCTACGACACCTCAGGAAGCAGAAAGAACCGAACAAAAAGTACAGTCTCGAGACATCGCTTTTTAATGCTAAAAAAACAACGATTTCATGCATCATGAATCGTAATGACATTATCGCTCTATGAGAAGAACTTCCGGGCCGCGGCGCGCTCCTTGGCCTCGCGGTCCTTGATGGCCTTCTTCACCCGGGCAATCTCGTTGACAATCGCCGCATCATTGGGCGCCAGCTTGGACGCTTCCTCCAGATCCTTCAGCGCCTCGTCTTCCTCCTTCAGGCCGCTGCTGGCGACGGCGCGGCGGTAGAGCGCCTTGGCCTTGTCGGCATCTCCGGCGTTGGCGGCCGCGGCCACTTCCAGCGCGTAGGAAGCCCAGGTCTGTCCGTTCCGGAACTGGCCCAGCTTGTTGGCGAGGAGGGCGGAGTTGGAGTGGAGGGTGAAGCGGAGCGCCTTCATCTGGCCCTCCAGCTCCTTGGGGTCGTTCTCATCCGGTCCAGGGAACTCGTTCAGATACCGCAGTCCCTTCTGGTACTTCTCCAGACCCAGGTTCAGGTCGCCGCTCTTGAACGCCGCGTTTCCAAAGCCCTTGAGTTCCCCAGCGATCTTGTAGCACACGGGGGCATTCAGCTCCTCGCCCTGGTGGTCATCGGGGAAGTCCTCGTAGGGGTCGCCGGTCGCATCAGGCACCTGCTTGTCGGCGTCGTCGTAGTCCTGGCCGGTCAGCTCCCCGCAGTCGGCGATCGTCACATCGGTGATGGGCTTGTCGGCCTGGGTGGGCATGTTCTCGATCTTGCGCACAACGCTCTTGCCATTGATCACCTCACCGAAGACAACGTGCTTGCCATCGAGGTGGGGGGTCGGGACAGTGGTAATGAAGAACTGGCTGCCGTTGGTGCCGGGGCCCGAGTTGGCCATGGACAAGAGGAAGGGACGGTCATGCTTGAGATCGAAGTTCTCGTCGGGGAACTTTTCGCCGTAGATGGATTCACCACCAGTTCCGTTGAATGCGGTGAAGTCACCACCCTGAATCATGAACTGTTTGATGACACGGTGGAAGATCGAACCTATATGCAGTGGGGTGCGTAAGATTCTGCACACGATCCCGAGAAGCGGGGAGGATATCACCTACCCTTGAAGCTCAATGGCTTCCCCTGCTTGCCCACGCCCTTTTCTCCGGTACAGAGGGCACGGAAGTTCTCTGCGGTCTTGGGGACGACTATTGGAGTCAGATTGGCGCCAACATGGTATTCTGGGGTTAGAAAGTTATAGTCATACCATCGTTGAACTGTTGGCGGGGTATTAGCGACTGAATCGGAGCTAGGGATAGCAAGAAAGTAGAAAAGACTCACCAATTCCAGCGCAATCCGGCCGGTCTTCTGCTGACCAACCTGAATGTCAAAGTAAACGCGAGGACGACCTGGAATGGTGGTGATCAGTCAACAGCTGAGGCCATGATGCGCTAGAGGAACCCCTCAGCGGAGATGAGGGACGGGACAACATACGCTGGGAGTCAGCCATGGTGGAGAATTGAGGTAGGGAGATGGTACGAGGACGAGGATGCGACGGGAGAGGTAGTCTGATAGGAGAATGAACGAGGTGAGAGAGAATTGGCGAGGGAGAAAAGAAGGATGGAGGTGGTGAGGAGGAAGAGGGAAAAAGTGGTTGGAGCTGCGATGCTTCAGGAAGCTTCCATTCTTCTGGATCACGGGTTCCTCCGCACTCCCCGCTTCACTTGCGTCTGTCTCTTCATGGTATATATGTATTCAATTTTCCTATATACAGATGGAATTCACGTAGGTATCCAGTCTAGATTCAGAAATCAACATCATCAAATCATTAGTCCTTTCCCCCTACCCTCATTCCAATAACGTCGCCGGCAGCTGGAATTCATACGTCTTCTTCGCATCCCCCTCCCCCGACTCGCTGGACTGTCCCGATGGCTGTCCCGACGTCTGCGACGACTCGGGCTTCTTGTCCTTCTTGGGGAGCTTTGTGTTGATCTCGATCGTCACCTAGAATCCATCACGGTCAGCCCGGTCATTCTCTCCACGGAGGCATCAGAGCTATACCGCTGCATCTGCACTGCGGTAATCTACACCCACCGGCCCATCGTTCTTCAGTTCGACCTCCATCATCGCCTGGAAGACCCCGTCCTGCACGCGCTCGGGCTTGTAGGCGGCACGGAGGCGTTGGAAAAAGTAGTCGTATAGTTTGCGGGCGGTCTCCACATCGGCGGCATCATGGAAGTCGGGTTTGTTGCCTTTTCTCAGATTGCCGTAGAGGGTGAATTGTGACACTGGACGGGATCAGCGAGTCAGGGTGGTAGGACGGTGCGATCGAGTCTGCATAACATACCGCAGAGCACCTCTCCCTCGATGTCTTGCACGTTTTTCTTCCACTGCGCATGAAAGTACGTTAGCGCTGTCTGCGCCGCCTGGTTGCGCGATCCCTCACCTGTCCTCCGTTGTCATCTGGCCACAGTCGCGCCTTGAGAATGCGCCCGACCAACGAATCGGCATCTTTCTCCGTGTCTTCTTTGCCCACACCTGCCAAAACGAGGATTCCTTTGCCGATCGATGATATTAACTGTCCGTCGACGGTGACCGACGCGGATTTGACTCGTTGCAGGACCGCTGCACTGTTGGTTAGTTGAGAGTAGAGGTCAAAGGAGTGCGGTGCGCACCTTTCATTGTGAGATTGTGAATCTTGGCAAAGATGCGATTCGTAGTCTATAAGAATATAGAGCTATAGCGCTAGATTGAAGAGAGGAGCGAAGCGGTCGTGAAGGTCAGAAGGTCAGGATACTCGGTCTGGCGACAGGTACTGCAAACGGAAGGCATATGACCGTATGAAGAAGGGTGTAAAGGTGCAGGTACGTGTAGGTGCACAACAAGACAGATTTTTACATGAGTGAAGAAAAGAAAAGAATCGAGGTTGATCGATGTGAAATAGTTGTAGAAAAGAAAGTCCAGTAAAGTCGTGGTGAACCACTTGGGTTGGTACTGAGGCTAAATCGCCGCTGATCTCTGGCCTGAGGCATCACTTCTTGGCACCCTCTTCGTAGACTCCGCGGTGGCAGCAACAACTGCACCAACCGACTCCGCCAGGAGACTCATTCATTCCTCAATCTTTCCCATCCTCAGACAGCTTTTGCTGCTCCTTTGTCGCCGATAACACACTTCTCATTCGACACATCCTCTCTCCCCGACCACCCTAGGTCCCCCCATTCAATTCTACCCTCCCTCTCCCGTCGAATTCCTATCGAAAAACCCATCGAGTCGGTGGGTTGCATTGCTTTTCCCACCTCATATCCTCCGATTCCAGCTGGACCGTCCATCCCTGGCTTGAGTGGCCTCCTGTTCGACCGGAACACGCCGCCATGACGTCGCGAAAAACTCAACAAGAAATCGACAAGACCTTCAAGAAGGTCGCCGAAGGTATCCAATCGTTCGAGGGCATCTACGAGAAGATCCGATCGGCCACCAATCCCACCCAGCGCGATAAACTGGAGGAGAACCTGAAGCGCGAGATCAAGAAGCTCCAACGGTATCGCGATCAGATCAAATCATGGGCATCCGGGAACGAAGTTAAGGATAAAGGCCCGCTGCTGGAACAGCGCCGCGCCATCGAAACGGTGGGCTAGCCGAATCCCTCCTGACCTGTCGCCAGTGGTCCCCCTCTCACAGTTGCTAATCGACCTGCAGTGTATGGAGCAGTTCAAGGCGGTGGAGAAAGAAATGAAGACCAAGGCCTACTCCAAAGAAGGGCTGTCGGCGGCTTCGCGACTCGATCCCAAGGAGAAGGAGAAGGTGGAGACGTGCGATTTCCTTTCGAACATGGTGGACGAACTGCAACAGAAGATCGAGGCCATGGAGGCCGAGGAAGAGACCCTACATATGCAGGTGAAGAAGGGCAAGAAGGACGTCACCAAGACCAACCGGTTAGCGGACCTCGGCCGCTTAACAGAGCGTCATAAATGGCACGTCAGTCGACTCGAGCTCCTCCTCCGCGCGCTACAGAACGGCAACGTCGACACGAATCAGGTGTTAGATCTGAAAGAGAGCATCAAGTACTACGTCGAGGATGGGCATAACGTGGACTACTCGGGCGAGGACGAGACGCTCTACGATGACTTGAACCTGGACGGCGACGCTGAGATCCAGTTCGGCATTACGGGCGACAATGACCGGGTATCTTCGCAGGACACGCAGTCGGTCCAGGAGGACGAGACCGACACGAAACCCAAGTCCACCAAGAGCGAGTCGACAGGACCCCGCCGACCGTCCGCCCAGATGAAATCCCCGCTACCGGTGCTGGCGACGCTACATCCATCGACATCCACGAGCGCGACATCGGGCATGAAACCTGCTCCACCGCCGACACGCCTGCCGGGGGAGACGCTCAAGTATGCCTCCGCTGCCGCTGCCGCCGCGGCGAGTGACAAGAATGGCGTGGGCATTGCTCCTCTTCCTCCTCCACCGGGCGCCAGTCCGGCGTTCCACCATGTGCTCCCAGCCTCTCGAGCCGCTTCCTCGACCGCCTCACCGAGCGTGACCCCGGCGCAACTGGTTTCAAGGCAAACCTCGGCGACAGAAGAACGATCGAAAACGCCGGGCGTCAGCCCGCAGGTGGCCCCAACCACGACCTCGAATAACCGGGCTTCCACCCCGGCAACGGACAGGGCGGATGCGTCGACCACAGCCTCGAAGGAGCCGGCGTCGGTGAACGGGGACACGAGCAAGGAAGACGGGCAGGAGAACGGCGAATCGATCTACCACCTCCCTCCAGGGCTGCAGGATCTGATCCATTCGTTCGAGGTGACCAAGACGCGGTCGACGACGACTGCGATGAACCCGCCGCCGTCAGTGCAACGACTCCTGGCGGCGTCGCTCACGACCTGCCCGGAACCCGCCGATGCCGAGAAGCCGCGCCATTACAAGCCCCAGAACCCCTACACGACGCCTCTGTACTACCCTCAGGAGCCGCTTCCGATATTCGACGATCCACGGCTGTACGATACGGGACGGATTGACACGGACACGTTGTTCTATCTGTTCTACTACCGACAGGGCACGTATCAGCAGTTTTTGGCGGCCAAGGCGCTCAAGAATCAGAGCTGGCGATTCCACAAGCAGTACCAGACGTGGTTCCAGCGACATGAGGAGCCCAAGACAATCACCGAGGAGTTTGAGCAAGGCACGTATCGGTTCTTTGATTACGAGAGTACATGGTAAGATTACCTAGGTAGCCCCCTTGGTTGTGAGCAAGGCAGACACTGATGACCGCACAGGATGAACCGACGCAAGGCCGATTTCAAGTTTGTTTACAAGTATCTAGAGGATGAGTTATAACCCAAAGATTTCTCTTTTCTTTTTCACGTCATTTCATTATGGGTATTATGGGTTGTCATGTATGTATGATGGAGGACACACTCCCGACGGACCTGGGCGAACTGCATGAGAGTTACCCCGGGGATAAGAGTGTTTGTATCTTGGAACATGCTGTTGTCTCTGCTTGACATTTCTTTCTTTTCATGTGTTTATTGTCAGGATCATGGGGCCGGTGGAGTTTGCGCTGGTCTGGTCGGACAGCAGCATGTGTTGTGTCTGTCTGTCTGTCTGTTTGAATGAAGATCAATGGACGATCATGGAATCAGGAATAGTGTCATCTCAGAGCAATCTAGAGTAGATAGTACCTTGAGTGCAGAGTAATGGCTGTGATGTGGAAGTCGTTACTCGGTAAAGTGGCTGTACATAAAGTCCCGCAGCCGGCCGAATCCTTCCACCTCCCACTCTCTGCTCTGCTTGCGCCCGATCACCCTCAATTTCTCCTGCCATTCGCCTCACTGCGCGATCATGAGGGATTTTTTGTCCTTCTCCTGGTGACAGCGACCATCCTCTCAGTTTTGCCCTCAATCGGCCCGTCGTCGGTCATCCTCGACCGCTGCAGGGGCTGTGCGCAGACGTCGGCTTCGTCTTCCCCCAGACTGGACTCAAGCCCGTCCCCCCCTTCTTGGCGCTGGGCTGGCGATGACGGGGTTTCACGGGACTAAGTCGCACAGGGTGTGTTAGTCCATGCGCTAACGATGGAGAACACGCAGGGTTGACCACAAGGCTGTCAAATCGTATTCGATGCTGGTGCGGATCGTGACGAAACGTCTCGGAAGTCGTGCCGATTCCGCTGGGCCCCAGAGGATGCTGAGAGGAAGACGAGGATGAATGGGATTCCCGTTCGAATCAGAAGGGCGAATTTCTTGGGCGAAAGCTGTCCCCGTGATGCCTCCGACCGTACTTTTTGCTCGTCAGGCAGATTTCGGTCGTATCGTATCCTTCTTCACAAGTTCAGGATGGCATCGGAGCCCTCCGCCGAGAGGTGTCCGCGAATGAGAGGGGCGCAGCTCATGAGGCGGATCGACTCCAGACTCCTAGCATGATTCACCCGTCCCTCTGGCGGGTTGTGTTATTCACGCCGTCCAGATCGGTATTGGCCCTGGGGCGTGTTCACCGGGGAATGAGGCCCATCGAGCCGCAAAGCCAAGCAGCCCAATCCTCCGGTCTCCACCGCTTCTCGAGAGATGGGCTGTGGGGAGGCCGTGGTCCGATGCGATATCGCCTTGGAATTACGGAGTAATGAACCCCAGACAACAAGGTGTATTCTCATACCTGTGAGATGGATCCCCCCTCAATGCCTACCCTCGATCCAGCGGTATCTAGCGGTGTCCAGCAGCCAGCAGCCAGCAGTCATGTCTCTCACCTCATCTGGGGGTTGTCGGCCCGTGTCTGCATTGCGCCAGTCTTGGGCCCCTTCTCTCTCCCAATGACAAACACCACAACACACTAGGGCCCCGCTAGAAGGCTGAAAGAACAATTCGAAGGTTCTCTCGCTTTTCTAGCGTCAGCTCTAGCAGGGGTCCGCTTCACTCTGCTGCACGGCTGGCACCAATGACGGTGCGCGGTCCTCCGTGGCTGTGTGGATGCTGCGATAACCACCGCCCGCTCGACCAATGCTCATCACCGGTCGTGCTGCATGGCCCATCCCCCGGCGGGAATACTTGCGACGGCGATCGCAGGAGCTTGCTCAGGTGATGATGTAGCCCGTGGATGTGTTCGTGTTACGATGGTCGTTTGTGGAGAATTCCTGGCCCTAATGCATGTGCGACGTCAATAATATTCTACGGACAGTCGACCCGGCTGGGTACTATAAAGGCGTCGATGCCCAGTCTCGACGGTCGATGATTTTGTTCCTTTTTCGTTGGATCTGGATGCCACCATCTGTCATTCATTAGGTCCAGAAGAAAGCGAATTGATTGCATTGCTCCCCTCTATCTTACCTTTACCTTCCTTTCTTTCCTTTCTTCATCATGTTCTCTCAATATGCTATGGTAGGGCCTTAGCACCACGGCTTCCATGGCAGTCAGGCTGATTCTTCTTAGAGCCCCAATGGGTCGTCGTCCTGCCCGCCCATGGAACCGACGTTCTCCAACAGCAGCGAGTACTCCATGCAGTCGAACGTCGGCTACTGGAACGTATACAACATCGACGAGAGCGACTTTGAGCTCTTCCGCCAGGCGTCGAACTCGTCGGTCTACCCGTCGTCCTCGTACTCGTCCTCCTTCTCCTCGTCCTTCACCTCCTCACCATTCGAGGCGTCCTTTGACATCACGCCGCCGGTGCTGTGCCCGACGGACGTCAACCAGCAGCTCCACACCCAATCTCAATATTTCTCGCCCGTGCAGGGCTCCTGGCCAGGGGCCGCCGGGGGAAACCCCCAGCCTGCCTCCATGGAGGAGGGGCTGTTCACGCTGGACCCTCCCTTCACCCCGTCCGATAACAAGTAAGTTTCTTCTCCAGGGATATTCCCTGTCTAACAGTCCAGACCCGCAAAGCCCTACATGTGCGCCTGCGGAAAAGCCTTCACGCGGCCGGCCGATCTGAAGCGACACGAAACCACCGTCCACCGCCCGGTGTACCAGGACTGCCCGGTGGAAGAGTGTCTCCGAAAGGACAGCAACGGCTTCCCGCGCCGCGATCACTTGATCGAACATCTCCGATCGTACCACCACTGGAACGTGCCCAAGCGGCGGGTTATCAAGCGCGGGGGTAAGGCGGCCTAGCGGTGCGACCTGTACTACTGTGGTTTGTTTTGCGTCGCATCGCATTCCGGAGCTGTATCTTAATGTTCTCTTACGCTGTGTCGCTTTGCGATGATGTTCTTGTTTGATGTTATGCTTGATGAGTTATGTGTCACGGCGGCGTTATGAGGTACTGTTGTGATTTTGTACAGCCCTGAGGTCCACAGAACGGGGGTGGCATCTTGGGAATAGTCTATAGAGGTGGGTGGCGTTGGGTATATGGGTGTATAATGAATGCATTTATATTATATATACTGGTTCTCAGTAGATCCGACTGCCTGAATATACAGCATAATCCGTATAATGAACATCATAATACTTGAGCCGTAAACACAGTCTGATTGGCCAATTCCACCACAACCTCCCATATAAACCCCCGATCCCTCTAGAGCACTCTAAGGTACTCTCTTCACAACTACTTCTCCTCTCATCCACCTACTCTCCATCTATCTACAATATATTCATCCAAAATGTCCTCCAAAGCCACTACATCCCCTGATCCAAAGATCCAAAAATCCCTCCACCGCATCACCACCCATCCAACCCTCACCCCCTACCGCCGCCGCGTCTACCGCGCGCTGCTCTCCATCCCCGCCGGCCGCTGGACCACCTACGCCGCCCTGGCCAAGTACCTACACTCCAGCCCCCGCGCCGTCGGCTCCGCCATGCGCACCAACCCCTTCGCCCCGGACGTGCCGTGCCACCGCGTGCTTGCGGCGGACGGGTCGCTCGGCGGGTATATGGGCAGCGGACCGGCGAGCGGGAGTGAGAATCTACGGAGGAAGCAGCGTCTGCTCGAGAGCGAGGGGGTGACCTTTACTGAAGGCGGGAAGGGTGTGCGTGCTGTTGGGGAGTGTTTTGTGGGGTTTGCTTGATCGTTCATTATATCAAGGCTAGGAGGTATATCATGCTGTGTTTTCCGTCTCTTCTGGATATCAAATACCTGCTCCTGCGCGTGCACTCCACCAGTTACAGTAGAAGAGGCTACGCATTCTCCACACCCAACACGCTATTCTTCCGACTCGTCGCCTCCATGTACCCCGGATTCTCCGCCTTGAGCCGCGCAAACTCGCGCTCCGCATCCCACACCCACGGACTGTCCGCTGCGAACAGCAGGTCCATGTCCTCCAGCGTGCGCTGGTTGCTCTCCGGGTACAGCGCCCACACCATCGGGATGGTGATCACGTTGCTGGCTGCGAAGACGTAGAGCGTTTTTTCGCCGATGGAGCTGAACATCACCGGGCAGAGGAGGGTCTATCTTCATTAGCTTCGCTCTTTCGCTGTCGATGGTTTCTTGTGCGTTTGACAAGGAGTAGGGGAACTCACCAGCCATCCGTTGCCGATGCTCCATCCCACCACGCCCCAGGCGTTGCCGCGCGCGCGTACGGCCAGCGGGTAGATTTCTGCGGGGTAGATCCAGGGGACTGTGGGGTTAGTTTTGGCGTGGTATAGAAGGTGCTGAGTTGGGGGAGTACCGGTAAGCCAGGTGGCGCCAAAGACAGAGGTGAAGATAAACACCATCGAGGCGGCGGCCGCGCCGAACGAGCTGGCGCGCGAGAGGTTGCCGTCTGCGCGGGCGTCGATGGCCAGCCGTGAGAAGCCGCCCGCGAGGAACATGGCGATGCCCTGGCCGACGGAGCCCCAGTACAGGGTCCATCGGCGGCCGATGCGGTCGAGGGTGAAGACGCAGATGAGAGTGGCGAACTGGGCGGTTAGTGGGTGAAGAAAGCGCATGTCATGGTCGACCTACCATGTAGAATACATTGTTCAGACCGCTGATCCACTGGCTCTTCGTCGAGTCGAATCCAGCAATGCTAAAGATGGTCGGAGCGTCTGTATAGGCGTCAGTACGTATTCTCATGATATCGAGGAAAAATGCATACAAACGGTCACGCCAGCGATGCCAACCCATTCCTGCATGATCTGCAGCCACACGACCAGCTGCACGCGACGGCCGAGATGCAGTTTGCCCGTCTTGTAGCCGAACAGCATAGCGAGATAGGAGGTGCTGTGGGTCATGGATTTCTCGAGCTCGGCCACGCTCAGGATGTCACGGAATTCGGCCTCCGCACGGACGGCGTCCTCGTCGCTGGATCCGCGCAGCCGGCCGAGGATATACCGGGCTTCTTGTTCGCGGCCGACTTTGACCAGCCATCGGGGCGACTCGGGGAAGAACCATACCGCAACGAACAGGACGATCAGAAAGATGATCTGGAAGGCGATGGGGAATCGCCAGCGGAAGGGGGATGCGCCGTTGTCGATGAAGGAGAGTCCACTGCAATGGTGTCAGCGTCGGCCGGCTCAGGGGAACTTGTCGACTTACAATTCCAGCCAGTAGGCAAGGACGACACCAAAGATGTTCAGCGTGAACTCGATGGCGATGAACTGGCCACGAGAGGTATGTTCGGCGGTCTCGGTCGCCCACACCGGCACGATGGCATTGAGCATGCCGGTACCGATTCCGTTGATGAAGCGGGCTGGGCTGCGTTAGGCACGACTCCGACATATTGATAATGGGCGCGTCTTACCGCAGATCATCCAGTTGTGGTTCTGCGCGGAGCACTGCAGCGCCGCACCGAGAATGGCCCAGACAGACCCGGCTGCGATGGTTCGGATTCTGCCAATGCGATCGCCGACCCAGCCTCCATGGAGGGCGCCGCACAGCGTGCCCAGGTAGTATACCGATACGATGCCCCCTTGCAGCAGACTGTCTGTCACGACCGGCGTGGGATGGCCGTCGCGCATCTCGGTGTAGCCGAAGCCCATGAGGTCGATGTAGTCCTTGGAGTTGTTGACTCCTGCCATCATGCCCTGGTCATATCCGAAGAAGAGAATCGACAAGGCGGCAACGCAGTTGATGCCGATAAGCAGACTGCGCTTCTCCAACTTGTGGACGACGTTCCATCGCGGGATTTGGTCACACATGGTGACGAGCGGTTATGGTCGTGTTTGCAATAGTACTCCGTAGGTCACCCAGTCGGAAGCGTGTACCTGGTCTGCTGGGACACAGCCTGTCTGCTCAAAGCCGAAAATTCGCACAAGGGACCGGGGAGAAGCAGAAGCTCGCGTGGGGGTACCGGTCTTATAACATCATGGCCAGCTGTCTGCCGTGGACCGAAGGCCATCGGCTAGACCGAGAGGATTGACGATCGGGACCGTCGCCGCCATTGTATTACTCTTTTGAGGATCAAAACGATCGAATTTGGTTACATTCCGGGTGGGAGAAGTGCGACGACAGGCTCAGGGTCCCAAGCACATGCAGAGCATTTGGGGGTCCCCACTGCATGGGAATATGTGACTCGTCCATAGACCCCCCGCTAATGACAAAGAGAGGAAAAATCTGGAGATGGACACGAGAATTGGAGACCCCAGACCAACCGGGCCAGCGACTCCAGTCATTCTCGGTAATCCGGGTGGAAGAGCAGGTCCACGATGCCCACCCCGGCTCGTAGGACCGGCTCAACTCCGGCTGTGGGAGTCATGCCCAGCCAGCCAGTACATCCTCGTCGGAGGAGTCCATGCCGGTGGTTGGTGATCTGCTGCAAGGACGGAAGGCCAGAGAGTGTCTATTGGCGGCGACACGCAGAATATCATCCGTCGCGTGGTCGTCAAAGTTAACGGGTTGAGCGTGGGATGATCGCATTCCAGGGTACACTGAGGTACAGTGGGGGGTCTCCAACCGGGAATTTCTGGGGATCATCGGCTGCCATTCAGGATGTTGGATGCAGTTTGGAATCGCATAGAAATGTCCGAAGAGGGGCCCATCCTTCAGAAAGCCCTGTCTACATCTAGTTATCAAGTCCCAGACACGATGGAAAGGCTGTACGGGACCAAAGATTAGGATGTCTTCCAACCGCTACATGGATGGCATTCCTTCTGGTTTGCGGGGAGGCGGAGAATGATTCAACCCCGACTGACGATCGTCCATCACAGGATTATTCATCACACATCATGGTGTCATACTGTCATACTGCATGAGCTGCTCCTGACAGACTCGCATAGGTGAGGAATTAAGCGATTGCGCTACCTTCCTTCGCCTGGTGCCGTCCAGGGAGTGGCGTTCCTCCCGCTGGGTCTGGCCGTCCTAACCATGGCGCCTGCAGGGCGACTGGACCGGGCTTTCTGCCCCAAGGTATCTAGACTGTGGTCTTATGCAAGCTCTGGTAGTACTCTTGGTCCTTGCGGGAATCCGAGAGATGCACAAAGGATTCATCCAGTCGGCGTCAGGGTCTTTCAGGATCATCATAGTCCAGTAGTCTGGGTCCGAATGGAATAAGGACTGGGAGAAGTCGGCACCTCCTTGCATACCACACTCTTCTCGACCATATAGAACAGGCACGGTCTCTTTCATCTGTTTCTACGGCACCATTTGCCGGTCCAGTCTTAGGGGATCATCTTCGTCCATGCACAAGTCTCGGGGGTCATCCACAACATGAGAAGATAAGGTTCTCTTCTATCGTGAGCCGGAATGCAATACGCAATGCTCTAATCCATACTGCGGAGTGTAGGCATGGCCGAGCTTATATGGGATGGCCCGACGATAGCCATTCTGGCGGACCGCTCGTGTTGCCCGCGGATATCCCCGGAAAATGAACTGTTCCCGCGGTGAACCTGCAGACTGTACCGCAATTCGAGAATCAATATAAGTACTGTGATAAGGGAGTCTTGTAAGTCTTGTACTGTTGAGGAACAGTATTGTTGTTGAGAGGTAGCAGATAAGAACGAGGAAGAGAAGAAGAGTCGGCAAAGCGAACCGAATTGACCCGAAGCGGACTGGCGCCGGATGATTACATACGCGGCGGTGTACCAGGGCGGTAACGATACGGCCCAATGATACCCGTCGTTCAGCTCACCTCATCAAAAGCTTCGTTTTCCTTTTTCTTCCTCTTCTCCTTCAACTTCCACCTCATCCATCTGTCTCGCCCTCCCTCCCCCACACCAGTCGCAATTGTTCCTCCTGACCTCAGTCGCCTTGGTTGGAGGTCCTTTATCTTATTCGGTTCTTCGCCCCTAATACCTCCTCTCTCTTGTCGCCATGTTCCGCTCTCTTCTCCCCCGGGCCACGCCGCGGGCGGCCCTCCGCACTGCTCGTCCTCAACCCATCCCTTCGAACTTCGTCGTCGCTACCCCCTCCATGGCCCTTATGGGACGCTCGAAACGTGGCTACGCTTCCGAGTCTGGTACGTTGTTGGTTTCGGTGTCTTTCGCTCCTCTCCGGGGAAGGCTTCCGGAGCTCCGAAGCCCGCCAGCCATCCTCGGGGGGAGCCTTTCCTCGGGAAATCCTGTACCATCGCGAATCGACGGCTGACCAAGCGGAATTCGACCGCATAGGTGAACACGACCTCGTGATCATTGGTGGTGGTGTTGCCGGTTACGTCGCGGCCATCAAGGCCGGTCAGGAAGGCCTCAAGGTGCGCTCCGATAACCGCCTCCTCCCGATGCGAACCCGCATCGGTCCAGCCCGGATTCCCTGCTAATCATCCGCCGCCTCCCCACAGACCGCTTGTATCGAGAAGCGTGGCCGTCTCGGTGGTACTTGCCTGAACGTCGGCTGTATCCCCTCCAAGTCCCTCCTCAACAACTCCCACCTCTACCATCAGATCCTCCATGACACGAAAAAGCGCGGTATCGAGGTCGGTGATGTCAAGCTCAACCTCGAGCAGATGATGAAGGCCAAGGATGACTCCGTCTCCGGTCTTACCAAGGGTATCGAGTTCCTCTTCAAGAAGAACGGTGTCGACTACATCAAGGGTACCGGTGCCTTTGTCGATGCCAACACCATCAAGGTCGACCTCCTCGAGGGTGGTGAGCAGACCCTCCGCGGAAAGAACATCATCATCGCCACCGGTTCCGAGTCCACGCCCTTCCCCGGCCTGAACATCGATGAGAAGCGCATCATCACCAGCACTGGTGCCCTTGCTCTCACGGAGGTTCCCAAGAAGATGGTCGTCATCGGTGGCGGTATCATCGGTCTGGAGATGGTAAGTGGTCCCGTTCGAGAACATGCGCCAGTCCAATTTACTGACCATTTCGACTTCTAGGCCTCCGTGTGGTCCCGTCTCGGCGCTGAAGTCACCGTTGTCGAATTTCTCAACCAGATCGGTGGTCCCGGTATGGACGCCGACATCGCCAAGCAGACCCAGAAGCTTCTCCAGAAGCAGGGCATCAAGTTCAAGACCGGCACCAAGGTCACCAAGGGTGATGACAGCGGCGCTACCGTCTCCCTCAGCATTGAGGCCGCCAAGGGTGGCAAGGAGGACACCCTCGACGCCGACGTCGTCCTCGTCGCCATCGGTCGCCGCCCCTACACCGAGGGTCTTGGTCTGGAGAACGTTGGTATCGAGACGGACGAGCGCGGCCGTCTGGTGATCGACCAGGAGTACCGCACCAAGCTCCCCCACATCCGTGTCGTCGGTGACTGCACCTTTGGTCCCATGCTGGCCCACAAGGCCGAGGAGGAGGCCGTCGCGGCCATCGAGTACATCAAGAAGGGCTACGGCCACGTCAACTACGGCGCCATCCCCAGCGTCATGTACACCCACCCCGAGGTCGCCTGGGTTGGTCAGACCGAGGCCGACGTCAAGGCCGCCGGTGTCAAGTACCGTGTCGGCACCTTCCCCTTCAGCGCCAACTCCCGTGCCAAGACCAACCTCGACACCGAGGGCCAGGTCAAGTTCGTTGCCGACGCTGAGACCGACCGCATTCTCGGTGTCCACATCATCGGCCCCAACGCTGGTGAGATGATCGCCGAGGCCACCCTCGCCGTCGAATACGGTGCCTCCTGCGAGGACATCGCCCGGACGTGCCACGCCCACCCGACTCTGTCCGAGGCCTTCAAGGAGGCCGCCATGGCCACCTACTCCAAGGCCATCCACTTCTAATCTCACGATGTCATTCCCCCTCCACCCTGTATCTTTGTTCCTGTCTAGCTTGGCTAGCACCCTGTAGCATTTGACCGAATTATATTCCTTTTGTTGGTTGTGTTGAGTACTGAGGTTTGATGAATAAAAAGAGATTATTCTACATCTATCCTGTTCCATCCATGTAAAAGTGTAGTTGTGCAAATCAATGATACGAACAACACTCCCTACCCCGTCCCACATCCACCACCATCAACGGCGGCCCATACGCACAATGCATCTCATCCTCCTCGCAAGCACACCTCCCTCGACGAAACACCCCCCTTCTCACATTCTTCCTCGCAACAGGCGCCCGCCGCATATGCTGCACATCACGGTGCGACTCGTGCGCGTGTCTGTGGGTATAGCTCTCAGAGCAACTACTCGACTCCGAACACGACTCGCACGCGCACTCAAAATCCACAGCCCTGCCCTTCCGGCCGTACCCCGCGCTAGACTGGGACGTGTGGTGGGTGTGCCGGTGCGTATGGCGGCTGTGGCTATGGTAATGGTGCCTTTTGGTCTTTTTTTCCATCGAGCAGGAACATGAGTGATGGGTGTGACTGTGTTCTTCGGAAGAAGACTCGCATTCGCATTCGTGGTGTCTGTAGTCTTTGACGCGGTAGCTTCGGCTCGGGGGACTATATAACATAGTAAGGTATGAGTTGGGGATCGGATTAAGTGCTGGCTGGGCCAGGTGAACAAGTTGGATCTGGTAGGACGTACTTGGCGTACCCGTCGCAGGTGCAGCGGGTGGCGGTGTTGGTCTTCCTGCTGGATGAGTAGCAGTGGTGCGAGGAGCTACAGCTGCAGTCGCTTTCCTCGGTATCGGTGCATGGCGTGTGAACTTCCTCCCGGCAAGAGTGGTTGCAACTTGGAGGGTTGTAGGTGGCTCCCTGGGCGATCTGGTTGATATGGACGTGTTGGGAGAGGGGAGGGTAAGCGGTCATGATTCCGTTCGGGATCTGGGGTGATCCGGTGTTGATACGCTGGGTCTATACAAGAAGGGATGTGTGCAAGTAGGATAAAATATATACGTCCCTGTTGTATTGGGTTGATTCTGATCTAAGTACGTTATCTGGTAAACACTGTCCGATACTGGGTCGCCGCGGTGTGACCTGCTGTGGATATCCGGGTAACTTCCATAATCCCTGTCCGGCGCCTAGAGCAGGGAATCGTAAGAGTGTGGTCCTGCAGGCGTTATTCTGATGCTTGTGTTGCCACGATACCCTGTCCAGGCTGCATCCAGCAAGTGTCTCTATAGGCCTGTCTGCATGTCCTGGCCCCCACAAAGCATCAAGAAAGCTGGAAAAGATGTCCAGACGACGTCGGCATCTGCTTACTGTACGTCATTGTCGGCGCAAAGGGCTGCACCCATTGTTCCAGAACTGCAAGGAAGGCATCACAGACAGCCGCTACTGCCTGTTCCCGGGACGCCCCGCAGCTTTCAATGTAGACTAAGGGCGGTCAATTGGTCAGATTGATGCATCAAAGCAGAACGAGGCTAGGACTCACGTTTGACTTTTGGCTCTGTGCCTGAAGCACGAATAGTGAAGCGCACGTCGCGGTCCAACCAGAGGGTCAGCATCTGGCTGGAGCTATCGACAGGCAGCGTGGGCTTGAGATCCGCGGTGCCTGAGTCGTAGCCTTCGGTCATGTCCCGCCATCGTAGAATCTTGAATGAACCCAGCGACTTCTCGGCTCTGTACGGTCCGTCGCGGATGGCGCTGAACAGCTTCATCGTGACATCTGGACTGGGTGAGCGGAAGTAGTTATTAAGCGTTTCGAAGTGTCCGAATTCCTGGAACAATTGCTGCAGTTTGCTGTAGGGCGTGAGACCCTGGGACCGCCAGTGTGCTTCCGCAGACAAAAATACCATCGCGGCCGTGATTCCGTCCTTATCGTAGCATACGTTCGGGAACATGTAGCCGAGGGCTTCTTCGAATGCGAACGGGACGTAGTAGCCCTGTTCTTCGAGATCACGGGCGATATTACCCATCCATTTGAACCCCGTTAGGGCTTCTTTGAAGTGTACGCCTTTGGCTACGGCCATCTTCTCCAACATGCCGGTGGACACGGCGGAGTTGAGGACGGCAACTGGAGAATTTGTCTTTTGACTGCCGATGGACTCAAATAGATACGATGCAAAGAGGACGCCGATATGGTTTCCGGTGAATGTAAACCAAGAGCCACTGGCGATGGTTAGGTCTAGACAGCAGCTCCGGGCGAGCAAACGTACTTGACTTTCTCTGCAGCGGCAAAGCGATCTGCGTCCGGGTCGTGTGCAATAATCAAAGTGGTGCCGTCTTTGTCGGCCGTCTGCATGGCGAGATCGAGGGCACCTGCCTCCTCAGGGTTGGGAAACGATACGGTTGGGAAGTCAGGGTCAGGCTGTAACTGCTCTGGCACGGGGAAGTAATCGTGGATTCCCACGGACCGACAAAGGTCTGGGAAGACCAAGCCCCCTACACCGTGCAGGGGCGTGTAGACAAATGGTCTCTGGAGTTTCGGGTTCCACGCCGGATTGATGGATTTCTTTGCATCCGTTAGTGTAATGGGCGGAGATGGGCAGGTTTGGACTGACGGTATATGCCCAGACTGCTTCGGTGTAGCGAGGTCGCACGTCTTGGTAGGCGTCCATGTGGAGATACTCTCCTTCGTGTAGGTCCTTCCATGCATTGGGCCATGGAGCCAAATTTTCTTCAATCGATTGGGCTATCTCCACGTCCATGGGGGTGTTGATCTGCGCGCCATTCTTGAAGTAGCTGCATTGGTCAGTATCATTTCAGCGTACAGAAGGTATGACGACAGACACTTTGTATCCTGTTCAGGGCTAGTCAGCAAACAACTCCAAACCAGGCGAGCGATACTCACCATTATCTTGAGCCGGGTTCTAGGGCATACTGTCAGCTTCAGGCTCTGCGCGGTTCGGACGCGAAACATACATGACTGGCGGTGATCATGATACCTGCAGCGGCACGTAGATGGGTTACACCAAAGGGGACTGTCGGCGTAACCGATGACACGGCATAGAACCATACAGGGATTTCCTGTGCAATGAAGGCGTTGGCTGCTAGTTGGGCAAATCTGGCAGAGTTGTACCGCGCATCATGGCCAATGACCACTCCGCCGGCTGCGCTGTCGGCATGTCTGTCTTTGAGATACTTGGCTAAGCCCTGTGAGGCCTGGATGACGGTCAGGGAATTCATGCAGGAGAACCCTGCCGCCATCCGACCACGAAGGCCTGCGGTTCCAAACTGGATTCCTGCCATCTGCCGTTAGTGAGCTAGGAGTGGGAGAAGGGTCCGGTTGGAGATACGCTTCTGGAGGCGTTGGGCGAGTTCCTCCACGGCAGATGAATCTCGCAGCTTCTGGATCTCTTCACGTGTTGCGGGATCCTTCGGGGATGTTAGCGTAGGTCGACAACCGCGGTGGAGAGATATAAATATATCTAGATCTCTTACTCGGTCCCAGCTGAGCCATTGCTCGATGGCGGGAGACACCGCGTCCTGGAGAAGTCAGTGGAGAAACCAACGGGGGAGCGGTGCAAGGAGACATACCATGTTGTCAATCGTATGATGTGATGGGCGGGATATAGTCGAGGTACGGAGGAGTATAGTAGTCGTAGTAGTAGGTGGAAGAGGAAGTGTACATAGAGGAGTGGACTGATCGGCGATGAATAATCCCCGCCTGACAACCCGAATCGGGTTTAACCCTCTACGCAGTACTCGGCCTCTCCCTCTCGTCTCTTCTCTTTCTCTCTCTCCTCTTTCCTCATGGTTCTTTCTCTCACACTCTCTCACTCTTCTTCCTCCGTCAGAGGCATATACCATGCTCCCTGAATCCCCCCTGGTCTAATCCCACCACTGACTCCATCCGAATATGGTCTCCGCCAAGACCTCCGCGTCAACTTCCGGGCTCCGAAAGGACACCCTCCTATCGCGACGGTATATCGAGGGCCAGATCGCCGAAGGAAAGCACATTCTCATCTATGACGACCGGGTCTTAAAGGTGGATGCATGGATTCCATTTCACCCTGGAGGTGACAAGTCCATCAAGCATATGGTCGGCAGAGATGCCACGGACGAGATCAATGCGTACGTTCCTGTAATAAGGAGGCCTCTGTCTTCTCCTCCCTTTATTTGGGTTATCGAAAGAAGACTTAATCTAACTGCCTATGCTTCATGTGCAGGTTACACTCCAAGGAAGCTCGTCAGCGCATGTTGTCGTTCCAAATCGGTCGCATCCAGGGACCATGGTTGAATTTCCTCCCACCCATTCAAGGCGGGAAGTTCCGTCCTTGCACCCAGGAATCACTCTCCTCCGATGAAGACAGCTCCAGTTATGAAAACTCTCGCCCGCCGTCTCCTATTTTTGAACCGCAAGAAACTCCCGGTCTGCGCCGCCGCAAGTCCAGCTCAACGGATACCTCGGTTTCCACACCGCCCAACCAGGCGGTTGAGCCCAAGCCCTTCTTCTTGGATGCGCGAACCCAGGAGGAGATCGTGTTCGACACTGCCAAATACCCCTCTCTCGATACAGAGAATCAGGAAAATATCAAGCGCAAATACCGGGAGCTTGACCAGCGGATCCGCGACGAAGGGCTCTACCAGTGCAATTACTTCTCATACTTCATCGAAGCTTGTCGATATACGCTCTTCGCCGCCTTGTCATATCTCTTCCTTCGGCTAGGATGGTATGGGACGTCGGGGTTCTTCCTGGGGTGTTTCTGGCACCAACTGGTCTTCACCGCCCATGATGCTGGCCATATGGGTATCACTCATCATTTCCATGTAGACACCGTGATCGGAGTCATTATTGCCGATTATCTAGGTGGTCTGAGCCTGGGCTGGTGGAAGCGCAACCACAATGTCCATCACATTGTGACCAATGCCCCCGAGCACGACCCGGATATCGAACATATGCCTTTCTTCGCCATCTCCCATCGCTTCCTCACCAATCTGCGCAGCACATATTACGAGCGGATCATGTACCTCGATGCCGCGGCCAAGGTTCTGCTCAAGTATCAACACTACCTCTACTACCCCATCCTTCTCTTTGGCCGGTTCAACCTGTACCGTCTCAGTTGGGAATACCTCCTGTTGGGTCAAGCCCCCAAGAAAGGGCCTGCCTGGTGGCATCGCTGGTTCGAAATTGCTGGCCAGATCTTCTTCTGGACATGGTTCGGCTACGGGATTCTTTACTGCACCATTCCTACCTGGTCCGGCCGTCTGTCATTCCTTATGATCTCTCACATGGTCACGGCCCCGCTGCATGTGCAGATTACGCTTTCTCACTTTGCCATGTCTACCGCTGATCTCGGCGTCCACGAGTCATTTCCCCAGAAAATGCTCCGGACCACCATGGATGTTGATTGCCCCACTTGGCTGGACTTCTTCCACGGCGGTCTGCAGTTCCAGGCCATCCATCATCTCTACCCCCGAATCCCTCGCCACAACCTGCGGCGCACCCAGAAACTCGTACTGGACTTTTGTCGCGACACGGGCATTCCGTATGCCATCTTCACCTTTTACGATGGTAATAAGGAAGTCATCTCGAGACTGGGTGATGTCGCCAAGCAACTCCGTCTTCTTGAAGAGTGTCGGAAGTCGTGTGCGGAGGAAGGCGTCTTTTCCGATCATCACCACTAGACATCGTTTTTCAAGCAACAGTCCCATCTGACGTGAGATATCGTGGAGCTGTATAGACTCCGTCGTTGTATATATATTGCCCTTGGCTTTTGATACCAGGTCTGTTCAGGAGGGCGGTTTAATGTTTGCGATGCCTCGTTCTTATCATGATTCACGTCTTGGATTCGCCATTGTGGAGGATAGGTGCGACTGTTTATGGATTCAAGGAATACTTAGTAGAATAACGATCTTCTACAATTGTGCACGACAACCCCTTGTCTTCGACTTTTCATAGTAGTATATAGGCTTAGGTGCTCAAATTGCCTCAAGCCCATGCGAATGGAATCTATATACTCACCCTCGCTGCATGAGAAAACTGGGCATACAAATCGCGTCATCATGCTCGTCATAACGGCATTATAGTCAAAATCAACCCGCCATCCCCCCAGCTCGTGCGACCTTCTTCGCCCGCTGCTGCCGCCGATTATGATTAGCCCTACTAGCTTTATTCTCCTCCTTCCTCTGACGCGAAGCGGCGGTATTCTGCACTCCTGGGCCAGCCGCACCACCCCTTCGTCCACCACCGCCGCCTCGTCGACCTCCACGGCCCCGCCCCCTCGAACCTCCCCGACCTCTGGGACCAGAAGCCGAAGACGGCCCGTCGGTATCACTCTCCGACTCGTCGCCGTCCTTCCGCGTCGGTTTCCGATACGCCGTGGGCTTCAGTTCTGGCTGAGCGATACCCCCGGCAGAAGCGTCCGCCGATAAAGCGAGCCGATCCTCCAGTTTGGACAGGCGTTTCGGATCGCGAGCCAGCATCACGGCCCACCCTTCAATCGCTTCGTCGGTCATTCCTGTCTCCCGCTTCAGGGACGCGCGGGGCTGCGAGCGGCGCGTGGCCGAGTCGCGGGCAAAGAGCGCCGGGTTTGACTTGTATGTCTGGAAGAGGACGGCTTCCATATCTGCTGAGGACTCCGGGGCTTTGCGGGCGCGCAGGTCGGCCTTTGCGTCGGCGTCCGCGGCGCTGGCGGTGATGCTGTCGACCGTGCCGCCGACGTCGGCGACGTCATACGTGTCGTCGCGCTCGTCGTCGTCTGAGTCGAAGGTCGCCAGCGCAGACATGATCGCCGCTTTGTTGGCGGCGTGATGGCTGCGGTCTGCGAGTATGACGTCCGCGGTGAGGTCTTGGTTTGCGCGGCCGAAGTGCAGTTTTCCCTGGGCGGAGGTGCCGTTCTCTGCGCGGGAGATCTCGGCCAGATCGATGTCTCGGTCGAAGACATTCTTGCGGGATGGGATTGGGTCTTGTGTTGAAGGGGTTGCTGGGGGTGTTGGATGCGGCAGCATGGGGTCGTGTCGGATAGTTGACTGGCTTCTGGGGAGTTGTTCGGATTTATCAAGGGCTTGAAGTTCTGCAGGGAGGGAGCCGTCGAGAAGATGTGCTACGACGGTCTCTGGGTTGTCGTTGTAAAAATCTAGGAGCCGTACGACGTAGCCGGAGCCCAGGTCCGGGAAGAGATCCTGCACCTGAGTCACCAGGGACATCTTGTGGACGTGCATCTCCTCAGGAGCGGGGAGTCCTGAATCACGACTTTTGCCTTTATCGGGCTTTGTCTTTTGTTTCTGGTATCGGTGGTGGAAGGACCTGGATTCAGTTTGGTATGTCCGCAGACTGGAGAGGAGGTCTTGCGCACGCTTCTGGGGATTGGTAGCGAGATACCTCTCCAGACGGCTTAGGAGGTCTGAGCTGCAGATTACGTCGGATAAAAGAGTGGGCTCGTTCGTCGTCTTTGGCGTGCCGACTCCGGCCGTCGCCTTGAGACTGAACAATTGGTCCAGGAGTAACGAAAGATTTGGAGTTGGGCCTTTCAGTAGAGAAGTCAAGCCGACGTAGATGTTGGCCACGAGAACCTTGCGGATGTCGCCCCTCTTGTGCGTTTGGTATGCATCTGAGAAGGTGTCGAGGAAGTCTGACCCGGCCATAAGCACTTGACCACATGGTGGAAGCGCAGACGCCAGCAACGTTAAAAGTCGGATGTCGGAGATGAGAGCGGGAGCATCTTTCAATTTTGGCAGTGACAAATGCTTTATTACAGCAGACTTTGCCTTCTCGACACTAGTTGTTATCATGGCCTGGTGTTTACTCCAAGCATCAGATAATAGGCGTTTCAGCGCAGCACTGGACGGATAGCAACCGCACATGCTACCCAGATACTTCCACTCTAGAAGCTCCGGGGGTACGATAGGCGCATCTAGAAGATATCGCCTTGTGAGCAAGAAACAGAGCTTGCGCAATGTTCTTGCGTTGGAGCCCGTAATGCCTGGTAGCTGCTGGGCTGCCAGCTGATGGTAGAAGGATGTTAAGAATGAAACAGCAGATTCATCTTTGGGGGCAAGATTGGCAAATTCAGCATCGGACGCCTCTATCCGCATGCCCAGGAGCAATGCCCATGCGTCTGTGTAGAGCTCCCATTCTTGGGACGGAATGGCCCGTTGGACCTCTGGGGGCGGGACGGGAGCAAGAGAGGGGAAAGTTGCCATCACCTGGAGCTGCGAGAAAGAAGAATGAAGAGAAAAGAAGCTATACAGAGGTACGGGAGGAGAGGGTTAAAGTAAAGACATCAATCGTCATCATCATCGCTGGGAGGAATATGTGAAGTAAAGTTGACTTCCTGAACGGGATCCCGCCGTTGAGTAAGCATGGCTCATTTACGCTAGCCGGATTAGGACGGATGAAGGACGCTACGAGCTGACTCAGCTATGCATCTTATCCACCCAGATTGGGTCTAGTCCCCGATAGGCGAGTGCCAAGACTTGCACCCGCACAAGCGCCGCGCAAAAAAAGATTCATCGTCGCTCGCTTATCACTTTCTCTTCCTCAACGGCCATCATCACCTTACCGAACCCCGAAGTTCAGGTCTTGATTGGCAATTAGCCTCATCTGCGGTATGTTCTGGCCTGCGCGACTCCTTTTCTGCCTTTCTCCCCCTCGAATCGACAGCTAATTCTCTCCTGCATATAGCAATCTCAATCCCACCGGTCTCCCCACCACCCAACACTGTCAAGATGTCTTTCCAGAAGCCCGAGAAGGATTTCGGCGAGGGCCCTGTACGTTCTCCAGCATGTGTCTCGACATGACTCTTGCCCATGGGGAACACATGTCCAGTCTATCCCAACACGACCGCCTACTAATCATGCTCGCTCCGTACAGAAGGTCCACAAGATCCGCATCACCCTCACCTCTCGCAAGGTCGCCTCCCTCGAGAAGGTGTGCTCTGAGCTGATCGACCGTGCCCGCTCCAAGTCCCTCCAGGTCAAGGGCCCCGTCCGTCTTCCCACCAAGACCCTGCACATCTCCACCCGTAAGACCCCCAACGGTGAGGGTTCCAAGACCTGGGACAAGTACGAGATGCGCATCCACAAGCGTCTCATCGAGTATGTTCAGCCCTTGATTTGATTCAATCTGCATGCAAGGACCATTGCTGACCCTGTGCTAGCCTCCTCGCCCCCACCGAGACCGTCAAGCAGATCATCATCAACATCGAGGCTGGTGTTGAGGTTGAGGTCACCATTGCTGCCTAAACGAACTACTCTCCACGGTTGTAGTTCGGTGCGGGAGGGTAATTCGGTTTGCCCTTCTTCGCGGCGGCGGCGCCGACGATGTGCTCGTCTGGCCATGTGGTAGTTTTACTCCAAGGCTAATGTCAGGCCCACGTCGATACCCGTTCAAGCCTGGAACAAAAATGAAAAAGTTGAAAAACAGATCTTCTGATTGCTGTCATATTGTAGACTTGCTACACGTAGTACTCTGGGATGTAATCTTGTTCATTGACCCAATTACCTGCAATGCGTATTCCAGATGCTATTGCCATCTAATAATGCATAACCAACGCCGTGACCTAGTACCGCGCTAAGATATATACTTGAAACACTATAACAACCCACCGCAAAAAGGCCCAACCCTAAAAATCGAAACTGACCCATTCCGTCTTCGGGGGAACACTGGGAATGACCCCGTCCTTGAAATACCCGTTCTTGACAAAGAACTCGTACTGCTCGGTGACCTCCGGCGTGTAGGCTTCTGGCTTCGCTTGCGCGTCTCTGAGGCTCGCCTCATCAGGCGGTCCGTCAGGGAAAAAGATGCGTACGTAGGTCTGACGGTCTTGGGGATGTAAATAGCAAGGTGCGTTGTCGATGTATTTCACCGGTTGCCCCTTCCACATGGAGAGTCGCTTCGTGACCGGATCCCGAACTGTCTGGCCACTTAAAGGCGGGATGGGCTGCAGTTGATTCGGATCTTCCACCTTGATAACAGCAGGAGGGCCAGTCCCCGGTGTTGCTGTAGGCGCGGTTGGCTGTTGTGGTTGTTGCGGCTGTGGCTGACCGAACCCGCTGGCCGGTTGTCCAAATCCGCTCGCTGGCTGGCCAAAAGGTGATGCCGCAGGTTGCTGCTGCGCAACAGCCCCGAATGGACTGGCGGTTGTGGGTGGTTGTCCAAATGGTTGAGACGATTGTTGCGGTTTACCAAATGGTGATGCTGTTTGTGATGGCTGGCCGAATCCACTTGGCTGCGCGGTTGACGGTTGACCAAATCCACTTGGCTGCGCGGTTGACGGCTGGCCAAACCCGGTTGCAGCTGGTTGCTGGGCACCAGCGGCCTGTGCAAATGGAGAGGTAGTAGACGACGCCGCACCAAATCCACTGCCAGCTTGAGCAAACGGGCTCGCAGCCGTGGCGGGCTTCCCGAATGGTGAGGCGCCTAGACCTGAAGGCTGGCCGAAAGAGGATTGCCCAAAGGCCGGCTGGCCGAGACTTGGCTGTCCAAACGCGGGTTTCCCAAAGGCCGACGGAGCCCCCAACCCTGAGGGTTTTCCAAATGCAGATCCCTGACCAAGCGTGCTTGGCTGTCCAAAGCCCGAAGGTTGACCAAAGGTGGAGGGTTGTCCAAATGATGAAGGTTGACCGAACGCTGAGGGTTGACCAAATCCTGAAGGCTGACCGAGCCCTGATGGTTTCCCGAATCCCGACTGAGTGGCTAAGTTCGAAGGCTGACCAAATCCAGAAGGCTGAGTAGTTGGAGCAGGCTGTCCAAATGGAGCAGGTTGTCCAAATGATGTGGCCGGTGGTTGGCCTGCAGCCGGACCCGTTCTGCCTTCTGCGATGTCGATGCGGTTAGGGTGTTCGTTGACTCCGTCCACGACGTATTTCACAGCATTATCAAGGTCATTCAAGATAACGTCCATCTGCTTTACGGACTCATTGTAAAGTGCTAGGGCTTCTTGAACTGCCTGTTCTGCTTTTCCTGCGGCAGCCGCTTCGTAGTGACGCAGACGCATTTCCTCATAACTTTGTTCACGTTGGGGACCTCCAAAAAGTTGCCTCGGGGCATTTCGTCCAGGCCCATAAGCAGAGAAAATCCATTCCGGTCGGCCTTTTCCAGCAGTGAGATCGACTTTAATATCCGCTGCTGTTACCCCAAAGCTGTAGTCACGTCAGTACGAGATGAAATGCTACCAGACTTGAGCCTTACTTTTGTGGCTGCTGTTCTTGAGACGTGACACGGCCTTGATGAAGTTAGCTGGATGCATACGACGAGACATTCAAACTAGGGGTAATCAATGAGAGAAAGAGAAACAGAAAGGGTGGTAGTGGATAGCAAGATTCAGGCGTTGGGCTTGTGTCCATAACCAAGTATATCTGTTTCATAACAGTGGGCATGAACGAGATAAAGGTATCTCAAATCGCAAGACGGGGCCAATGTGAGGACAATGCAGTACAAAGCAATGAACGTACCCATCAAAGATCCACCACCACCAGAGAGAACGCCGAAGCGATTCCCCGAGGCTGCAGTTGTTCGGCCAGGATGCTCGAATTTGCAAGAATCTACATCGTGGTCAGTACAGTATCGTTGAGAAGTCTGCAAGAAATTCTGGCCATATCGTACCTCCATATCGACACCGGCCTTGTTGATAGAATTTGCAAATAGTCATGTTGTCTGTTGAGCTAAGCTTGCTTAAGCAGCTGGAGAAGACACTGCGGCGCAAGCTCGAAAGACCAGGTCTAAACTTCAGCCAAGGGTGACACCCTTGGGGCTTTCCTCTGATCCCGACAGCAGATGAGTAAAAGAGTGACAGCTGAAAATCGACGAATTTACAGAGAGCGAGAGAACAATGGTTGTTGGTCTGAAGCGGCGCGGCGATGCGACACGAAATAAGGAAGGCAGAGAGGAAGTTGTTCCGGTGACAGTACGTTTCATCGAAGTCTCCCTTTATCCGCCACGCTTCCCTCAAAAGGTGGTATCGGTAATTTACGCATGAACTTCACTATCAGGCAAGTACTCACCATGCTCAGTCTACGATTTACTTGTTTACCTGGATAATAGAAACCTCTAACTTATAACTGAATTACGCTTGTACTGAGAAAGAAAGATACAACGTTCATTCCAAGATGGCAATGCTTGAAAATTCCCAAACTCCGTTCTCCAACCGCTTTTCCGAAGTATTGATTTCATGACAAGACTTTCCAATATCCTCAGACTGCGGCCCCCTTGGAGGAATATAGCTTTTCTGTATGATTCATGCTCTCCTTAAGGACATCCCAGTTGACTCCATCGATCTTTGTTCCACCCAAGGACTCGAGGCCGGCAGAAAGCCCGCTTAGCTTTCCAGCAGCTAGGCGGCGCATCATGACAGTGTCCTTAGAGCCATGCAGAGACTTGGCACTGCCATGAAGAAGGGCGTGTTCAAACCATTCTTCTTCCTGGTCGTCAAAAGGAAGACCGATCAGTTCCATGGCCCGTTTGCTACGCAGCTGTCCGGCTTCTGTCGTGAGGACAAACTCGATGAGCTGCGTGACGTAGTTCCGACGGAGGGATTGATCGTGGTTGCGCGTGAAGTAAAACGCCTCGGTGATGCTAGCTCGGCATAAGGTTTGGAAGAATGCCTTCTGGACTTTCTCGGTTGCCAACGGTGGGCTGACCGTGAGGTAATAAGCCATTACCAGGCTGTCGTCATGCTTGGGAAGATGGGGCAGAGTAAGGACGTAGAGGATCTCATCGGGGAAAGTTGGGATGATCGAAGGCTCCGTCAGATACTCGATCGCGCGCTGCCATCAAGCTCTGGTCAGTATTGATCGCAAATCGGCGGAAGTGTGACAACGCACCCGAAATTCGAGTCGATCCAAATTCCAGAGACCCTCAATAAACAGTCTGTACTTCTCCGGCAGGTGGCATCGCCGCGAAAACAAGGTCGCAGATTCGCTGTGTGCGCGGCAGTCTTTCAAGATGTAGTAGATCAAGGCTTGCTTGTGGTGAATATCCAGCGGGGAAGAGACGATCTCCTGAACTAGTGTGCGGAGGTCTGCGTTCGATCGCGGGGGGTACAGCTTCGTAACTAGGCAATCGCAAGCTGTCAGTACCATATGTGATTCGTTTAGCAGGTCGCAAAACAGCGTCGCATACCTGGCTTGACACCCGCCAATCCCAACAGTCGGTCGACGAAGAGCTGGTTTTCCAGCGCACGACGGTTGGACAAGATATGGTCAATAACCCTGCCGTCATAGGAATAGTTTTTGTTGAACGAGAAGATACTGTTGAAGTCGTCCCAAGACGCCATGTTGCAAAGCGCGATCTTGTCTTTGGGGTGTGATTATTATTGCTTTGATTGATCTCGATTGATAGACACGGTTGCAAACAGTGCATACACATGCTGACCTCATCAGGCGGTGAGATACAGACTAACCGGATTGGGTGCTGTGGCAGAAAAACAAAGCCTTTCCTGTTCGGGGCAAGATGTAAACAATCACTCCCACTTCCATTCGTTCTCCGCCGCTTTTCTTATTCATCCTCCACTTTCGCATCCTCCATCCCCATTTCCCTTCGCATCTCGTCTCCGTCTTCATGCCTCACCATATCATTACCATCTAAGCCCCTTGCATAATGTCTTCAGTTGCCAGAGGCAGGCCGTCCAGGCGGTCTGTCCCCCGACGGAGTTACGTTGTTGAGGAGACGACGTCCGAAGAGGAGGATCCCGGAAACGTTACGCCCACGGCCTCCCATCACGACGACGACGACGACGACGAAGATGAGGAGGAATACACTCCAGTTCCACAAAAAGTCAGCAAATCTAGAAGGACTTCCCGAAAGCGCGAATCGTCAGAAGCGCCGACCCCAAGTACCGCACAACCCGTTCGCAAGAGAGGAAAGTCGATGGCGTCCGAGTCAGTAGAGATATCGCAAATTACCATCGAGAACGACGAAAACGTTCAGACCACCGAGGACCCCCCCGCCGCAACGATTGAAGAACCTGAGTCGCCTTCCCAGCATGCTGCTCGCAAAAGAAAAAGTATGCCTCATCCACGCAAGAGTCGTGGCTCCCTTACGCCTCGTCCCGAACAGTCCTCACTCCCAACTCCAGAGCCCTCCGCCTCGCCACCATCTCAGCCGCGGTCCCAGAGAGATAGTGTGCCGCCGCTCGCCGATATTACCGATTCGGCAGTGAATCAGTCGCCGTCGAAACCCGCAGACGAACCCAAGTCCCAGGTTTCGATCATCAACCCCAACAGCACGGTCCTGGAAAAGCCGATGGATATCATGATGAAATCGCGTGCTTTGCCCCCTTCCCAGCCGGAGGAGCCTGCTGGTCCCAAAAGCCGGCTGATGATCACCACTTTAGTTCTGATGAATTTCAAGAGTTATGCAGGCAAACAGGTCGTCGGACCCTTCCACGCCTCCTTTTCCTCTGTCGTCGGTCCGAACGGTTCCGGAAAGTCGAACGTGATCGACGCCCTACTGTTCGTGTTCGGTTTCCGGGCCAGCAAGATGCGACAAGGAAAGATATCTGCCCTCATTCATAACTCGGCTAACCATCCCAATTTACCCTTCTGTGAAGTGGAGGTCCACTTTCAGGAGATTATTGACCTACCCGGTGGAGAACACGAAGTCGTCCCAGATTCCCAACTGATCATTTCTCGAAAGGCGTTCAAGAACAACACCAGCAAGTACTACATGAACGGCAAGGAAACGAACTTTACCGCCGTGACCACCCTCCTGCGCGACCGTGGCATCGATCTCGACCACAAGAGATTCTTGATCCTGCAGGGTGAAGTCGAATCCATCGCGCAGATGAAGGCCAAGGCCACCAACGAGCACGAAGATGGATTGCTGGAGTATCTTGAAGACATCATCGGAACGTCCAAATACAAAACACCGATCGACGAAGCGGCTGCAGAACTCGAAACTCTGAACGATGTCTGTATGGAGAAAAATAATCGTGTGCAGCACGTCGAAAAAGAAAAGACGTCGCTGGAAGACAAGAAAAACAAAGCTCTCTCTTATATCCGGGACGAGAACGAGTTGACTCAGAAACAGTCCGCGCTCTATCAGATCTACATTGACGAGTGTGCCGACAACATTCGGGTTACGGAAGAGGCGATCCTCCAAATGCAGGAACTTCTGAATCTCGAACTAGAGAAGCACGAAGGTAATGAATCCGGTATCAAGGAGCTCGAAAAGGCCTACAAGCGCGGGATGAAGGAGTACGAGAGCATGGAGAAGGAGGCGCAGGCATTGATGAAAGAGATGGCCAAGTACGACAAGGAATCCGTCAAATTCGAGGAAAAGAAGAAGTTCTTGGTTGGCAAGCAGAAGAAGCTGGAGAAATCTATGCAGGCTGCCCGTCTTGCTGCGTCGGAGTGCGAGAGTCTCGTTGAAAAGCATTCCTACGACATTGAGAAGAAGACGAAGGAGACGGCCGAGCTGGAGGCGGAGATGAAAACAGAGGAGGCTGAGTTATCGAAGATCCGTGAGAGCCTGAAAGGCAAGACTCAGGGACTCTCCGATCAGATCACTGCGAAGCAGAAGTCCCTGGAGCCCTGGGATGAGAAGATCAACAAGAAGGTCTCCGCTGTTGCAGTGGCGCAGAGCGAGCTTGATATCCTTCGTGAGAGAAGCAATGCAGGAGCAGTGTTACTCGAGGAAGCGCAGGCAAAGGTCTCGTCTATTGAGGAAACATTGGCGGCGAAGGAGGGCGACCTAGAAGAACGCAAGGCGCAAAAGGAGACGCTTGAGGAGGAAGTTGCAAAGCTGAAGCACGACCTCAAGAAGTATGCTCATCGTGAGCCGGAGGTCCGTGCTCATGTCTCTAGCGCTCGCCAAAAGGCCGACGAGGCAAGGGCCAGTCTCGCCAACACTCAGAACCGTGGCAGTGTCTTGTCTGGACTTATGCGTCTCAGAGAATCTGGTCGTATCGACGGTTTCCACGGTCGCCTTGGAAACTTGGGCACCATTGATGAAAAGTACGATGTCGCAATTTCGACAGCTTGCCCTGCTCTGGACAACATGGTGGTAGACACCGTGGAAGTTGGTCAACAGTGCATCGACTATCTGCGCAAGAACAACCTTGGACGAGCCAACTTCATTCTTTTGGATAGGCTGCCGCGGCGCGATATGTCTACAGTTTTCACCCCGGAAAGTGTCCCGCGTCTGTTCGATCTGGTCAAACCCAAGGACCCTAAATTCGCACCTGCTTTCTACAGTGTCATGCAGAATACGCTGGTTGCGAAGGATCTGGAGCAGGCCAACCGCATTGCATATGGCGCTAGAAGATGGAGAGTCGTGACCCTTGATGGCCAGCTCATTGACACCTCTGGTACTATGAGTGGTGGTGGTACTCGTGTTGCGCGCGGTGGGATGTCTTCTAAGCAGGTCGCCGATGTGAGTCGCGAGCAAGTCACCAAGATTGAGGGCGACCTTGAGGAGATGGAGAGGAAATACCAGGCTTTCCAGGAGAAGCAACGTCACATCGAGGCTACAATGCGCGAAAAGACCGAAGAGATCCCCCGTGTCGAAACCAAGATTCAGAAGATTCTCATCGAGATCGAGAGCGCCAACCGCAGTCTTGCAGATGCCCAGAGACGCGTCAAAGAGCTGAGCGCTGCTCACAAGCCATCGAAGGCAGATGCAAGTCAAGCAGAGAATCTCGAGCAGCAGATCGCCTCTCTGGAGGAGGAGATCGAAGGTCTCCGGGCGCAGCGAGGAGAAATCGAAGAAGAGATTCAAACGCTTCAGAACAAGATCATGGAAGTGGGCGGTGTGAGACTTCGCAGCCAGAAGGCCAGAGTGGACGGCCTCAAGGAGCAGATTGGTCTTCTTGCCGATGAGATCTCCAATGCTGAAGTCGGAAAGTCCAAGAACGAGAAGCTCATCACCAAGCATAAGAACGCCCGCGAGGATGCGGAGAGGGAGCTGGAGCATGTCGCCGAAGAGCTCGAACGGTTGGATGAGGATGTTTCCAACCAGGCTAGTGATGCATCTGGATGGAAGCAGAAAGTGGAGGAAGCGCAGGAGGTGAGGATTATATGTGCCAGCTGGCCCAGAGCATATGCTAACAGCAACTTAGGCTCTTGAATCGAAGAAGGGCGACCTTAAGAGTCTCAAGACGGAGCTCGATGAGAAGGTAGCAGAGTTGAACGAGACTCGAGCGACCGAGATCGAGATGCGGAACAAGCTTGAGGAGAACCAGAAAGCCCTCGCAGAGAACGAAAAGCGCAGGCGATACTGGAACGAGAAGCTTTCCAAGCTGGAGCTGCAGAACGTCAGCGACTTAGGGGATGAACAGCAGCAGATGGAGCTTCAAACGTTTACCAAGGACGAGCTGTCGGAGATGAACAAGGAGTCTCTGAAAGCGGTCATTGCAGCTCTCGAAGAAAAGACGCAGAACTCTTCGGTGGATCTCTCGGTCATTGAAGAGTACCGCCGTCGTAGTGCTGAACACGAAGCACGCTCGGCCGATTTGGCGGCTGCTCTGGAGGCTCGTGATAGCGCCAAGGCTCGCCTTGACGGATTGCGTTCCGCTCGCCTGAACGGGTTTATGGAAGGGTTCGGTATCATTTCCCTCCGCTTGAAGGAGATGTATCAGATGATCACCATGGGTGGTAATGCCGAACTCGAGCTCGTCGACTCCCTCGATCCGTTCTCAGAGGGCATCTTATTCTCGGTGATGCCGCCGAAGAAGAGCTGGAAGAACATCGGTAACTTATCTGGTGGTGAGAAGACGCTGTCTAGCTTGGCGCTGGTATTCGCCCTGCACCACTACAAGCCAACGCCGCTGTATGTGATGGACGAGATTGACGCAGCGTTGGACTTCCGAAACGTGAGTAACCAGCACAAGACGACTGTACAGCTTGCTGACACATGACAGGTTTCGATTGTGGCTTCGTACATCAAGGAGCGGACGAAGAATGCGCAGTTCATCGTTATCTCGCTGCGAAACAACATGGTGAGTACCAGAAGCTCGATAGTTATCAGCTTGCGCTAATGCCCTGCAGTTTGAACTTGCTTCTCGACTGGTCGGAGTCTACAAGGTAAACCACATGACGAAGAGCGTTACGATTGAGAACAAAGACTATATCACGGGGCGATGATGGGATCACTGCATGATTGTATGTCTTTGGGTTTATGGTTACAGCCGGCAATGGGGCATTGATTCTGGACATTTTGCTTGGGCGCATGGTTGATATTTTAATTCTTGCGTATATATTTGTCAATTGATGTTAGATGGGACTAATGTCTCGCGTTTCATGCTATTCAAATAAGTTAGTCACCTTCCAGCTGGAGTCCTTCCCACAACTTCTGGCGGCCACTAAATCCATACTGCTCGACGACGACTCCATACGGCAGATGCGTGAGATGCGCCAGTGCGACCTGATCTCCAGCCAGATACTTCTGCCTCGAAAGCAGCCGCTCGCACCCCTCGAGAATGAGATCTGCGAGGGCAGGAACTGCACGCACGCCTCGTCCGTGACGCCTAGCCCTTGCGTGCCTTGAATACCTTTTCATACGCGATACCCCAGACAAGCGGATGAAAGTAGAATTGCTCGATGGAGGCCGCCTTCGCGCACTGTTATTTCAGCTTATGCATGTTTCCTGCGTATCACTTCGCAGCCTGGTGTAATAAACTCTCCTCTTCGACAGCGACGCTCTCGCGTGTGATCTGCACCCTCTTCTCACGGACAGCTTGCATCCACCCCGCATCCGCGGTATCAATCTCAAACAGCAGCACGGCCAGCACCCGGCCCACGGAGGTGCCCTCCAGGAACAGCTTCAACCGGGCAAGACCCGTGCGCCGCAGGCCGAGCAGCACCAGCAAGGCCACGAGCACGCCCAGCGTCACGGCCGCGATGACGAACGCCGGAATCGCGAACGGGACGCGGTAGCGGATCTTGCGCTCGTACACTGCCACCGGCACTGTTGCGTCGCCACTCTCTGTCGACTTTGTCGGGGAGCGTCGCGTGATGCCGCTGCCGCTGCCGCTGCCCTCGGGGATGCCCTCGGGGATGCCCTCGTGCGAGGCGGCGCCGCGCAGCCCCCAGCCGCGCGTGCCGACGACCGTATTGGCTGCGAGGTCGGTCCAGATGAGGTCGATCATGGAGGCTGTGCCGGATGCGGACGCGGACAGTTCCTGCCATTTCGTGTACAGCGCCATGCTGGTGAAGCCGGAGTAGTCGCCGTAGGGCGTGGAGGGCTGCTGGTGCACGCTGAGGGCGCGGAGGAGGATCTGTGTGTAGAAATCGACGCCTGGGAGGTTCTGGCCCTCCAGGACGGGGACGGGGTCGCGGCCGCGGAGCGGGGACGTGGCGTCGATGTAGCCTGGGAGGTAGAGCTGGTCGCGGGCGACGGTGGTGATGTTGAAGGTGGACAGGAGGGCGGTGGTCGCGGCGTCGGCGGTGGCGTTGCTGGGGCCGAGGATGCCCCAGGTTGGGCGTGCGGTGCTCATGGTTTGATCGTGGATGGATTCGACACCCCAAAGCGGCGGCGGAACGGTGGCGGCGCCGTATTGCTTGTCGTGGATGGACTGCACGGTGAGGGCGTGCAGGCCGGTGCCGTTGTAGCGGAAGGTGACGGTCTTGACGGCGGCTTTGATGGCCGTGGCGCAGGTGTACAGTGGCATGGACCACTTGGACCCCGGGTCGACGAGGAGGTCGGAGCCGCCGTCGGTGCGGGAGGCGGCGCCGTAGACGAGGCTGCAGGCGATGAGGGTGTTGTTGATGTTGGGGGCGCTGCTGGCGGTGGAGCCGCCGCAGAGGGTTGCTGCGTAGAGGAAGTCCTCCATGGAGACGGCTTGCGGGTTGGTGGAGGCGTTGGCCGTGAAGTCGAGGTACTCGCCAAGGTCGATGGACGTGCGGATGTTCCAGTATCCGATGGAGAGGTTGGTGGCGGTCTTGGGCAGGTCGAAGGTCTGGCCGGGGCGCACGTCCATGCGCTGGATGTTGGACGGGTCGCGGTCCGTCGCGTTGTAGTACGCCATGGTGAGGAAGTTGTTCAGCCAGGCGGCCTTGTATGCGCGCTCGCGCAGGTCAAACACCTGGCCGTTCTCGACGACGGTGAGGTTTGGAGCGGTGCGCGACAGATTCGAGAACCCACCGCGGTCAGTGAGGACTGTGTTGATGGTGTTGTAGAGGACCTCGTAGTTGTTGGGGCGCTCGAAGTCGATGGTCAGGTTGAGCGGCACGCACTGCGTCTCGGGCTCGATGAACAGGATATCCTCGGACCAGCTGGAGCCGTAGGGCAGCGCGGCCATCGGCGCGGTGTGGTTGCGGAACCCGATGCCACGCTGTTTCTCGTCGACGATGAGGCCCTCCACAACGCGAATGTCCTGGCCCTCGGTCAACAGCATGGAAATATGGCGATAGGTGGGCATGGCGTACCAGCCCAGCTTGCTGTTGCGCACCGAGCCGTTGATATAGTTCCGGTACTGCATGTCGAAGATGCTGGAGACGGTGGGACTGAGGGCAGACGCTCCGTCGTTGAACAGCTTCAGTAGGTCGCCGGGCATGCGGCTTTCATAGGAGGTGTAGTTGCAGTACTGGAGGAGACCTTCCTGATGGCAGGTTTGCGTGAAGCTCTGGCCCGGACATGCCTGGTCGCCGCAAGAGCGTGTGAACGGCGCGGTGCTCCGCATCGGCGTGCCGGCACCAAACGGTGAAGAATCGACAACGTAGCCGAATGGCTGCGCAGTCTGGCTCGAGGACAGCTCGACCGTATCATGAAGGCCTAGAGGCGTACAAATCGACGCGATCGAGAGTACCGCCAGGACGGCGGTCTGTACCCATTGCGTGTAGAAAACTCGTCCTTGGACGCCGTCTGAGGCCGCCGTGCTGGTGCCCAGGATGCCCGGCCAGAGGGACGATTGCAAATACCGTCCGAGAGACGCCCTATACTCATCAGGAAACCATCATACCATGTTTCGCATATCAGGTGGTACCATGTCAAGACGGAGTTCACGTCCGTGAGGAACGCAATCAGGAGAAAGGGAATCACCAAGGGAAGCAGCACCTGGAGGACGAAGACGCCCGCGGCGATCAAGCCGGAGACCTCGCCGACAGTCAAGGTCATCACGACGGTAGAAAATCCTGGCGGGAGAAATGCATCGGTGTGCACTTCGGATATAAGCCCAAGTCTGTGCAGGGGACTTGGCCGAGGATTAAGCTAGGAATATCGCGCCGCCGAATACGAGGTTGTGCCTGGCGATTTCTATTCTCAATACGGGACCATGTCGCATAATCGGGTGATTGGTCGCTGGATGCATCCATATTAACAATACGAACTTTAGCGTGTCTGTCGTCAAAGCGAGGTTGTGTCCATCACAGGATCAATCCAATCCCAATGGCTCCCATCCCTGCCACGCCTTTCACAAACGGAGTCACCCGAGCCCTATTCGCAGCTCCTGTGGAAGTCGCCGCCCCGTCTCCAGTGGTAGTCGACGCCGCTGCCGTCGCCGAGGCATCCGAGGAGGAGGCTGAGGTCGTTTGTGAAGCCAACGAGGCCCACGGCGTCACCGCCGATGCGCTCTACACAGACGTATTAGCCATTTGCAACACGTTCCCACCATCAAGATCAAGGATGATGCCGTACCACAAGACCACAGCAGTCCTCGCCCTCGCAGACCGTGCCTTCGTTACAGCAGATTTGCACGGTGTCGTTGTAGCAGACGGCGTTGGGGAAGTTGCCCGCGCACCAGTGCATGTCCGGCCCTCCGCCCTGGCAACAGGCCTCGTTTCCCTGAAAGCGCGTGCAGGACCACGAGCTCGATTCCGGCAATGCGGAGGTCGACGTTGCGGTGGGCATGGGGACCGTGCCCGACGAGCCTGTCACGCCGGGTCCGCCCTGGTCAAGTTAGAAAGGTTCGTGTGTCGGTGTGTATGAAGCGAACTGACCCAGGCATCGCAGCAACCGTTGTCCTTTGCGACACATAGATCTAGGTGGAATCCGTCAGTGGGAACAGGCAGAGGGCTGCAAGTCAACCTACTCCCGTTCTTGCAGCATTGCTGCGCGGCATCCGGGTTGAAGCATCCCGCGTTATCGCAGACCACGTAGCCATCGCCAAAGCACGAGTCGCAGGTGCTATGTCTGGTGCAATTGGGGCTCATGGTGGGTAGTCCCCGGGCCACCAACGTGGGTTCATAGCCCGGGATACGCTGCTCCAGAGCCCATGCCAGAGTGGCACTCAAGAAGATCGCCAATTGCAGTGTAGTTCGCATGATAGATGTTGTTTCAGGAAGATTGGGAAGATGTGCCATGGGCAGACAAGACTTTAAATATATTAGCGACAGGTTGACTGGGTCCATGTTAGATGCAGGCTAGTTGAATCAATACGAGGTCCGGCGCCACCAACGACATGGTTGTTTCTCCTGCATGGAGGCTGAACTGTGGCAGCAGGCGCACGACATGGCTCGAACGGGCTGAGCGGAGGAACCTTCACCTTCACCTAGTTTCAACGTGAGAAGTCCGGAACGGCAGCTGAAGAAGTAAAAGAGTGCCTTTGACAGGTCTAAAAGTACATACATACAAGATGGTCCGGAAGCATGGCGCAGCCAGAGCCATCATTCTCATCTCTCACTGAATTATTAAAACAAGTAAAGGTGTTGCAAACGCAACATGAAAAGCAAGAAGAGAGAAAATAAGAGAGAAGGAAAGAAGAAAGAACATGAAACAAGCATCCATGCACGAAAGGACCAAACAGATGGTATGTCGCCCAAATGTACCAAACTCCAATTCCATATCTTCCGAGCGCCGTAGTCTATTGAAACATCTGATGGAAACAAAGGTCCACTCAAGTAATGAACCGAAAAAAGGTGCACACCGTCTAGAGTTGACGATGCCAGAGTTGGTGGGGAAAGAGTCGTATGCGGGTTCGTAAGTCATCTGCGTATCATCATGCAATGACTGGTCGACGAGGAGCAATCGGAATAGGTTTCGGTCCCGAAGACAAATTCAGCGTGGACATGCCCAGATCATCGTTGTCACACTTCTGTGACGCCTGGTCTTTACCCTTGTCCTTCTCTGCAGGAAGGAGGGCGGATGGTCTCTCGTCCTCATCGCGGACGGTGCTGCATACAAACTGCTCTTCCGAAATCGGCGTGGCCCCGAACATCGAGCCCAGTTGCTGCAAAAGAGCCACAAAGTGTGCGTGGATTTCCGCAAAGATGTACTGGTTGCCGACGATTTCAGACAAATTCCGGGCCCGCACCTGGCCGGGTCGACGAAGTTGGCCATCCGGGTCAATGGCGCGTCCAGTAAGAAATGAAGAGACGGGGGTATATTGTCGCGCGGCGGCCCGATTAGGTCCTTGATTCTGTTCTTCCTTGCGCTTTTCCTCTTCCTGGAATTTTTCCGCCGAGTTGACAATTCCGGTGGCAATACGGCCGAACGCGCGCCAGATGACCGGACAGGCCTTAAAAGCACGACCGGCGTCTTTCCCTGCCAGTGCGACGAGGGCATAGCTGCGTCGTTTGCCGCGAGCCATCGGATCCGGCAGACGGAAAATGTAGGCGATGGTGTAACCGGCGGTAGAATCCCCGAAGCACAACGGCCCCGATGACAGACCGCGGGGAAGGAGTTCGCAACTCAGCGTCCGAATGGAGGAGCGTCGCAGGAGAGCATAGTCGGCAGGGTTTGGAGGGCCGCGCAGAGAGAGATAGGTGAGAATATGCGTATGGCACGAGGAATCGGAGGCCACGGAGGAGGAATGGAGAGAATCCGGGAGCGAAGGATGCAGGTGCGGATCGGGGGTGGTATCGTCCGCGTCGGAGTGATTGGTGCCGCAGGAATAGACCACTTCCCTAGAGCGCAGGACTGGACTCCCGTTTCTCCCTTTGCCATCACTCCGAGCCGTACCCGGCGCGCCAGGAGGCAGCTGACGGCTCACATCTTCGGGTAGGGTCAGACTACAGCTGGCACAGGTATCGCCATTGGCGCCGCCGAGACGATTCAGATTGGGAGTCTCGGCCGAACTAGGCTGGCCTTTGAGAAAGTACGGGTGGTCTTCGATCTTGGGGGATCGGTCGCCTCCGCGGGGCGGTTTTTCGTGTGCTCGTGAAGTTCTGGAAGAAACGGAGGCTTTGCGTGGAGGAGGGCTCCGGAGGCCATTGGAAAAGGTGGTGTCGTGGGAAGTGGCCGGGGTATCATTGGGAGAGACATCGGAGCTTTCGGGGTAACATTGCGAGCAGGCAAAGGGCAGAACCTGCGAGCAGATGATCGAGGTGGGACCATGTACCTCGCAGAAATGCGTCAAAGAGAGCTGGTGATGTTAGATTTGTGGGGATGGAGGAGATCGCATGCGCGCTGGAACCGGTCTCGGGCCAGAGGCATGAAAGTGAGAGCGCACGTACAATGAAATCCATGGCTACGTCAATTAGCGTCTAGCAATATCCAACAACCATATTAGACCATTATCGCAAGACATGCTTTCAGCGGCGAATGACAGACTGTCGCGACAAGACCGCCGGAGATGGAGGCTCCGAGTCCAGACGGCTGCCGAAGTCTGGTGAGGTCAACGAGTCGGACGAGGAGAGAGGTAGTGAGATAGGTCGCTAGGTAGAGAGGGATAATTTGGAGAAAGGGAGTGAATGCACCGAGCCGTTCACAGATGCGAGGTCGGTTACTTTGGGAGCTAGGTGGTAGATTCCCGGGAGAGGAAGGTAGTAGTGGCCACTGAGACTGCAAAGACCAGCTTGCAGGGTGGGGATGAACGGGGGGGAGATGAAGGTAGGGAGATGAAGGGAGAGAAGAGAGGAGAGAAGCTGGAGGGAGCGAAGGAGTGAAAGATAAAGAGGGAGAGAAAGAGAGACGGAGAAAGGGAGAAGAGAAGAAGAGAATAAGAAGAGGAATCCGTGGAAGAATCCCGGATAAGCGTTGGAGGTATGCGTAATACGGTATGGTCATTTAGACGTATGTATTTTTCCATGGTTGCTTTCTCGACTTCCATTCCCCATGGAGTATACGAAGTACATACAGATATACCTAATAAAAGGTAACAATAATAACAATATGAATCATAAATCAATACCTAACTCCTATAGGATTATCCCCTAACTGCATACCCAACCTGTAGATACCAAGTCCTGGTAACAAGTGGTATCCCTTGCGGAACACTAGTGCGCCATCGAAGGCTGGTGGAAGAAGTCAATCGCCCTCTAGTTCGTCGGGAATAGATTGGTCCAGACAGCCATGCGATGCATCCAGTCGTCCCCAAGAACAGATCAGAACAGTTCGGAACCGTTCAGGATAAGGGTCCCCTGTCTATATCCTCCTATAACGGCCGGGATGTCCTCCCTTCATCTGAGGAATATGGTTATCTGCCGTCTCTCGTCCTACCTCAAACCTCCCTGAAAACGGGTCATTCGAGTCACATGGAGGGTTATTGGGCTGCAACGAGGATCATTCTCAAGCCGTCGGGTCACGGAGTCCGGAGTATTCTGGCGACTGGCGACTGAAAAAGAGACGCCCGTCAAGGTGAGACGCAGGATCGTCCCTTCATTCCCTCGGTTCCGACTGGTTCTCCCCCAGCTGGCCATTCAATAGATTCGGGACGCGGCACAGCTAGTCTCCTGGCATTCGCCCTAATGACCCCGAGGGATGAATGAAAGAATTAAAGAATGAATGCAAGATGAAAGACAGCCAGTTGGATGGTTCCTAGGTAGTCGCCACGATATCTCAGATAAGACGAGTCACCGCATCATGACTCCCTGCACCAAACCCAGGGTCATCATGGATCACGGACAGACGGGTGTATCTCCCTCTCGATCAATCCAATCAATCATGGCTGCAAATATCATCCCCGGTCGGAGAACGTCACCATGCAGCGTGGCCAGTATTACCGCGACCGCATCCCGTCTCTGCCCGTATCTACCGACAGATAACCTTGACGGATACGACTCGGAGGATTCTCTCCTCCATCTCTCCGCTCAATATACCCGAGAGAAACTACGGAGTATAGTACGAAGAGAAACAAGACAAGATCCCCGTCAGGCACTCGCGGTAATTTCGGTGTTTCGATCTGAAACGAACCGTCGCCGCTGCAGCCTTATGCTCCCGGGGCGAAATCCCGTCGTGAGACTCAGCCGGCATGCGAGGAAACCAAGCACACGACTGCTCCACTCTGGCCGGGCTCCATTCTTATTCATGTCTCTCCCATCTCCAGCTGCTAACGAATTAGTCGCCAGGTATTATTCAATGCCTTTAGTAACGACCCAGTCGCACGTGGCAATCCACGCCTCCCATTTGCCCACCGCTCCAACACTAGTGCCAACGATCGAATCCTCCAATCCAATGGGACCTCGGATGTCGTCTTGCGGACGTTTCTCCATGCTCCTGGGCTCGCCTTCAGGAGCAGTGGAGGACGATCGGCGCGCGAACTTGGTCGCCTCCACGAGGATCCCAGTTTCACCGGTTGGACGATATGATGACGACAATCATAAATCATCGACAGGGTACGGAGGACTATCGAGTAAGTAATACTCGTACCGAGTACGATGGCATGGAAACGACGGCAAAACGGTGGGCCGGAACCGTTCGCTTCCACTTTATTAAACTACCTGTACTAGGTAGCCATCGGTGGGTTTATGGTGCCGTCTGACCGTGCCGGTGGATTCATGAATAATATGGGTCCATTCGTGCCTTCTGGAAGGCGAGGTCCGCCGGAGATTTACCGTCTATCCTCATCTGCCCGATCGGATTCTATTTTCTACTAGTAGTATGTTGGGTGTTGCCGTTCATCACATGGCTGGATATCCTCCGGATATCCTCCGTAGGTCCAGAGTACACCTCGGGGTATACCTTCATGTACATATATATAGAACCGCTCCAGACAACCATGGCAATATCAGCCTCAGGTCTGGACCCTGCACTGAGACATGCGTCGTCCTTGTCCTATGCAACTAACACTTCTAGTCCTGCACGCTGCAGCATGTAGTCAGCAAACCGCTCGGTCGAGGTCTAGACAGATCGTGCTTAACAAGCCAGACTGAAAGGAATTCAGGTGCCCCTCCTCATCGGATCCACTGAGCGATTTATTCGGTGGGTCGTTACTGTCTGCTTAACATTACCTTTTTGAAGTATTGACAGAAGTGTTCTATGTTTATCTGATGGTTTGCATACGGAGGACTACTATGTACACAGTATTGCCACGGTCTATGGAGTACCTACCTACACAAGACGCAAGTATATCATGAACTACCTTATACTCCATATCATCACACAACAGGGTGGATGTTACTTATTCAAAGATAATGAAGCATATTTCGCTGTATTATAATCATGATATTTGTAAAAGTAACCCCGCATCAATACAAGCCTGTGCACGTCCGTGTCCTCTCATCCATGCACCCCATGCATATGCCATGGCAGCTCTTGACTCACACCAATCGACCTGCATTATTAACCCAGGTCGCATCGACGAAGCCGCGAACGCCGTACACCACCACACCACCCTAGGAACAGATCAGAACCGTTCTCGACCCGACACTAGCGGGACGTACGTACCTTCCCCCGTCCTATCATACCGTTCACTCAGCTAGTCGAGTTGTCCTGGGTGGACATGGCTCTGAGTAGTTCGGATGCCGTCTGTTCGGCCCCATGCACGAGCTGTTTGCCGATTGCTGGCTGTACATGTACGTTCACGTTAGACGGCTCCTATGATCGGAGATCAGTCACTGCGAGTAGTCTACATACCGCCTACGTCTCGTCAGTCAGGTCCTAGACTCTCTGCGGAGCATCACTTACTTCACTTGCAAGCTGGACATCATTTCATCATGAGCTTTTCGTGAATCGTCACACAATGGATTGCGAAGTGCTCCTTACCTCCTGCAGATGCACCGTTAGCTCCGGTCTGCTCAGAGACGACTAAGAGGACTTACCGTCTAGGTCTGTTAGCGGCTGCGATTCATCTTGAATGCTCATCAGTCGGGTTTCTTACCGGCTAGAATGGTCGTCTTGGTTACTCACTTACTCGATCAGTATCAGAGGACGCGAGGACGTACCGCAGCCTGGACTATGTCAGTAACGTGGATCTCAAGTCGACTTCAAGGAGGGACTCACAGTTACAGCCTTTACACATGTCAATCCTGTTCACGTATCAATCTTCCGATCTGATGGAACGATACTTACTCCCTAGAAGCACTGCGTTAGCAAGATTGTAAGCCGACACGTCGCAACACCTACCAGAATATCTTTCAGAGTTCCATCCCGTCTCACAGGCGCTGCCATCGCAGTCGCGATCAAAAGCGAAAGAAGGTAAACCGGACGCATGCTGAACGAAAGACGATGAGGATGGAATGAATGGAATGAATGAATGAATGGACAGAGACAGAGCGCGATGGCTTTTGCCGGACGTTACCGCGTAAGTCGTAAGGGATGATGGATGAGGTGGGAGAATGCGACCGTCGTACTGGGACAGCAGCTATGATTATATACGCCTGTCGGCCAACCACAGGGTGATCTTCATCTTGTCGCCTGACTGGAAAGGTAGGTTCCCAAGGGGCGTGGAATGTACAGGTTCTGCCATCGCGAGGAATGCGAGGGTGTGGTGGGTGAATAAGAGTTCGCCAGGAGCGTCTCCCTTCTTCGCGAGGAGACGTGTTTCCTTGATAGCGACGTGATATCGTCGGGACGGAGTGGGATAAGGTTGACTCGGTAATGTTGTTTCGTCCATCCTTCCAAGTTAGACCCTGATGGCTGGCCAGGCGCAGTGTTTGGGGGGCACTCCCGACTATCGGCTAAACAAGTGAGACATCATGCCAATGGAAGTATCCCTTCAGGCTGTTGTCCAGTTGAATCGCAGACTGTCTATGTCTATGTCTCGGTATGTTGATAAGACTATATACACAACACAACACAACACTACCAGTCTCCTTCACTCTCACTCCCCGGGTACGCCTTCTTGCGCAGCTTCCACAGCGACTTCTCCCGCTGCGCGGCCTCGCGCTGTCGCCGACTGTTGTCCTCGATCACCGTCATCCATGGCACGTGGCTCGCGCGGCGAATGCGGTCTTTCAGGATCGCAGACGTATGCGCGCTGTCATCCGTCCCGTCATCCACCTTGTCTTTCCGGCTGCTGTCGACGAACCGCCGGTGTCGCTTCTCGGCCGCCCGTGCAGCGTAGTACTCCTCGCTGAGCGCCCAGTTGGGGTTATCCAGCTGGCCACGCACCAGGACAATGCCGTAGCCCTGCTGCAGCGCGTCGCGGATGCGCGACGCCGCAATCGGCGTGACGAGTTCGAGCTGGCGCGCCGCGACGTTCACTGATCGCACCAGCGCCAGACCGAGACAATGCGACGCCTTCGGGTCGAGCGGGTTGCAGCTTCCCGCGCCCACGAAGAGATACGGCAAATCTTCGTGCGGAGAGCGGGTGATGCCCGAGTCGATGGACGCCAGAGGCGCCGTAGGAACCATCTCCGTGGCCTCGTCCATGACGGCGTCCTCGGATCCCTCTTCGGCCGGCGAGGGTTGCTTGCCCATCACGCCGTTGGCGAGCCCTGGCACCTCGCTGTGGCCCAAGATCGCATTCGGCGACTCCACGGCGACGACGCCCACGAGCGAACCGTCCAGGGCCTCGTGCAGAAGGTCCGGATGGATCTGCGAGCCCATCACCATGATCCCGCGGATGCCCTGATGCGGCCCGGCGTAGTGCACCTTGAACGGCCGTGTCCGCGACATCGGCTGGTCCAGCCACAGCGGGGTGCTGACGTCGGCGGGACGGGTCATGTGGAAATAGGACTGCATCTGCATGGACCGCAGCTGTGCGCTCGACCGGCTCACAAAGTCGGTGGGCTGGGAGGGGAGCGTCGTGAGGGGGATCCGGGCGGCGGCGGCAGCCTGGCCGAGGGGCTCGACAACCTCCGCCGGTCCCTTCTCACTCATGTAGATCACGTCGGACAGGCCGAGTGACCGCACGAGCCAGGTGGCGACCTCCAGCCCGAGCCCGAAGATCCACCCGGGATAGTTGATGATGAGGGGACACTGCGGGTAGCTTGCGAGAAGCGCACGATACCGGTCCATCAGGTCCGTCGCGGCGAGGACATAGTGGTCGGGATCATCTTTCGGCGAGGAAGCTCCTATATGATGGGCTCGAATGACCGTTCCGTCTTGCGAGCCTTCCAAGGACGGGTGCGAGAAGGGGGGTCCGAAGACAGGCGAGCGGAGGTGCGCCAGGTATATCTGGCCCATGGGGGCGAATTCGGGCTGCCCGGGATCCAGGTCGAGAAACGCAACACCGTCGGTGTTGCAATAGCTGGGTTCGGTTTGGGGCGCCGGGCTGAGAAGATGGTTCAGGAGGTAACGGCTAAAGGTCGATTTGCCGGAGCCTTTTGGGCCGCATATTAATGCCCGTAGTTTCCCGCCTTTCTGGGAGAGAGACTTGATAGCAGAACTCCACTGCTTCTCGAGGTGCAAGGGCCGCAGGTGGCGTTTCAAGGAGTCATCCGTAGATGTGTATAGCTGGATGGTTTAGATAGAGCCATGGATAGATGCGACAGACTGTGATGGAACTCACCACTGAGAAGGTTCGCCGCGCATGTGGCTCCGCATTTTTCAAAGTGAGCTTGTCAGCAGAGGTGTTGCTTCCATTCCAGATCCGTTGATAAAGAGGCGACAGGTCCCTGAGACGGTAGATGCCGCTGTGACAGGATTTGATTTCGACTTCCGCTGCCCCATCAACCCCAGAGACACACTTGATCACGGGCAACGAATGCGTCGAAGGTGCGTAAACTCGATACAGGCGCGGAGAAGGGTGGAGCTTTGCACCCATGAGGCTGATCACGCCTCGCTTGACCCATACATCGTAATGGCCAATGACCACTAGACTCTGCAAGAAGTCAGTATACTACCTTTTCGCACATAAAAAATGGAACGCACCAGCTTCTCCTTTATCCGCACGCAGAGGGTGTGCTCATCACTGTAAACTATGTTGCTCTTGTTGAGCCGGGTCTTGGACAGCGGAAAGGCTTCGACCAGAGCTGGGGTGTCCGCTGGTGACTCGTATCTACCTGACTGTCAATATACGCTCCCGATATGAGGACAAGGGAGGTGACCGTACCGATCAGCATCGTCCAGAGGTACATCGTTGCCCTCCGGCTCCGAGACCTCCTCAACCGGAGTCTGAATTCCGCTTTCTCGTCCCACTGTCCCGTCTGTGAGATGCTCTGGGGGCGTCGCAGGCGTGGTCTTTGTTTTCCTCCTAGGTGTTTTCTCAATCTCCGAAGGTTCGGCCTTCCGCCTCGACGATCGTCTGGTTTGCACCCGGTCTGCGGGAGAGACCGACTGAGATGGAGTGTCCTCCTCTGGGGATGTTCGCGCTTTCTTTGATGGCGGTTCCTCAGTCGTCTCGACTGCAGAAGGAGGTTTCACTGGCTCTGGAGTTGCGGCGATTTGCGCCTGCTGTCGGGCTTTGCGCGCCGCAAAAGCACTAACTGGAGCTATAAAATTCCAGTCAGTCAATGGACACCGTGGGAACTGGGGGGAGATCAAGAGGGGTATACCAGCAGACTGCTGCTTCTCGGCCTTTCTCTTCATAGCGCTTCGACGCTAGGTCCGGTGGAAACAATAGTTTGTGGTGAGAATGTGGTATTTCGCGCGACTCCAAATTTGCGCCAACGTTCGATACCACGTGATTGACCAGATATGGTCGTTGTGACCAACTTTCCGACTTTCCCAAAAGACAAGGGGATAGTGCGCGTATATAAATGAGAGTATTTTAGTCCTGAAATATTGCAATCATGGTCGTGAAAGTCCAGGTTGAATATGCCGAGATTTTCCCATGTTCTCCAACATCCGTCGTGGTGGTCTGTGCTCCGCGGAGCAAAGAAAAAAAAAAAGGTTATCGGTCCAGCAGAACTCGCCCTCCCCGTCAACTCACCACCGCATCCACTTCTACATCCCGAGGATCCGAATTTAGGTCCTTCGATAGCTGCATTACGTCGCATTATCGGTCGCCTGGGTGAATCAAGCTCGGCAGTCTCGTCTATACCCCGCCGTCGTCGAATCCACGCTCTCCGCATCGCATCTCCGAATTTTATCAGTCCGACACCACATCGATACAATGGCCGCAAAAGCAAAGAAGGCGGCCACTCCGGAGAGCGAGAGTAGCTCATCGAGCCGGTCCACCTCCCCCGAACCTGCGCAGAACAAGGCCAAGAGCGAAGCGGAGGAATCGTCGAGCTCCGAGTCGGAGGAGTCGTCCAACGAGCGCAGTGAGAGTGGCAGTGAAAGTGACAGCGATTCCTCATCGGATGAGAACTCTAAGCAGGAGTCCAACGGCAAGAAAGCGGAAAAGTAAGCTATTTTCGGCGGAACTCCCCGGACTCATACTAACTTGTATGCCAGACCCTCCGCCCGCGTCTCGTTCCAAGCCCCCCAACCGTACAAGCCTCCGTCGGGCTTCAAATCCGTGAAGAAACAGTCTCCTCCCTCCGCCAGCACCGCGTCTCTTCTCTCCGACCTCAGCGGGAAGCAAGTCTACCACATCACTGCGCCGTCCTTCCTTCCGCTGGACACCGTCAAAGAGCTCTCGTTAAGCAAAGTCATGCAGGGCGAGCCCATCCTGAAACACAAGGGCGCGCAGTATGGGATCCCCGTCGACAGCATGAACCAGAACGATACGGGCGAGAAGACGCTGTTTCTCTACGACCCCAAGACGCAGGCATACACTAGCACGCCCGTCCGCCACATTCAGAGCTACCACATCCAGCGGATGGCCACTCTTCCCAAGCGGTCGGAGACAGAAGATAAGGTCCTGGAAGCGGCGCAGAAGCTGGTCAAGCCGCCGCGGAAACAGCCCAAGAACCTGAAGATGCGTTTCCGGCCTCTGGGCAGCGGCGAGGCGCCGCCCGAAACTCTCGGGTCGGAGTCAGAGGGCGAGGGGGAGGAAACTACCTTCAAGGTTCCCAAGGGCGCCGAGAAGGAGGAGAGAAAACGCAAGCATCACCACACGGAGGCCGACAGCAGCCAAGCGGGAGTGCCTCGCAAGAAGTCCAAGAAGCACTCGGAGAGCGGCGAGAAGGCCGAAGGCAAGGAAAATGAAAAGTCCAAGAAATCCAGCAAGAGCAAAGAGGAAAAGAAACGCAAGAAGTCGGACAAGACTGCGTGAAGGAATGCAACTGTATGGTCTATTGGTTCTTTTGTTCTCTTTCTCAAAAGTTTTTGGCTATAGATGGGATGCGTTTTGCTTGCATCAAGGCGTCTGATACCGGGATTGATTCCTAATAGCATGATCGTTATGCAGCATGTACATACTAGGTACCTTTGAATGATTCTATTTCTATGAATTTGTTGTAATATATACTCAGAACGGTGAATGACGCAAGAGAATTTAGCGTGCCCATTCTGGTCTAGCGTGTCGCTGTGCGTGTTTCTATAAAGTCCTCCTCGTCACCGCATCAACTGTTACTGAGCGTGCCTTGTCGCGAATCCACGTTAAGTTCATGACCGATTGGCGGAGATGATAGATGGACTTATGGGAAATCAAGGGTTTAGGCCTGCAGCACGAGCGTCATGATAAGCTATTGTCTCCACGTCGGCGCGTTTTGTCTTAGGGCCTGTACCATGGAATTACTGGCACATAGAGCTCAATTGACCTGGTGATGCGCAAGTGTTCGGCTCAAGAAATAGCAACAGCGCTATACAAGATCAATTAGATAAGCTGGTGAGGCATTTGTGCGGTAGTACCCTGCGTAGTACACCGGTCACAGACTCGATTGGCGCAGACAGTCCTCGTCTAGATACCACCCTGCCGGGGCTTCCTGCTCCCTAAACTTGAAATCGATCCTAGCAAGCCCACTTGCGCGCTGGATCAGGGACGTGGATCGGTCCCACGAGAGATATAAGCCGTATATTTCGCCCGCTGACTTAGTAAAAGACCAGTCAAGCATCCGACTTGCCTTCCCATTTTATCGAAGTGCTCAGATTTGCCTGAATTATTTAATTATTCAAAACTCATTTGCTTTGGTCTCTTGTACTAGTCCCAGACGACATGTTCTGGAGTAACCCACTTGAAGATATTAGTGCGCTGTAGGATACGGTTCAGGAAACAATTCGTGTACATCAAGGGGAATTTATTTTCCACTCTGACTATATACCCTTCTCAGACACAGATGGCTTCTCATACCACCACATAGCCAAGGCTCCCGTCCAGGGTGTAGCGGGAGCTCTCGCAGCTGGCGTCGGTTGTATCCATATGGTCGCCACTGCTAGCACTATAGCAGCGGTAGAGGGGAACACTGCCCGAGACACGGGCTTTATAGATGTAGCCAAGGATGCCGTCCATGACGTAGAGTGAAGACTCGCAACTAGACTCCGTTGTGTCCATATGATCGCCTCTGCTAGCGCTGTAGCAGCGGTAGAGAGGAACAGTGCCTGAAAGCTGAATGGCATGGATGTAGCCGAGCATGCCATCCAGGGAGTAGCTGGAAGCCTCGCAACTAGAATCCGTTGTGTCCATATGATCGCCACTGCTACCGCTGGCACAGCGGTACAGAGGAACGGGGCCGGAATGGCTCAGGACGGTCAACTTTGATCGCGGTCACGTCGGCATCCCAGGGGCCAGGAATAGTGAGTTTCACCCCCTTATTGTCCTGGCTAAGCACCACCGATGAGCTGTTTGGCAGTAGAGAGGCTGTACCAAAGACCTTGCCGTCCCGAGGGGCAGGGAGGGCAAGCGTCAGTCCGGTTGGCGGCTTGAGCACATGGATGTACTCGACGGAGTCATCGGGAGACTTGGTCGCCGACCCCCAGGAGACGTCGCCGATAGTGGTGCCAGGCTTAGTCGGGTAGGAAGTGCTGGGCCGCGTGCCGAAGATGGACTCGCGGATGCTGTAGATCCACGAGCCGAGCTGTTGGAGCGTCGGCATGACGCCCGGCTCCCAGCCGCCGTCGGCATAGGGCCCCGTAGCCCATGCGATGCCGCCGCCTGCGCTATTTGTAGCAGCCTGGAAGACCGTGTAGCGGAACATACTCCGCGCAGAGTAGCGGAGGGAGCTGGTCGTGTTGGCCGCCCACCAGGTGTAGGTGAAGATGGCGGCTACGGGCTTAGCATAGCTCGGCCACAGGTTCTCGTTGGGCTGCGAGAACTCGTCCCAGCCGCCGTACTCCTTCATTCCCATGTCGAGGCCGTACAGATTACCATAGTCGTTTTGGATCAGATTTGCGTGCGGGATAATAGCTTTGATCGTGCTGCGGAGTTGCGGGTAGTCGACTACTTTTTGGCTGTCGCCTCGGGGGCTGCCCTCGTCCATGAATAGGCCGTCAATGGACTGGCCGTAGCGTTGCATCAGCTCGCCATAGATGTCGTTGACGAACGAGTTCCACTTGGTTCGGTTGAAGTCTGCGCCCGGGTTGTGCTTTTCGTCCTTCGGGGGAGGGTCGATGCCCCAACCGGTCTTCTCCCGATCCGCAGCAGTGAATTCCATGCCGTCACGCGGATGGGTGTAGAGGTAGACGCGGATGTTGTTGTTCCTAACCGCCGCGATCATGTCGCCGACGAGATCGCGGTCGACGCGGTGGTTTGGCAGGTCCCATTCCAGCATCTTCTCGCTCGGCCAGAGGGCCACCATTTTGGCGTGCCAGGCAGTAAACACGACGTACTGTACCTCTGCGGCCACAAGATCGGCGGCGAACTGGTGCGCATCAAAGCTGTTCGCGAGAACGTTCGCGTCAACAACGACGCCGTCGTGGTTGGCCGTACGGTTCGGCACCAGGTGGACGAAGAGACCGTACTTGAGGTTAGGAATGTTGGCCATTCCATCGTTCAAGGGCGATGATGCCTGTAGTTGTGCCCCGGAGCACCCCATAAGAGGCGCAATCACCAAGATAAACCGAACAACTAGGTTTGCGACCACATTTTGCCGAGTGAAATCGTGGTAGAAACGTTCTCTTCCTATGTGGTGGTGATCGGGGAACGCTTTGAGGTAAAACAGGAGAGTCGACACTCCAGGTTGAGTCTTATATAGTTGAAGTAAGTTGGGGTGCGAAGGAGAATCCTCGATGGCATTTGGCCCAACCAATCAACCGTACAGGGAAATGAATATTTCTTGAGATCATGATCAATAGTATAGTTAACCCTGGCAGCTCTAGACATCGTGGCTCCAATCAGCAATGATGGGCTCCGAGAGAGGCTGGCTGAAATCTCTTCACGAACACCTTGTAAAGGGTGATCAATCTGCAGTAGTATAAAATCTAACTTTGACTGTCAATAGTCCGGAGCAACATCCAATCTTACATAGTTTTCAATTCCTCGTGCCCTCAACTATAGCAACGCCCAATACTACCTCGTATGTTGACCAGTGCCGCTAGCGATTCCACCATCACGCCGACCTTGCTGTTCATAGTATAAGCCAATGCTTTCAGCCAGCCACTAAAAGGCCTTCGGGAGCATAGAATTAACGCTTCCAGCTTGGTAGAATAGGCGTATATTCAAAGTCTTACCTCGTGACAGTGATATGCCTTATTATATTCTTTCTCTGCGCCTGGAAGCGATGGACTCTCCAAAGATGACCACGGGACTAGTTCACAGTTATTTCGTGGGGCGTACTAGCGCCCATATCGATCGCAGGTGCCATCAAAAAGCCCACAAGTGAGCAGAGCCCGTGTCATACTCAATGTGGAGAGCTCAGCATAGTTATCTACAGAGGAGAAGGATCGTCAGAGTAAGCTGCAGAACTAGACATATCCTCCGCCGGAGCTAACTCTCACCCCAAGCTCAAGGCCCTGCGAAGCCGGATCCACCGCATCAAGCGTAGCAGATATCGGAGTATAACACTAAAGAAGTTTTACTCCGTACAGGTCAGAGGTTAAAAAAACAGAATACCCCTGGCCCAATATAACAATTTATTAGGGTAGGTTATTAACTTAGGCACCGTGGGTGATTATTAAACAGTAGTGAATACGCCATGTAACTACTGGGCTTCCCTCCAGGAGGCCAGCAAACACCTTACCAACCTTACCTGGTCTTCTGGCGCAGCCATTACAACCTATCGCTCCTCTTCACCATATCTGGTCAACCCTGACACGTTAGCTCATCACCTCTAAAACAGTATTCGTAGGTTATTTGAAATCAAGTGAGAGAATAGATCAACAACTTCCAGAAATTGCGTTCTAATGTTTTGGATTTTACTTTGTAGCTTCGGCATCTGGTTGGTAAACAGATAAGTTCCAGTCAATTTTAATGCGCATAGCATAGTTCAAGTTTTCTTCAGCATCGCGGACAATCAAACTCCTGTCATATATCACAACAGTATCTCCATTAAAGAAATCAGACACTATTCAAGGCTCAGTTATACATTTTGCCCTACGATTCAACCCACTTCTGTTCTATATATACACTGTAAATAGAAGTCACGCTATGTCTAATCTGGCTACGGCCATAGTGTTGGAGGCTCAAGGTGAAAAGACCACGAGTTTTCTCCCTCCAAATGCCATGCACAGTCTCATCCTCACCCCGAATGACTCCGTTGATAAAGTCAAGAGTACCTCTGCTACTGTACTCGCTCAGGCCCACCGGGTAGTGTCGATCCAGCGGAGTTTAATGTCGAATGGGAGCCACTCGCTCTCCACGACAGCAGTGAGTTGTCTGTCGCTTGCGTCGGCTCCAAAGAATCCTCAGAGACAGGGACATAAGTATCTCCAGGTACCTTGCTACCGGCTGAGTAGGGATAGGTACCAGCGCATACTCCGTACATGGGGCATATGGGGAGAAATCCCGTGACTGCTCCGACTGCCGATGATGACATAATCCGGGCAATGCACCAGGAACGGGCTCTAATTGGCGGATCCACAGCTGGCTATCACATGCGGGGGTGGTGATTGGCCCCAGCGGCCCGGACAGCTGATACGGACAACCTTGTGACGCCAGCGACAGATTCCATGGGACAATCGACTGCGTGCATGAGTCGTTCTTCTCTGCCTGCTGGTCTGCCTATCGGTCTTGCTTCTGCCAACCAGTCTTCAACCCTCCTATCCGCCTGAATCCTCCCCGACGACCTGATCTGCCATAGAGAGCGCCTTGCCCCCTCTCGCTGACTTGTCCATCATCCCCGACGGTACATAGTACTGCTACTATCGCTAGCTACTACTTCCTGCGCCGTCATTCCTCCGTGTCCGTCCAGCTCCCAACGTTCGCTTCATCTCGGCCGGCTCTGATGGATTACATCGTGTCTCCCCGGACTTTCCTTTAGTCAGGTATTCACTGTGGTCATTCACTCCCCATACAACCTGTCAGCCATCTACCTTGTTCCCTGTGGTGCTAACCTGTGATCATCGCTGGTAGATCCCTCGTCGTTGTCAGAGTCCTCTCCCGTGATCCCAGCTCCAACGACAACTCGCTTCCTGGACTTCCCAGAAGGCAAACGGGGGTCACGTTCCTCTCATTCCCCATCACCTGTCTGGGGTACTCTTTGGTCCTCTCCTTACCACCTTGTTCATTCCCTCTTTTCTGAGCTCCTACTCATCTCCGTGTCTCCCTTCTCTGACCCCAAAGATGCGACCCCTTCTGGACGAAGCGAAGCGGCGAGTGGACCGTCGACTCAGTGCCAGCCGACAGTCACTTTCGACGAGCCGCATCTTCCCCAGCGCGTTGCCGGAACGACTAAAAGACGACCACGATGCTCAAGTCGATTACACTGCTCCTCCTGGCGGAGGTGGGACGAAAGAGGGCCACTTCCAATACATGCAACAATCGATTTTCGGGATGATTGCCGCCGTTGGTTCTCAGTCCGACTTCCATGCGCGGTTCGACGACTCGTCCGACAGTGAACGGGACACCGACCGTCCGCCTCAGAAGCGCACCGAGAAGGAATCCCAGGCCACGGATGCTCCGCCATCATCGAAGAACGAGAAGAAAGCGCTGAGGTCCCCCCAACGACCGAAAAGCCCATCTCAGGAAAGAGGACGTCGCCATCGGAAGACGCTCTCGGGCAGTCGGATTCTGCGGCCGTTAATGCCAGGTAGCAGCCAGAGACAAGGAGGAGCCCAAACGGAACCGTCGACGGGGAACCAGATGTCTCGCGTACCATCCCCAGAACGACCTCGCAGCACCACTCCTCGCGCGGCTCCTGTTCTGAGCCGCATGGTTGAAGCGCAGGCCCTCTTTGACTCCAAAGGTTCAATGAATCAATCTCCACGATCTCCACCTGCGGAAACGCAGGAGGAGCAAAGTCAAGAGCAGACATCTGCTTCGCCACTGTCTCTCAGGTTGATGGAAATGTTTGGCTTTGAGTCCCCAGAGAAGGTGCTTGTCGAATACGCCTGTTCTTTGGTGCAAAGCATGCTCCTGCAGGGCTACATGTACGTCACCGAAGGCCACATCTGTTTCTACGCCTACCTTCCCCGAAAATCCACGGTGGCCATCAAATCCGGCTATCTGTACAAACGCGGCCGGAAGAACCCTAAATACAACCGCTACTGGTTCTCATTGAAAGGTGACGTCCTCTCATACTATGCCGACCCGTCCAACCTGTATTTCCCCAGCGGTCATATTGATCTGCGATACGGAATCTCCGCTTCCCTCAGTGAGCCCAAGGAGAAAGACAGGGAGGCCAGGGATTTCCAGGTCACGACGGACCAACGGACATATTATTTCCGGGCCGATAGCTCTACGAGTGCGAAAGAATGGGTGAAGTCGCTGCAGAAGGTTATCTTCCGGACTCATAACGATGGCGACAGCGTTAAGATCTCCTTTCCGATTGAGAGCATCATAGACATAGAAGAAAGCCCCATGGTTGATTTCGCAGAGACCTTCAAGATCCGCGCAATCGAGAGTGGCGAGACGTATGCTATTGATGAGGTATGGCCTTCTTTGACAAGATGGCATGCTGGTGCTGACCGTTATCCCAGTATTATTTCTCCTTCTTTAATGACGGACAGGATGCCTTCAACTTCGTGAAAGGCTTGGTGAGCGAGTCTCAGGCCAAGAATCCTTCTCGAGAATCACCCCAACCAGGTCGCACAACTCCCCAAAGTCGAGCTCGCGGCTCTCGAGCGAGGTGGTCCCTTACCAGCGGGCTCAGTCAGGTGCTAGGAAGCTCAGATGCCCGACGACGACGCAGTGCAAGTGCGAGTCAATTCAGCCCCGGACGGGATGCAGCTGGACTATCGCCGACCTCCAGGCAACGAGACTTGTCGGAATCGTTTGTAAACTCTTTCGACCAAGCAACCGAATCTTCAACCGTGTTGCAGTCGATGACCGATACGGCAGAATCCGCGAGCCAGATCTTGAACCGAAGTGATGTCTTTCAGTATCCGGCTATGCAACCTTTTCGGAGACAGTCGCTCAGTGAAGACCAGTTTGGTCGCCGTCATTCAGACGAAACGGCCCGGTCGACGAATGATATTGCACGACTTGGTCCAGGTATCACCCCGAGGGACGTTCAACGGTTTTATCCGCCGAGCGACTCTGACCATGATGCACAAGACGCGGCTAGAGTTCAACAATCGGCATCCAGTCTCAATGAACTTGTCAGAGCTGGGGCTTACCCTCTTCAGCGTGCGGCAGGGCTGGCGGAGTACCTGAGAAATCGCTCGAAGCAAATGGGTACTCTTCTTGCCAGCGAGTCTATGGGTTATATCGAAAAGGTTTCGGGCATGTGGGCTGGTGGCCGCAGACACTACGGCGAAGCAGAGGGCATCTTACCGGACGACCAGGATGTCGACCCTGAAGATAAGGAGGATGGTTGCAACCATGGAGATCGGTTCCGTGCTCATTTTGCCCTCCCCCCGACCGAAAAGCTCCAGGCAACATATTTTGCTTACTTGCATCGTGTTCTTCCGCTGTATGGCAAAATCTATGTCAGCCAGAAGAAGCTATGTTTCCGCAGTCTCCTCCCTGGTACTCGCACCAAGATGATTCTTCCTCTGAAGGACGTTGAAAACGTCGAGAAAGAGAAAGGATTCCGCTTTGGATATCACGGCCTTGTTGTCATCATCCGGGGCCACGAAGAATTGTTCTTTGAATTCAACGCGGCCGATGTCCGCGATGATTGTGCTGTTACGATCCATCAGCACCTGGAGTCTGTGAGATTTCTGTCCGAGTCCGGCATGCTCGCTGAGCAGGAGCAAGATGAGTCGGAGGCTGCAAAAGCAGAACACCGTATGCTACAGGAAGCCAGAAAGGACGCATCTGGCGGGCTCATCCCACAAACACCATCGGACGAGTCCCCCGAGATTCATCCGATTTTCGATGACCCTCGTGCTTCTATAATTAACTTCAAGCCTACTGAGTCCCTGCGGATCACATGCCTGACTATTGGGTCTCGTGGCGATGTCCAACCGTACATTGCGTTATGTAAAGGACTGCTTGCGGAAGGCCATCGGCCTAAGATTGCAACCCACGCAGAGTTCGAACCTTGGATACGAAAGCATGGTATCGACTTCGCCCCGGTTGAGGGAGATCCTGCCGAGCTAATGCGCATCTGCGTGGAGAACGGAATGTTTACGTATTCCTTCCTGAAGGAAGCGTCCATGAAGTTTCGCGGTTGGATCGACGATCTTCTCTCATCGGCCTGGAGGAGCTGTCAAGATAGCGACCTTTTGATCGAGTCACCCAGTGCAATGGCTGGTATTCACATCGCCGAGGCTCTGCGGATCCCCTATTTCCGAGCCTTCACCATGCCATGGACTAGGACGCGGGCGTATCCCCATGCGTTTGCCGTGCCGGAACACAAGATGGGTGGTGCATATAACTACATCACCTATGTGATGTTTGACAATGTGTTCTGGAAGGCCATTGCGGGCCAGGTAAATCGCTGGAGGCAGTCCGAACTGGGTCTCAAGGCGACCAACTTGGATAAGATGCAGCCCAACAAGGTCCCGTTCCTTTACAACTACTCGCCTTCGGTCGTGGTTCCGCCGTTGGATTACCCAGACTGGATCCGCATCACAGGATACTGGTTCCTTAGTGAGGCAAGTGACTGGACGCCGCCAGCAGATCTGATGGCGTTCATCCAACGTGCCCGTGACGATGGCAAGAAGCTTGTGTACATCGGATTTGGCTCGATTGTAGTTTCGGACCCGTCTGCGCTGACGCGGACGGTCGTCGAATCGGTCCAAAAGGCCGATGTACGGTGTATTCTGTCCAAGGGTTGGTCCGACCGACTGGGCGATCCGGCCAGCGTGAAGTCTGAAATCCCCCTGCCGCCGGAGATCTTCCAGATCCAGGCGGCACCCCACGACTGGCTCTTCTCGCAGATTGATGCTGCCGCGCACCATGGCGGCGCCGGAACGACTGGCGCTAGTCTACGTGCTGGCGTCCCCACCATCGTGAAACCTTTCTTCGGAGACCAGTTCTTTTTCGGCACCCGGGTGGAAGATCTGGGCGTTGGCATTTGTTTGAAGCGGCTGAATGTCAGTTTGTTCTCTCGGGCTTTGTGGGAGGCTACCCACAGTGAGCGCATGATCGTGAAGGCTCGCAACTTGGGACAACAGATTCGGAGCGTAAGTGGCAGACCTTTGTAATGGGAGATTTTGGCTAATGTTGAACAGGAGGACGGTGTGGCCACTGCGATCCAGGCAATCTACCGTGATCTCGAGTATGCTAAAACCCTGGCTCGACAGCGATCTATCGTGTCGTCGACGCCGTTCTCGCCGACCCCTTCGGCCAAGACAGTCGCCGAACAGGAGGTCGACGATGATGTTACCGACAGTGAAGAATGGACTTTTATCGGGGACGAGACGGACATTGACATCTCCCGACGCGTCCGCGGTCGAGCAGTGTCAGATGTGGATATGCTCCCCGAGCCGCTTGCCGTTCGGAGCCCGGAGCTGGCGCAGTGATATGGGATTTGTTGGCTTACGATTGACGACATGGCATTTGAGTCACGACTAGCTTTAATGATTGGTATTTGGACGGATTTGCGTTTTGTTTCTGGCATTGTCACAGCGATTGCTGACGGCGTTTCTGGTGCGCATTTCTCGGTTGATAAGAGATGCTTTATGGATATTCCTGTTGATAGAATGGTATAGTGGTCGGCGCCGGGCGAGTGAGATTCCCAGGTAGTGTGATGATGGATATCAATTGATTTATATTTTCCAACCCATGTGCCCGAGGATATACAGCGACCTGCGTGAAAGAACTCGTCTAGAACCGAATCAAACAATGCATACATAGAAGCCAGTGAAATGAACTGAGGTTATTTTGTCTCCGTCTCGTCCTCGTCGCCTTTACCTTCGGCCTTTTCTTTCCGCCGCTGCATGACGTCCCAGTTATAGACTCTAGCGGTGGCCACTTCCATAGTCTGGATGTGTTAGTCTCGTCGCAAGCAACACGACACCCTCCAAAAGACCCAACAGTCACAGCGTCCAAGGAAGAGGGAGGACATACCGTAATCTGCTCCCTCAAAAACTCCAAATCCTCCTCACAATGTGCCAGACTCAGCTCCGCGGCGGCCAGCTTCTCACGCAGCATCGTCTCCGCCTCGGCGATCGGATACGCCAGCATAACATTCGCGCCGAGCCAGAGGTACACCTCGTCGGTCTGGTCCGGGTGGATGGCGGCGCGGGCGTAGAGAGTGTCGTTGAGCTCGAAGCTGGTCTCGAGCGGGTCGGCGGAGGCGTCGCGGCGGCGCTTGAGGAAGGACACCATCTCCAGCGTCTTTTTGATGTCCGGGATCTTGTCGCGCAGGCCGACGGCGCGGTTCTGTGCGTTCACCTCCATGAACTGGTACTTGGAGATCATCTCTTGGAAGTTGCGGAGCGTCTTTTCGACGTCGGCGCGGGTGGAGACGTAGTCGGTGACATTGTCGACGAAGGGGGCGACGGGGATGCCGCGGGGGTTCGTTTGGGGGGTTATTCTGGGTAGTTAGTTGGTGTGTTCTTCGTTATGGATGTGGATGGCGTGGTCATGGTGGTGGTGGTGGTGGTGAGGGGTGGAGGGGCCGTGTTGGGAGTTGGCTGGACGTACGAGGAGCGGGATTCTGCCATGGCGGCATTGACTGGAAGAGGAGAGAAGGGGAAGATGTGTGATGGAGTTATCCGAGTGACGTCGTAGTTGTAGTGTTGTAGTGGTGATAGTGGTGGTGGGAGAAATTGAGTGACGGCAGAAATCATGTGGGGGAGCAGCTTGCCTGTTCGGGCAAGGTCTCTGTACTTCTCTCCTCTCTCCGTGTACTTCCTCCTACTCCTACTTCTACTTCCACTTCAACTTCTACATTCTCTATCTCCCAGATGGTCCGTCTCATCACGACCCCCCGCATCCTCGCCGCCTTCGACGCCATCCCCTCCGATCGTCGTTCGCACCTCGACCTCCCCGACACCCTCTCCCTCGACGCTCCCATCTCCCACGCCCAACTCATTCGTCTAGCACGCTATGTCCGCACCGAGTCGACATCTCTCAGCCTCCCACGCGAGGACTGCAGTTTAAACGCCCTCCTCCGAGGAACCAAACTCTACATCCCTCCTCCGCCCCCGAAACCCACTCCAGTACGACCACCTCATCCCCGTCTCAATCCACCATCCTAACACAGACAATCCAGACCCCCGAATACCTCGCCTCAAAAGCGCGTCTCCTCGCCGCCGCGGAAGCAGACGCCTACCGTCGCATGACGAATCCAACCCCCCTTACCGGACCGTCCGGCCCATCCCCCATCTTTGCGACACACGCCCCAACCCCCGCCGATGAACCCGACGCCGACGCCAGCCCCGAAACCCTCACCCCGTCACTGGTGCTGAATATCTTTCTCTCTGTGCTGATCACCGGGTTCAGTGTATACTGGGCGCTGACTAGTTTCCCGACTCCGGAGCAGCTTACGACGGCGGTTGCGTCGTTGTGGGGTGGGGGGCGAGCTGTGAACAGGCCATCATCTAGTCGGGCGGGCACGTCCGAGGCAGTCCGCGTGCTGTTGTCGTTGTTTGCTGCGTTGGGGGTCGGTGTCGCCGAGGTGCTTATCTATGCGATATACTGGCACAAGGCGGGAGAGGCGCGGAAGCGCGAGAGGAAAATGCGAGAGCGGAAGGAGGTTGTGGGGAGTGAAGTGCTCAGTGGGCGGCCTGACCACCGCATCCAGGATGGTGGTGAGGTGGCAGCTGCCGCGGAGAAGGAGGAGATCTGGGGGCGAGGAGCTAACGGCGGTCTTCGTCGGAGAGTCCGCGAACGATGGGAACAGGATCAGATGCAGACCCGGGGTGAATCTCCGGAGTAAGTGATGCTATCCCATTGACGATATACAGGATGATACCCCCGAGTCGAAGACTCGTTTGTACGATACACCTACGGCAAAGACCGAAAAGAAATCAATTCGATGAATATTATGGTATTCCCTCTAAACTAAACATCTTATGCAAAGCTAAATCAAGCCTACACCGTCGCTTGTAATCGTTAATGCATTGAGATGCTGCTATCAAGTCATTAGTGCTCGTCAGAAGCCGCTGGGGTGGTATCATATGCGATCATAACAGTTATTGTTTTGTTTCGTTTTGTTTTTGACGAAGTCGGTCGTGGTTGGAGTTGTGGTTGAGTTGACACCGTCTGACTGTCCGAAGTCAACGTTCCAATCCAGGGAGCAGAATCAAACCCGTTTCTCGAGGAGCAGGGTACCCGACGGGGTCTTGCTGCTGAAGCCGCCGTCGCGGCTGAAGATCTTCTCGCCGCGAAGCCACGTCTCGCGCACCATGCCGCGCAGCGTGCGCCCCTGGTACGGCGAGCACTTGTTGCGGAAGAGCATGGTGCTGGGCTCGACAACCCACTCGGCGGAGTCGTCGAAGACGCAGATGTCGGCGTCGAAGCCCGGCACCAGGTCGCCCTTCTGGCGCTCCAGGCCGACCTGCGCGGCGGTGTTGGCGCAGCACAGCCGCACGATGTCCTGCAGGGCCTGGCGGGTCTTGGTGTCGTCGGCGCCGGAGAGCGCCTTGCGCCGGCTGATCTCCGTCCACAGGATGGGGAGACCCAGGCCGACGGAGGAGATGCCGCCCCAGGCGGAGAAGAAGCTACCCTCGTTGTTGTTGAGGGTCTTGGCCGGGCCGTCGGCGGGGGCATCGTCGCTGGCGCCGCCGGGGACGTGAGCGGGGAGCAGCTTTAGGTCCGGCGTGCAGGGCGAGTGGTCGGAGACGACGGTCTGGATGACGCCGTCGTCGGCGTAGCGCTCCAGCTCGGCCCACAGGGCGTCCTGGTTGCGCTGCGAGCGGATGGGCGGACAGCACTTGTGGCGGGTGTCGCCGTCGCGGATCTCCTCGGCGGCCAGCGAAAGGTAGTGGAAGCAGGTCTCGGCGGTGATGGGCACGCCGTTGGCGCGGGCCTGGCGCAGCAGCGGGATGGCCTCCATGGCGGAAAGATGCACGATGTGCAGGGGCAGCTTGGGGGCGAGGTGAGCGAGCGACAGGATCTCCTCGACGGCGCAGGTCTCGTACGACGACGGCCGCGAGGCCAGGAACGTCGAATAGGCCTCGACGGGGCCGGCGGGCGCCTCGGGCTCACTGCCGCCGGTGACGGGGGGCACCATCTCCGCGTGGAACATGAGAGTGGTGGGCTCGTCGGCCAGTTCGGCCATGGCCTTGCGGATGTCTTCCGACGACACGGCGGGGAACTCGTCCACCTACATGCTGTTAGCACCACACGAGAAACGAGCGACAACAAGGAGAGAACTTACGCCACTGTCGATGAGGAAACCCTTGAAGCCACGGACACCCTGCTGGACAAGCGCCTTGAGTTCGCCGGCGTTACCGGGGATGATGCCACCATAGAAGCCGACGTCAACCCAGCATTTGCCCTGGGCGGCCTGGAGCTTCTCCTTGAAGCCGGCGACGGTGGTGGTGGGTGGGATGGCATTCAGCGGCATGTCGATGACGGTGGTGACGCCTCCAAAGGCGGCCGCTTGCGTGCCGGTGTAGAAGCCCTCCCACTCGGTGCGGCCAGGCTCGTTGAGGTGCACATGGGCGTCCACCAGACCGGGCAGCAGCACATGCGGCGAGTAGTCGTGATACGGCGTGCCCTCGGGGAAGTCCGAAGCGGGAATGACAGAGTCCAGGACGGCAGTGATCTTACCGGTGGTGCGAGAGATGACTATCGTGGCCGAGGTCAGACGGCCGGAGATGACGGCGCGCGACGAGGTAATGACGGCGATGGCCGGGAGTTGGGCGTCCATGTCTGTGTTATGATATGGAGGAGAGAAGGAGAGAGAAAGAAGAGAGAAAGAGGGAGAACAACAGGCCAAACGAAGGTCAGAGGGTAAGTATACGATATGATACGCCCGAGATAAGTGAAGGCAAGGGACTCTGACTGATAAGAGAAGGAAGGATGTTTCGAAGAGAAGAGAACGAATCCGGGGTATCGATAAGAGTCTTATATATCCTGCTGCTCGTGGGAAACGATCGAGTAACAAAAAATCTCCCGGTCCACCTCAGGTTCCGGGTCCACCGGTGCCACCGGACGGTCTGCTGCAGGTTTTCTTATCAGTCTGTGTGTTGTTGTTAGTGGCTTTCGTTATCGATCCAACGGCGTCGCCGGCCGCGTTGATGATTCTGCAGACTGGTGCAGAAAGGGAGAGCAGATGTCTGGGCGGTGGGAATACCCTCATTGTTGCCCCTTCTGGCCTCCCTCGTCCATGTCGCCCTTGGGGATGCCTCGCAGCCACGATCTCTTCCTCAGGCGGTGACAGCCCGACCCGTGGTTCTGTATCGGGCGCCTCCGGCATCCGCCGTCGGATATCTCCCCTGCACCGCATTGCTCATGCCGGTTACTCGATCAAAACCCCTGCAGACCGTTTCCCTTACTCGATCGATTACTCGATCAGTTCTCCTCTGTTGGGCCGCCATTGCTCCGTGTGCCGTTTCTTAGCCTCGGAATGCACAGACAGGCCCCATGACGATGGCACGGTGGATTCTAGATGCCTCGTGAATAAATTTCTTATCGGGGGTTCCCGCAGCGTTGCCACCAGGCCCAACCCATGGAACACTGGGAGAATTTCTTATCAGTAACTCAAAACACTCTCCAGAGACTATAACCGGTCTGTAGCCTGTCATGACATCAGTCGTCCAGGACTTGTAGGTCCGTAGGTATACTTCCAGTCGTCCCCTATGCTGAGGGCTCAGACGCACAAACGCGCTCGGATGATCAACGCCGCCAAGACAAGAGGGGAACAAAAGGCGAGGATCGGGCAGAAATCCATGTTCGCCTCGGCCGTCGTCAATGGTGAATGATTCCGCAATTGACTTCGCGGTTCCACTCCATGCCTGTGTTGCAGACAGATTGGCTCCCAGGTTGTATACCGTCGATGCAAGAAACTGAAGCATATCGAAACGACAGTCGTACGTCTCACGTCCTTCCAAAGGAGTAGCTCAGGGTATTTTCGATCGAGCTTTGTCTACAGCTCATAGACAATCTTGTAAAAGGAGATCTTTCCGTCTCGGTACTCCTGAAATCCCTCGGGCGCTGCGTCCGGTCCGTGATAGACCTTGGGGTGACTCGAGCTGACTACTCGCAAGCAACATCTCGAAGAGTCCGGCGCAGAGGTCATAGTCGTTTGGAGAAGCCTAGCGAGCGTCAGCCAACACCAGCAGATCGGAAAGAGTCTAACCTACCGGCCACCTGAGTTCACCATAAGTATGGTTTTCCAGAAACGCAGTCCATACGAGGACATCCGTGACCCGAGCCCCTGCAGCAACGTTCTCCGTGTGGGCTTTTCCAGGTCGCACAGTGCAGAGGGTTCCACCGCTGCGGAGGGTATGCGAGGCCGGGATAGATGAAGTCGGGTTGCCGACGGTATCGAATATGTGCTGCAGGATCGGGGCCGCCTGCTTGATCTTCTTAACGACATTGCATTTTTATAGCCAAAGACGCGTCTGGCTCCGTACAAACGGACCAAGTCAGCATGTCGAGGGCTGCAAGTGGTCACCACATCCAGGCTGCACATCGACGCCAATTGTCGGCAGTCAGATCCAAACCATACGGTATCGGTCGGGAGGAAGAGGCACGTACAACAGCCTCCCTGGACGGGCATGCTGATCGCCTTATCTTTGAAGCGATCGAGATTAAGGCAGTCCTTCGAGCATAAGACGAGCCATGGTGTCGCACAGGCTAGAGGAACCGTACTCGCTTCTGCGTGGGATATACTTGCGGGAATTTTGAAGGATATCCGATCGTCCGTCATGCAGTGCTGGCTATACCCTCCCTGAATGCACTGCTGTCGAACTCTTGCACTGTACCAAGATTAGAGAATATATCGCTGCATTAGGTCCGCACGCACTATCGGTGGGATTTTGCACAACATGGGGGAGCTTGCCCAGCAGTTGATGGCCTAAGGCCGAGGGGATTGGCTTCTCTTCTGGCAGTCGTGGAGAGGCCCCTTCGCTCACGCTGACGACTTGGGCGATGTTGGGTGGAAAGTTCATCTTGATGATTGAGGGAGAATGAAGTAGAATAGAAGTTGAAGTGGCGGCATGGGTAGTGTCCCCTATACATATTTTGTAGCATTGCTTGACTCATCTGATTATATAGAAGTGTTTCCTAGAGGAAGGAACGAGGGAAAAGAAAGACCGTTGACTTTGTATACTTCCCCCCAGTGGCGCTAGTCCCGATTCGGCCACAATGACTTCAAAGGGAAATCTTCATGTTTTCCTCCGCGGCATCATCCAACCCGCAATTCTCTCGCGCCGTCGGCCAATGGCCCCATAACACCACCCACGACATAATGCCCCAACCATAAACATGCAGCCTCTCTACCGTTTACGACTGAATCCCGCCCGGACGCTGCGGGCGCAACCCCGATGGCCACGCCCATCCCGTCCTCTGCTGGTCCCCGTCCCCGTCCCGGTACGCCTTGCGACGACAGCAACTTCACTCTCGAAAAAGCTCGATCTCCTCGCAATCGACCGGAAATGGCAGGAGAAATGGCACACCGACGCTGCGGCCAAACCTTCGTCCGTGAACGGCGCCGCACCCGACAAACAAAAGTCCTATATCCTGTCCATGTTCCCGTACCCCTCCGGAACGCTGCACATGGGCCATCTGCGCGTGTACACGATATCAGATGTGCTCGCGCGTTTCTATCGCATGCGTGGCCATGACGTGCTGCATCCGATGGGGTGGGATGCGTTTGGACTGCCGGCGGAGAATGCGGCGATCGAGCGCGGGATCGATCCGGCCGAGTGGACGAGAGATAACATTGCTCGCATGAAGGCGCAGCTGCGGAGTATCTCGACTTCATTTGATTGGGATCGGGTATGGACTTGTATTGCGCATTTGTGGCTCACATGGCTTGGTTGGGCTTGCTGACGGGTGTTTCGGTACTAGGAACTGGCGACGTGCGCCCCGGAATTCTACGAACATACGCAGCGGATATTCCTCAAGTTATATGAGAAAGGTCTGGCGTACCAGGCGGAGGCTCTGGTCAACTATGATCCAGTGGATAAGACAGTATTGGCCAACGAGCAGGTGGGTGTGGCTCAACGCGATGGGCTCCGCATGTGATCTAACGCTGCACCAGGTCGATGCGAATGGCTTTTCCTGGCGCTCCGGCGCGAAAGTCGAGCAGTTGAACCTGAAACAGTGGTTCTTTCGTATTACCGCTTTCAAAGAGGCGTTACTGAAAGACCTCGACTCCCTTTCCGGCGGCTGGCCAGAACGCGTATTGACCATGCAGCGGAACTGGTTAGGCAAGTCCTACGGGGCTAAGATCAAGTTCCCTGTGAACGTGGAGGGAAGCAAGAAGACTGATCTTCATGTGGATGTGTTTACAACCCGCCCGGATACTCTCTACGGTGTGGAATATGTTGCCCTTGCTCTGAACCACCCCATCGTCCTGGAGGCTGCCAAGAAGGACACAGCCTTACGCCAATTCCTGGACGAGGCGGCATCGCTGCCGCCCGACTCTAAAGCTGGCTATAAGCTGGCTGATGTGAAAGTGTCCCACCCTCTGCATATCATAGACAAAGAGTCCCCCGATGTTGCTCGCAAACTGCCGGTTTTTGCGGCACCCTACGTCCTCAGCGATTATGGAGAAGGCGCTGTGATGGGCGTTCCAGGCCATGATTCTAGAGATATGGCCTTTTTCAAGGAAAACGAGAATCCTGAGTTCATACCAATGGTGATCGAACCCGAGCCCACAACTGGGGCAGATTCCAACCCCAGTGCGTGTTTGGTCCCTGCCGAAGACGCAAAGGCCATTACACAAGAAGGCTTCCTCTCCGCAAGATGTGGAAAGTACCATGGCATTCAATCCCGAGAGGCGGGGAAACAGATCATCAGTGACCTGAACCGCGTGGGCCATGCTGATGCCGTTGAACAATGGCGATTGCGAGACTGGTTGATTAGCAGACAGCGCTATTGGGGCGCACCCATTCCCATTATACATTGCGGCGACTGTGGCCCTGTTCCAGTGCCTGATGATCAGCTTCCCGTCAAACTACCCAAAATCGAAGGCGAGTGGCTGAAAGGGAAGCGAGGAAATCCTCTCGAGGCGTCCGACGAGTGGGTGAACACTAAATGTCCCAGCTGCGGCAGCGCAGCCAAACGCGATACCGACACGATGGACACCTTCGTTGATTCCTCGTGGTACTACCTCCGATTCTTGGATCCCGCGAACAAAGACCGGCCGTTTTCACCCTCGTTAGCTCGCCCCGTCGATGTGTACATCGGCGGTGTTGAACACGCCATCCTTCACCTGCTGTACGCCCGATTCATATACAAATTCCTTGCACAGTCCGAAATCTCCCCAGAGCTGCCGAAGTCTGAAGAATCTTCCGCGCCGGCAGAACCATTCAAAACACTTCTCTCACAGGGCATGGTCCATGGCAAGACGTACTCCGAGCCGTCGACCGGCCGATTCTTGCACCCCGACGAGGTTGATCTCTCGAGTCCAGATAAACCCCTGATCAAGGGGACACAAGTGACTCCCAATGTGTCTTTCGAGAAAATGTCCAAGAGCAAACACAACGGCGTTGACCCTACGCAGTGCGCGTTGAAATACGGTGCAGATGCCACGCGCGCGCACGTGCTCTTCTCTGCGCCAGTCAGTGAAGTGTTGGAGTGGGACGAGACAAAGATCGTGGGTATCGAGCGCTGGTTCGGCCGTCTCTGGAAGCTCGTGCTGGAGGCGCAACAGACACTGGTCTCATCATCATATCTGCCCGACCTAGACACTGCTGCCATGCCCGACTCGTTGCAGGGTCTCAGCGATAGCGACGCCGATGCCGTCCTCTTCACCCATCGCACAATCTCGTCTGTCACCAGCTGTATCGAAACAAACCCCTATGGCCTGAACACTGTGATTTCGGACTTGACCAAATTGACGAATGCACTAGCCTCGTCCACCCCTACGTCCCCGCAGATTGTCTACTTGTGTGTCTCTTCTCTCCTCCGCCTGCTCGCGCCCGTCGCACCCGCGTTGGCGTCTGAATGCTGGGAGATTCTCCACAACACGACGGTCCAAAACGAAGTTGCAGGCTCTGCGGGCGGGGCTCGGACAATTTTTGACTGTCCCTGGCCAACACCACTTCTGTCTGCGGAGCAGGTTGGTGCTCTGGCGACGCGTGGGGGCCAAACCGTCGCTGTGCAGATCAATGGAAAACTGCGGTTTACCGTCACGGTTCCTCGGATGCCGTCGACCACGGCTTCTGAACCCAGTGGAAAGTCTGGCATGACCGCGGAGGGGCAGGATTGGATCGTCAGCCGAGTACTCGAGACCGAAGAAGGTCGCACTTGGTTGCAGCAGAAGAATGACTGGGAAAGGCGGCGCCGGGTAATTGTAGTCAAGGGAGGGAAACTGGTGAACGTCGTCTTCTAGACTGGGGCGTCTCGAGATCGGGTCGCATGGGCAGTGACCCGCACAATGTATTATAGATCTGTAACATAGACGCAGCTCATCTGTACAGTTAGTTAGTTCTCTTCGTGCGACGGCGTAGGACAGGTAGCACATTTGCGATCGGAATGGAGTCGAGTTGGCGATCGAGCGCAAAGTTTGAGGTCTGTCAGTCCCGCTGCAGGACACACTTCGTATTTTCGGATGCTCTCCGTTGCGACGACACAACGGGCATTCGAATCCGGTCTCCAACGCATTACCTGATGGGGCAGATTTTGCGTAGCGCAAGCTAAGGTACGTGTCCGGTTTCATGGTGGGAACTTGTCTGAGCTTCTGTTCCCCTCACGCCGATGAGGGGCAAAAGTTGGTGCGGAGATCAACTTGACGATTGATGACACCAAGTGTCTCCACCCTAAAAGGAGGAACGGCACAGAACCACTACGGAGTACTCTCGGCAGGGACTCGGACATCATGAGTCCCCCGATAGTGTTCCGTGGACAGAGCAAGTGGCCGTGAACAAAGAGCGAGAAATCTTCATATCCTTCGAGCTGAAGATGGTACTGTGCCGGGATCGGACTGAAAATACCCTTATGGTTTTCATGGAGAGAAGAGAAGGAGCTGGTACTATTGCGAGTGGCAAGGTCGATGAGTGTATACACCACGTTTTACACTGCGGTCACGGCGCGGGGATCGTCCAAGAGTCCACTGGCAAAGTAAGCAACAGGATGGCTATACGTATGTCTGCAATTGGATAGGATTTGTGCTGATAAACAGGTTGGACGACATCACCTGCCAGTGTGGATTGCTACCGCTGGTGATGCCTGTCTTTTCCAGGACAAACCAAACCTGGCACCCACCATGCCGTAATGAGGATGTCGACTTATTAAATAGCCTCCTGGTTCCAGTCTAACCTGCATTTTCAGGTCGCCCTCCAGGGAGTTTGTGACAGTTGGGAGTCGGATACTCGGCGTCGAATATTCAATAGGACACGAGCAGCGTTTCTAAGTAAAACCGACATGTTCTGCTGGTCATATCCGTTCCTTCGTTGCAGTGTGAGACTTGTAGGTAGGTAGGACTGGGACTTTGGGACGTATCGTGGGCGTCGTCGCGTTTCCTTATTTCTCGGATAAATTAGCATGACGATCAGAGATTATGGTTAGGATTTCCACGTCTCACCAAGAGCTACATGATAAGCCATTCTGGGACGATAGGAATCCGTGGATAATGAGGAGGAGGAGCGGCGGACGAGTAGGCACGCTTCATGAAGAAGGGAGACTGATGTGGAGTATACTGAAGAGACATCAAGGTGTTGAGGAAGTACTGGTGCTGGAAATTAAAGCACATGAACTGGTATAAATAAAAATCAGATTGATACTAGCTAAGATTTGAGAAGTAGGAATCAGAGTGGTTGGTAGCAGGAGCGTGTTGAATTGTAGGTAGGTGGACAATCTGGCAAAGCGACAATCTTAAGACATCCTCCTAAGTAAGAGGTAACCCGTCACTTCTCATATTACGCATCACGGAGGACTTACAATTGGAAGGTTCAAGGATGATTACCTGATACCTAGGTACTTCCATGGCACACCTATCTACTGAAGCACTGGATGTACATTTCTCTATTGAGCAGGTGTGATGGGCAATGTCCCCCAAGGTGCTCAACCCCGCATGAGGGGTGAGGGGTAGTCCTGATCGGGTATAGCCTCATTCCCCTCTGATCCTCATCATCAACTCCGTAGGGATGTACAAGAATAGATCGCGAATTAGCCTTCTGCTAGGCCGAGGATAGCTTTACTCTCTCTAGTAAAATCAAAACATGCCATATATGGTTTATTCCATCTCTACTTGGTATCCATCGAGCTCCCGAAATTGACTTGCAGTGAGGCTCAGGTTTCAGGCTGAGTTCGCACTATCACCGTCAAGGTTCTCGATTCCGGGACGATCGTACCTGATTACAGACACAAAAGCCTGCAGATGCATATTGGTACTTAGTCTAGTAGTCACGGTGTTGTCGGATTGGACTCTTTGATGAAGCAGTAGTGACTCCACTCGGATGCAGCCTCGTCCGAGGCTTCGCCTGCCCATCACGACGAGATCCACTGCAAAGAAGGATTTTCCTGAAAGACCTAACTACTAGGTAGGTATGTGTCCGTAGAAATATTCTGTTTTGAGCTAAATCATCCTTCCATCATTTTGATGCAATTGGCTCCCCTCATGCCCCGCACATCCGTCGGACCGCCGAGTTTTCTCCCCATCTAGACCGAGTCTGTTTCCAGGCAAACCAGACAGGCAGGTGGTCGAATGTATAGTAGTTTAAGCGACTCTGCACGGACGACATCTTGGCTCGATCGTGACTGGGAAACGGGCTTGTCTGCATTGTCCTGCCAGAGCTGTCAGCAAAGGGTCAGTGAGAGGTGTCCCGCGTGCGGAGAAGATGCGCTCTCCTCATCTCCAATCGCCATCCTTCCACTCAGGGCTCTCCACCCCCTCCCAACTCACCAAATGGGGATCCAATCCGACCACCGGTGCGATGGTCGGTTCCCGTCGTGCTACCACTGACCCATTCCTCCGTTTCGGCGCTATCCAGCCATTACGAAGTGGAGGGGGAGTACAGAGTGGATGGATAGGCACGGAGTAGAGAGATTTAGGTAATTTGGAAAAGCTGAGAGAGGGGAAGGAACAAAGCTATTCTACTGTACAACATGTCTATATATTGGGCAGTATTCCCCGTGCTGAAGGATGTCTTTTCCTCCTCTCCATCAGCCATCACAACCCTCGATCATCTCCATCGACGGATTCGGTAAGCCTCCCACCTCTGTTCCTTCCTCTCTCCCTCTCACACTCCCTGTCTCGGCCTTCGTGGATCCCTGCAACCCTGTTACTTCCACTCCCTGTCTCCTCATCCTACCTTCTGCTGCTTCCTTCTAGTTTACATCACCCGCCTGCATAGTACTCTTCCCCACACCTGTTCATCCCCTCTTTCACCATGTCCCGATTCATCCGGTTTCTCCAACCAGGGATACCTGGATGCTGCCATGCTTCATGTCCGGATCAATTCAAATAGCCTGGCTAACCCACCCATCGACAGGAATTTTTCTTCCTCCATCACATCCATCTACTCTTCCTCACAAACGTCAATTCATTGACCACTCTTCACAATGGTATTTCTCCGTTCTTTCTCCCGCCAGCTCCGGCGGCCTGCCACCTCTCTCCTCTCCGCGCACTCCTCTCTGAAGCCGTCGAGTAGTCCGTTCCGGGCTTCTCCTCTGGCGAGCGGAATCTCCGGTGCACGTACGCTAACCGCCTCTGCGAGTCTACAGGGTAAAGTTTTGATGGTCCTCTATGACGTATGTTCCCGATCCATGATTCCCAACCCGCTGGTCCAGACCCTCGAGCTAATTTCCCGATTAGGGCGGTGAGCACGCCAAGCAGCAGCCCGGTCTCCTGGGTACCACCGAGAACGAGCTGGGCCTGAGAAAATGGCTCGAGGAGCAGGGCCACACCCTCGTCACTACCTCCGACAAGGAGGGTGAGAACTCCACCTTTGACAAGGAGCTGGTCGACGCTGAGGTCATCATCACCACTCCGTGAGTCCTCCGTTCCTATATAGTTCAACAAGTAGCATACCACTGACCGTCCACCTATAGATTCCACCCCGGATACCTCACCGCTGAGCGCCTGGCCAAGGCCAAAAACCTCAAGATCGCCATCACCGCTGGTGTCGGTTCTGACCATGTTGACCTGAACGCCGCTAACAAGACCAACGGTGGTATCACCGTCGCCGAGGTCACTGGCTGCAACGTCGTCTCCGTCGCTGAGCACGTTGTCATGACCATCCTCACCCTCGTCCGCAACTTCGTTCCCGCCCACGAGCAGATCCGTAATGGTGAGTGGGACGTTGCTGCTGTCGCCAAGAACGAATTCGACCTGGAGAACAAGGTCGTCGGTACCGTCGCTGTCGGCCGTATCGGTGAGCGTGTGCTCCGTCGTCTGAAGCCCTTCGACTGCAAGGAGCTTCTTTACTATGACTACCAGCCTTTGAAGCCCGAGATCGAGAAGGAGATTGGCTGCCGCCGTGTCGAGGATCTCGAGGAGATGCTCGCCCAGTGTGACGTGGTCACCATCAACTGCCCTCTGCACGAGAAGACCCGCGGTCTGTTCAACAAGGATCTCATCTCCAAGATGAAGAAGGGTTAGTTGACCCCAATATGCCTTCTCATTTACGTGACGCATTGCTGACTTGATTAGGATCCTGGCTCATCAACACCGCTCGTGGTGCCATCGTCGTCAAGGAGGATGTCGCCGAGGCCGTCAAGTCCGGTCACCTGCGCGGCTATGGTGGTGACGTCTGGTTCCCCCAGCCCGCTCCCAAGGACCACCCTCTCCGTTATGTCCAGGGCCCTTGGGGCGGTGGCAACGCCATGGTCCCCCACATGTCGGGTACCTCCATCGATGCCCAGATCCGCTACGCCAACGGCACCAAAGCCATCCTCGAGAGCTACTTCTCCGGCCGCCACGACTACCGCCCTGAGGACCTTATTGTCAAGGATGGTGACTATGTCACCAAGGCTTATGGCCAGCGCAATAAGGCTTAAGTGCTTTGGTTTCTTATGAAGTGAATGATTAAGTGTATTTCTGGCGCATGTTTACTGGTCTGAGATGGCCTTACTCGGGTCTTTTGTCCTGGTTTAGTCATTATGATACCTAAAATACATATTTTCTTATTCAACATGTTCGACAAAGTTGGTAGCGGTCGTGCTGAGATGCTGGTATAGGCGCCGGCAGCCACAGTACCGGGTCTAATCCGTGGTTGATAACGGCTTTTCATACTGATACAAGAGAAATTCTGCCAATAGTACGGCTTAATACCATTTTTCAAACGATGCTACAGTTCTTTGTCTATCAGAACTATATCTCATAACCGGTCTTAATGCTCTGATGCCAAGGGCTGTCCACTGTATACAATGAAGAAGGGTGTACTATTGAGAATTTACTGTCTACCCAATCAACAACTGATACAACCCTGACATCATCTGCCGTACAAATTATCTCGTGGCATATTGGACAATACTTTGTTGATCGTCTGCTTGTGCAACCTCCCAAACAAAGAAAATTCAGAACTACGAATGTGGGGTCCGCTGGTATGTGTCCAAGTATGGATCTTCCTGATTTAAGGTTATGTCTCTTGGACATACCAAATGGCTCGGTGGCATGTCCAATCCACCGGTCCGTTCCAGTCCCACGTGTTGGAAGTTTGCTTGCGTGCAAGGTGGTGCGTTTTCTGTCACCGACAATCTGTATAAAGACCCAAACAGAAACATCACAATAGTTGGAAATATCGCTCATGGAATTGCCTTCCCAAACGCCTAAAACCCCGCATGCATGCCGTTGAGAAAAATTGGAAGGAGAAAGCCACGAGATATTACCGTCGCAATCTCGAGCTCTCTCGACTCCCAGGCTCCTCGTCGCTGTCATCCATGAAGCCCTGCTCGAGATCTCGACTCAGGCGGCTCTCAGCCTCGGCCACCGTACTGCGACGTCGTTCTAACGCCTCCCTTCGCGCAGGGTCCATGTCCATCCCAACCATGATCTCCCCTTCCTCATCAAAGATGCTGATGTTATCCTGTTGGTCGTCCGGATGGCCGCGGCGTCGATATATGATCCGCAGAACGCCATCGGCTATGCGATCACGGAGAGAATGGGTATGCGCAGAGATTCTGTGCAAAGGGAGGTACTGCGAGTATCGTTGGTGATAATGCCGGAAGAATGGAGCGACCACGAAGGACAGCAGCAAGTAAAGCGCCAGGGAGATCGCGGCGGGTATGAGAATGGTCTGTGTCCGACTGGTTAGGTGACTATCGATGTGTGGAGGGCCCGGCTCACCCAGCACTGACCTTTGCGAAGCTCGCCGTGGAACCCATGGCGACTGACGCCGTCCCGAGCGGAACGACGAGGGAGTGCTAGTATGCGGAACCAACGGATCGACTGATGATAACCAGTCAAGTACCCCGGATCACCTTCAGATTGTATAACACCGTCACCCTCGGGGAGGCCTCCTGCCACCAAATAGCCACAGTCCGGTGTGGCTTGCCTCACTTTGTCGGCAGAGCGGCCAGACTGGAATGAGGGTCCGATCCGCGATCACCGAGTTGCTTCTCCTGTCCCTCTCCGGCACTGCGTGGGTGCCTGGGTGTCACGTGATGTATTTTATTCATAGAGTCTCACGTGATCTCGGCGGCTGCTACCGCGTTCTAGAGCCGCCCCCTAAATGCCCCGTGCTTCAGACGCTCCAGAGTCCAAGACGTGAACTTCAGCAACCAGACTCTTAGACCTGGTCACATCCAACCAAGGCGAGGTGCCTTTGGCAAGTCGGAATCGACCGCCTCGTCTGCCGTGACCGATCGCGGTGCTGTGTATATTGGTGCTCGGAGAAAGAGAGTGAGCTTCCTGTATTTGGGTCCCCTCTCACTCTACCGCTGCTCCGCAGCGGGTATTTACTAGTGTCATTCAGGAGTGCAACGCACCTGAACGACGTGATTATTGCCTGACGTTGGAAGAATCCTCGCCGTCTCAGGGGCTAGGGAAAGAGAGATCGACAGATTTGGGGCAAGCACCCCCAGCGCGACGAAACAAAGAACCTCACTAGTGGACCACGCTCATGCTGCGCCCTGCATCCCCCCAGCGACGCCTGTCAAGATGCCAACAACCACACCCGCACCTGACAAATCGAGGCAGACTTCGGCCGGCAAATCGTTCTTCGGGAGGAAACTACACAAGGAGCGACCTGTCGATGAACGATATGAGGGATACGTAGGAGGCTACGACAACCTCGTGCCGCCCGGTAGCGCTGCGGGCTCTCGCTCGTCCCGACACTCGAAACGATCATCCATCCAGTCGGTAGACATATCTCACGACATGGACCCTGCTGGAATCCCCGGAGTCATCACATCTATTCCGTTCGAGGCCCTACCCACCGACAACAAGTCGCCCATCCCCGTCGATTCGCTGTCGAAACCCGACCCCGCCGCTCGAAAGGAGCCCGCACCGAACCATATTGCGAAGGGCGCAGGTGATTTTCATCAATACCCCGTATGGGATCCTACCGCCGTACGGGACAACAATACCTATATCCATCCGACAGGCCCTCGCCCACCACCGCACGCCTCCAATATGACCATGTCCGGCAGTTCAACAGGCGACAAAGGCGCGCGATATCAACAATGGGGAAGACCGGGAAGCTCAGCGGCCAACACGGGATTCAGCCATAATTCATCTTCAACCGTCGACTCGTCCTCCAATTCGCGCATATCTTTTGACCAAGCTAGTGTCCACTCGTCCGTCTCCTCAAACACCAGAGGCTCGAGCTATTTCTCATCAGACGGATCATCCCGTACTCTCACCACATCACACTCGGCTGATCGCAATACATATTTTCCAACCAGCAGTGGCGGCCGTTTGTCCAACGCCCAAGCGGCCTGGCAGGCATCGCAGCCGCCGCCTGCTCAGCCGAGGCCTCCAGCCCATCCGGAACATTATCTCACTCGCCCGCGGGATGATCGCATCGTGGACCAACTTTTCCTTGAACTCATGCAAAAGCGAGGCTGGCAAAACCTTCCTGAACAAGCCAAACGACAGATGCTCGCTTACCCCGCGTCCAAAAAATGGACCCTCGTTCATCAAGATCGGTTGACGGAGTTGCAAGGGGAGCAGAAGCGCAGGCAAAATGCGCGCCAGACACACGGCCATGATGGTCTCTCCGGAATCCTTGAACGAGCCGACGAAGAAGGGAGTCCTGAATGGTATGTCAAAAAGGTCATGGACGACAGTATCACCTCGAAGCAACTAGCGAGTTTGAGTGTGAGCTTGCGTACGCAGCCTATCAGCTGGGTGAAGGCTTTCGTTGAAGCGCAGGGTCAAATCGCGTTGACGAATGTCTTGATGAAAATCAACCGGCGAAAGGCATCTGGCCCTGTTCCTGCTCCTCCGACAGGTGACAAGGATCTTGACCGAGAATATGATATTGTGAAATGTCTGAAGGCTCTGATGAACAACAAGTATGGTGCGGATGATGCTTTGTCTCATCAGCAAGTCATTGTGGCTCTTGTGAGCTCGTTGCTCTCGCCCCGGTTGAATACGAGGAAACTGGTTAGTGAAGTCCTGACATTCCTCTGTCACTGGGCCGATGGGTATGGACATCAAAAAGTCCTTCAGGCTATGGATCATGTCAAAAATAACCATGGCGAAACTGGCCGCTTCGATGCTTGGATGCGGATTGTCGAGGTCACGATTGATGGCCGTGGAAAGATGGGCAGTTTGGTTGGTGCCAGCGAAGAGTATCGGAGTGGAGGGATTGGTATGGAGAACCTGCTCATGGAATATGCTGTATCGACCATGTTCCTCATCAATATGCTGGTGGATGCCCCGGAAAACGACCTCCAACTGCGATGTCATATTCGTGCGCAGTTCACCTCCTGCGGCATCAAGCGTATCCTCACCAAGATGGAGGGTTTCCAGTACGAAGTCATCGACAAGCAGATCGAGCGCTTCCGAGAGAATGAGGCCATCGATTACGAGGACCTCCTCCAGCGCGAGGGCAGTAGTATGAAAGACAGCATTGAGGGTGAAGTGAAGGACATGAGCGACCCTCTGCAAATCACGGATGCCATTGCGACCAAGATCTCGGGCACTCGGGCCCATGATTATTTCCTCTCCGCGATGCAACATATGCTGTTGATTCGGGAGAACTCGGGCGAGGACGGTCTCCGAATGTATCAGCTGGTGGATGCGATGCTCAGCTACGTCGCCATGGATCGGCGACTGCCTGATCTCGATTTTCGACAAGGCTTAACGTTCACCGTACAGAGCCTTCTGGACAGGCTCCACACGGATGCTGAGGCACGACAGGCGTACGATGAGTCTCTGGAAGCTCGCCAGATTGCGGAGGCTGCCATTGCGGAAAGGGATGAAATGAAGGCGCAGGTTGAGCTGGGAGCGGACGGCTTGGTGAAGAAGCTCCAGAAGCAGATTGAGGAACAGACTGGTATCATCGAGCTTCAGTCACGGCAGAATGAAATGCTCAAAGCCGAGCTGGCTGATGTGCAACGACTGCGGGCTCAAGAGTTGCAGCGCAACGAGCTGGAGACCCGTGAACTGTACTTGATGCTTCGCGATGCCCAAGACATTGCCGCCTCCAATGCCAAGAAGAACAACCTGGGCGAGACGGATGTCACCCAGATGAGAGGTATCTTGGATCGCGAGAAGCTCCTGGAGAGATTGGAGATGCAGCTTGAGAGGACCAAGACTCAATTCAAGCTGGAAGGCAGAGTCTGGGGTCAGCACGGTCCCTCGGATCGTCTGCGCGAGCTTCGAGAACAGATGGATGGCGACACTGCGCCCAGCGAAGACTTTGAGGAGCAGGCTCGCAGGAACCTTGATAACAATGCCCTGGGATCTGTCTACCGGAAGAAGAGCTTCGTTCCAGAGTCCGCTGACGAAGAACAAGAGACACGTGTGGATGAGAATGGGGAAGTTGTCTACGAGAAGGCGCGTCTGATTGATCTTCAGCGTCGGCGAATGGATCCTGCTCAGGCCACTGGCCTTTTGGGAGAAATCGCTGCCAAAGTACCCAAGATTGAAGCGGAAGACAGTGAGGTAGAAACTACGCCTAAACCCGAGGGGGCAGAGTCCGGAGAGACTCCAGAGGCACCAGCCATCCAAGTGGAAGAAGTCAAGGACGAGAAGCCCGAGGAGAAAGATCTGGCTGCGGCTGCCCCTCCACCACCGCCGCCTCCTCCGCCGCCGCCGCCGCCAGGTGGTGCAGCAGGACTTACTCCCCCGCCGCCTCCTCCGCCTCCGCCTCCGGGCATGAAAGCAGGCATGCCGCCCCCGCCGCCCCCGCCCCCGCCGCCTGGTGCTGCGGGTGGAATGCCTCCTCCGCCACCTCCACCGCCCGGCGCCTCCTTTGGCCCTCCGCCCCCTCCTCCTGCCCCTGGTGCTGGTTTTGGCAATTGGCGAGCAAACTACTTGGCTTCACAGAACCTTTCGACCAATCACTCCGCCCTTATGCCATCTATCAGACCTAAGAAGAAGCTGAAGGCACTCCATTGGGATAAGGTAGATACTCCGCAGGTCACTGTTTGGGCCTCTCATTCCCACACGCCCGAGGCCAAGGAGGAGAAGTACATCGAATTGGCGAAGAAGGGAGTCTTGGATGAAGTTGAGAGGTTGTTTATGGCCAAGGAGACTAAGATCTTCGGAGGTGGTACAGCCGCCAAAAAGCGCAAGGACAAGAAGCAGATCATCTCGAACGACCTGTCTAAGACGTTCCAAATTGCCCTAGCAAAGTTCTCGCAATATCCTGCCGAGGATGTTGTGCGGCGCATCATCCACTGTGATCCAGAGATCTTGGATAATGCGGTCGTCATGGACTTCTTGCAGCGAGATGAAATGTGCACCATCCCTGAGAACGTTTCCAAACTGATGGCTCCGTACAGTCGAGACTGGACAGGGCCTGATGCCGCTGATACCGAGCGAGAGCAGGACCCCAATGAGCTCACGCGTGAAGACCAGATCTACCTATACACCGCGTTCGAGTTGAACCACTACTGGAAGGCCAGAATGCGGGCTCTTGCGCTGACTCGGTCTTTTGAACCGGAATACGAGCAAATCTCTTCAGAGCTCAAGGAAGTCGTCAAAGTTAGCGAGTCGTTGAGGGACTCGGTCTCTTTGATGAATGTCCTTGGCCTGATCTTGGATATCGGTAACTTTATGAACGATGCCAATAAACAAGCCCAGGGTTTCAAGTTAAGCTCTCTTGCTCGCCTGGGTATGGTGAAGGATGACAAGAACGAAACCACCTTTGCCGATCTCGTTGAGCGAATCGTTCGCAACCAGTATCCCGAATGGGAGAACTTCGTTGACCAGATCAACGGAGTTATTGGCCTCCAGAAACTGAACGTCGATCAACTGCGAACGGATGCGAGGAAATACATTGAGAATATCAAGAACGTGCAGGCCAGTCTAGACGCGGGAAACCTCAGCGATCCTAAGAAATTTCATCCGCAGGACCGCGTCAGTCAGATAGTCCAACGATGCATGAAAGATGCGAGACGCAAGGCCGAGCAGTTGCAGCTCTACCTTGATGAGATGATCAAAACTTATGATGATATCATGGTCTTCTACGGTGAAGATAACACAGACGAGGGGGCTCGGCGAGACTTCTTTGCGAAGCTGGCTGCGTTCTTGCAGGAGTGGAAGGTTTGTTTTCTCCCGGTCGACGTGAGACACGACACTCAGCTAACCACATTACTATCTGTAGAAATCGAAGGAGAAGAACATGAGTCTGGAGGAGGCTAGAAAACGCACGGAGGCCTCCTTGGCTCGGAAGCGTATCAATGCCGGTCTTGCCAACGGTGCAGGCTCCGGCAGCGATGCGCCACAATCACCCGTCACCAGTGGAGCTATGGACTCGCTTCTCGAGAAGCTTCGTGCCGCAGCTCCCCAGGCTAGAGATCAGCGAGATCGCCGTCGTCGTGCTAGGCTGAAGGAGCGACACCAAGTCCGTGTTGCTTCGGGACAGAAGATGCCGGACATCGCCGGACCCGAAGGCGCGGACAATGGAAGCACCAACGCCGAAGACAGCAGTGCCAGTGCTAACAAAGATAACTCCACTACGACAGAGACGGGTCTTTTGAGCCCACCCAGCCAGGAAACCGATTCCGGGGCGGCCAACCGAGAGCCTTCCACGTCGGAAAGCGAAGATGTGGCAGATCGCGCTGCCAGCATGCTCCAGGGTCTGCGAGACAATACCGATGGGGATCGGTCTCGGAGACGACGGGAAACCGCCGAAGAAGAACGACGCAAGCGCAGACTTCGCCGACGCAATGGAGCCACCGCGGGAAGCAAAGACAGTGCTGATGGCTCGGTCCTGTCACCCGTGATTGAGCCTGCGTCGCCGCCTGCAACCGACTCTATGGATCCCGAGAGCTCTGTCGCTGCCAGCCCTCCTAACGAAGATGCTGGGTCGCCACCGCCTCCCACGTCCTCTATGGATGTCTCATCGACCCTCGATCAACATAGTCACTCCTCTGATAACGATGACGCCGCTGAAGGTACGCCGCAAGAGTCGACTGAGCCGTCGAGCTGATGATACGCCCTTCATCCACTTTCGTTCCCTTGCCCATTTTCTTTTCTTAATATAATGTTTGATAGACTCTGATGTCGTCTCGGAACATTCTCCTATTTCATTGGTTGTATAATACCTCTTTGGTGACTCCTCACTTTGCATTGTCTGATTCCTGTCCTAATTGCATCATCCCCTCCAACTGTCTCTTGTGTTTTGTCTTGGTTGAAGACATTAGCCAGCGTGATGGGAGCATACTTGGTATCATGAATTTCCTATTGTCATTGTCTGCCCGATGTGTTGGGGGTATTCCTTGGAACGTTCCTTTTCTTTTCACCCTTCCAGTACATTACATTGGTTTCATACTCTTCGGTCCTTTTGCTTTCGCTTTGTTTCATTGGTTGACAAGGGGTTTGTTTCGTCCTCGAGTCTTATCTGTACATAATCCCCTTCAGCTTGTTACGCTTGTGCAGCATATGTCCGCTGCGGCGGAGGATAGGCAATGTATGGCCGTGCGTCCTTTGGTGCGCAGGCGTGACGAAATGATGCATCTGGCTTGGTATATGGTCTTCACATTTTTTATCTGTATTTTCGACTGACATTGTAGTTCCGAGAACGAAGTGTTTTGCTCTGCATAGTGGTAACTATATGATGGGCTCCACGTGACCTTCGAAACGCCGTCAGCAGATCCCCGTCAACCTCCGGATTCATTTTCCCTCTCGACACGCTTCTTGCTGACTTCTACCAGTCTTGCTTTGCGCATGCGAGCATCTTATTTTCGCAACCTTCCGAGGGTTGTTCGGTTTCGACTATCATGGCACAGGCCGTACTCAGCGGTGGTCTGGAATAGGCCCCGTTTACAGAGTCCAGCCTTGGCTGTCTCGCCGTCCACACTACAAAACCGCCTGTTTTCCGCTTCCTCCCCTGCACGGACCTTCCTAGATGCAGAATCGACTATATATGCTCTGTCGACGGCCCCTGGCCGGGCTGCTATCGCGGTAGTGCGCGTCTCCGGCCCAAAATGTGTGCAGGTATGCGCCAGCAACAGCATTGTCCGGATAGAGTGCTGACCTAGATATTGTCATTGAACTTAGATCTACCGAGCGCTCTGTCCCAAGGGATCCTTTCCTCGGCCGCGCGTCGCAGCAGTGCGAGCATTATACGACCCAACAACGCCACCTTCCAGCAATAGCGTCCTCGATTCCGGAGCCCTCGTCTTGTATTTCCCTGGGCCCAAGACCGTCACCGGCGAAGATGTCCTGGAATTCCACCTTCACGGCGGCCCCGCCATTGTCAAATCTGTCCTGACCGCTATCTCCCGTACGAACCGCGACGAGTGCCTCGTGCGCTACGCCGAGCCCGGCGAATTCACCCGCCGCGCGTTCTTGAATAACCGATTGGACCTGCCGCAGATCGAGGCGCTGGGGGATACCCTGACGGCAGATACGGAACAGCAACGGCGCCTGGCTGTGCGGGGGGCGAGCGATGCACTTTCGAAGCGCTACGAACAATGGCGCCAGCAGTTGCTGTATGCGCGCGGCGAGCTCGAGGCCCTGATTGACTTCGCCGAGGACCAGCATTTCGACGAGTCCTCGGACGAGCTGGTGCATTCAGTGGCGTCGCAGGTGCAGGCGCTGCGGGTGCAGATCGAGCTGCATATCCAGAACGCGTCGAAGGGCGAGCTGTTGCGTCATGGGATCAAGGTTGCGCTGCTGGGCGCGCCGAATGCGGGGAAGAGCTCTCTTCTAAACCGTATTGTGGGGAAGGAGGCTGCGATTGTCAGCACCGAGGAGGGTACCACGCGCGATATTGTTGATGTTGGGGTCGATTTGAGCGGTTGGTACTGCAAGCTCGGGGACATGGCGGGGATCCGGTCTGAAGCGGGGAATGGCGCTGGAGAGGGCCCCGTGGTGATCGGGGCGGTGGAGAAGGAGGGCATTCGCCGAGCCAAGGCCCGTGCTTTGGAGTCGGATGTGGTCATTGCTGTTATCTCCCTTGAGGAGGGGGTTGGTGGTGAGCCGTACCGGCTGTCTGTTGAGCCGGAGGTCGTGGATGCGGTGAACGATTGTGTGGAAGCGGGCAAGTGTATCGTCATCGCGATCAACAAGTGTGACCGGCTGCCGGCGTCCACACAAGACGGTCTGTTGCCGTCGGACGTTACTGCTGCCGTGGGGTCTCTTTTCCTTGCCATGCCATAGAGGGGCATCTTTGGCATTTCCTGCCGGGACGCACATGACAGGCGTGTGACTAAAGAATACCGCGACCCTGGAGGTATACAGGGTTTCCTGGCATGACTGTTTTTTCACCTTTGAAGAAATTGGTATTCGGCGTGGATAGCCCTAAGCGAGTGGGACTGCACGGTCTGTTTATAGGGAGTACGCGATGGTATGAACTCATCTCGGTACCTCATTTAAAGAAACGAAGTAATAGTTATAAACTTACTGGGATCTTTTCTTTTCTCCCTCAACACCTTAACCGAA